ACTTATAATTCGTGAGCGACTCCCTCCTCTGTTAAGGGGTGTTAATTCGACAATTATGCTTCTCTAACTAGTCCACCCTCTCCCTCTTACCGGTGGCCGGACTGCTGCGCCATGGAAAGGGCTTCTCTGTGGGGTGGCGTTCCTTAGAACTATGCCACGTGCCAGCCAATGGGAGTTTATCCATCCATTCGCTACTGTGTACTACATGCTTCGCTCCATGAGACGGGGAATTTAGGTGCCGTTTGGCGCGGCTTCAAAAGCTGATAACGCCGGTTCGCTCCACAGGACAGTTAATGCTTCCACATAAAAGGAGCTGTGCAACAATTTTAACGTTGAAAGAATTGGCATCTTCTGCTTTTGATATTGTTCACCTTGTCACAAATGACAGAAAACACACTTCCTTTCATTGAAATGTTGAGATTCCGCCGCGTAATAGCGAGGAAAAGCTTAGAATATTCCCCGACCTGCAGCCGCGAGCGGCGGCCATGAGAAACACGCGGCGTGATGTCAATGGGGAATCTTGTAGAAATATAGCAAGTTGTGGAAATACCTGCTCGATAAAAACTAACTTTTCTACAAATCTTGTCGTTCCAACATATATATAAATGCGTCAAACACCTGGTATCATCGACAAAACTTTTATTATACGGAGTTTTAGTGACGCCATTTATCTTAGGTCCACAAAACCGTCAGCTCTCTCTGCTACCGCAAACAGTCGCCAGAAGCCAAAGGGGGAGAGGGACAGGGCCTGATGGGTATGATCGGACCCAGATGAGACTTTCCTCCTTTCACCATATTGTTCGCGCAGCGCCCGCCAGCACGTGGTCATGTGGTCGCAAGCGGATGAGTTCTCGCTGCTTACTGATAGCTCTAAAGCAAGGAGGATGGAAGGGTAGGAGAGGGCATGACGCAAGCCTACACAAGCCATGCTCCCTTGACGCCTCGCCTCTTTCTCATTTTCGTCACTTACCAGGCCAACGTGACCACATCACGTGACCGTAGCTAGCTTTCGTCTAGCTATGGGGTACTAGAATACACCACAGTCTAGCCTTCGATCTGATAAAAGCTACAGGACAGAGCGCGCGCAAGCTTGCAAGGAGTCCTTCTACAATCAACCATCCATCTCACACGTGACATGTCACGCGCACCAATTGCCAGAGAGATCTACGGTCACGTTGGCCACAACATTGTTTAAACTTTTTATGACTAGGCTTCACCAATATTGTAACGTGCCCCCTCCTAGTACTTTTAACCTTCGAGCTCTAAAGAGAGAACTTTTCTGGAACCCCGCGCCTACCCCATTAACGTCATTGCGCACGTGACCAGGAAGACGACGTACGAGTTGAGAGGCGGCAAAAACCTAAATCTTTTTCATTTTTTAAAATAAAAACTAAGGTATCCAGGCAAAATCTGCTTTCTGTAGTTCACTTCAGAAGTGTCAGGCATCAACTTCCACAATAATTTAAGCAAAGCCCTGAAATTGTTGCACAGCTCCTTTAATACAGAGGTGAACGGAGCTTGGGGAAGAGCTTGAGAACAACACTACTGTGAGACTTAGAGTGGCTGCCAACGTTTGGCTGTCCACTATAGATCTTTCTTTCCAGGTATATCCCTTCCGTACACACTTCTAGTTCTATGTAACGTTGAATTAATCATAATAAGTCATATTTAGTCTTCTGAATGTTTCTATACTCGGGGACATCTTTCTGAGGCAGTACAGCAACAACGAAAACATGTTTGGGTGCCTCAATGATGTGTACGTGTAAAATGGGTCGTGCAACTATTTTTGTGTTTTCAGTAAATACCACTAAGAACTAACTCCTGATGTTAATAACTTGCAAAAATATCCATTAGTTTTCCTTTCCACGCAATGGCAGTGGTCATCATAGTCATGCACTGGAAATTGGCGAAGCACAGGGCATGGGTTTGATTATGACCCCAACAGTCATAATTTTTTATTGTCTAAAACAATGCAAATTGTAGTCATAAACATGCCAAAAAATACAGCATCGCAAGAACCAAAAAAACATTTTTATGCGTGTGCACGCTTTTTTATTTTTGGCGTTTTTCTCTCCCGCTCCTCGCTTCTTTTGATTTGCGACGTCAAAAATCATGAAATTTAGAAACTTTGTAGGCGACATTTCTATAGCATTTAATGACAACAATCGTAAAACATGATTTTTAACACAATTGCAAATGCACTACAGCCCCTCTTTTTGAAATACCAAAAAATGAGAGTCCAGTGTGATGTCGCCTCCTAAATTTTTATCCTCCCTCTGAAAACATGCCGCCTGGGCAAGCGGCACCGGTTGCACGAAATAAAACCGGTATTTCCCGGTCCGCCGGCGCCCTTATCTCCTGCTCCTCACCTCCTCGCTTTGGGTGGCGATGGCAACAGCGGTTTGGAGCACAGAGTCGTGAAAGAAAGTCGACTCGCAGGGCACCGCAATATTTGACGTCAACGCACCAGCACAAATCGCGCGGGAATTTTGAATTTGGCATCTGGAAATTGTTTTTTTGCTTCGCAAATACTGAATTCCCAAGCTTGGAATTTTGACGGTAATGTCTTGGCATCGTTTTCAATCGTTTCGGATAATAAAAAAAATGATTTTGATGTGTCAGTGCCCCAACTCCGCTCAATTCCGAAAAATGTAGGCTTACATGTGATTCCATTTCACAAAGCACTACTAAACAGGCTACGTCTACTAATTCGCGAAATGTGTAATATTATTTGTGTGATCCTAATTTAAACATCAGCTGATACCGAAACCGAAACTTCGGTTGCGTCAGGCAACATTGGTCTCGTGTGGTCAGAGTCATGGCCACGTCACGTCGAACCACGTGGTCTTGTGACGTTTGGGAGGGGGCGAGGGACAGGACACACGACGCGGGCAGGTCGCTTCGCATGGCGTGGACGGTGATGGCGCGGGGGAGAGGGGGAAGGGGAGAAGACGAAAGAGGACAAGGGGAGCAGAGAAACAGACCGATAAGCGCGCAGGGCAGCGCAAACTAGCGCATCCGCATTACGGTGATCACGTGGACGCCGTTGAACCAACACCGCGAGGAGAAACTCATGACGTCAATGTTCAATTTTGCTCTGAGAAGTAAAAAACAAACAAAACGTGAGAATGACCTGGTCATGCCTCTGACGTAGTGGCTCAACGTTGGCCGCTCCAACTCCGTCGCATTGACTGCGCTGACGATTGCGCCTCATGTCGTACGCTAGAGTTGGCAGATTTCGGCGACTTGGCTCACTTGAAGGTTTGCTGGCCAGTTTATTAAATATATAGACGGAATTAGATCGTAATGTTTGACATGGGGTCTTCCTATATGATACTGAAAAGGGCTACATTGTTTTCTAAGTATCAAAAATGAAGCGGAGTTGCCCTTTAAGGCCTGCTCACACACCTGCATTTGATTCCGACTGACTGAGACAAGACCGGTTTTTAAGCCTCTTAGGAAAGCTTACGACCGGATGTGCAGCAATGCAGCCGAATGTAGGCCGTCACAAAAAGCTAAAAAAATGATCTTGTCCCTGTCGGTCGGTGTCAAGTACAAGTGTGCAAACATGCCTTCGGGCTATTTTCATCTCTGATTGAACATGAGCCATTAGCCGAATGTTTGGCGATGGTGTCCTGTGACTCGCAATGCAAAGTCATGATGTCAATGTGACATCACGATGTCGACAATGCCAATAAATCCAGTGATGTTCTCAATTTAAATCGACTTGAGGCAGTAAGCCACGTGACATCACGGGGCCACGTGACGTGGCATTATTTGACAGCATGTTTTGACATTACTACGTCACATGGCCACATTACACATGATTAATCATAGTGCCAGCACAAAAGTGAGATGAAAACCTTCAATTTCTCATACATTGCAATTCTGTATATGATGATATGATCAATACATAGAAATACAGAACTCTGCCAATTTTTTATTCTCAAATATTCATGTTGTGATATCAACAAAACAAAAAAAATATAGCATGAACCATACTTTTTTTTAATAACATAAAATAATATATACAACGGTTACCGTCATACATTTTTCCGGTTTAGTTCCGATTCAGTTCCAAGACGGTGGCAAAAATTTCGGTTCAATTCAGTTCCGGTTCGGCTAAAAATACCGATTCGGTTCTGGTTTTTGGTTCCGGTTCGACACTCTAACACAAAGTGTCCCAAGCGGACCATCCACCATAAAATTAACGGGAAGAATCGGCGCATGCACATAGAAAGCTCAAACTTTCGCCGAATGTGCAATGAGAGGGTAAGCTTCACCATACGAAATTCAAAGGTGCAATTCTCTTCCTGTAAAAAATGAAAGCAATAAAACTCGTCAAAGCTGAGGTCGAGCGCGTTCGCAAACATACAAGTAAAGAACATTTACTCATGGTGCCATCTATCGACGGGCGCAGCGAGCAAACAATGCACTGTGTTGCCTGCTCGCCGCGCCTGTCAGGAGATGGCCCCACGAGTAAACGGCGTTGCTAACTCGGTCCTCGGCGAACGTGCCAAACCTTGACTTTGACCGAGTTATTTACTCCCAGTTTTTAAGAGAGCGAAGCCTCGAAGTTTAACGCAGTAAAAGTGACCTGCTCAGTGGTCATTCGCTGAAAGTTTGAGCTTTCAACATGCAGGCCCGAATTTTTCCGGCTCCTTTTGCAGCGAAAGGTCCGCTTGGGACGCCCTATATTTGTAGCGTCGTTCTCTTACCGTGTGCTTGAAATAATTTTGACGTTATAAGCGATAATTTCTCATAGACGTGCATAGGCTTGAATGAGCGAAACCTTCAGCCTAGTCGTAGGTAGATCGGAAGTGGTCCAGGGTGTCCTCTCATCGTAAGCATTTGCGAGTATTATAACCCAATCGATCACGCTCGATCGGGAGTATGCGAACCAGCATTAAGGGCAACGCCATAGTCCCGACTATTCGAAATGAACCAAGTGCAAAGCACTCCAGCTGGCCCAACTGACAAAAGCGAGCAGAACTCCTCACCATGCGAGTGTTGAGGACGGGAAAAAGGATGGCAAGAATGGGACCATTCATCCAGTGAATGTGGATACGAAAGCAGGCGGTCAGTATCTTCGACGTAGGCGGCGCTGCCAGCATGAAGATCTGGAGGGAAAGTTGGAGACGGCTCTAGAGATCACAGCATTCATACACTCATTAAATTTCAATAAAAAGCATGCAGGCAAGTGATGACCTTTCAAAAAGGCCCCATAATGACCAAAAAGACATTTAACTGAATCAATAAATGAATGAAACATTTTCATTAAGTTTAAAGTGATATGCGACCTCATCGCTTTCAATGTGACATCAGTGAGAAATTGATACCGCGTGGCTGAAAGGTAGAAATTACTGATATCTCTTTTGATATAAAAATTAAGATACATAAATTTCCATCCAGACTAGCTATTCACACCCCAAACATTAATGGTCATCAGGACACTTTTACAAAATGTCTAAAATGTGCAGAGCATGCACTTATAGACACAAGATTGAACGAAGCAGCAAAGTTAAAAGTAGAGCCACCTGACTGCCCATGTACAAACTGATTGATGAAGGAATGAAAAAGAAAGTTTTCATGAGATTTAACAACATAGCATAGTGCAAGCAAGCTGGCTAAAATTCAATGGCAAGCTTTATTACCTTATATCTACTTAAAGATCACTCAAGTGTTTTTTGTAGAAGCATGTTTTGATGGTATATTGTTCGCTGGGTTTTAGTCAATAAAAATGACCAGTTCTAGGTGGCAAGACATCCATCCTTGTAAACTCGCAGCAATAAAAATACACGAGCACTATTTTCTCTTGAGGAGGGCCATCCTTGGGACCCCACCTCCTTCCTAAAATATGACCAGTGAAAATAGTCAATTGTGTTGAGATTACGATTGTTTCTATTATTGCTCTTTTTAGCCGGGTTGAGCATTATACCTTGACGAAAATGTCAAATCTCTGGGTGTTGCTAGGAGACGTAATACAGCAATTATTGTTTGAAAACGCCAATCTGACGCGCCCCCTGGTGTCTGCCCCAAGGCACAGAAAGAGGGGCATGTCACAATCTTTCAATGGACTTTTAATAGAAAAATACGCCGCCCATGAGTGCGATTTAGGGTTTTTCACGATGCTTAGAACCCGTAGATCGGGTTTTCGTTATAAATAGACAATCTCAGAATCCACTTGAGTGCCCTTTAAAGGGATGCTGAACCGAAATTTCGATTCCACAAAACACGCGGTAAAAGCGTGCAACGGGATGCTACAAACACCAAAACATTACTCATACAGCGATATCTCGAACGGATGACCAAATTTTTCAAGAAAAGGAGGTGCATTTGACAGTGATGATGTCGTCATGTTTCTCCAAGAAGGAGAGGGAACGGCCTCGCGTCTTCTTCGCCTCGCGGCCTTGAGAGAGCGAAGCGAAGAGAGGAGGAAACTCGGTATATTGACGTCACGCGCCTCGTCGGCCTGGTTCAATCTAAACCTCTTTTTCTTAAAATACGGCCATCCATTCGAGATATCGCCTTAAGAGTAGTGGTGTAGGGATTGTAGCGTCCCGCCTACATTTCCTGCATTGTTTTTTCTGAAATCCAATTTTCGGTTCACCATCCCTTTAAGCAGCCGCCAGCAGGTCTTTTTTTTATTATTCCTTTAAAACAAGTTCCAGAACCACAAAGCTTTGACGATTACGCCTTCCAGCACAGGACTACGAATAAAATTGGCGAATGCAGTTTGGGCTCATGTAGAAGGCCTCTGATGTGTCCAATAAAATCACTCTCGGTTCACAGCCCCAGACATACGAAAGTCAGAGAGACCAGAACAAAGGAATCACCTGAAGGAAGGTGATGATGTGGCATGGGTTGAGAATGTAGATCACGGTCTTGGAGGAAAACTTGAAGCCCATCTCCATGCCAAAGATCAAGCACATTAACACCAGCAGGGCCCGCTTGCCGCCACGATCCTGTCGCACCACCTTGGGCACGGGAGGGACCTTGCCAGGAGAAAGAAACCACCGAACAAGATTTTTAAGCAAGTCTTCTAGATCCGTGACGTCATCGTCATCGTGCAGTCCAAGACGAATGCTGAATAGCAATCTTTTAAAGGGGTGTTCTATAGGGACAGGCGCCCCAAACATATGTCCTACCGCTCTCGTCCTGTCCGGGACTACAGATTATGCTGTCGGGACAGTACCCAAAATGCTTTCCACACCAAAATTGCATACACTAATGTTGTTGTTTTTTTGTTGTTTTTTTTATATATCTTTTGCATTTTTGGTGTTTCAGCGGCCATATAAATGATGACTCGTGGATTCTTTCAATGACATCTCTATAATGTGCCGTTTTAGATGGCCAAGAACTTCACAAAAATTTTGTGTTCAATGCTGTCACCAGAGATGATCAAGGAAGAAAGAGTGAGGGAAACCCTGGACACCTACTAATCGTTTACGGTAATTAAAAAAAAGAAAAAAGAGATTTATTTATTGAGCAATACTGGCACTCCCTCAATGAGCTTCCGCCAGGTGGTACAGAATAGCAAAATAATATGAATCCACAAATAATGACGGCATGGGCAGAGACATAATCTGAACATTAAAGAAAAAAGAACAAATATTATACCACATAAACAGTTTAAACAAGACTAGAGTAAATGTATCTCGCCCCTCCTGCTCATCCATAACACAAGGAAGCCCGTTCCACTCCTCCACCGTTTGTGAAAAAAGTAAAATTGAACACAGTTATTAAAATACTTAACTTGGATTATGGAGAATCTATGCATTTTTCTTGTGAAATAGCCTAGGGATAATGATATGTAATTATTAAGGTTAATTCTACTGGGAACACACTTCCAGCCACGGAGGACATCAGGGATTGCAAAAAAAAAACATACTAATTAACTAAATAAATAACTAACATTTACTAACTAACTTTTTAATAAGTGATAATAAATATATGGTTCTGATTAGTTTAGAAACCCCTAAATCCGTAAATTTTAGGAAGACTTAAAGGGACACTGACGGGGTAATTATGCTCGCCAAGGTTTTTATTTGTACATGACATATGAGAGCCCAACTACCCACAACACAATCTGCGGCTTGAAATTTGTTTTCTTTCTCCCCGAAAACCGCCAATAGAGAACTGGCCGGTTTGAGTCGTGCTCACTCTCTCCTTTGTGGTCGCATGTAGTTTTCTATGGTTCAGACACAACCACTAAAGGTAATCAAAGTTGTGGGTCATCAAAGGCACACGCTCAATACTAGAAATGGACAAAAAATATTATACCCATTTTTTGTGGCCTCTAAAACATTGCAAATATGTTGATATAAAAAAAAAAAAAAAAAAAATGTTGCACAGCCACGTGACTTTTAGTATCTTTCTCCTCCTCTATATTTCTTCCTCCTGCCCAGTCCGGTTTTGTCTCCAATTTCGAGCAGTTGTGTTTTTTTACTTTATTAAAATATATGTGACACTGTAGCAAAATATAGCATGGGTAGTCCTCTTACACCATAACAGATCGCCATGCAAAAAATTTAAAAACATTTTGGGGGTGTGTGTTCGTGTCCCTTTAAAGACCCACGTACAACCTGGGCTTTCTGCAGGGAAGATAATCCTCTTAGTGATCCGCTCTCCTAAGCTGAAAGGAGAGCCAGGTTGGGGCAAGGTAAAAAGTGGAGAGGATATAGGAAGGGGGGAGGCGGCCAAAAGCGGAAAGCGTGAAGTGTACGTCGGCCTTGAAGGCACATGTAAAGTGTGGGAATGCGCTAAAGTTACCACAAGTGCAGCAGGTACCAGGCTGGCAATGGTGAAACGCACATTATAAGAAAATCTCCCGCACTTTTGTGTCGCCAGTAATGTGCCTGCAGCACGAGTGTAAAATATAGCGCACCCCCACGCTTTACGCATGGTTTAAATCTTTCTGATGGTGACCAGATACGAGATGAAGCATGCAATCCGAAAAAGGTCGCTCAGTCTCTGTATCTCTAGTGAAACATGACCACTCCTCCGGGACCGGCAAATGCCTTCCCATCATTCACATTCCCGGGAATCCACTTCCCGTAGTCCCAGATCTCGAAGCACATGAAGTATGTCTCGATTTTCAGCCCCTTCAGTGGAGGTCCGAAAAGGCAGTCGAATTCATGCGGGACATACAAGCTATCCTCATCATCGTTGCTATTCGAGACGCTGCTGATGGAGGAGCTGCTTGAGCAACTTGACAATTAACTGGCATCAAGCAGCAGCAGCAGCAGTAAAGCAGGAGGCACTTCGCAAGCGGCCATTACGAATTCTTACGAGGCAAGATGCCCAGCGAGAAAGGAGGTCACATACGGTCACATAGATCACATATGCATGCTGAGGGTTGGCCAGGCTGGCTTCTGGTCAAATCCGCCATAATCAGCAGAGCAACTTTTCTCCGATCCGATCCAAAACAACGACTTTAACATATCCGTCTCAATCCAGATCGCCCAGTGAAATAGGCATGCTCCAGAAAAGTCTATCCCGGCGTGCCCCGAAACGACCAGTGGAATTCGCCATGAAATTGACTAATTTTGGGGTTTCCGATGATGCTCAGCAGGTTTCTAATTGAAACCGTGTTTATGTTTACTAATTAAAATGTTAATTAGTAAATTTTAGTCAATTAGTATTTAGCAAACTAGTATGTTTCCTACAATCTCCGATGTCTGCCATGGCAGAAAGTTTGTTCCAAAAAAAGGTTTCTTTTTCATGATCTTCCTATCAGTAGAAATTTTTTAAACTCTTCACTGAAACACTTGGAGTAGCGGCCATGGAAATTTTATGAAAGAACTTCAGTCTGCGGACACAATTTATTTCAGTCAGTGATGAAATGCCAGCTCTCCGAGGCAGATCAGTGACTGACGTCCTCCCTCATGTATTAAATATTAACGTAACAGCTTTATTTCGAACCCTGCCTACCTTCGCAGAGTTTGATATCGTATAAGGGTCCGACATTTATCCAGCATTAGACGAATAATAGTTTCACGAGCATAACGCAGTGCCCGATGTAGAATATTTTAAAGTTCTTTTACAGCGCAGCTGTTAAGGACTTATTTCCCCAGGATCATGTCTGTCCTCAAATGACCTGATGACACAAAACTCTGGACAGCTACCGCCATCTATGAGCGACGGCGGCAACCAGACAACCGGCTTGCCAGGTCTCTGGTTGCTGCCGTTGCTCATAGACGGTGGAAACCTTTCGAGCCTTTCCACTCTGGCTTGTCAACTTGCGGCCGGCCATTACTTCATTCCCACCATAGTACAGCTTCGCTGGTCTTCCCTCTTCACCAAAGTGGAAAGGCTGAAAGTATTTAGATCAAACAATTTGCAAAGAGCATTGGATGTAACATACCAAGTCAATATGCTTATTCCAGCTTTAAAGGCTGATTATTCATAGTCCTACGTAGGTATTTGTACTCCGAAACCTTTGATAGGCTCCAATTTTCGAAGCCATACTTAACACATTTCCAATTTCTTCTGGCTGCATTACATTTAATATAATTCTGCTTTGACTGTATTTAGTTTTCTTTCTAAGTGAAGAGGCTTTCTTGACATCCCTCTCATAATTTATACACAGCAGCCACGAGCTACACCACTTCACAATCAAAGTCAGATCTGAATTGAACTGGTATCGATCAGTGGGATCATTCACTTCATAATAAAGAATGTGTTCATCAGCCTATAATCACAGTTTTACCGATATTGCATTCACAATATTATTATTATTAAATTAAAAAAGCGAAAGAGGTTTAAGAACTGATCTCAGGGGAACCCCAGAATCAACAAGTAGTTTGTCAGAAGTACTTTTAGAATCTACACACACTTTTGCCTGTTACAAAGGCATGCTACAACAGAATTGACAAACTGACAACTTTCTAAAATATTGCATATTTTAGTTGTTAATCTTCCATCCGGGGCCTCGCTAAAGACCTTAATGAAATGCAAACACAATTTCATCAATTAGACCGCCTCTGTTAATAGAAGATGCAAACTCATGAGCAGGGGCAGATGCAGGAATTTCCAGAGGGGGGGGTCAGGTGTTGGTCAGCGTACCATATGTTTAGGACCCCCCCCCCCCCCCCCCCCGCCCCTCTTTGCCGTTTCCACGCCCTAAATTTTTATGCATGCTGAAATCAAGAGGGGGGTCAGGACATCCGGACCCCCCCTCTAAATCTGCCCCTGCTCATGAGTTATATCCACTAACTGTGTGCTTGCGAAAATAACCCAGCCTAATACTGTTGGCCATTTGTTAAAACTGCATTTTTATCAAGGAACTCAAAACTATCTGTATTAACATCACGTTCAAGGAGCCTGCACAATGTACAAACAAGCAAAATTGGCCTATAGTTGCCAACAAAATGCCTGCTTCTAGCTTCACCTAGACCTGGCAATTTTCCAGTCTACAGAAAGCAAGCCTGCAGATAAAGATATTTCAAATAAAACATATAGTATAAACACCCGTTTTGTGTAGCACCCTAAAGACGCATTTGGCAAACGATCAAGCACTTCTTTTCATTTAGGGCAACACGTTAAAAATACCACTTTAACTTAGAACTACCTAGTCTCAAATGCTTGGTTTTTGTATTGCACAGCTTGGCACTCGTCTACCATCGCTCATAGAGACAGAGTTAAAGTGGTCACCAAATGCTTTCGCAATTATTGCATAATCAATGACAAAGAGGAGAGAGTCGTGCCGGTGTGTGGTCGTGTATCAAACAGTGTAATGCACATTTAAGACCCCAGGTTAGCAGTGACATAGCACAGGCAAAAGTTCTCATCCACAGTGGAGACATTGAATGCCCATTAACGCTAACTTCCCACTGTCTTAACACACACACAACACAATTTAGCTGATCGCTAATAAATGCATAAGAAATAGATGATAAATGAGATACGTGTCTCCAAAGCTTTACCGGGAAAGCTCTAATGAAATGGCCAAGGTCAGCTTTCTACTTGTCCGAGTATATTTGCTATTTCAGTTTTGCATCCAATACCGAAATTATGGCTTTTTATCTGAAGGGAACCATCCATTTAAAAAAGCTTCACATGATAAATTAATTCAACACTTTAAATGTATAAAATGATGTGATATCCAAACATTGAAAGGTTCAACTTTCTAGTTTTACTGGTAACAAAACTTAATATGCTGTTCTGAACACTGCTCCTGAAACACAAGCACAGTGAATTAATATCACAACAAATAGTTATTAGGCAAAAGCAGCAAATACTCTTTCTGGTTAGGAAGTTGGGCCTTCGTAGATTATCTTCGGATAAAAATCTTTGCAAGCATAAATAACCTTGCCGATTCCCACTCTTCCATGTCCCTTTTTTGCTGTTTTCTTTGTTGTGTTTCTTTTACCTTTTCTTTCTTCGAACCCTAAGGAAGCTTTGAAAGGTGCATTTGTTTTGATAAGCACTCCTCAATGGTGTCTAGAATGGAAAGAAAGCTCCTGGAGAGGGATTTTGCTAAGAAACCACTTCTTCAGGTTTCTTTGCGGAATGTCATCTGCTATTTTGAGGCTCTCCATGGCTGTGTTCCAAGATTTACTCAATCTCACTCTAGGGTACAAGTTCTGTACTTTGGCGTTCGAAAACCTACCCGCGTCCAGCACATGACAGTGGTATCATGTGACATGACCTGCCAGAATAACTCGGATTTATTCGAGCAAGTTTTGGAACACATCAATGTGTCTTTTATATGTTAGTTCCAAGAGCTTGTACTACTTTTGTGCTTTGTCTTAAGTAATCTGCATAAGATGAGGGCTCTTAAAAAGGCCTTAGTGCAGAGCTGAGAAGCAAACGACACATACTGCTTATCTTGGTAGTGTCAAATAAATTTATAATACCTACATAATCAAAATATCACCTTCAATTTTTTTTTTTTTTTTTTTGCTGCAAATGAAAATGATTAGTTTTTGATGTTATACATACAAAAAAGAATGAATAGCTTTAACATTGTGATTTTACAACAACAATTGTTTCGTCAAATGACGTTTGATCAGCAAGTCGGAACAACCGGTACAGCTAAAAACTTTGTTTGCATATGGACTTGTGGATCAGTTAATACTTCAAAAATATTAAAACTATAGGAGAACTGAATATGAGTGAATAGAAAACGTTTCATGCAAAGAGTATAAAACTATTTCACATCTGCTAATTAAAGACTGAGAAGCTGTGATGGAGTGGAAATGGACTGCAAGTTATTTTCTCAGAACTGCTCTAACGATTGTTCACTAAAGGTCCTATTCAACGTTTCAAGGCTGTTAGAGTATAGGAGTCTAGATCTGCTCAATCTAACAAAACCACAACTTTAACCCCCCCCCCCCCCCCCCCCACCTTCAAAAAGAAAAAAAGAAACAGGAAACAGTGGCAGGCACAGCATCTGGATATCAAGCAAGCATACTCAAATTAAAAATGAATTACCAAAAAAAAAGAGGAAAAGTAATTGCACGACTGAATGCAGAGGGTAAGTCGTCTGCTTCTTACACGGGAGTTGCGGTGACATCGGAAAGACGCCGAGTTCTGACTGCCTCTGATTGAAGCATAGTGGGTAGACCTCAAAGCAAGCTGCCTTGAGGTATATCCACTATTCTTCATTCAGAACCAATCAGAGCTCAGCGTTCTGACGTCACCACCAGAGGCATGCGGTTTAGAAAATCTTGTTTTAGCGAATGCCATATTACTGACCTCAGTTTACCGAATCCCTTTATAAAGAAACCCGGTCCAAAGAAAATGGCAATGAACCTCCTTTTAGCGAATTCAGACTGCCGCGAAGCAACGTGTATGGATAAGTCAGGTGAGTTAACGTTTTTGTAATGAGCAGCCGCAAATTGCTGCCACAAAGCGGTGGGAATGCAGCAGGAGGCCTGGGTTAACACGCGCACCAGTGATACACACGCGAAGTAGGAAAGCCTTTTTTAAATATTGTCCTCTTTTCGATAAACGGCGTTCCTCTAAACTGAGGCTCTGCTTTCTCTAAAACGTGCTTCGATTAAATGACATTCGATTGACCGTAGTAAACCCCATCACTACAACCCCTGCAAAAAGAAGCAGATAAACTATAATCGGCGACAACTTTTCTTGGCAATGCAGAGGAAGTTGACGATAGCCCACGCACAGCCTTATTCAGCGCTCAAAATTGGATAGAAAACACGTGCCTGTACCCTCCACTGCATTGCCAAGAAAAGTTGTCGCCGAGTATAGCACTCCACATTCAACACAAGAGACCGTTTTTACGCTGGAGTGTGGGATTAGAGGAAATACACAGACACAAAATTTTGTGTTTGCGTTGATTATATTATTCACTGGTGTTTGTTTGCAAACAAGCACGCTACCGCCCATCATCAGCGGACCCCTGCGTGCTTCCGGTCCTTTCTACAGTGAACGCAGATTTTTACACACGTATTACAGATAATTCTCAGAAAATATATATTCTTACCCGATCGCTCAATGCTGGGTGTTGCCGAAGGACAAATAAATGCACTACCGGAAGCCTACCGGGAGTCTGCGACTTAAAGTAGTGCAAAGCCCTCTTTTCCTCGAGAATCCCCCACTCTTTCCTCTTCTCTGCAAGTCTCTCCCTCTCTCATTTCGATGCTAGCGCATCCTAGGTTGCCTTTCCGTCGAGCGCTGCGACAGTTGACTACTGGCAAACCCTTGCTAGATTCTTTTTTTTTGCGAAATTTCGACTTGCAGTTGCCATGTTTTCGCTAGGATACGAGTTGCCAGCGTCCTTGACGCCTTTGCTTCTGGGTGTGTATGTGTTTCCATTGCTTCGCATCTAGAGCAGGCATGCGAGTTTTCTCAAGGCTTCGGCTGTGTGTCTGCTCGTATCATTCGGTTCAAGATTAGATGCAATCTTCCGCTTTATAAATACATATTCATATAATAAAATTTAACTGCGAGGCAGATCAACCTAATCTTATTGTAGCCCTTACGCTTGTTATTAAAACAGTCGACAGAAAAAGTATCATCACTTCTTGTACCTCTTTGCTTTGCCTTTACACGCTGAAGTGACGACGAGATGAAAAAACGTGAATGAGCATTTTGTAAACAAGCGCAAGTCATTTAGCAATGCCACTTCATAGCCAGCAGTTCGATAACGTTGTTAAAAGCAAAACACGCGACATATACTCTATCAATAAAAAAAAGCTTCGACGGGCGGCCATTAACGTAGCATTTATATGTATGCATGTCGTCGGAGAATGCGGGGCTGCGACACGGGAGCGCACAAATGGCGGATGATAACGGCGAACCGAAACTGGATAGACGCTTGGCCAATCAGTGGTAGTGGCAAGGAGACCTTTGAAAAGGAGGAGGAGGATGTTTCTAGAGGGTCAGAAAGTGTTGGAGGATCATTCAATGGCATTACCTTCAGTACAGAGGGGCTTGGGCACCAAATTCTGTGGCATCGGCTCCCGCCAAATGTGGTGAATAGATTAACCCTCCAAAGTACATCTGTATTGAAGCAAATGGGGGCCCAGAGATCCCCGGGTTCCACTAAGGAATTTTTGGGGTTCACAAAACCCTCACCCATCAGCCAAGTCAGGCAGGAAATCTTTCTTTTGATGATGCGCAGAAAAAACTGCACTATTTTGTTTAATGTTTCCACCATATATATTAGAACAATGAAATAATTCCATTTCACAGTAGAGTCAGTCACTGGCAGGGTGAGAACGACACAGAGGAGTTTCAATGGTCCCACCTTCGGCGCAAGCTTCCTATTTTCAATAACGCTCTGGTGCCTCTCAGGTTGTGGACATGCATGTGCAGCAAAGCACGGTGGATGGAGGGCGACGAGTGCATGCTGGAGGCCCGCCATCAAAAAGAGATGCCCAGCCTTTCCCATCCTGCCAGCATTCACTGATCCAGTAGTCCATGTAATTGCCTAGCACCCCTCCCCTTCTTCTGAAGTCACTTCTGCTGGTCAACGAAGGGTCCCCAGAAACATTGGTGGTCGACAACCACCGGTATATAATGAAGCGGCTCACCCCCGAGCCGGCTTTTACTCCACAGAGATAGCCTTCACAGGGTACAAAAGTCATTCTGCCGTAGCCACGGCGGCACTGCTTGCAAAGGTGCACAGTGTATGGGAGTGCCCTCACCTGAATCCTTCCGTAACTCCAGTAGGCGAGGTAGCACGCCAGGCACGCAGCGAGGCACGTCTCGATCAACCGACGCAGGGGTGACAGAAAGGCCGCGCATTCGGGGCCTCCGTTGCCAGCCAGTGTGTGGTTGACGCCGGCGTACGCCCACTCTGCCACGTTCAGCAGAGAGCCCTCCATGCTGACCTCTGCGAGGCACCCCACAATAAGGGCATCGTTACTTCATTCCTCAAAGCTGCTGTCATCGAGCAGCGATGACACTGCAGGCCTGTTCACACATACACCATGGCGCTATCTCAGTGCTATAAGAGAGGAGATTGAACCGTCGCGCCCCTAGCAGCTAACTTTAGAACTACACCATTGAGCAAAGTTTGGCTGGGGCTCTTTTGTACCCACTCTGGCCTGCGTGAACAATGTAGTGTACATGTGCCCTGCATTCGCTCAGCACAAAGGCCAAAGTGGGTGAAGCTTAACCTCCGAGGATTGTTTTCGGGAGAGATCCGGTTTGTCACATCCTACCACTGTCACTCCGTTTATTGTCACCACTTTTTACATTGCAGTGTGCCCCCAGCTTTATTCAAGAAGGCAACTTAACGGATAAAAGTTCACAGGCCCTGCATTGTGTAAACAAAGAGCTCTGAGGAAAACAAAACTGGCCAGAATGCCCCCTAAAGTTCAATCTCCTCACCAATAGATGTAACGCTGACTTCATGCTGTATCAGCGTTCCAATGCATCTGATGCTGCCTTTTCTTGCGTACACGCAGGATGCAGCACTAACTCAGTGCTGAGCTGACAGTAGCACTGCTGCAGTGCTGACTATTTGTTGTCAGCACTGAGATGCATGTGTGAACCGGACTTATTAGTGACAAGATATTTCAGTGGCACCCTATTTTGGTTCATACTTGTGACGTCAAGACTGGGATTATCAGATACGATTGACAAGATTGATGATGCATGTAACAAGCATGCTGGAAGCAAGGAGGCATCATATTCTTAAACCGACACCATCATGGTTGACAGCCCGACATTAAGCCTGGTTCGGACAGCTGCGCTGGTTCTGTCCCGAATGGCCGGAACGCCAAATTCACCAGGACAACTGTGCGCCACACAATGTGGCAAATGATGCAAAAATATCTTAGTGAAGCAATCGTGAATTACGGTTGTTCTAGTGTCCTGGTCATTGCTGTTGTTTTGGCTGAGGTTAATGAATCCTGAGAAAGTAGGGCAAAGGTCCCCGTACATTTGCCATTTTGGTCCATGGAATGAGCAGTTTCTGGCTGACCGATCTAAATTCGTGGTGACAAACTGCTTCATAAAAAATTTCTTGTATACAAAGAATCTGTTATTTACACACCGGCAAAACGAGTGCACCCCCAATGCATGCAGCGTCGGTGCTTGGTGGCATGGAAAAATAATTTTCTTGTCATGAAATATGCACAAAGAACAATATCACTGTACGAGATCTGCGAATATATGCCAGACTGATAAGTTGATTGCACATACAGTGCCGAAGACTCTTATATTGGCGAGGAACGCTTTCGTTACGACGACACACCCTCACAACATTGGCGCAGCTGGTTCAGAACGACCCTTTCGAAGCTTCCAAGGTTTGAAAGGACCAAAACGGCAATTGCCACGGCAACAGATACTGTTCAGCCAATCGCCTTGTTGCAAGGTTTCGCTCGTCTGTGTGTTAGCATCTGTTTGTGTCCTGCTAGCAAGTGGGGAAGGCGATGGCGCTACTTTCCCAGATTCCAGTGATTTTAGTTTTGTTTGCTGTGGACACAACCACTGCAAATCTGTGAACATGCCTCTACTCTTGTATCTTTTGTTGTCGTTTATGAAAGTGGAATGAACACTACTAAAAACACCACAGTGAGAGTTCGGCCAATCGCGAAGAGCCGACCACAGCGACGCTTTTCGTTGCGCACGTCGCCAATAATAAAAGCTTTGCCTCCAGCATAAACTTCCTACGTCCTCGATAACACTTTGTGATCTAATGAGCAAGTGCAGCCAAGGAGCAAAAAGGAAAGCAATGAGCACACGCTGGAGGCAGAATGTCTCTTGCAGATCTTATATGTAGCAACAGACTATAAAGTAAAAAATAAAATATTACACTGTCATTTTGAAAAGAAGCCAGCGTTGGAGACTTACGTTCAACACACTATTGGCACACCCTTCTACCATGTTTGAAGGAGACTACAGCGGTCATTAACCGTTTAGTGACATGTTAAGACATTCGTTTACATGCCTCAGATGCAGGGATGGGCAAAATACATTCAAATATGTATCGAAATACAAATACAAAATACTTCGTCAAAAATGTATTTAATTACAAATCTAATTACATTTCCAAAAAAGCATTTAAGTACAAGATACAAATACAACCCAATGTATATGGTCTCCTCCAAATACTTTTCCAAATACATTCCTCAAAATTTGCGTCAGCGACTTCAGGGCACCTGCTACGGGTTTCTGGGTATCTCATTTTAGTTTTGAATCGCACACTCGGGAGTTAGTGAGCGAGGCTCTAGTAACGTAATAGAAATATAATCACAAAAAAGTGTAATCAGCTTGGACGCAATAGGTGAAAAAAGTACAGAGCTTCAAGCAGCTTTTTTTGTCGATTACATTTTGATATAGGCCCACAAAGAACCGAGACGACCAAGACGCGCAGCACTAGCTAGAGAATTTTTTATTGTTGCAACTCGCACCAGTTACGAAAATCTGGATGACCCGTGCATTTAGAATGTCCAAGGCAAAAGTATGGATGGAAATCCGGCTGGAAAGGATCACAAGTTGTCACAGGCACTTAATAAGCCAGTCTGCCTGTGAACATTGATTTCGTCACTATTCTTGCCCTGGACTAGCACCGTAATCACAAAGTCACTAAAGGCTTGAGCTTGATTGAGAGACACTGCATTCGGTTCAGAACATAGTTTTCTTCCTGCTCTGGACAGTGACAATAAATTTGAGGGATGTATTTTCGCCCACAAAATTGTATTTAATTACAATTGTATTTAAAATACCCATGTTTTAGAATTTAAATACACACGTCAAATACATTACCCAATTTGTAATTAAATACAAATGCAAAATACACAAAGTATTTGAAATACGTATTTCAAATACTTGTATTTGAAATACTGCCCATCCCTGCTCAGAGGTTTCTGACGGCGCAATCTTGACAATGAGCACTGTTCTAAAGTGTGATCCCTAGCATTTTAGGACCTGTGTTAGAAGACATGCAATGCTGTTTTGCCCCAATACAAGCCATTTCACCGAGCCAGGCACAAACTCCTCTTGCACTTTCCGTTCATTGAGCCAGCCAAACGGTGACCCTACGTCGCGATACAGTATCGATAATATTCTCTTTAAGTGCAGATTCTTTAGAATAGACCATCCGTCAGGATGCATAGACTGAAATGACAAAACTTGGGGATCTCTCAAGCAAGGAGGTCTCATTGGGCTAAAATTTCTTGCTGGTGTTCTAGGGTGCTCTCTCCGATTATCATAAATAATCCGTCTAAAAATATATTGCAGGCAAATGCCCACATAACAAATTGGCAGCCTGCCCTAGGATTGCCTCTACACTAACTCAATTAATAAATTATAAACAGCAATATGATTCCCTAAAATACGAGCCAACATAACAGTATGACGGAACAAGTCAACACAAACTGCTGAAAAAACAAAAAGCCTAAAACAGAACAGCTAAAAGAGTATGAGGCAATGACCGAAGCAATAGCAATAACCACCTTGTGACACTAATCTCTGCTGACTGGTTGGTGGCATATGACGAAGCTCTGCCAATACTGCAGTTTCCAAGATTACCCCTAAGTAAAACTCACCAACTGTGTACTTTGTATTTTTACATGTAATCTGAAACAAACCTAAATGCTTATATCTTTCTCCTATTGGGGAGTGCTCCGACACCTGAACAACACCCCTGGCTACGCTCCTTACTTGTTGGATGATCACTGTCACCGCTTTTTGAGACACACTAGCTATTAGTATTCATTCAATAGAGATTGCCTGTATGGACCTAATTTTTGTGGTCAATAGTTCAGGAATTCGAAAAGTGGATTATGAAAATATTTCGTAAGCACAAAATTTCACAATTTGGAGTGATATGCCAGGTATTCGTTAGCGCGAAGTGATATTTTCGCGAAACCAATTTTTTGAACTATTTACGAACTTATTAAATTTGTGAAAATTAGGCTCTCACAAAAATTAAGTTGTTTACAGTAAGAAGTAATAGTTGCTGGGACTACACAGCTCTCTGCATCAAAATGTGTGTGCATACATTACAGTATAGGCAAGTCCTCAAAGCACTATGATACATCAGTACTGTTCTTTTTATACAGATAGTAATATCATTATAGTCTGTGAAAAAAAAAATTGGATTGTGTGTGTGTTTATACAGCCTAGAACTTGGTCTGCCTCACAGGGGCGACGAGTCTCCCAGCTGTAGATGAGAAATTTAGCCAGTGCGGTACAACCGCTAGCCTGGGGTCTTTAACGTGCATCACGCAGTAGTGATACACGACTGCACGCCGGTACGATGCTCATCCAGATCGAAACGGGCAGGGGTGGGGCTCGAACCCAGGATCCCTCCACAAGCAGTGTAGGCTAATAAATATGCAGAGATGCCCCCTTTCTTGTCCAATTCCAGCTTTAAACTCATTCAGCACAGTGTTTGTAAACTTCTTCTCATGCAGTTTCTTTCTCCTTTCCTTTATTAAATACCTTGAATCTGACTATAGAGATGTGAAATGTGTATTTTATTATTTCTGCTATTATTTGTTATTAATTTCCTCCCCGTAATGGCTCACAAATGCCAATACACCAAAAATTAAAAATAATTGTAAAATAACTTTTATTATGAATTATAAATATACATCAACATATAATTAGCCCTTCATTCAAAATAAAGTTGGAGAAAAGACACAGAAGAAAACCTGCCATGCAGACTCACCTTAGGCAAAAACAAACTTAAAAAGGACAGAAAGGCTGTCCTGTTTCTAACCCAGTATGACAAATTATTGGGGAAACAGTTTCGCAACACAGACTGGCACAGCAGGCCAATAAAACAACTCGGAAACACCTGGCATGTTTTCGCTGATGCGCAACCTATCTATTTATTTTTTTAAAGATTTATATTAATCTTAGTTCCAGTTGTAAAAAATGTGCGACGAAAAAGGTGCCTTTATGGTAACACACTCCCAAGTGCCGCACGACACAATCGTCATCGGCGCAGGCAGTCCGAGTCGCACCTGGATGCGAGAGGACACATAGCCGTCTAACATCTGGCTTCGTTTGCTCCATACACAGAGCGAGAAATGATTGCCTCGATTTTTTTGAGGCTAGCCTCAACCTCACAAAATTGTGATTTGTTTGAAACTATTTGAGCCCTGAAGGGCTACCGAACACAAGCCTTTCTGAACAAGCAATATAACTTGCACAACACAGTGATGTCTCGTGTATGTGAACACTTCCGTTGCCCCCCAAAAATGTCCGTAATGTGTGTCCATAATAACTGGAAAAGAATGCACGCACTTACATGATTCATACCCAAACATTTTGTGGATACAGCAGGATATCTGTATTCATGAAGTTCATTTAATCAGACAGGACTGTAATGGGGTCCAAATTAACATGTTATGACTGCACATATCTAGAAATAGAAACAATTACGAAAAAATTACTGGAAAAATATTGTTTCAAAAACTTATGTAGAAACTGCAGGAATATACTGTCATGAGTCACGTGTTTACCCTGTCCTTAAAGAATGTATTTTCCGCATTTGACCTTAAAGAAGCAATTCTTTTCTTCCCTTTGACAGTGTAAGGAGGAAGGAGGAAAAGTTTTAAGTCTTTTGGTAAACAAGCTTCGAAAGCGGCCTGATAGACCAGGTTGCTAAACACCGGTTGCTCAACTCCCCACGGGAGTTATTGGCTCATTTCCAACTCACTTGTCGGCATCATGTCCTCATATGACCTGGCACGCTTGACCTCCTAGGTGGCGATTCCAAGCCTAGAATACACAAGACGAAGGAAAGGATGAAAGGCAGTAATCTGTAGGGAACAATTTTACAGCCAGGCTGTTTGCAAGGGTGGAAGATTGATAAGAGGATTTAATGGACATAAGGAAAATTTTGGCATTGCACAGCAGCACATTTTGAAAATATATATGATTGCATGGGTATTGTGCAGTTCAAAATTAGAATCAACACTAGTAGTCAACAACATTAGTTGTTGACAGCACAAATCCTGGAGCGCTACCTCCACCTTAAAACATGCCAATCACAACAAGCAACTAAGGATGCCTCCTGGCACATGGATGATGTATGTATCTATGTGAACTGTAAAAAGCTTATAACTTTTCTTTTTCTTCCAGCAAATGATGGTGGCAGGTTTGTATGCAAGCTGGTAGCTCCAAAAGGTGTTGCTACACGCATGCATGCTCGTGCAGTGGAAGCATCTTTATTCTTTTTAATTTTGAGCAACAATTTCTCATTAGCTCCGGGCATTGCTCCTGCTTGTCCAGCTGAGCAACATTACAAAGCAAGGTGCTTGCACAAAGCATAGGAAGCTACGACCTTGCACTGTCTTCAGAGTGTTGGCAAAAACGGTGTATGCCACTGAATGGGCCAGGCTCATCAATAACATTAGAAGTGTTAAAGCAGGGTATAGTAAAAAAAAGTTATAAAACAGTAACTTGTTCGGCACATTCTGACGGCGAGCTTCCTCTGTGCTTTTGCGATGTTCATTTCACACCATTATGACTGCGATCTTGGGAAGCTTATAAGTGTGAGCTCGTTTTGAGCATGCCTAGTGAACAGTGCACTCAAATATGGCACCCAGTGAATAACAGTAACTTGTTCGGCACATTCTGACGGCGAGCTTCCTCTGTGCTTTTGCGATGTTCATTTCACACCATTATGACTGCGATCTTGGGAAGCTTATAAGTGTGAGCTCGTTTTGAGCATGCCTAGTGAACAGTGCACTCAAATACGGCACCCAGTGAATACCCCAATCTTGGGCAGTAACTAATTACTAGCAACGTGTTACCGGTAGCTACGATAGTTACTTTTTTCCGTAACTTGTCACTAACTCGTTACTGCTTAGTGAAAATAACTTGTAACTGTAGCAGGGTTATTATTTTTCAAAAGTAACTATAAAGTGTAACGTCGTTACAGTTATTTCTCAGATTTATGTGCAAAACTATTACAAACACTATCACCGAATCGCCTCGCAACTCGCAAGAGTCATAAGTCCTGATACAGGAAGGGCACAGCAAAAACTGCTGCAGAAACTGTCTGGAGCACGAGAAAAAAATAAAATAAAAATAAAAAGAAACTAAATTTTGGGTGACCATGCTTAACCAAGCTGGCCCCGCCAACTGGGAGGATGAAGACATTTCTGTCCGTACCACCTGTGTATGGGACATCTCCCACAGCGCAAGCAGATGTAACAAAGCGCGGCATCTCTAAAACATTTCTCTTTTCTTCGTCAGGTGAAGGGAGCAAGTGCTTTTCACAGAGGACAGTTTTTTGTGATTGTCCAGTGAAACGCCTGCAGGCTTACAGCCACAGCCGATTTTTCAAACATTGTTTTTTTGCCGCCATGCATACAGTACCTTCCCATCTAATTTGCCGTCCAACAGATAAAACTTCTGAGGGGTCTCGACGACACGTCTGTGTTGTTCTGCTTGTTTGAGTGTTCTCTTGAAACTGAAACACCGCCCTTAGCTGGGACCAGGGGCACTTAGCATCAGTTGATTTATCGATATTCACGTCTTGGACTTTCCGGGTGGTCTCTTCTAGTTGGGGTGGTGAGATGGAAGAGTGCAAACGTGTCTGATCTGGTTAGGAAGTGACGGAGAAAAGATTGCAACAGCTATTTGGAATTCTATGCACAGTGGTCATACAAACAGTGCGCCTCAAACTTAAAGCTGCCACGGCATTTGCCATTTCTGACAGTCCCTGCGGCGGCCAATTGAGCTATCTGAAGAAGGTTTGGGTCCTTGATTTCTATCCCATCCTGAGAAGGCATTCCAAACGTTTTGGTGGCTAATTTAACAGTAAGTAGCCGACACAAGCTCAATACTTGGGAACCCAGTGGCGGTGTTAAGTTTGGGGTGCACTGGACCTCAATGAGTGCTTCTTCTGCACCGATACCGTGTTCAGCAAGTTTGACAGAGGAATGTTGCCGCAACATTGCTCCCCAAGCTTTCAAGAGAAGCTTTGTGTTTCATGAAAGATTGTGCACACGTAGTAGAAAATGATTCGACCAATGACTGGAATGGAGTGGCATAATTAAGAGAACATCTACAAAGCTGATTACAAGGTATGACTAGGATTCCGTGCTTTCAAAGTTCATTTTTCATTAAATTTGGAGGGTTTTTTTGGAGTTTATTTTTTTCCGAAAATTGTGAGTTTACAGGAGTATTTATGTTTGATTCCAAAATTTTCTGGAAATTCTGAGTTTAATTTCGCAGTGTTTCCTATGAAAAATAAATAATATCCAGGTGTAAACAAATGCTAGATAAAGAAAAATAAAATGTGCTCATATCAATTAATATTTCTTCAGCTGGATTTGGTGTTGGTGCCATTTCCATTGGCAACACTAATATGTCCCATGGCAAAAAGTTGCACACGTCTGTGGCACCGATAAACATTGATACCTCCAAAATAAACTTCCGAAGGAAGTCACTGGGACGCATATATTCATCCCAACCTATTCCATGTATGGTCCATAGCTTTAACTGTCACAAAAACACAACCTTTCCTTCCTCTTAAAAAGCATTTATAGGGAGTATTCACTGGACGCTATATTTGTGGGTGCTGTTTAGGGCGCATGCTCAGAACGAGCTCACATTATTTGGATGCTAAGACCGGCAATCTTGATGGTGTGGAATGCACGTTGCAAAAGAACTGCGGAAGCTCGGCATCAGCAAGTGCTCAGCAGTCGCTTACACAGCTATGGTCGCCAGTGAATACTCCCTATAGTGTGGCCCAAACTGGAAATTAATACAGAGGTTTTTGTCGTGACCCGAAAATACAATGACATGTCGTTTTGAACCTTGACGAGATAAGCGGTAGACCCCTTTTGTCAATGATCCAGTTTTGAAAGATAAGAAAGATAACTGTGGTGGCATTTTCCCAGGACCATTGACCCTGTGCACTGATCAAACTTAATTGTAAAATATTGTCTTTATTTAGTTTATTTGGGGGGCATTGGCACAGCAAAATTCTGAGTTTATCGGATAAATCCGAATTGACCAAAATCTTACCGGCGGGTATTTTTCTGAGTTTTTTGGATTTACCCGAAAACATGGAACCTTAGATATGACTTATATGGTTATTGACTTCACATTTTCACTATGTTTATTGTTTCCGTCCCATTTGGCCTCACCAAAGAAATTCGAAATTCGAATTGACCGATAGTAAACTTCCACCATTATTGGATACACCCGAAATCTAGACATGTGCTGTTGTATTCATGCACACCTTATGGTGGTCGCACTTATTTTAAAGTTATTCATAGATCATCAGCAGGTATGTGCTAGCTTAAAAATTTTTAAAAAACAGTCGCCTGTAGTTTTAATTGAAAAATAAAAACTATAAATGCTTTATTCTCTAGTGAATTTACCTCAATACTGTCTTAAAATATGATCTTGTTCGAAGAGCTATGGTAAAAATTGAAATAGGAAGAACCAAACCTTTGTTGATATTAATTATTGGGAAAATCTTAGTTTCTCAACAAATCAGATTCACTACCGTGAACAACGCTATGTCTTGTGAAAAATATAAGGCATATTAAGGAAGGTTCCATTTGAGTGTTTTCTAATATTTTTTAGTATTTTTTAGTAAAGTAACAACTAAGTAATGGCATTACTTTAGCAAAGTAACTAACTGTAACAAGTTACTCTTTCAATTTTGTAACAGTAACTGGGTTACCATTTTCCCCTAAATGTAACCGTAACACTGTTACGTTTTAACAGTAACGTGCCCAAGACTAGAATACCCCTCATATACTACACATTGCTTGCACCGTTCACACTTCACCTTTCACAAAGCCGACTATGAGGTTGCACTGCCCGAAGTGCGGCTTCCGATATTACGGCAGCTTGTACTTCCTAGCCAGCGACATAGGTCTGCACAAATTGAGACAAATTTGTCTGCCATTCTTATGATTTCTCTGCCACATGCGTCCCTCCACAGTCCTAATTCTAGCACTGTAGATATGGCACTTGGTTTTAAGAAAATTAGCCAGCAGCATAGATCTAATGCCATGTCCAAGCCATGTTACCTTCTCTACCATTTCTCTACGAAGGATGAACTGGAAAAAAGATAGGAAGAGATGATAAGGGACTGTGAAGGATTTAGTAGCCTTCTAACCCACTTCCCAATCTGTAGATCTCAGCAGCCAACGATAACGTCGCCAACGATATCACACAAGTCAAAAATCTCGTACGGCAAATGAAAAAAAAAAAAGAAAGTATGTTTTTTTTTGTAATTTGCGATTGACACCAAAAACGTGTCACGCTACAAGGAAAATTCAAAATGCCGTTGAGAGGTGAGCCCCGAGTGAAGTCGAAAGTGATCAATGATCACTCGCTTCCTCGTAGAAATTTAGACAGCAGGGTAGTAGCAAACATTTGTAGCATTACACGCGCGTTTTTTCGTTGTTTTTTTTTTCCCCTTTTTTGTTGCTGCAGTTTCGCTTTTTTACACTGTGTGTCAAGCAAAGCTGGGGTGGATTCGTGGGTCTTGTCCCGAAAGCCCATATCTCGCAGAACTCCGAAATTAGTAGAACCCAACGCCTCCAAACGCACATCCACCGTTTTCATTTTTTCCAAGTTTTGTCGGCTCCTTTTCATTGTAAGAAACGTTCGCGACTTAACACCCCCCCCCCCCCCCCCCCCCCCATAAAAAAAAAAAAAAGGAAACCAGGCGAGAGACAGAGTGCAGACTGTCGAATTGAATCAATGAGGGGGTGGACTGTGAGTTCAGCGAAATGCGAGGCAGTAGAGAAAGTCGCAACAGCTAGCCATGCTAGCTTCACGTCGTTCACCTTGACACGGGCGGTCGTGTGATGTCGGTGGCGAGTTCGTGCAATTCTCTGCCCGTGGTGAAGAGAAAGCCGCTTACCGATGCACCGGTGCCAGCGATCGATTCGCTGCGCGTCTTCGAGCGTTGCGTGTAGAGAGCCTAGGAGGAGTGCGTGCTCCGAAGCGAGCGCCGCCAGTCAACGCAACTGACGCAACGTCCGACGATAGGGGAAAGTCGGCGAAGCGAAACAACTAAATAAAAAGAAAAATTAACAATGCGTCGAATAGTCTTATGAATGGATAATTTACTTCTTTTTAAAATATTTGTAAATTATTTTGAGTTGGACGTTGTTTTGCGCTACCTAACTATCATTTTTTAAGTTAAGGTAACGAGGTTTAATTAAAATAGTAACTCAAATACTTGCATTATAATTTATAATTATTATCATTTCTTTATTGATTGCAGCTACATCGCAACTTTTTATACTTTAGTTTTATTATTTCAAATATCGCCCAACAGGCTCAATCAACCAAAAATATGTCAATTTTAAAATTTAAAATAAAAAAATGACTTACAATTTTTTTAAATGTATAAACTGCAATAAATTTACAATTTAAGCATTTTAGGGGTCACTGAGATACACTGAGGGTTGAAATGGTAGAAATAGTATGACGTCACGCCGAGCCGCGCTGATGGATAAACGGGATAAACGATAAACTGCATAAACTGGGATAAACAAAAAGTTGTGTCCTTGTCCTTTGCGCTTTTGTAATTAAGATGCTCACCCAACTAGCCCAACAGTTAATTTTAATTCTCATGGATACACCCACTGATCTCTTCAGTGGATACACCGGATACACCTTGACATAAACGGTCGCGTTCGCTGCAGCTGCCGCAACGAGCGACGAAGAAGTAATAAACGAACACATCCGTGGCGTTCCCCTGGTTCCCCCTTTGCCGCCGCCCGCGCCACTTTGATGTGTCTGTTTTGAGTCGTCGCGCTACTGAAAGGCCCGTTCTGCGCTCTGTGACGCCTTCCACTGTTTGATCGGACGTCCGTATTCGAACCACATCGGTGAGAATCCTTTCACATTCGCTGCTGTGTGCCTGTCCAGCGCACCGCCGCGGGGACTCCGCCCCAAACGATTTTGTTGTGTGTTTGTAGCAGAGCGAGGAACACCCGCTCTTTCAAAGTCCGTGGCACGTGCTACACTGCGAGAGTGCGTGCGTGTGGTCTCTAGGAGAGAAAAGGGGGCCTTTCCCCCATCGAGTTCCGTTTCAAATCGCTGACCGCACGCGTCCGTGGCAGAAGAAACAATGGACGACCTTATTCGACGTCTATTCTACGTGTACCTCGGCACGATCGCTCGCGCACTCTTCGGTCCCGTCAAAATGGATGTGGGCACGAACGTTAGCTGAACGTGTACCGATACCTCTATTCGTCGATAGCATCGGAAAGCGCTCGCTTCGCTGGAAACAGAAAGTGGTATATCTTTCCGCACTGCGTGCTTGTTGCGTATATGTACGGTCCCGGTAAAAGCAAGTAGGAACATGCGACGCATTTGCTTGCATCTTGCCGCCACTGTGTGGTGATCACATTAACCCTCAGCACGCTATGAGGGGCAGGTCTCGCCTGTTTCCGCTAAGCGTCGCTGCAGTGCCATAGAATGTAGAAAAGTGTAGTAATTATAAATATACGTACCCACTCCAAAATGTGGATTCATGGATACGCTTTGGTCGGCTATAGTTGTTTTGTTGCTGATAGACGTGTGCGTTGATAGCAGTTTCTTTCACTTCAGATTACCAAACTTAATTCGCACCACCGTCAAACTTTGTTGTACCTTCCTTCGTAGGATTTCTAGCAGCGGGTCGAGATGGTTATCCTAACCAGTTTTCCGCCTCCCGAGCAAGGGATTCGCCACCGCGAAGAGGCTACGGCAGCCTACATCCAGAGGCGAGAGCTGGGCAAAGGCACTTTGTACATAGCCGAAAGGTAATGGCTAGAGCTGCTAAATAGGCTACGCTTTAGGCTAACGATGCTTCAACCATGTTGCATAGAATCAGTGTTGCCAGTTGTCACTGTCTTTTGTTGGCTTTCCCGACAGAAGATGCAAGAAGTGTTTTCCGTCATTCTGCTCTCTAAAACAGTTCACAGCAGAATAAAAGGGTACCATGACGATCTGCTAACGCCGTATCTGCCAGTCAAAAAGTTGCATTTCAGAACCATAACTTGCAAATGACGCCCATGTGGCTATAAGCACTGAAATTGGTGGCACCCACGAGCCACTTGCACGCAAGGGTCACGTGACGCAGACGGATGAATGACCATCGCGGCGATGTCGGCTGACATTGGGGGAAAAGAATGCCAATATTATGTGCATATCTTTCTAGTGAAGTCCGCGCATCTTGGAAACTTGATTGCTCGGGGTCGCTCTAAGGTTGCTCCAGTGTTTGCTTGTACATGTTCCAGTCGAGTGTCCTGGGTCGGAGAAAACAGTGCTGGCTTTTCTTTGGAATATCCGTCTGTCGCTCTGCACGCCGTGTCAAGGGACCTCAGCTCCTTCCCACAGGAATGCCTCTACCTCATGATAGACGGGAACCTGGACGAAGCGGGTAAGTGGTACACTGCACGACGTTATTACCACGAACAACACTCCGGTTGCTGTTTCACTTTAAGAAATAGTATTGATGAGCACCGAATTTTACTGCTTGGGATTGTACCCTATATGAGCACTTTCCACCAGTCTATACCTACGTTTCTACCTTATGGTGAAACGCCGAGGACACTGCGAGCCTGCAAAGCCAAGCCAATACCATGCAAGTGTTGTGCATTCATAGCTTGGGATTGGCTGGGACGGCCCATTGAATTCACTGCTGTCCGTCTTAAAGGGCAACTCCGCTTCATTTTTTATATTTAGAAAACTATGTAGCCCTCTTCAGTATCATATAGGAAGACCCCATGTCAAATATTATGATCTAATTCCGTCTATATATTTAATAAACTGGCTAGAAAACTTTCAAATGAGCCAAGTCGCCAAAATCTGCCAACTCTAGCGTGCGACGTAAGGCGCAATCGTCAGCGCAGTCAATGTGGCAGAGTTGGAGCGGCCAACGTTGAACCACTACGTCAGAGGCATGACTACGTCATTCTCACGTTTTGTTTGTTTTTACTTCTCGGAGCAAAATTGAACGATGACGTCATGAGTTTCTCCTCCCGGTGTTGGCTCAACGGCGTCCACGTGATCACCGTAACGCGGATGAGCTAGTTTGCACTGCCCTGCTCGCTTATCGGTTTGTTTCTCCGCTTCCCCTCTCCTTTTTTGCTTCTCTTCTTCCCCTCTCCCCTAGCCCATCACCGTCCACGCCATGCGAAACGACCTGCCCGCGTCGCGTGTCCTCTACCTTGCCCCCACGAACGTCACAAGACGACATGGTTCGACGTGATGTGGCCATGACTCTGACGACACGAGACCAATGTTGCCTGACGTAACCGAAGTTTCGGTTTCGGTATCTGCTGATGTTTAAATTAAAACTACGCAAATAATGTTCCACATTTCGCGAATCCGAAGACGTAGAGCTGTTTAGTAGTGCTTTGTGAAATAGAATCACATGTAAACCTAAATTTTTCGGAATTGAGCGGAGTTGCCCTATAAGCATGGGCAGACTCGGGTATATACAGATGTTTAGGGGGGTAAGCATATGGTACGTTTTAGACCTGGGTTGGAGAAAACAGTGCTGGCTTTTCTTTGGAATATCCGTCGGTCATTCTGCATGCCGTGTCAAGGGACCCCCCCTCCTCTTAAAGCGATTGTCCGGTCGAAACCAGAAGTACTTAAGTTTATGCGCTCGTTACGTCGAGGGAGCCTTCATATAGACAAACATAATTTTTCTTTTGATATACGATCTGCCCTTATTAATTAGACCTTTCATGAGCGTACGTACAAAACTGCACCCTGAATTTCGCCAGTGTCAGTGACTGACATCCGTAGCTGCTACGTGACGTCACAAAACTCAAAGGGTTGTCGGATGGTCGGAATGACAAGCGTTGGTCGATGGATGTCTTGTATTTTGTTTTGAATTATATAGTCTCCTAGGCTGTACCAAGTTGTGTGCAAAAAAAGTCACGCCTTTTAGCAGGACATTACTCGAAAACAGCCATAAGATTCGAGCAAACGTATGTCGTTTCGCGTAAACACAACTGCGACGGCCACCGATGTGACAAGGAGCGCTTGTAAAGAGAACAATGCAGATTTTTTCTATGAAGCGGCATCTGGGTCCACATATCGGCGGATCCACTGGATCGGTGATGAGGCTACAGGTCACTCTCCCAGAGGCGATGTCCGCGGGTCGAAGGCAAACGGCGAATCGTTTGAATGCATGTTGTCACTTGACTTGGACGAGCTTGGTAAATTGTAGCCACGCGTGCTAAATACAGCTTATTTTATCGTTTCCAGATGGCCTAGCTGTTGGTTTTGGTTTCGCTGTATAATCAAACCAATTGATCCGATTTGGGCGAGGAGTGAACGAACATGGTTGAATATCGCTGGCACAACATCACACCTAAGCTTACAAACCCACTGTCCGCTTAGAGCTCAGCTCGTAGCTCTCTTCTGTGAGATGATTGCTGCACAAGGGGGATCTCGACCTTGACGGGAACCCAGTGACCCAGTCTTTACGCACTGTGATGATCCATTTTGCTCATCACTGCACGTCTCGCGGAAAAGTGTGGAACGTCACGTCTTGGCTCGCATGTGCTGCCCGGTGGTTGTGGCACCCAACAGCACAACAGAAATCACATCCATCCACGAAACAAGTCGAGGGCAACAACAAAAACGAACAAAAAGTTAGGGCGCAAACAAGCTGGTGAAGGTTTAGCATTTTAGACAAAACCCCGAGGCTGGGGGGAAGGAAGGACAACACCACAAGACTTCTTGTTGTGTTGTCCTTCCTTCCGCCTCTCTCGGGGTTTTGTCTAAACAACAAAAACTAAGCACGCTGCGGCATTCTCTTGCAGGCAAGCGACGACACGGAAATGTTCGCTTTGTGTTTTGTGATGTCAGAGCCTCAATGTTGCCAACGAAAGCAGCGTTTACGCTAGGATGCGATTGGAGCAGCATAAATTCAATTACTCACGCAGAGGGGCACATAAAATTCAGATATTGCACTTACGATGCGTCTCGGGGCAAAAACAATGATATTAAATTGTTTTCTCGAATACAAAATTTGACCGGACAATCCCTCTAATCCGCCACTGGTCGTAAAGTGAAGCAGAGTATAATAGTTTTGATGACTGCCCTTAAATGTTAATTAGAAGGAAAACGCACAAAAAACATGTTGATCACTTGTTTGCGTTATTTATGGTACACCCGTGAGTGATATGAAGGTGAACAGCCCTCTTCTTGTTTTTGACGCTCCTGCAAGTTTTGGAACGAGCTCTGTTCCAGAAGAGGGCTACAACGCAAAGTTTAGACCCCAAGCCACATACCATTTGAGATGTTGAAGGTTAATATAGCTTTAGGGAGCCGTAAAGCAGGCAAGAAACAAGGTAAAACGTCCACCTTCATATTGCCGGCGGGTGTACATTAGCCGTAGCAGAGGTCTCTGGCGTGCTCTTTACATTTTCAGCACTTTCCATGGCTCAGTTTAGACTGGTGCCCACTTGCTTCAGAAGTTTTTTTTTTAACTGAGTTGGATCGAAACTCTTGCACCCAATGTAATTTCTAGGTTTGGCGTGTGGCTGATGTCATTTCTGCCCTCTTTGTCTTTCAGAGCCCACAACCAATGAGAATGGAAGCGACGCCAACGACGATGATGACGAGCCTGCGGCATCTGAGATACGGTTTGTGCCAGAGAACAAGTCTAGTTGTAAGTATGAGTTGTCGGTGCCAAGTTCGTCTGGTTCTTCCTGCTGTCAGTGATGTGATTGCTGCGCCATTTGTCCCAAATTGCGCCAAAGTGCTTACCCTGCTACAATTGACCAAAATGGGAGTGTGAGGAATTTGTGGCAACATTGCGCCAAAACTTAAGTTCACTTAAATAATACTGAAAATATAACAGCTGCAGGCCTTGCTACTGGGCCAGTTAGTGCAACCAACCTCTACTGCGCTGTTCTCGTGCAATGCAGCAGGGGCTGGTTGCACTATTTCTCCATGGGGTGCGGTACAGTTGGTGCCGAGAAGCGCTATTGCAAACCGAAACTTAAAAACCCGTCGAAATTGTGCGGTTTTTGAGAAAGCCGTAAAATATTGAAAATATTGCGCGTGCCTTCTACCTTTCTGCAGTTTGTTGATTTGGTGTTTTTCGATGATGCTCGGCAAGATACTAATTGAAACCACGCCTTTAAACTCAATATGAAAAAAAAAAAAATAATAATTACGTGAAAATAATTATCAACTTAATCATCTCAAATTTTAATAATTTTCCTAAATAGGCCCCTTTCCTAGGACCAAAATGACACAAGCCTTTTTTTGGTGCAATGCATAGTTTTCGCAAGATCAAATTTGTCCACCTTGCGTGAAACGCCCTGTATATGGACTCTTTTGCAAGTTTACTTTTTATGCTTTGTTTTTTGCCTGAATTAAGAATTGCAGTTTTGTTACAACCCCCCCTAGAACTTGAAGGACACATAAATCTACGTGCTCAAAATCAGTCTTGGGTAGTAACGCGTTACTACTAACGCGTTACTGTAATTTCGTTACTTGTTTGGTAACTTGTAACTGTAACGAGTTATTTTTTTAAATGTAACTTGTAACCGTAGTTCTATTAATTTTTTCTGAGGTAACGATGAAAGTAACGACGTTACGTTTGTCGTTACTTTCCAGTGTTTTATGAATAATATATAACTGATCAAGTACAATTTAGATTTTCCTTGCACTCTTCAAATCGTCTATTCCGACATTTTGAGTGTCAAGTTGGCCTTGCACAAACGTGTGAATATGTTCTTTCTCACGAGCCACGTGTAGATGTCATGAAAAAAATCTAGTTATCTTTACGCACGCGCTTGTACTTTGTGACTGAACACTTACATCTTAGTGTCTTGAAGCACAAGAAAAAGCGTTTTCTGTGAAAACGCTTTTTAATCCGGTGAATCAACCGTGAAACAACAATACACGCGGAGGGCACTGCGCATGTTTCATATTTTGATTAGCGCCAGTACTTCACACTGCGCATGTTTCGTATTTTGATTTGCGCCACTACTCTGGCATGGAAATTTTCAAACACTAATTTCGAGAAGCAACTTCTGCTAAGTTACAATATGAAGTAAAAAGCGTACTGTTTAATTTGATGCAATAAAACTTGGTTAGGAGCATTTTCTAGTTTTTCATATTTTTTTTGTGTTATAAAAAGTAACTGAAGAGTAACGTCTTTACTTTTTAAAAGCAACTGTAACTGTAACGAGTTACTCTTTTGTTGCGGTAACTGTAACGGTAACTTTGCTACATTTTTCTGAAAGTAACTGTAACGAATCACTTTTTAAAAGTAACTTACCCAAGACTGCTCAAAATGATCGTATTTTAACATCTGTTCAGTGGGATTTCATACCTAAAACAATCATTCACGGCAGTTTGCGCTGTCCTTCATCAGTCGTCGTCTTGTTACCGTGTCTGGTACTTCCACACGCAACTAAACAACTAGTGTTTATTATCCTCCCAATATTTGCTGTCTCTCCTCTTCGTACTTGCAGTAATATAAATGAAAATGAAGTGTGCGGTTATGCTCCAAAAGCTCTTTTTGCTTCTCCAAAATGAACTTTTGGCTGCTCCAGTAGCTGCTCCAAAATTACTACGACCAATCACATCACTCTGCTCCTCATTTCACCATGCTTGGCAGCAGACATTGATGAGTCTTGGGACTTTGGGAATCAGGAGAAGCCTTTCTCAAAATTAGCGAGAGTTGGGAAAATTTTTGGTGTGGTAGGTACGCGTGCATATAAAATGTAGGCCTTTGAAACAAACGACGAGAGTTTAGAATCGCTTTTGCGCCGACGAGGCTATTCCCTTTTTCGGTTCTCACTCAAAGTGTGAACCAACAAAGATTCTTAGGTTGGCCTCCATACGGGGTGGTTTCACGGAACATGCATAGGGCTTGAATTCGTACGAGAATTCATGCTGATGAACCTTCACTTTATGTGTTTTTATGTTCAGAGGCAGCATTTATCAGTTCCCTCATATTGTTTTGTCTTGGGATTGATGTTGTCAGTTGGAGCAGGCGGCATAATAAGCCACCATCTGGTGGTACCTGATTTTCACGTCTATCGGTCGTCATATGGAGTTAAGCGAAGCTGGCACCTGAGCAATCGGCTCACTGGCGGTCAGAGTGATTGCACCCCCATGACTATTACAACGAGTAATAAATGGAGTAGTTAGGGTTTATGCAACCTAAATATGTCCCGTGTCATGCTTCTTGAGTTCTGTCGTTGGCGGTGCCACCTAATCATACTTTTGAGGTCTGCCAACACCAAAAACGGCATTTGTAAAGAAGAGCTTTTTTCGGTCTATGCACATTATTCAGTGTGTGTCCGATGTCCTCTAAACGCTTGTGGCTGTTTTTTTTTTTTGTTTTTTTTTTTTTTTTGTGTTTAGTTTTTTTGTTTTTTTTTATGGTGAGTGATGTAGCCAGATGCTAGGACCCCATTGGAACACATCTCTTCTTCTGATTGCACTAGCACCTCAAAATGTTTTGTATAAAAATAAAAGGAAAAAATACAATACAATACGAATAAATTTCCTCATTTATTATTACCCGCAGCGCCTTTAGGCATTACGGGGGAAGGATATACATACAAAAAAGAAGATAAATGAACAAGTAATCATCTTCAACGAGCTATGAACAAAGCGCTAAGTAAATATGATAAAATACATCACATTTCGATGATGGAAAAGGTTCATCAGGACTGCAGGTGGCTAGCCATAAGTAAAATGGTGTTTCGTGGCAGCATCATACTATATGGGTCCTTCTATGACTTTATCTGTGAACTTCAAATGCAGGTTGTAGACTTTGACTCGCTACTTTACAATGCAGTATGGCACCCTGAGATGTTACAGAAGTCCTGCATGTCCTTCCTGTGTAACGCACGGCATGATACTGAAGTGTGACTCGACGTCTTGCAGTGGACGCCATGTACAAAGCCATGTCCGAATGTCAAGCCCTGCATCCGGACCCCACTGACTCCATTTCTGAGGAAGGTGGGTGACTGCGGCCAAAGAGAACAGAAATTGAAAGACTCGAACTTGAGAATGGGACCAGGTTGTTTTAAAGCCCTAGAGTCGACAGCGAAGGCCTGCCTTTACTGAGCTACGACACCAGGAAAACTCGAGGGAAACAAAAAGTAAATATTGTTTGAAAAGACCGGGCACAATTTAAAAGAGAGATAGATGCCTTGGGTACAGTTGGCGGAGATTTGAGCTGGCTCAACCGCGTGCTAACGGAATGGTGTAAACTGCCGCGTCGGGTGCCCCTGGCATGCTAAGTAATGAGACCGACTGTCGTACTGCGACAGTAGAAAATGTGGCAGTCCATTGCAACCTCTTTTTTGAGCTCAAAGGGGCAGTGCAGCAATTTTAAAGGGGAAATGCAACAATATTAACTTTGAAATAATTTGCAGTTTTAAATTTTTACAATGTTTATCTTACCAAAATAAATGGAGAAACCGCCTCATTATTTTGAAATATTGCGGTTCCGTTGCGTAATAGAAAAAAAAAAAAAAAAAAACGGGAATATTTTGCGATTTGCAGCCGCGCGGTGGCGGCCACGGGAACTAAGGTGTGATGCGCAATGGGTATAATGTAATAGGTTGGCAAGATGTGCCATATGTGCTAAATCCAATGCCATATTTGGTAAAAATTGTCGTTTCAACATTAGTAAATACGTCAAAAACCCCATGTCATCGACAAAGTTGTGCTATAATCAGTTTTAGTGTCGCCATCTAGGTGAAAGAAACTATTCCTTCCTTGAGCCTCACCTCGTTGTGCTACTACATCAGTCGAACTTCCTTACAAGAAGGCAAGCTCTTTGCTCTCTCCTCCCTCCTCCACTCCGTGTCGCTCAGAGTCTCAGATCAACCTTCAAGGCCACCATGTAATCGCAAGCAGAGGCCGCGTGCGTTGAAGGCTCTGAAAGAGATCCCAACTGGATATTCTCTATCCCCTTTGCGTGTCACTGCGCATGTGACTTGGAAGAAGGTGCAAAAGTTGAGGGTGGTTTGGAGGCGCCCAAAACGTCAATTGTTTCACTATTCTTCTTAAGGCCTAACTCACATATGCAAAATTTCTTTTCAGTTCTTTTATTTATTTATTTATATGACAGGGAACAACCACCCCAATTATTCCACCGAAGTCCAAACATTGTTGCACGGCCCCTTTAATGTGCGAAGAATTTGCAGCTTGTATTTTTTATGTTATCTTGGCACAAGTGAGAAAAAAGCAGCCACCTTTTAACAGAGCAGTAAAACCTCGTTATAACAAAGTTGAAGGAGCGGTCGTAATTATTTCGTTATAACCATTAGTTTGTTATAGCCAATGTCCATTTCTTCCCACTATTGGCAAGCAAGGGGAATTATGATTGCTTTGTTATATCCATTAGTTTGTTATATCCCGTTTTGTTATAACGAGGTTTCACTGTACTGCGATGTCGCTGCAAAATTGCGAAGGAAAAAACATTTTTTCATGATCTGCAGCTTCTAGGTGCTCACAATGAAACATGGGCTGCATCAGAGGAAAGGGTTGTTTCCTTCTGCTCTGAAAAACTAAACGTTCAAATTGAATCTGCGGCTGTCGAAAGAGCTCACAGACTAGGGTGTCTCTCGTCAGTAGTCAGTGAAGATTACTCAAATAAAGATTATCCTCTACGGCAAAAGTTGATTTGGTTCAGTCATGAGTGTGGTGGTGACTTTAAATTGCACTTCAACAAGCTAAAAATAGCTAATTGTACTTTTATGTATGATAACGCTAGAGATGCCATCACCGGAATGTACCAATAGCAACTACGATTTCTAGACTAAAAAAAAATATTGTAAATAAAAATTATTTGTTGCATATTGTCATAGAGATGGCTACGATAAAATACAATGCATGAAAGAATCAACCTATCTGTCCCCCTCTACAAAGTATAGTCTTAAAGTTTCTGAATATATGTCCAGAATAAACATACCTAAGTACTCCTTTTCCCCGAACCGTGTATGAGTGGAATAACCTTCTAGTTGAACTTGTATCTGCCCCTCCTTCCTCGTTCCTTTTACAGCACTGCAAAGACTAGTGTTCAACTAGTTATTGCATTGCTAGATTGACCTCTGTTAATATTTTTGTGCTCATATCTGTTTTTTCATTCTCTTATATTGCAAGGTTGCTGCGATATCATTTTCATTTCAAATCATATCACATCTTTGAAATTTTTTCACTTATAATGTTGTGTGTTTTTCTTTTTCTTTTTTTTTACTTTTGTATTGCCTACTTTCCTACGATAATGCCCTAGTAAGGCCAATGTAGGTTAGTGTATAAATAAACGAATAAAAAGTGTGTGCCGGTCATTGGAACTGCGGTGTGATGTCATTCAAAGTACACAAGTTTTCGAGGTGCCATCTATCAGAAGTCATCAAAACCATTTCCTCAACGTCGCTGCATACTTCACTCGAAATATGGTGCGAGTTGAGGGCTACCCCTACCTTCAGTTTGTTTCATTTCTTGTTTTATAAAAGCTTGTGCACGCAAGAGAAAAGGGTTTTCTGTACTTCGTTTTATATTTGACATAAAACAATTCCCGCAATTCATTCCATCGCCTCCTTAACGTACCCGGGGCTCACCACATGGCTTTAGCGCAGACCCAGCCGAAAAGCCGACGGTACCACTCATGTGGCCACACCCTGCACTTTTCTAAAGTAGTGTTTTGCAATCCTGCTTGCCACCGTGACATTCTTCTTTGCGCCTTGTAAGTCCTGTGTCGTTTCACACTGTTTCTTCCGGCTTACTCTTTTTTTTTTTGTGTGGGCTGTTGGGGGACAAACAGAGGAGGGGGAGGAGGAGGAGGGCTGCTTCGATGACGCCGACGAGGAGGAAGATGATGAAGGCGCGGAGTACGACGTGCGGGCAGCCGAACAGCAGCGGGGCTGTCGGAACATAGAGGGGGCTGGTGAAGGTAAGTGCTCGGATGCTTAAAGGAAGACATGGACCTGTGCTAGTTGGGGAAAGGGGGGAAAATATTGGAGTTGGTTGAGAATTTTAGGGAGTATGGAGTAAAATTCGCAGGGTTGTCAAGAATATTAGCTTCCCCAACCATTAAAAAACAAAAAAATGTTTTGGAGGTCTGGGGATGGCGACAGAACTTTCAGGGATAGTAGGGAAATGCAAAAGCTGCAATTGGGGATTTCATGGAGCCTAGTGGAAACGTTGCAGAATTTTTGAAGGTATTGGCTTGCGTAACCATCAGAGCAAATTGTAAAAATCTGGCATTGTTTCAAAGTTTTAGGAGACCTGGGGAAAGGTGATGGAATTGTTAGGGATATCGGCTTCCCCAACCATTGGAGCAAGTTGGAAAAATCTGACATTGATGCAAAGTTTTAAGGGACCTGGAGAAAGGTGACAAAATATTTAGGGATGTTGGTTCCCAACATCCCTAAATTTCCCAATGGACTATTCTCTTTGTTTCAAGTAGTTTACAAGGGTGCTTGACTGGTACAGCCGGGGACAGCCCTCAGAGTCCTGGGAATTTGTAATGGAATGAAAATAGTCACCTTGGGAAAAACAAAAAGGGCCATAGGAAGCCAGAATAAATACACATAAAACCAAACTTTTTAAATAAAACTGCTTACAACAATCTAAGAGACCCGAGAAAAACAGAAAATAACAATCGAGAACCCAAAAATTGCTTATGGAAATGCAGCAACAAGATCTAGCATATTGTAATCTATCTCGCTGGTCATGGCACCAAAGTAAAATTGCCTGCCTTGGCTTCAAATGTGCAAACTCGGATTTCAAAACTGGGTTTGCTTCTCTCCGGTTTAAGCCAACGGTGGTGGTTATTTGCACGCACTACTTTTCACTGCACCGCGATAGTAAATTTGCCGGCATCACTTTAGTTTTCGAGGGAAGCGCAGGAAAAAGTCAAAGGACACCTAAGCACTTATGAGTTGTGGATGCGAAAGCATGAAGTTCGTTCTTCCGCTCCCTTAGTTTGTGTGCGGCACAACAAGCGCTTGCGGCGGAGAGCACGCAGCACCGGGTTCGCCCGTACACCCTCCCGGTAGCTTGCCCGAACTGGCTTTCCCGCCAGGCCCGCACCGCTCTTAGCGGCGGCGGGTCGCTGCGTGCGCTGCGCCGCCATGGAGAGGGCTCCTCTGGTGGCCTTTTTTGGAAATGCGCCACACGAGAGCCAATGGGAGCCTAATTCCTTGATTACGCGTGCCAGCCAATGGGAGCCTATATGCCTCAGATTTCGATCACAGACGACATAGGGGTGCTGGAAGGTGCCGTTTGGCGTGGCTTCAAAGCTCATGACGTAGGTTCGCTCTACGGGACAGTTAATGCTTTCGCATTAAAACCGGCAACCGCTTGTTTCCGCTAACTACTGCGCTTTGTAGACGTGGTGCTCCAAGCAAAGGGCCTACGAACGTTTCCCCAAGCGGTCTTCAGGGATATTGGAAGCTACAGCAGTGACGGCAGCCCGGTGTTGCCACAGTTGCTAACGGAACGGCAGGGAAGAGTATTGGTTGTCTCGCCTCCAGCTTGAGCCTCTTACCTTCGGTGACGCCTCGAGCTTGCACGCACAGCCAAAGCACGACAAAAGGCAACGAGCTCGTGTTGGAAGCTGGACATTCAAAAGAGATGCCCTGTCATTCTCATCCTGCATGCAACTCAATAATAGTGAAAAAAAAAAAAATCTTTTTTGAAAAGATTAGCTATCTGGCTACCACTTTGCAAGGCGCATATGGTTAGCTTGATTTCACTTTTGTAGTCACTCGAAAATCTTTCACGACCCTCGGAGCTCAGCGTTGATGAATTTAACGTGTTCCTGTCTTTTTTTCTTTTTTTTTCACATTTTTCATGATGAAAGTTTTTTGCGGAGAGTCTTCTTTTTTTATATGTGTAATGTTAGGATGGTTTTTCAGAATGTGTGCGAGCTCTAACAGGATCTTTAAGTTCATTAACTAGGCACCCTTAGAAACTGCCAATTACGGTTCGGTCAGACTATAGTACTTGTCATTTCAGGAAAAAAGCAATTTGTGGTTATAGTTCATGTACTGTGTGAAGCAGCTTTTACAATACTTGACTGTGAGAAAAACGAATATTATGTTTTTTGCATTTGAAGAGTATATGTCTTAATAAAATAACAAAAAAAATTATCTTGATTGCAAAGCATAAAGGAAGGAAAGTTAGTAACACTCCGCAAGGAGCCATACTTATTTTACTACAATTCTTGAGGTGTGAACGAGCAATAGTAGTGGCTAGTCTTCAAGCACAGGTGTTGTGTCTCCCAAACTTCCACCTTGTGTCAAATGGCTTTTGTCATAATATCAAACTTGCGCCCTACTTGTGTGTGAACTGGGGCTTCCTGGATATATACCAGTCTAGGTCTCTTGGTACCGTATTTACTCGAGTAATAGGCACACTGTTTATGAACAAGGCCCTTGCGAACAAGGCCCTTGCGAACAAGGCCCTTGCGTCAACTTTACCGCAAAACACATATACAGCCAATCATCGCATTGCGCATAAATAACGTAGCGAATAAGAAGACCAAAAACACGATTCACCATACAAATGCAATCTGCACAGATGGTATCTTCGCACGAAGACGTTATCTCGGTCCTGTAAACCGCTGGAATCATGCCGTCAATCGCAGTTATTGGCAAGCCGCATGCTGCACGGGAAAGCAAACCCTCAGATTTTCTTCATAAACAGTGCGGCTATTACTCGAGCAAATACGGTAGATAAGGTGTGATGCTAACCGCATGAAAGCATCCTTGATGCACAAGTGCGTGGCAGACACTTTCAAAACCAGGTATGGTTTTTTTGAAAGCACTGAATTTCACTGTCAACGATAACAAGTCTGTAGGTCGCTGCATACAATTTCCTTTGAAACATTTTTTATATGACACAAAGCGTAAGAGGCACTTAGGAAAGCAGCGAGACAAAAGTTTGACTGCCGTTGTTTCCTGAATTTACATTTTTGATTAAATATGTTCCATTCTCCAACATAAAAATCTTTCAACATCCACTTACTGTAGAGAGTAATATATGGCAATCTATTTCCGGTCAGTGCTTTTCTTGATCATTGAAAACTATAGCTTTTACTGACCTAATGGATGCAGCAATGGGCCAGGTTAACCGGCCCATATGTAACCAAACCCCACTCGGGAGCCGAAAAATGCTTTCCTGGAAAGTCAAGCGGTGTGTAAAGGATGGTTGGCGGTGCTTTCCCCCTTTGGCAGATGGCGACGGAGAGTGGGTGGAGCCAAACAAGCCGACAGACGAACCAATGGAGGTCGGGCAGTTTGACGATGCAGAGCCCGATCATTAGGTCCCCATTCGCTTTAACGCGCAGCCACGTACGTCATGTCCCTTGCATTCACTTTGTAGAGTTTGTATTTGCATTGTGTGGGTCTCCTCATCCAATGAAGAACTGTGTGCCGGAGGTACTCGTGCCAACTGCTGTGAATTGGGCCTGTGTCCCATTCGAAGTGTCTGTACATATGATAGAATGGGAATAAAAGCTTGGCTTTCTGGAAGGGGACGGAGCGGTTTTAGAGTCAACAATTGGCTCTTTCTGTATTTTTGTTTTGTTTAATACAGATGTATTATTGTCACGTCGGCAGCTTGGCAGATTGGAGGAGCGTTCAAACCTGCGGAGCATTTCATGAAATAAAACGTATTGTTATTTTTATTACTCAAGGCACGAGATGCCACGTGTTGGGCAAAAGTGAAACTGTGTATGAGGTTAACCAAAGCCTTCGCATTTTCGTGTGTTGCGCGGGTAATGCGCGACCATTTGTATCTGCATTGTTGAAATGAATGCTGTGCCAAATTGAGCTGTGCCAGGCTTCCGTGGTAACCTTAAGTTACCATGGAAGTGCCCACTATTATTGTTTCCAAAATTTGGGAATTCTGCAAATTATATGTTAAGCACCTGATTTGACCAGACAGGCACCCATGTCTAGATTAATGCAATTTTCAGTAAAAGTGGGGTGGGCACTTTCTTGGTATATTTGCAAGCATACATACCTGTTAAATTCAATTTTGCAAAGGGCAGAGGCTGCGCTCCAGCAAAGCAATAGGAGCATTGGGACGAGGCATGTGACAACATATAGTAGAACCATGTCAACATGTCTTTTTCAGGGTATCATAAAAATTTGTGTACCAATCCAGCAAAACGTACCTCTCAATTATGCTTGTGGTGTCTATGAGGCAGGAAGCAACTCTTGCACATAAATTTATTTTATATGGACTTTCACGACTGTGGAGAGCTACCATATTTATTCACATACCGTAGGTCTTTTTTGTTTTTTGAACTGCTATTTACAAGTATGGGACTATCTATAAACTTTCCAAGCCCACTGAGCTAGCCCAGCTGCTTCCCCCACGCCTAGCATGCTGACGCAATGTGGTGAAGCTTGGCACTCGCCAGGGCAATATGGCGAAGTGCGTGATGCATGTGTCGCACATGGTGCACGTCTTGAATTTATGTGAAATTAAATTAGCAGCGTCAAGAGAAGTGAGCACTGTGGCACAACGGAAGCAAGCCCATGCTTCGGATAAACAGATGGAAAGATGAACGGGCAATGGTGACGTGGTTGGCACACATGTCTACATTGTCTGCCCTAGCCCGGGAGATAGGTTTCTAGAGTTTGGAAATTATTTCCGTAACATGAAATCTGCATTTAATATATGGATGTGAAACTCCTGTTCACAAGATTGGCAAAAGCATGACGTTAGAAAGCAATGGCACACAAAAGCGAGTAAACGGTAGTATGAGCACTAGGGACATTTCATTGATTCTTTAAGCCTTTCCCATCAATCGTCCCCATTCAGACATCATTATCATGACCGGTGTCTGTGTTCCTCACAGGTGTAGTACCCAACACGGTATCTTGAAGAAAATTGTTACAAACAATAAATAAATCATAAAATTTTAGCTGTTTATTTTGTATATCAATTTACACACAACCTCTGCAACATATGTTTATCACACTCTTTCGGCGTATACCGTGTACCAGAAAGCCGGTTCATAAGTGATCTCTGAACACCCAAATTTGCCTAGAGCTGCTCATCCACTTCCACGCACGCTGCCACTCAGTTGCGTTGTTCTCAATATGGCTATGCTTGTCAAACAACTATGCTGCACAGGTCGGATGGTCCACCAGTGAGCCCATGCATGTGTGATGGTGAGCCTCTGTAATTTAGAGGCTTCCACTAATGCAGTGCACAAAGCATAGGAAATACTGTCCAATGGTCAACAGCATTCCTTTGGCATATGTATACGCATACATACAGGGTGTGCAAGGTATTTGAAAATATAATGGTGGGTTCAGCCAAAAAAAATATATTTGCACGCAGTTTGTAGTGTTCTCAAACTTCCTTCGATAAAACCACCTTCAGCAGCAGCGACTGACTCAATGCGGCTTCAAAACCGGCTGCATGCCGTGATCAAGTGGTCCTCGTTGATGTTGGCCGTAGTATCCACAGTGACAGTATTAAACGACTATCGGGGGGCCTTCAAGTTGGTCCTAAGGCCTTGTTGAAAGGAAGAAATGCGGCGGCATGACACGACCCTTGTTGCTCACAACGGCTAGGACCAATGACGGAAGCTTTGGTCTTGGTCAAAGTTCTCCTCGTCAGAAAATAACGACAGCATGTCTGGTTTCTCAGGGTGCTTGAGCCAGTTCAGCAAGTGCCGAGACCAGATGACACGGTTTTCTTAAGTTTTTTGGGACATAAACTGCCCTCTCCTCATCACAAACGACTGGTATCCAAGGTCCTCGTGCACCACAAGCCCGACAGTGGACTTTGCAACCTCGAGCTGCAGGGCAATGATCCTCATAGAATTGCTGGCATCATTGTTCACAATGTCCTGCACCTGCTGGGCAAACTCGGCCGGCCTGACGAAGTCGGACCACTGGGAATGTTTTTTTCGCTTGGCCACGGATGTAACATTCCCGCCAGAATCCGAAGGCTGTTTTCTGACCTTGAAACTGAAGGCTTCACACATTCAAAGCTTGGCACAATTCAAGAAAGTGTCTATATCCAAATCACTGGCAAAAAAAGGCAACCAGAATGGCATGCCCTTTCATTCGTGTCGCTTCGGAAGCTGCCACTTTGAAATCAATACACTAGATAGATGACATAGATGCAGTCGAAGGCAAAGTGCCTAGACAGATGTAGTAAGACTATGGGATGTTATGAACCCTGAAGTTCTGTTCTCAAACACCAAGCACACCCTGCGGGTCACGGGAAACTAAGTCTTGCGTGACTATCGGTGCAAATTTGTAATAAGGTGCCACCAAATAGCTGCGGCGACAGTCACTTTCAACTTTCCGGATACCTCCTTGTAAAATGGGTCGTGCAACTTGGCATATTTGAAGTTTGCGAGTATCCCAGTCGTTCTGCAACGCGACTTTCCTGTGCAACTAGTTGTGGTATGCTCTGGCCATTTTGCCCATTTTAGTGTTTAATGACCCTTTTTGCACAGTGGTGTAATGACTTTTTTGCAAATTCACGTTCTGGAATCCATTCTTAAAGGACGCTTGAGCCTCCCTTTTAAGATGTATCCCACCGGTTTGAAAGCAAAGCTCCTATGCCAACCCGCTGGCTTTAAGTCGCCTGCCAATCTGTGGGAGCACACAAAGTACTGTCACGGATGACTGATCCAAAGTCATCCTTTTATAGTCGCAGCACCTCTGAAAAATTGCCTACGTCGGATGTTACCTTACCAGATGTGTGTAAGCGAGAATTAAGATAGATCTAGTTTCCCCTATTGCATCTGTAGCATCTGGTATGACGCCACAATTACAAAGCAGTTCACTCTAATGGGTGGAGGAAAGAGTACCTTTAGTCTCGGGTTTCTTGGAGTGATTCCAATAAAGACATTTCGAGGAACCAGATTTCAAGATGGCAACCTAGCTATATACTCTGGGTCAATTTTATGTTGTAGTGCAGTCAATGGTACGAGTGCATGTGTGCTCCTCTTTTTGAAATGCCAAGGAATGTTGTCCCTGAGCACAGTTGGGCAACAAATTAATGAAAACAAGAAATTAAAAAGAAAAAAAGTGCCTTTGGGCCGCATTTATGAGCTGCAACGCAAGAACAGGGAGCTCCTTCAATTGTCCTGCCTCCAGCCAAGCTTCATACCTTCGATAACATTTTGGCCTATCGCGAGCTTGGCGTATGGGTGCGCACTGAAATGCACGATGGAAGGTAACGAGCACATGTTGGAGGATGGGCATTAAAAAAAGATGCAAGTGACTAAAGATCTCTATGTTTTTCAGATGCCTGGTTCTCCTGGAGTTCTTCACAGCCACTGCAAAGGATGCATTTAATGCCTGAACACCATTTTGTTTATCTTAAGGCACTGTACCATACTTTCATTCAACAATAAACATGCAAGAATCATGATTATGATTGCTCCTCAATTGCAAACTTCGGCAAACCTTTGCTGCCAATAAAAAAGCAATTCCTCGCTGCAAATTGGAAACATTCTGCCACAGAAAGTCAACACAAAACAAAAATGGGACGTTTAGGAACAGAAACATATATCAATCTTTGGATAAATCTTGGGGGGAGGGGGGGGGGGAAACTGGAGGTGAATGCCACCTTTAACGGTCAGAGCAGGAACACAACTTGCCAAGGGCACACAACAATTCAAAGGTAAGCGACACATCTTCCACAAACAATCCTGAGTATTAACTTGTAATGATGATGGCAAATGTTAGTTATGTCGCTGCGAAAAACCTATGAACTACCATTGCACAATTTGTCAATCTGTTTCTTCAACTCCGTTATCCTCGCCTCGATTCCCTGCAACACATCGACATGGTTCAAGTTCGTCGCCCCTGCCCCAAAGGACGAATAGATCTGCCTTCTTTCGTCGTTTGCTGCGGCGAGCTGTTTCTTGAGGTGCTTGAGCTCCACAGCCCCTCTTTTGCGGACCTTGCTTCCTCCAAGAGATTCGGCACCTTTCAACGGCTCGAAGAGCCGCTTGACCTCGGCGACGATTTTGGCACTCGGGTAGTTGAAGAGGTTGATGATATCCACGATGTTGCTAGCCCTGAAAAGGCAGACAGTGTCTCCTGGGGCAAAGGCCCCAATCTTCCGGAAAAGCTCTGGCTCCTGATCGCACCTCACGACGAGGTGCCCAAGCGATATCTCTTTTTTTCTGAGCTCCTCGAGGACACGGTCCTCGCGCCACCCGACCAGCGACGACATCTCTTGGGACGTAACGTAATCCTGCGATCTCAACCCAATGACGTGAATGGCCGATCCATCGCTGAGTTGCACTAACCTCACGTCGATCTTGCCCGTTGCAGGGGTCACATGTTCTCGCTCGACTTCAGCGACTCCGTTCGTTTGTTCATGGGGAAAGTCGCACAGTGCAAACCCCTTGCTGACGAGCACGTCATGTATGAAGTGCTCTTCGTCTCCGTTGGTGTCGCACAGAAGCACTTTCAGCGTCTCGCCCTCCTCGCTTTCCACTTTGCACATCAGGATTCTGTCGGCGGAAAGCTGGAGGAAGCACTTGTACGCACTCTCACACCAGTCGTCGCCCCTGGGCCGCAGGAACGCGAGCGCCGCCCTGGCGCACTGTACGGGAAGCTCGAGGAAGTCGTCGCGGAGCTTGCGCAGCTCGGAGCGATGCACCGTGCAGTGGTTCCCAAAGTCTACGAGCTCCACCTCGACGTTGTACAGGCTCGAGACTCCCGTAACGCGCGCGCGGTACCATGTGGTGTTGTCGTCCACAGATGAGTAGAGAGCCGCGTACGCCTGGCCGATGAGGACGGCAGAGCGAGTGCCGACCACCGCGTAGCGGTGCCCCGCATCGCTGCTGTACAACTCCGACATTTCCCGCGTCAGCGCCGAGAGGGGATCGTAGCCATCCGCGCCCACGGGCTGGATCGCGAACCTGCCCGGACTGCCAACGTAGCTTACCCGGACTGGAAAATACTCCTCCGTCCTGTCCGCTGGCAGCTGCACTGGGCTGTACTTCACGTCCGACGTGTTGTCCGGGCTCGACGAAGAGCGGCCCTCGGTCGAGCTGTCTTCTAAGTCTCCTAGGGTTCCGGGAAAAAGGATGAAGTCGCTGGAGGAGTCTGGGCGCACAATGTGGAACAGGTCGGGCCATCGCTGCACCAGCTGCATCGTGCCGACGCTTAGTGGTTCGCCGATCTCGTCCGTGTATGCTTGGGAAAATGAGGACATAAAGATACCGTCCGTGCGCCTCTCCAGGACTTTCTGAATATTGTTTCTGAGGAGCGAGGTCCCCGTCGCCCGAGCGTCCGGAGACTTGGCGCTGTGCGCGTGGCCGTTAGCCTTGGCCACGTCCGTCGTCGGAGACTTACCGCGAGCTGCCATTTTTGCTGGCCTGTCGTTCGAAGAATGCAGCCGAACTTTGATCTTGTCGTTCGGCATGTCCACCAGATCGAAGAACTTGACCGTGCTCAAGGCTTGCTTTAGGGAATCGAACCCGAAGTGTTTGACGTTTAATGTGGTTCCGAATTCTCGCAGGTAAGCATCTTCCAGAGCGTCGACGCAAATACCGTGCATGAACTTTGACACCAGACTTTGGAGGTTTCTTTGGACGTTGTCCGGCAAGTGCAGCTCGGTTCCTCTGGTGGGTCGCACGTTTTCGGGTCGCTTGCGCTGATCTTCGCAGACAGGCTCGACCTTCTGCGCCTTGATGAGTTCTTGCACATGTCGGACGCTTTCGCCCGCGTTGTCGTCCAAGTTGGGGAACAAGAGAACATCGCTGCCCTGTTGCTTGACGTGGACAGTGTCTGTCAAGGTACGCAGAAAATCGAGGCAGTCCGTGCAGCCGTATTTATGATACGGCACATGATGACCCTCAGTTCTGCGGTAATCCTGGAGGAACTTTCCGTACGGTGTTGGTCCGTTGTTGACCATCAACAGCGCTCGGATCACGAACTTAATGGTTTCGAGGTCACGTAGCCTGCCAGCCATGAGTGCAGGCAAGCGCCAAGTGCTGTGGCGATTCTGAAAGCGCTACAATTGACTATACGCTCAAGCATGACACAAAAAAACAAACTGGCAGACGCTGTCGCGACAACGTGCGCGCATTTTGTTTGTCTTCGACTCTTCGTGCTTTCCGGTTTTCTTCTGACTGGATTAGATTGGATTGTAGTGGATTCAGCGCTGTCAGTGTTAAAACTTAAAAGACAACAAATTATTTGAATTCTTTTTTTAAATATAAATTTGAAAAAAAAAACATAATTACAAAAAGTCTTCACGTTTTTTAAATAAATACTCTAGACTTTAAAATCGTTATATCTAAAAATCAGCATAGTGCCACTCGACTGACTCGACTGCTTCTTGCCACCGTTGCTTCTTGCGCGGGAGTTGCGGTGACGTCAGTACGACTATGGTGCCTGGAGCGCGTCTTCGACTGGTGTGTTTACCGCGGCCAAAAAAGTGGTCCCTCGATTTCCGCCTGGTGACGTCATAGAAGTGTCATGCTGTCGCCGCTCGCGACCCTGGCGGCGTCCCACCAGCTGTGGTGTACGTCGCAGATGCCTGTTCTGCTGCAGGTCGCTTTCCACTGTGACAGTTCACGGAAGCTAAAGCAGCGGGAGTTGGGACGCCTAAAGGGACGCCGTGACGACAGCGACACTCACGTTCGCTCGAGCTTTTCGCCAGCATTTCTACGGCCAACCGCCAGGATCGCGACAGGCAACAGCATGACACTCGCGTCATTTGTTGCCACATCGGGACCACTTTTGATCTATGGGTGGGATAGGACGCTAAACACACCAGTCAAAGACCCGATCCAGGCACCATAGTACGACGCCGAGCTCTGATTGGCTTTGATTGTAAGGATAGTGGGTATTCGCGACTCCAGCGACCTACAGGGGGCGCCACCACCAAACAAACATGGCGGCTGATCAGTGGTCCAGGCCGCGGCGGCTCGGCCGGGCCGCCTGAACAGGTGGCGCGTTCAATTTAACAGATTTTCTTTTGTTTAATGCTCAATTTTATAGGTATTTGAACTGAGACGGTTAAGTGTAGCCGGTGCAGATAAACTTGCAAAGCATAGTTTTGTTTTGCCGGTGTTTTTTTGTTCTTTTTGTGTCAAACTTTCGTTTCGGAGATTTCGTTCAAAACCGAAACTATGGGCTCCGGAGAGACGGTAACATACTAATCCGTTTTGATCACCTAAGGAAAGCGGCGATGACTACAGAATTGTTCCACCGAAAGTAACTTTTCAGCTAACTCGCATGCCTCGACCATGCGACTTATCTGTCCGCGAAATCGAGCTTTTGTGCGTATCCGCGTTTACGAAACAGCTCCAGTCGTCTGCTCGGCCAACAACACAGGCTGCAGGAAAATTTCGAAAATTAAGCAACCGCTTCTTGAGCCAAGGACCCTGTTAACCCGCCGGCGCCCCACTAAGCAGCTGATAGTCGTATTTCAATTCAGGTTTTAGTAGCAATCGAGAAGTCATTTTGACGAGCAGGTTATGTATTATATTACGTACTATGAAGGGGGGGGGGGGGGGGGGGGGGGGTCCCACTAAAGCGATATTAGTATATCCTTCGGGTTGAAATATGAGCTCAGTTGACTAGCTATTAGGTGAGCTGCTGAATAAAAGTATATTTGACAGACGGAGACATACTATTTAAACTTAGCCAAATGGTTCTATAGCCGGCAGCACGGAGACAAACTGAAGAGGGTCTTCATTGAAGATCCACGCAGAACCTCTCTGCATTGAACTTTGCTTCGAATCCTGAACGGAGAAAATGAGTACTTTTTTGTGGCCGGTCAACCTGACCAATGTAGACGTATATTACTGCTGGCTTCGACGTCCTCGTAATATAAATATTGGAGGCGTGATAGGTCAAAATGCCGTGACAGCATCTAACGTTGCGAGACTTGTCTTCCACCTTTTAAAAACAGATAATTTCCCTCATTCATCATTTGCAGCGAGCAGGTTTTCCTGAATCAAGTAATTGCGAAATCAGCCCAACTCTTCAGTGTGGTCCAGAGGTTTTTTCGGCGAAAAGCAGCCAAGATGAATAGCCAACGCACCGACCGGCGTGGGTGGCTCAAACTTGAAGCTAACCGAACACAACCAAACTCAAGAAAAGCAGCTATTGAACCTTCCCATTCACTTGACTGCAACATTGATGTTTTCTCCAGTATCAGTTACCAAGCAGTCGTCACTTTGAATGTGATTCGAGACAGACAAGAAATCAAAAAGTTTTTCCGTGATTCCTCCCCATCCAAGAAATCGAAAGCACGTGACCGTGTGCTGTGGAGTAAACGGGCTTTCAAACACGTAACAGAAGAAAACAATCTACTGAGGCTTCACCACACTAATGATCACTCAGGCAAACTTAAGAAATATTCGGACCTTCGTCAAATTACATTGTTCGCCACCGCGCCGACAACACGTCTCCGCGAAAGCCACCAGAGACGCGGAGGGGCGCGGAGCGACCTGGACCGGCTGGTTCCCGGTTTTCCCGCTTGGCGGCGTCCGTTTTGCTGGAGTCGCGAATACCTTAGATGCATTGAGGTCTACCCACTATTTTTTTAGAGCGCAGCTTTTAGGCGCCCGTTTCCGGCTTGAGCGGCGTCGCCGTCGGCGTAACCGCGCGCGTTGCATTATGGGACGTTTCCCCGCTAAAGTTAGCGGGGAAGTTATTTCGCTAATTTTAGCGGGAAAATTTTTGGGAAACTTGCTAAATTTAGCTGGAAATTCTGCGAAAATTTCCCGCTAACTGGGAGGGGAGCAGGAGAGGAGGAGCATACACTCCGCTCCTCCTCCTCCTCAAGAGGTGCACTCTAATTCGGCATTACAGAAAATTGCAAACGTCTTTCATTTTTTCAAACAGCAGATAAGAGCTCGGCATTCTGACATCATCGCAGCCCTTGTGCAGAAAGCAGACAAACTTGTGCTCCGTCTAGCTTTCCTCAAGATTCCCAGCATGCTTAGCGCAAGCCGCAGAGAGCACGCTACTTTCCGAAATTAGGCTTTGCACGCTGTTGGGACCGTTTTGCATGGGTTAACCTTGGGACCATTTCGGTACGGCCGGTCGGGTTCATTTTGTGGGACGCCGCGGGCTACATAGGTATGGTGCCTGGAACACGTCTTCGACTGGTTAGTTCACCGGGTTTACCGCAACCAAAAAAGTGGTCCCTCAATTTCCACTTAATGACGTCATAGCTGGCGGTGTTCCAACAGTGGTGGTGTATATGGCAGGCGCCTGTTCTGCTGCAGGTCGCTCTCCAGAGTGACAGTCCACGTGACCATAAAGAGAGTGAACCAGGTTCAAACCGGCTAGTTCTCAATCGGTGGTTTTCGGGCAAAAAGAAAATGAATTTCGAGTTCCTGTGCTCTTGGTAGTCGAGTACAAATACAAACCTTGGTGAGCATAAATTCCCTGTCAGTGTCCCTTTAATGTGCACCACGCAGTAGTAATACACGACTGCACGCCAGAACGATGCTCCAGATCGAAATTGGCAGGGGTTTTGGAATTGAACCCAGGATCGCTGGGTTCTATATCGCAAGCTTTTGCTCCACAGGCTCCGAGCTGGCATGTGCTAGCCCACTCGGCCACTCCTCCTTTTTTTTTTCTTCTTCTTCTTTATTGCATAAAGCAGGGAACTCGGCCACTCATCCCCTTTCACCATAATTGGGGGAGGAGTTGAAGCATTGGAAATCGTGGGGTAATTATGAACCCCTGGGTGCAGGGCAGTTTCGCAGAACTATAATTTTGCTACTTAACTGTATCCAGTAGACGGTTTCAATAAAGCATTGGCAGACCCAGCACTTTAGTATAAAATAATCCTCATCAGGATCATTAGGACACAAATGTATGCGGAGAGGAAGTCATCTGCGCAGGAGTTGCGGTGACATCCGAATGACACAGAGTTCTGATTGGCTTTGATTGGAAGGATAGTGGGTAGACCTCATGATAGGTGCCATAAGGTCCTACTCCCTATTTTCAATCACCGAATAAAAGCTTGGCATTCTGACATCATAGCAACCTGTGTGAGCAGCAGACAAACTTGCGCTCTGCACCGGCCAACACTTATTCCGGACAAATGGTACCGGTTGAAATGGTCTCAACTGGTTGAGTTATGTCTGCGGCTTAGGCGAAACTCAAAGGTTTTGTGAAATATAAAACATTAGCCATATTTTAACATTACCTATTTAAAACATAGCACAGTTCAGTGGATGAGCCAAGCAGGTAAAGAAAATACAATATCACAAACAAAAAAAAAAAAAAATTACACAGTAGACTTACGACTGACTGCTTATGTGTAGGAAGGCGAAAGAAAGTCAAGGACGAGGCCTAGAGGGCGACTTCTAGGACTATGTCGAGAATAGCGCCTAGAGGAAGACACTTAATGGCGTATTTGCGTGGGCGGCCACGTTTACCTGCAGAAGCCGCCATAGATGTAGACGCAGTCGCATCACAGTCCGTCGCATGACAAGCACAGATGAAGCACGAAGCGCACCTTTTGCATATGGCACTCCGGTGGTGACATCACGCTGATGACACATTTCTATGGCCAACTTTCGGGCACAACGTGAATGCCGCTTGTTTTTAACGTAATGTGACAAGTGAGGCTGTCCTAGAAGTCTAGGACGACGCCAAGGTAATGGGACAAGGAGGGCCGCCCATTGAGCGGCGCGTGCCGCGCAATCGTCTTTTTATGGTCATTTACTCCGATTATTCACTTAATGGGACAAGGCTTAAAAAAAGTATTTAATGGCTCGACATGTAGGAGCGGGGGAGAAACGGGACTTACAATACAAAGCTCATTTTGGAGCGTTGCGTTGTCCGTAAACCAAATTTATAGAGATGCATCAGTCTAAACACATTTTTCAGCTATTTAAAGGGGCACTGACACCCCAAAGGTCGTATTTATTTTTATTGTCTAAAACGATGCAAGTTGCAGTCATAAACACGCAAAAAAAACCGCATCGCAAAAAAAAATTTTCCCGCGCGCGCGCGCGCCTTTTTATTTTTGGCGTTTGATTTTCCCGCCTCTCGCCTCCTCGCTTCTTTTGATCGGTGACGTCAAAAATCAGGAAATTTAGAAGCTTTGTAGGCGACATCTCTATAACATTTAATAACGGCAATCGTAAAACATGTTTTTTAACGCAATTGCGAACGCACTACGGCCCTTCTTTTTGAAATACCAAAAATCGGGAGTTCGTTGTGGTGCCGTCTCCTGGATTTGTATCCTCCAACGGAAAACAGGCGACACCGCTCAAAACCGGTCCGCCGCAACGCCGTCGCTGCCGCCGCTCACCAACACCTGCGCTCACTCCTTTCCTCCTCGCTTTGGGTCGCCATGGCAACAGCAGGGGGTGGTGAAAGAAAGTCGACTCTCAGGTCTCCGCGATTTTTGACGTCAAGGCACCGGCGCCGATCGCGCGGGAACTTCGAATTCGGCATTTGGAAATTGTTTTTTTACTTCACAAATTTCGAATTTTGAGGGTAATGTCCCGGCATCGTTATCAATCGTTTCGGATAATAAAAAAAAAATGATTTTGATGTGTCAGTGCCCCTTTAAGTCTGGCAAGACTAGAAATATCTAACTGCTGCAAATTTCGTAAGCCCTAGGGTTATAGAAACTGGACAGGGAGCATTCAAGCACCCACAAAACTTTAATTTGAATGATGCATTTCAGATTGCAAGAGGTTCATGTTTATTCAAGAATACATGCCCAATATGAAGCTAGAGGTAAACTTCCCATGTTTTTGTGAAACTGTGTGCTAGTTCCCAGCAGTCCAAGAGGGAAAGCTACAAATAACAAGAGCTGCTTGATATGTATTCCATGACCTTGAAACACATCTTTCTCCACCTAGAACTTGCCATACAGGCCCAATTTCTTCCTATTTCATGCCTGCTAGACTAGAACGAGCTTTGCAAGGTAAAGATTTGAAGGGGACTGCGGGTGTTGGGCTTGGCACATCTCTGTTACTGGGCTTTCCCAAAAATATCCTCCTCTTTTCTTTGTTTCAATGTCCATGTAGTATTAGAATGCTTTTCTTTAACAATAGCCACCACACATCAACTAGAAACTTTTATTTCTCAAGTTTAACTAGGAGAATATGAAAAAAAAGAAAAACGAAGAAAAAAGCCCATTTATGAAAGCCCTAATCTCAACGGGCCAAGAAATACTTGCAGCATAAGAATTCTTGCACACACACCTGTAAAGATGCAACTGCTTTTTTTATATTTATTTACAGAAAAAAAAAAAAAAAACACACCACAAACAAGGCAAGGAAGAACATGCCACACAAATATCAGACCAACAAATGCAACAAAAACCATTACAAGTCCAAATAAATAATCACGAAACTAATGCCAACATCTCGCAAGCAATGGCGAAAGAAAACAGTTTAAACCTGCAAATAATGGTGCACTCGCTGTTGAGTACGCAACACTTACAGAGAACAAAAAGCTTGTGCACCTTTAAAGAGATGTGTGTAAAAAAAAAAAAAAAGAGAGAAAGCTTCGTCTTCTGTCTAGCTATTTTCTTCCTCTTTGCAAGAGTGCTCTTCTCATAATTATATCACTCAGAAAACTGCCACTACCACATTTGAAATGAAAACTCGCAGCATAAGAGGGGTGTGGCAGCGGGCAGTCCGAACGATTTCCCACATACAAAAAGTGTCTATTTAACAGGAATCCCGAGGAAAGAGATAGAGAGACAAGCATCCAAACACTGCTCACGCTTCAAATTTAATTGCAAACTGCCAAGCCCCGTCTAGTTGCAGTGACTATGTTGGCAACAAATGCCACCGTACAAAGTGCTTCGTGCAATAAAAAAAAAAAAAAAAAAAAAGGGATTGGAGGGCAATTGGCTTGTACGCTACTATTGCTAAACGCGCTTGTTGCGAATGCGTTGCGGCCAGGAGACGCAAACACACAATCATCCAATATGTGTTTTTTGCCCGACCTGCAACGTGTTACAAACACAAGCCTCGAAAAAAAGAAGTAAACAAAAACAAAAAAACTCGAGCCGCTTGTCAGTAGGATTAGAGAATGCATCAATTGCTATGTAAGGAAAAAAGAAGCTACGCATTCACCGAGCATTGTTGCGAGAATCGCACCAGCGCACACATTTACAAGAGAAAACAAGAGACACCAGCCAAACCAATCTCGCGTCACACGCAGCTTCTCGCTTGCTCGTCGCACACACCACAAACTAAAAATAACAACTCTTTTTGGCCAGCAGTTAGTGGTAATTATTATAATAAACATACACACATTCATTCACACAAAAAAATTTTCAATGGCAATATGAAAAAAGAAAAACAACAGTATGGTCAAAGGCAGACAAAAAAACAAACAAACAACCAGTATGATCAATCAACAATACGACAAACTAGCCTCAACGTGAAAAAGGATCGGGGGAAAAATTCCAGCAGATTCCACAGCTCGTCTTTACTTTCTCGGTAGAACCAAGCCGTGACAGAAACAAAGAAAAAAATATAGCATAGAATTTTGAGGCAAACACTCGTCACTTGTTCGTAGTTCAACAGAACCCCTTCATCGAAATTCAGTTCCACAGTACGGCACGTAGCACAACCCTCAAACATCGAAAAAGACAGGGCAAACGCTTGCCCCAACCTAAAAAAAAAAAAAAAAAAAAAAAAGAAGAAGAGACAAAAGCAGGAGAGTTTCAATACTCGCGCACTGCCGGTCTTGCAGACGCAAGTCTCTCTCGAAATCGAAGTCCCCCGTTGTCGGCACACAAACTCGCGCCCCTTCCTCTCCCCCAACATCCGCTTCTTCCCTTTTTCTTTCTCTCTCCGCGTCTGCCTCAGTTCCCGCTGCTGCTGCTTCTCGTTGCCATTGTTCTTGCCGTTGTCGCTCGTCTTACTTGGAGCCGTTGACCATCGGTTGCTCTTCCCTGGGAGGCGTCGCGACGGCCGGGGTGCTTGCGACCTTACCGCTGCTGCCGCCGCTCGTGACGCCGGCGGGAGGTGGCGCGGCGGCGACGTTGCCCGTCGTGCTCGCTTGGCGGTTGCGAGGTTCTCGCTGCGTTTTGGGCGCGTCCGCGCTACCGACGGAATCGTCGGGCCGCACTTCCCCGTTCAGCTTCGATCCGTTGCCTCCGGCACTGCTCGCTCTCTCCTTTGGCTCGGACTGCGAGAGAGGGCAGATGCGAGGGCGTTCAATGGCGTGGTCCACCTAAAGGCTGGATCACACATTTTTCGCTCAAGCGTGACCGACGAGAAAACACGCCGGCATCGTCAGGTAGCCCCGGGACGCTCGTGTTCGGCATATATTTCTAATTTTCTTCAATGCATCGTTCTTTCACCGTGAGCTCGAAATAATTCCTAATGTTATTATTTGACGACACCGACCTTGCAAATACTGCAAAACCTTTTGCCTAGTTTCGGCACAGCCCCGGTCTACGCAACTCCGTGGCATTTTGGCGAAAAAGCAGGTTTTTACTGTTTTGGTGCACGCTCGACCGGAAGCATGCCTAGAAACGTCGCGACATGATGGTGACCAAAGTGCTCGACCAACCCCTGAAAAGGGCTTTTTAGGAGGTAGATGGAGAACTTAGAAAGAAAAAAATCACAACTTTCATGATAGGTATAGAATTGCCTTTGGCGTTTCGTTTCGTCGGCGCTCGTCCATTCAAATTGAATAGCACACTACAATCGAACCCGGTTATAACAAAGTTGACGCAATTTCGAAATATATTCGCAACTGACCATATTTGCTCAAAAAGTCTAAAAATTTTTCAAACACTAAGCATCATGGTCATGCATAGGCTTTCATAATAGGTGCTGTATACTTTTTGCATATTTTAAGTGCAAAGGAGCCACAATAAAGCCGCATTTCCCTTCATTACAATGAAAGCTACGAGAGTGCGTTGTAACATGCCTGAAAGCCCGCTTCTCCTTCCGAGAGCTTGCCCACTGTGGGAGAGCATACATAAAACGAGGAGCACCAGATGTGCATGATGTGTGCGCACTACCTTGGCGCGACTGGACAGCCTGCTGTGAATATGGCTTTCAACAACCAAAAAAAAAAGAAAAAAAGAAAGTGTGATCGGAGGAAATTAAACATCTATTACTAGGCAGTAATAGACGAAATGGGAAGCCACTTTGCACAAGTTCTTTCTGCGAGTATGTCCGCCAGCGGTTGTAAGCACGTCTGGCAGTCAAGGCCGGACATGGGTTGATCACAGCAAAATGCATTTTCGCCTACCTGAATTCTTTTAGAAAGACATACGCGATTCCCCCATACTCAGGTGCGTTTGAAAAACTGTTTTCTTCCCCCTTTCCCCTTTCCCCTTCACCCCCCCACCCCCCCTTTTTGGATGGTGAAGTAACACAACCGAAAAGCGTGTGCAATCTCGATATCCCTAACATACTTCAGTGACTCTCGCTAGCTCTGCAAAGCACGATTGAGAAGCACACAGAATGTCAAAACCTGGAACATGCTTGCAAGAGTTACAGCGAGAGTTACCCTCGCCGACTCCGCGAAGCACGTGATCGAAGCGCACGCTGTCCTGGGAATAAGTGTCTTCCTTCAACAATAAAGTGAAACAACAAATTTGTTTGTTAAGAACGGGATAAAATTACATTAAAAGTATAGCAGCACAAGAGTACAATGAATATTTGTTCATTACATACGAGACTTCACTATAGCCGCATTCGTCATAAGTGGGTTCAAACTGATGCTGCTAACATTCAGAAAAAAGAGGGGCCCTAATCTTGCGGTCACTTCCGCATCAGACGGTGAGAACCACCCACACAAAAGGCAACCCCAAGAGGAAGGAGAGCATACAACGCGACGCATGTTCGAATTTCTCTCTCGTGGTCGTCTTTGGCTCACGCTGTCGTCACCGTTTGAAAGTGTGTAAGCTTCGGCCTAATCAGTTTCCTATATTTTTGCCGCCGCGTTCCCGCATTTTTACGCCGAAGTTCCCGCACCTCCTTGGCCATATTCTCCTATAACTAGCCATCCCCTTTTCGCGATCTTGCGGCCGCATTGCCAAAAGCCGTCTCCTCACCTTTCGCTCCTTGACGGAGGAGTCCCTGGGGGCTGCGGGGGCGAGGTCCTTGGGGGGTGCGCCCTCCTTCGCGGCCGCGGGCTCCTTGCCCTGGGGGCCGTCCCTCGGGGTCTCCCCGGCGGGGGCCCCTCCCTCCCGGGGGGGTCCCCGGTTGCCTCGGTGGTGGGGTCCTGCCGAGGGGCCGTGCCCGGTATCCCGCGGCTCCGAGAAAGAGCGCGAGGGGGCTGACCCCGAAGGTCCCCCTCCCCCCATGGGGGGCGGGGGGCCCCGGTCGCCCCCGTAGCGCCGCGGTCGGCGCTTCTGCTGCTGCTGCGGGCGCTGCCAGTTGCTGCGCTGACCCTCCGTCGAAGCAACGCTCTCTGCGGAGGGGGAAAGGGACGCAACCCGCTCACACGTGTCCCTAGGTACGGTGGGCTAGTCACCGAAAAGAAGGCAACAGGGGCGGATATAGGGGGGTCAACTTTTTCTTTTATGAAAAACATTAGCCAAAGTCTACAGAGCACCACCTCACAGTCCAGTGCTCAAAGATGCTGCTAACAAAAAATGAACCCATTGAGCATTTTGCCCCACTTTGTAAAAGTACTTTTCAGCAGTAAAGGAGAAGCGACGCCTTACGTGTTTTTGCATTTGTTGCCTGCTCCCTCTTATGTAGCACCCAATTTCCAAAGAATTAACTGGTCTGTGCCGTTGTGGTGATCCTACACTTTGGGCTCATTCGATTTACCTGCGCCTCCTGCACCGGTGCGGAAAAGTGTTGGGCGGTGTACTTCCGGTGCGTGTTTTGAGATACGACCGGAAGCACACCGCCCTACACTTTTCTGCTCCGGTACAGGAGGTGCAGGTAAATTGAACTAGCCAAAAGTGTGGGACAGCTCTCGGGTACTGTTAAAAGCGATGGACTGCCACACCTCCCCCCTAGCTCACTGCAGTCCAGGTGCATTTTAGTCGTGTACTGCAACAAACAGAGATACAACAAGGCTGCCCCACTAAACATTTATTTCCCCCAAACTACACTCCAATCACTCCTAAGCTGCAGTGTCCGCCATATGATCGCACTCCCGCCCAGATTTGGATGGGGAGAGTGAGGCCAGGTGATGAAAAGGAGGTGGCCGACCGGTCCGGCGAGTACGCAGCACCCACCACGCTGTCAGCACGGAGTACAGCAGAAAAGCCGAAAAAAAAAAAAGCGTCGATGTGCTCGCAGGCCCAGTCTGCCGATCAAAGCGGATCTCTCCTGAAGCTTCCCTCCCTCGCAACAGGGGGTTTAAGGTCACGAGGCCACCTTTGTGGGGAGAAAGTACCTAGATCCAGCAGATTCCTCTCAGTAGACTTAAATTTTACATATCCTTTTCTCAAATTTTGGCTAAACTCCCCTTCCATAGAAAAAAAAACATTACACGCCACCCCTTAAGTAAGCAGATGTGCTTCATTCAACCTACATTTTGAGCCTCTCGACAGTTTTTCTGCATTCTGAAAATAACTTCAATAACCAAAGTGATGACGGAATGATGGCAGCTATTTGCCCGCAACGCTAGGCACCCTTAGTCCCTTGTCCCCTCGTAGTTGGTCGCACGACGTCGAAACTCCACTTGCAAGAGAGTTAGCCGGCAGGAGGTATGCCCGCATTGAGCGGGAAGTCCGCCCAAGGGGAGTCCTTGCCGGGGGAAGGAAAGGGCACTCGCCTCTGTCCAGGCTGGCTACGCTGGAGACTTCGTGGCTGTCCAGAAGGGATTCGTCCTCGTCAGTCACCCGCCTGCGGTCGCCACGGCCCCCCCTCCGAGGGGGGAAATCGGATGTCCCATTCTGCCGCTCCGGAGTCTGCCGCGAGCCTGCACGGAGCAAAAGGGTCTTGTACCCCGACGCGCGAGCGCAGACGTCCGATCGACAGGAGCCTCCACACCGCATCGGCTCAACAGCTCCCACGCAACGAGGCTGTAGCGCTCCATTTTCAACGTCGCCTAAAGAGCCAGACGCGAAGCACGGGTTGGACGAGAGTGGAGATTCCGCATTGGACCGAGACCCGTGTTCAATTGGCAAAGACACGAGTCTGAGCCGAACGCCGACGCACTTGTGTTCTGTTCCATGCTCCGAATCTCCCTCCTTAGGAGACGCACAGAATTCGGTGCTACAGCCGTGTTGCCGGTCAGCCTCGCTATGATGCCTGGAAGGCTTCTCTGACTGGCGTGTGCTCAGCATCTGCCCATATGCCGAAAGTGGTGCCTTCCGGCGAAGTGGCAACAAATGATACCACGAGAGCCGGAGTGTCCTGCTGTCAAAGGTACAAGGGAAAGTGCAAGTCACTGTCGTCCCCATTTTTTTGGACGCCACACACACCAGCCGGATGACGCGTTCCAGGCTTCGTAGCTCTATGATTACGGTACTGCATTCTGTCAACGAAACTACGTCCCAAGACTGGAGATCATGCACTTGACGGGTTGTACTCTTAGTCATCTTTGAAGCCACTGGCAATGACAAAAGGCACAAGGACACGTTGAGCAGGATGGGCTACTGCACTGATAAACGAGCCATACAGACGAGAAAGTTTTTGTGAAACAAGAGCACTCTTGCGATGACAAGATATGGCAAGATAGGAGGGAGTGAAATAAATTGTGGGAACATCCAAATGAGCAACTTTATCCTGCTTTATCCTATAGCAGAGAGTAGCCACTCCATTCTCAAAACAACTAATTCTGCTTGTGCCACAAATCGAAACGGCAAACCAAGTCAGATTCTGTTCAAATAAATATCAATTCCAATGAAATTCATTGAAAGTTTGACCCGAGAAAATGTTTGGCAGAACACGACGATTTCTCTTGGTCGGTGCAAATGTAAAGCAAGACGGTCCACTCGATTTACTTTTACCAGCCACGGGACACCAGGCGAGCAACAAACTATGCAATTCACATTGGAAGTCACTTGCCAACATACTTCTCAAATGGACACGTTGGCTCACGATGCTTAGAAACACGAGTCAATCTCCATTTTCTGCAAGGAAGAGTCTTGGAGAGGATATGAATGATTATAAACTACAAAGGTTAAAAGCACAAAGTGTATGTGTAACTTTAAGATTATTGGAGACTGGATAAATAGATCTAAAAACTCTGCCCGACCACACTAGTTTCGAGATGCACGACAGGCAAGCAAACGTGGTAGTTCCCACAGCAAAAAGATTAGAGATTGTGAGAGGACGGGCAATACATACCTAAACACGCACACCATGGCAGGGGGAGCACAATCCTTGGCACTCTAGTCAGCAAGCCTTGCTAAAGACAATTACTCTGCGCCATGCGGCTAAACGAGCCATGCCAGTTCAAAATGTGAACGGAGCGGGAAGCGATTGCCGCTACCGCAGCTATTAAAACCTAACACGACACAATCATCTGGCTCCTTCGTTTGTCGAGTGGTAAGAAATTCCACGCCAGTCTCGAATCACCCAAAAGGTAGCAGAACTTCACGACGTAACAGAACAGGTGACTAGCCAAAACGAAGGAGCACAGCAGACAGCCGTCATGTGCTTCGAGGGAGACCCTTCCAACCCTGTCGGCCGTTGTACGCAAAAGCAAACGAAACGAAAGCCGATGGATTTCCACCCCAATGAGAGCAATGTTGGCCAATCTGCCCAGCGTGCCAAAGATTGTGCTCCCCCCCAATCCGTCCATTCACAGACCCCAACCGGTCAAAACAAAGCCACGCAACGCGACAAACGTATGGAACGCCTCCAAGAAACAGTAAAAACAAAATCCAAGATTAAAAAAAAAAAAAAAAAAGAAATCTAAATAAGAGAGAACAGCGAAGGCAGGGATGAAAGGGTCTTCCCCCAAGCTGCCACCAAAAAGGCAGTTCCCAGACAAAAAAATTAATAAAAAGACGTCTTTTTTTTCTATTTGTGGTTGTTTTTGCCTTGTCTCTTTCCACAGACAGGAGTGAAGGGATGCTGGGAAGCTTTTTTTTATTCTGTACACAAAAAGAGAACGAAAGTGTGTGTCTTCTTCCAGCAACCATCCGAATCGGGCAGAGGAGACAGCATCGACGACAAGGGGCGCGTTGCCATGAAAATCGTGCAGCACGTATTGCAGGGCCCGCACAACCAGACGCGCGCACAAACACAGCCACGGCCTCAAGCGTTCAAGTTTGTGCCGCGATTGTCCGCTTGCACACACTCGTCTCCTGTCTTTGTCCGTCCCCACCTCCACGGGGCCAGGCGCACTTGCGACAGAGTTTGCCTCGACAACACTACGATTAAAAAAAAGCAATTCACGAGGTGGTCGGAGAGAAAGGTGCCAAGGTTTCACAACACCATTCTGCCGGCGCTTTCGGCTCGCAAACACACGTGCCAAGCTTGCGTAGAGGTCCTTCGCAAAGTTGTGTTGCTGCAGAGAACACCACGTGTCTACTGTTCTGCAGATAAGCCGTCCGACTCGAAAGAGGGGTTGGGGCTCATAAAATCAATTGTAAAAAAAAAAAAAAAAGAAAAAAGAAACTAATTTGTTTTTATTTTTTATGGTTAGTATTAGCGACGTAACCAACGACGGAACAAACATTATCATCTCCGGACACCTCGGAGAGCACAGACCCTTTCATTCCTGCCATAACACAAATAGAAGCACCGATGAAATTCCAATTACTAAATGCCGCCTCTGGTCTTGGAACAGACGACACACAAGAACGAAAAGGCGGGGGAGCGGCAGCCTGTCCGAGTCACGAATGACACCTTGTTGGGGGTGGTGCTAGCCCGGCGTCATGCACGCGGTGCACAGGCGAAGGAAACGCGCACAAACATACCACATGCACGAGGAAAACATGCAAACTCGCTTCCAGGTGGCTGCGCTGCAAGAGCGCAACTCCACCGTTCCCCGAAAACCCTAATTACAAAAGTTCAGGAACCTTTCACACTATGTATACTCCAAAGATGGACTTTTCGGTGGGGGGGTGGCGGCTTTGCATCCGAAACCAGTCGTCCGCAGGACGTACACATACGAAACTAAAACAAAACAAAGTTGGCTTTCTCCTCTCCCTCCCCTGGGTGTGTCGCTTGCACCCAATGACTAGCTGAAATCGCAGGCATGACTTATGGGAGCGGTGTGGCGGGAAGGTGTAAACACAACTCAAATAAAAAAGAAGAGAATCACAAAAATAATTTACATGGGAGTTAAAAGTGCCTCACCCAATGGGTGCCAGCATCTGACATCACAGGTCCACCAATTTGGTGTTGTTGAGATAATGAGCAAAAACTAGAAAGGAAATGACTGCCGATTTAACACGAAAAGGGGGAGGGCAGCGAAAGAGACCTGGAAGACTAGACAAACTAACGACAATAAGATAGCGGTGCCACGAAAGCCGAGCACGAGATCAAAACGGGAAACACCTTGCCCGTCCACCGCAACCCAATGTGAGGTGCCACTTGACACTCGTGATCGAACGTCAGGGAACGAGCGAGCAAGGAAGTGAAAGAGAGCACCGCACGTCCCAAGCAGCGCAAGAACCCTCCCCAGCTAGTTATGTACACGAGGGACATCTCTTCCCCGGGCCCGTCGAAAACACCGAGCTGCGGTGGGCCCGCGGAGCAAAAGGCATCGGGAGGAAACACCCTCTTCAAAGCCGAGGGGTGCTAAAGAAAGGTACGCCCTCCGCACTAGGAGGGCGGAAAGGGCAACGAGGGAATCGCTCATTGCCGTTAGACAGAAAGGCAGCTCGCGTGGCCCTGTTCCAGACGCACGAGACCGCGCAACACAAAGGCAATGGCTACTGCTTGCGCGGGCCCTGCGCCGAGGGGCCCCCTCCCCTGCCCCCTCCCCCCCTCCGCGCCCCTCGCCCGGGAGGGGGCAGGGAGTTGTGCACAGCGCCCCCGTTGCTCGCGGAAGGTGGGTGGTGCATACCGGCCGGTGCGTTGCTGCTGTTGCTGTAGCGGCCCTCTCCTCCGCCCCAGCGCCGGCCCCCTCCCCCCCTCTGGGGCGGGCCCCCCCGGCCCCTGCCTCCCCCCCGGCCCCCGCCCCCTCCCTCGTGGGGGTCGTGGGAGTGTGGGTGGGGATGGTGGTAGGGCCCGCCCGGGTGACCCCCCCCTCCCTGGAGGCCACCTCCCCCCCCTCCCCTCCGGGGCAGGGGGAAGCCCCCTTGGTAGCTGGGGGGGCCGCCCAGCTGGCTGCGCAGCTGCTGGTCGATCTCCAGCTTCTCCTGGCGCAGCTTCTCCACTTCCTGCGCCAGACAAAAGGGTTAGCTCCAAGAATGCCGGTGCCCGGAGCGCTTCTACGACTGGTGCATCTATTGTTCTTTCCCGCCCATGCGTCGAAAGAGACCCAAGTGGAAACAAATTATGTCCTGGGAGCTGCCGAGTGACGCTATCGGATGTGGCGATCCTGTCAGTTGGTCGCAGAAATGTTGGCAAAAAAGTCGGGTGGATGCGACAATCACCATTGTAGCAGCATCTCACATCGCGTCTGTTTTTGTTTCCGTCGACTGCCTGGCTACAGAGCAATCTGCAGCAGGACAGGCCTTTGCCACCTCCACCAAGATCGTGGCAAGCAACAACGTGATCCTCCTACAAGGTCGTCGGGCGAATATTGAGAGACCCCTTCAGTAAACACACCAGTCGGAGACACGTTCCAGGGGCCATGGCGAGGGACGAGGGAAAGAGCTCACCTTGAGGTGTGCCAGGTGGTATTCGAGGAGTATGCGAGCATTGCTGATGCTCTCCACCGTGCCTACAAACACGAAGGGCACCTGCAACGACAGGTCCGTCTGCTCGTCTATTATAGACCACCTCTCACTGGTACCTTTGCTCACACCACACACCGGGAGGGGAAAGGAGGAGACAGCGACACAAACTGCGGCCCTTGCGACAGTTGCAGGAAACTGTCCAGGCACGCGTAACAGAGCACACTTTGGCGATGCACGTCTGCCAGTTTGAAAGCGAGCTAGAGAAGGACGTTCTGAATGCGCCGACACAGAGACGACGCTGGCCAAAACGTCGGTTGCTAGAAATGGGCCGATCTATGTGGTCTTTAACGCACTTCCTCAAACAACTTACTATGACCTGGAAAAAGCCTTTTACAAAACTGACAGCACTTGACAACTGGGACAGTAAGCCCGACAGGTCCAACAGAGTTCTTAAAGGGCCCATGAAACGAATTTTGGGCTGGAATAAACCAATTTATATTGGGATTTTACTAATAGCACATCGTTCAGTGGGCCAAAAGAAAAAAAGGTAGAAAGTCAAAAGCCTGACTTTCGGTACGAAAATTTGAAACACAGCGGACTATTTCATACCTCTTTCCCTTCGTAAGCTCTGCCTTTTCACTGCGATACATACGCGGTCCCCGCAGTGCATCACCAGGTCCAAACTGAAGTCACACGACACCAGACCTCACTTAATCCCCTCCCCCCAAGCTGACATTGTGGTGGAAGCTACGCGCTTGCCAGACCAATCAGTTGCCTCCCTTTCATCACCTGACCTCCTTCTCTGCGCATGGGTATGCGTGAGAGAGCGTGATCATGTGGCAGAAGTGTGGCTGGCCCAACGAGCACGTAGCTTCCACAGCACAGTCAGCTTCGGGGTGGGGAAAGCAACTTTTGTCTGAATTTTGAGCGACGGGCTAATCTTCTAGGCAAAGAATGGTTGCGCCCGGGTACGCAAACGAGATTACAAGCAAAAGGGGACTCCCGCCTTTCCGTCTTCTTGAACTGTTTGGTAGAATGTGCGATTTATGAGTTAGGAAATCTAAACAGGAAAAAGTTGGAAAAGCATTTCATGACTCTTAAGATTACTTAGCAGTCAGATTCATTATTTCTTAAAATTCGGAACCATGCTGAGAGTGCAAGGAGCTTGGCTCTATACTTTCATTATAGAAATACTTTTCCTTCCTCAGCTTCTGGTACCAGAATGAGGTTAACAGGCAAAAAAAAAAAAAGCAAAAGCCCTTAACTATGACTGTCAAACATCATGTTCTGGGCACTGCGTCCCACACAAAACGACACAATTGCCAATAACAACACATTCTGAAGTAATTATAAGAATACAATGAAACAAACTGCCCAGAAAGTGCATGCTTTAAAAAATTAATGACTAATAAGCCTAGATACAATCTGGCAACACTTGTGGGCCTTTCATTACTCTGAGCAACTTTGGCTCGTCAGCGCTCTGCCGCACCATCAAAAAAGGACTAGCATTCTTTGCACTATAAGTGAAAAGCATTCCAAATCTGCCAAAGGATTGTGCCATTAGATGCCACGAGATGCAACCAACAAAGTGATTGTCCTCAGGCCGACAGAAGGGCAAACAGTATTAGATTGTGCTACAATACAAACCCTAAAGTAGTAACCATTATCTCCAACTAAAACAAGAGGTTGTAAACATCTGCCCGACAGTGCCTTTCTTACTTTGCTATTACAGAGCATGTCCAATGTAGTACAAGCCAGATGAGTTTCAAGGATATTGTACGATAGAATATAGTTGACGCATTTACGGTTCCCATGTTTTTTCCGCCTCTTACTCTATTCTGAATGCCAGTCCCGTTCTACTCTCATAGACATTCCTGTATTGATTTCCCATTTTTTTGTGGTTGCCTTCCCACCTGTTACTAACAAAAACTGATGCCCAACACGGCACATTAGGCAGCTTGACTGCAGCCACCCTCTTCCCTTTTAAAACAAGACAACCGGCAAGCCGGTTGTCTGGTTGCTGCCGTCGCGCAGAACTGCATTCTTACTAAAGCTAACTTTGATTTAGTCTTGAAAAGTGGAGCATGCCAAAGCAATCTTAAGGCACCCAAAAGCACCAATTGGTCGTTACATTCTCCAAGACCACATGCTTCTTTCTACCCTTGCTTCATGAAGAGCGAAAAAAGAGGGTTCTACTGCAAATGTTTATGCACAAAACCTGAGAACCCACAGTACTTCTGTAGCTTCATGTTGTATGTTCTTTGCATCTAGTACCCCCAGAAAAACAAACAAACAACAGACACCACTCGCAAACCTGCCATACGTAGCGTACAATAGGCATTGCCAACAGGTGACAAGAGGGCATGTTCGTGAACGAAGGGTACTGCTGAAGACTCCTCCAGATGCCAGAACGCTGCTTTGGTTACGCTGGCGAGGTGTCGCTCGTTTGTTTGCCCGCATTCAACAGCACGCAGGCAGCGAGCGGACAGAGAGAGGGAGGGGTCGTCAAGGAGGCTTCGTTACCTCTTCCCGGGGAGTCTCGTTTTCGTTGTCTCCTTCAATTTTTACCCTGACGACGCCAGACTTGTCCACCATCTCCTGAATCACCCGGCCGTTCTTCCCTATTACTTTGCCTGCAGGTAGATAAAAAGAACAGGGTGAGAAACAGTTCAGCGCCTCCTCATTTGGGAGTTCTCAAAGTGAGTCCCACAATTTTGGAAAGAATCCTTGAACCCAAGGAGGGGAAAAGGCAGGTGACAAGAGAAGGCGGAGAGAAGAGGCATGCACATGACACTAAGTGTTATGGTCGCTTGCATCAAGATTGAAACGGCGATGTACAGCAAAAAGGGTCGTCCTCTACACAATCTTTTTAAAGTGCCAGCAGCCATGAAATTCTGTAACAAGGTCGCAGGTCGCGGACGCAGCAGATTCGCGTTTCACAGTGCAATAGACGCATACGAACCTGTTACAAACTTGCCTGTCATGGGAACCAATATAGCGCATGCAGATGGCAGACAAGAACGCGGGCACCTGCTACAAACTCTGATGTCACGGGAACGAGCACCACAGATCGCGGACGATACAGAATCGCATTTTACAATGCAATACATATGCGGGAAAGCGCATGTTACAGGAGCCGACATCGCTTGTGCAGAGTGCGGACAAAAACTTGGGACCCGCTATGAACTTGCCTGTCATACATACCGATACTGCAGACAGCACGATTGATGCAATCCCTGCTAGACATTACGTGACGACCGACGGGAATCAGGGTGTGGGCGATGTTTCGAAATTTCCATGTTACGGATATTTAGCCAGGAAAACGAGAAGGGCAATCTCTCGGGGAAGGGCGTCCTCAAGGAATTTTACGGTATTTAATCCATTCTTGTTGATACACTTTCCACACTCCTTTAATTTCAGGTCTGAAGGGAAACTGCACGCAACCTCAGCTGTACACGCACTGCAGGTACACAGCGCGATACAATTGGCGTGAAGAAGTGATTGTAGGTTTTGCTCTTTCAATTCAAAGGCTGTCACCACAACTAACCAGCGCGGTGAAAAGTGCATATTCGGACCACCAACTTAAGCGGCAAAATGTAACGCTTGTCAGTACATTGTATGAGTAAATTGCAAACAAGTGTGAACATGGTGTTCGCGCCACCTGCGTCGCCTAGCATACCGCCGGGGCTGAGATGCAAAGCGTCACGGGATCTGTCAAAGGCACTCACCGACCAAAATCCTAGGCACTTGGATGGATTCCTCCGCATACTCAAGCAATCCCCTCGCCTTCTTCACAGATTCCTCCGTCTGAGAGAGAAAAAGAAAAAAATATGGGCAGACGGCACTGCATTCCTCAATTCACCTGATTTAAAAATCACAAGGCGCAATCGAAATTCATACCTAACCCCAACCCAACCCAACCCCCCAACCCCCCCCCCCCCCCCCGAGCTAGGACTGATGCTTCTATGGCGACTTTCGCCGAAATCGTTGCACAAGCAGGCTACGCCAGAAGCACGAGATCCGTGGTTCGCTCACTGCAGCAGCAGTTTTCAAACTTCCGAACCTCGAGGAAGCCCTATTCCTATCGATGATTAGCCAAGAGACACCTCCCGGTCATGGCATTGATGAAGTAGAGCAGTAAGTAAGCCTAACGACCGTAAACAATATTTATTTATTTTATTCCTTTGGCCCAGAGAGCATCACAGAACAGAAAGGAGCAGAGAGCAGACAAAAATATGTGAAATTGGCAAAATACAACAAAGGAACGACCAATGTAGGTAACAAGGAGAAAAAAAAAAAAATCTTCAATGGCGAGCTTGAGAACTGATGTGTTAATGACTAAGGCAACCAAGGTGGGCAGGTGGGGGTTCCATTCAGAGCTGGTCTAAGGCACGAATGAATGAAAAAACACGTTAATATGACAATAAGGGACATCTACTTTATGGCAATGACCCGTACGAGAGAAGTATGACGGCTAAGAAAGAGGCTCACTTTTTAGCTACCAATTATCATCAAATTTTGTGAAATAGAGCTAGTCGTGATACTGAGTTAGTTTTCATCAATGACACGCTTGATAAACGATTGTAGTTAGAGACAATGAAATACGCACTGCGATCTTGTACTGCTTCTAGGTTATTAGTAGGGATGGACCAAATCTGCCGAATTTGAGATTCGGCAAGCGTGTGCGCACGCGTAAGAAGGCGACGGGGCCATGGATTGCAAATGGACGCTGTGCGGTTACCATCGAAGTGTAGTATTACCAGCGGTTACGGCGAGGTGAGGAGTAGGCGACATGGTCACTGTGTTTGTCAGCCTTTGTGAGTGGGGTTCTCTTCAATATTTTCTGCCCTCAAGAACAGAAGATCGACCAGAAATGGATGCAAAAATTATGCAGTCCATTGCACAAATGACAAATGATGCGGTACATTTGGGATAACATGATTTTCATTTGATCTCTCTAGTGAAGCAAAGTGGTAGTTGCAGCATTGACGGACAAATATAATATTTACTGGTGTACAAGACGCATCATTGTCCAAGACCCCCCCCCCCCCCCCCCCCTCCCCCGTTGCAAGTTTCTAAGTAAACATTAGTACATAAGATGCGTCTGTGTATAAGACGCACATATATGAAGCAGTGCAGCTGTCGCCATCTTTTGCCATTTTCAAATGCTGCACGGCAACGAGTTCAAGGAGACACTTGGCATGCGGCATTTGAACCACGGATATTGTGGTGACGGATATCTGCGGACTCTCTTTTGTATAATGAATAAGCAGCGACCCCGACTTAAAGGCACTTCTAGTAGAAGCCAACACCGCAATATGACCCACAAAAATTGCGCAATATTAAAAATATTAAAAGGACAACTTGGACGGCAATATATATAGGGTTTGGGCTTTTCGGTTTAAACCGATAAAAGTATGCCGAATCCATTTTCGGAAATTCGGTTTTAACCGAAAAAAGGTCAGTTTTTAGGTTCGGCATTTTCGATTTAAACCGATAAAAGTACGCCAAATCCATTTTCTAAAATTCAGTTTCAACCGGAAAAGGTCACTCTGACCTTCCAGTCGTACCGCAGAGCTGTGGTGAAAAAATGTAACGACAGTGTCTATCGAAACGTGTCTGTCCGAATGTACGGGATACACGGGTGCCATCACGACGTTTTGGTTTAATGTGCGCATCATCGATCGGAACGTAAAGTCCAAAGTGCCCCATGACTTCGCCATGTATGAGCCTGTTTTCAAACTTTTTGTAAGGGAGACTGACTTGATGCAAGCTCTGCATGTTGTGTGGTGCTTCAAAACGTTGCACCGTCTCTTTTGGCGGTCACAATTGGTTGATTGGGCGATTTTGGATCAGGCAGCGCTTCATCTCCTCAGCCTGCCAGTGTCCAGTTGTTAGCGTTGAGAGGGCATTCTCGAAGCTCAGGGTCATATTAACAGGAAAGAAACAGTGCGGATCAACGAGGAGAACCTGGGAAAGTACATGTGTGTGTGTACTATAATAAGAACATGGAAGATGAACTTCCATGATTTTGGGCATAGGCTTCATATCTGGCTTGTTTGTACTTATGTTTTTTTTTCTTTCTTGTTAATTTTACAGTTGTACACATTTGCCAAATAAAGTGTCCATTTCTTTTTCAATGTACAGTATAGACCACTTACAACGTAACCGCTTATAGTGCAGGACCGGGTATAACGCAACTTTTTAAAACCACCGGTTCACCTCCCATAGAACTCCATGTATTTACATACCGCTTAAAATGCAGGCGTGCGAAGAAAAATACCGGTTATAGTGCGGTTTCTGGAACAGCCCGCCGACTGCGCCGACCGACCGGCGCAGCGAGCACGCTTCCCTGTGCGACACTAGATAACGACGCTAGCCGCAAGCGGCACTCGCGGGGGCAAGGATGACAAGGAGGTTGCTTGAACTGGGGAGAAGCGAAGAGAGAGGCTTCAGTTGCCATAACGACGGAGGGACGCATGCACGTGTCGTTTCACGTGCGTGCGTCCCTCCGCTGCGTAGGAAACAACCGCAACGACAGACCAATCGCAGGTCGAGGTGAAGTGTTCGCGCGCAGAGAGCGCGTTACACGCCGGTCGCGGGCCGGCTTCTTCTATCCGCAAACATGGTGTCGGTTGTGATCGTCGACGTAGACGGCAAGGTGGAAGCCCATCGTTTCGCGTAAAAGCGCTATCCTTGACTAAATTTTCCTTGTGTGTCGCTATGATAACCCAGCACGTACTAGAAGAAAAGATCCACCTACTCGTGCGGCGATGTCGTGGCGGCACTCTCAAGACGGCAGAAGCGCCCGTGTCGTCGTGTTTGTTTACTTCGACTACAGTGGTGATTTCTAAGCATTTCTGTTTTCGAACATCGCCTGAATTTCTTATTTGGAGAATTTCACGCCTGAGCTCAAGTTGAAGGTATTACTGGCGCGTACCGTATAAAGAATTTGAATTTTCACGCACTTTCATCACCGGAGAAAAGTGGTTAGGGTTAGCAATCCTGAATGCTCGCAACGTCCGTCCGCAACCCGCGACGCCGTTAAAAGGCTGCGCCAGGCAAAAGTCGCTAATTTCTTTCAAAATGTGACACACTTAAGAGAGAAGTGTACTAGTCTGGTGAAATAAAGACTTTCCTCAAACTGAGCTTTATTTTTCATCTAACCTAAAATAAATTCTTTTACAAAGGTAAGTTGTCTCACGGCATGTATTTTGGCCTGAAAAATTGATATTTTGGTTATAGCGCAATACCGCTTATAGTGCGGATTTTCGCGACTCCCGCGACATACGTTATATGCGGTCTACACTGTATCTGTGCCGTTATTCTTGGAGTGATCACAGATATCAGAGCTGCAAGGATAATCTGATCTGGTGTCCATTGGTGTTTATTTTATATTCACCGAAAAAAGACGATAAACTTTTGTGAACATGAATATACGCAAAAAAAACCCACGAAAATTTAGTTTTAAAATAAACACCGAAGAAAGTATGCCGAATTAAAAAAAAACAGAAACCAAAAAATCCGAACCCTAACTATATAGTACCCAACTTCATGCTCAGGCTCAAAAAACCATGTCAAACAACGTCCCAAAAAAGAAAAGAAAGTGCAGCATGATTATTTTTATTTAGAGAAATCTAAATTGTTTTTACGTGCAGAGAATTTCTTTTTTTTTTTTTAGTTTTATACGCTCTACAGATTGCAGTCAAATATATCAAAAGGCGCGCTTGTAGCACTAGCCGTCACATGTCCAGATGAATATCACAAATTAAAAAAGCTTTAGAACTTGTCTATCTACTTCCCCACAACAGCTGTTCACCGTTCTACCATAATACACAAAAGTCTGTAATTAGAAGTTTCAGTAACTGGACGAAACAAGACTTTTTCTTGGACTCTTCTCCCTTGCGCCACGCTGTCGATGACTGGGTTGAGAGCGCCTCCCCGCGGAGAGACGCCGCCTCCTTCTCTTTTTCCGATTATGCCCTCTCCGGACAATGGACAGGCCGGAGAAGCGTTCGCACGCTTCGGGATCTCGGAGGCCATGCTCCCATTGAAGAGCCTCTGGATGGTTATTGCCTAATCAATGTGTCGGCCGTGCAAGGACTGATCGATGCTCTACTGTGTCCCAAGTGCCATAGAGGGAAGCTCAGCTTGCACGAAAGAGGGTCATTCCGGAATGACCACCTCAGTCGTGAAATCGGAGCCGATCCACCTCTCCTCCACGTGCCCGGAATGCCAAGAAAGAAAACAAGTGGAAAGGAGGTGACTGCCAGCTAAATCGCATTGTCTCGCGCCGTCAGTAATGCTCCTAAAAAAGGTTTTTTTTCGTGTAAAACTTATTTTTTGAGAGGCAAGTCCCAACCAGACTGCTTAAAAAAAAAAATTTTTCTTTTCAGGGGCTTTTTAAAGGGGCCCTGCAACAACGTTTTGACTCGTTTTTAGTTTGCACCGAACCTGAGCGCACTGAACGTAGTAACTTAAAGAAATTTTTCTTTTCTCAAATTTCACATTATTTTAAAAGTTATAGGCACATTAGAATTACAAAAACAAGCAAAAAATAACCTCCTTCATGACGTCGTAGGTCCTGGCTTGAGTGGCCGTGAACTAGAGGAAGAGTAGTGAGCTCATCGAGCGCTCACGGCTGCCGCACTCCGTGTCGACGGCTCGAAAGGGCGCCACTAAAGCACGTGTTGGATAGGCTGTGTGAAGCGGACGGCCAGGGCGGCTCGCATTGCATTTGCTGCGCGATTAAAGACAGAGACGCTGCCCACTCCCCAGTGCGTCCTGATGATTTTCTGCCAGCTACCGCTAGGTGGCGGTGAACAATAGGGGATCGCCGCGACACGGCCAGCTCGCTCGCTTCCTATACTCCATTCACTAATGATGTGACAGGACGGTGGAAGCCACATGCTCGTTGGATCAGCCGTCAGTTTTGTGCTGTGTGATCACACTTCCTTCGCACACTACGGCGCAGAGTGGCAAACGGACCCGTGAGCTTAACGGTGAATGCAGTCGGCGCTAGCAAGTCACGAGGTGCTGCCCACCCACCTCTCCAAAGATCTTGAAGGTGCAGGAGGACTCGGCCAGCTCGATGCCCGTTACCCCGTCCAGCTTTCGGGCATTCTGGATGTTGGCCCCGTGGGCCCCAATGGCCAGCCCCATCAGGTCCTCTCGTACGCTGAACTCCTCCACAAAGCCGGAGCTCGAGTGCAGCCGCGTGCTCTGTCAGTCGGGCACAGACGCACGAGGGGAGAGGACACAAGAGCTACGTCAGTGTGCGCAGGCGCATCTTGCCCGACACTGCAACTTCATATCCGACTCTTACTACGTTTATGTTAGAGATAACTGGACCAGTGCAAAGCTACGACCCTGGCGAGCCAACCAGAAGGGGCACACGACAGCATATTCTCCTGAAACGAGGTGTTGTGCTTCTTGCCCCGTCACCCTGTTTGGCTCAAGAGGGCTGCAGCATTCGCTCTTTGCCAGGTTGCGCTAAAACAGAGCATACAACGGCTCCAATTCTCAAACTTTTCCCACGATGAAAAACATTTTAGATGCTTCCAACTTATTTCTGTTGGTAATACCAGTTCTGCCACTTTCTGGGACAAAACCCAACTAACTACAGTGTAACTACGTCCAAAGTTTTGCTCTCAATGGTCATGTGTAGAAAGAAGCCTCAAAGAAACGTGGCCATTAGAAGCCCCCGCTTAACGTATGGCTACGTTGAAACAGTGCCGCTCTGTAGTTTTCAATTCTTAGATTGCTACCGCAAACAATGAACCAATGTGCTTAAACCTTATCTTCACTCCGACCCATCCTGCCAGTTCCTAAGTATTTTTTTACAGCACGTCTCGGCATCCACTAACACCCACCCCAGAAGGCAGCACAAAACATGTAAGACATTTTTTTTTTAGAACAAATACACTCGTAGCATTGTCACATTGCTCTTCATTGTGCAATAGATAAACAGCTCCCCACCCCCCCCCCACCCCCGAGGCAGAAGCAAACAAAAAGTTAACCGTGCGATTCTCGCATTTCTCTCAACTAACATACCAACGACACAACACGCAAGAGAAAAGCGGGACAGTACGGAGCACGAAGAATGCTAAGCAAACAGACAACAAAAAAAAGTGCACGCAGCAGTTAGCACAATTCAAGTTAGCCAACAGTTGTACATACATTCGTTTATGCCTGCCAAACAATGTCTCATTTTCCCAGAGTGTGCAAGCTTTTGGAAACAAAACTGTCAAATACCACATATTCCCGCACAGAGTGTACACCTGCTTGTGAAGACAGCCTCATGTTTTTTCTTTGCAAGAGAGCCAATCGCCAAGAATTACGGAAGGAGGCCGGTGAACAAGGACGTGCAGGTAACACTCACACTGAAAACAGTGACTTACCCCGGGTTAATGAACACACAAATGCTGTGCAGTACATATAACCCTGTGCAGGTTGCTGTTTCAGATGTGCTAGTTACCTACTCATCCCCGCACGATCCACTCCCACATGCTCTGTGTGAAAGTTCACAGACGTGCTGGCTACCTTCGTCATTATGTGAAAGTCGTGAGAAAATGGGCGTGCAAGTTTGATTCCCCGCAGAGTATGTAGAAGCCAATCGCAAGCTCGCATAATCCGTGGAAAAATATGACTAATTAGAAAAAATATTGCAGAATTTTTAGTAGGAGTACAAGAACTAGTAAGCAGAGCAAGCTGGGAATAACATTTTTACTTTTTTGAAGACAAAACGAGAAATCCCTTTGTATGAAATAATGTTATTGACTTCCAGCAAAGCAAATGATACCAAAGTAGTAAGGCACCATACAAAAAAAAATATATGAAAATAGAAAGAGTGCAATACTACACACACTGATAGCAAGTGTGGGCTGTGCCAGAAGTTATGGGGGATTGAACACATGCCATGCACGCACAGAGCACAACACAGAGAAGTGTCAAGGAATGGGGTTAGCTGAAAACACACCTTTTGTTTCGAATTCGGGTCCCCTCTTTGAGAAGACTTACGATTCTGCAAGGGAAATTCATAAGCAAACCAGACAAGGTTGGGACGAGGGTGGGAGAGAGAAAGGAGGACTCAAAAAGAGGGATAACACTCTCTCAAAGACGTTTCAGGGTGTCAACCAAATTACTCCTTTAAACTTTTTCAGGCTCTCCCTGAACATTTTAATTAATATTCCCATCCATCGCAAAATAAGGAATTGCAGAGAATGGGGTTGCAGCGGCTGTTTGGGCTGTTCCCGTTTAATCCAGCGAATCGGCTCGTGGCTTTTGCTACCTATAGCCTGTTACAAGGGGTTAGGTGCTGAAGAGGTGTGGGGATGGCGGAACTGGGTGGAGCTTAACGAAATGATGCGTCGGAAGCTATGGTCAGTGGCAGGTCAGGAGTTCAGGGGAAGCTCCTCCCACCTCTCGAACGCTGGAGAGGAGGTGACTTCCTCTTCAGCATTCACCCTGCTGAAGTGGAAGAAGGTGGGAGGAGCTTCCTCTAAACTCTTACTGCCGAATTCACAAACCTCACTTCAATTGAGGGGCCCCTCCACTTCCTAAAGGAAGGCGATTGGCACTGGCCAATCGTGACGGTGGATCCGTCGTCGCAATTGGCCAGCGCCGGCCCTCACGCCCCTCAAGTGGAGGAGCCCCTCAAATGGAGTGAGGTTTGTGAATTCGGTGGTTGGTTAACCTTTGACAGACTATAGTGATGTCTTGGGCAAGTGTCACTCAGCACGAAGGCCATCCTCCCCACCAAGTGCAACACCTTCCCACTTTGATGCGAGCCATTGCGCCGCCCTCATCTGTCATTTTCTTGGCTTAACCGATTTTCTGACATTTCCCTAACAATTCCCCAAGTTTTCCAGATGCTCTGAAATTTCCTGACAATTCCAGGTTTTCTACATTGGTAAACACCCTGAGTGTCTCCCCCAAACACTCGCGCGGCGGCGGTGGCAGAGCCATAAAATGTGGCGAGATGGGGAAAAACGGTCGAACACAACCACAAGTGAATATCACAGACTGCAAATTCACTTCCAACAGTCAGTACAGCCCCATACTACAACAAACCTGTAGTCTTGTGCGAATAGTGGATTTTGAGTTCGAAGCGAATTCGAAGCGAATAGTGGTTTTGGCCGAATATTTTTGAATCGAATATCGAATAGTTTTTCCACACCTTTCACTACCATTGCGTAATGCTTAGATGAAAACCCAGCTAAACTTGTGAAGGTTGTTCCATTTGTTCATTTACAAGCTAAGTTTAATCTATCTATATTTATGAACTGTGAACAAAGAAGGTATGATGTCTTAGGATGGCCAGTAAATGACTGATTTGACATAAAGTGAATCCTATAGAGATGGCCAACTATACCCAGTTGAGTGAATTTACAAATCTTGCTATATAAAATATTTTTTTCTTTAATCTCGAGTTAAGAGAGAAGGAATCGTGCATAAGGAACGCAGGTTCCAAGGACATCTCTGCCCAACATAGTATAGTCTTGCATAACAGTAAGTTTAATTTTGAAACTTTTACTGGCAATGTAGATATAGACACTCACAAAGTTTCCATTTATTTTAAAGTGCAGACGGCACGCGTGCACCATCCTGCTTTGAATTTATGCTTTTCATCCAAGCACGCAATGGCGATATTCATACTTTTCCAAGTGTTTATCACGGCAGGTTACCTTGTTGAGTGTGCTTCTTACCGAGCACCGATGTAATGCAGAGAAGCAACACCCGCGGAGCTCGCTTTCGCGGGTATTGCTTCTCCGCAGTGCTCGAGTGCTCGCTAAGAAGCATACTCAACGGGGCTAACCCGACGCAATCAACACTTCGAAAAACACAAATAGTACACTTCTTCTCGAAGCGAATATCGAATAGTGTATTGTTCGAAACTACTATTTGAAATTCCAAATATTCGCACAACCCTACAAACCTGCATTAGGAACAAACAGTCAACCCATTTCGTGAGGCAGAAACATTTATATCAACTCTATACTCGGCGTCAACTTTTTCGTGCCATCATGTTGTCCGGGCTAGCGTGGTCTCTGCACTGCCGCAGCTCCGCACTGTAGCAAGAGCACGTGGCTTGGTCGTGCGTGTAACTTAAATGCGCTCTCGTGCAAAGGAGGAGCCCAACGAAGCCACACGTGCACACAAGTAGCCTCAACAGTGTTGAAACCATGGATGTAGGGGCATGACGCCACCAGAGGCTAAGCCAGAAGTGTGTAGGGACACGCCCTCAACAATGACCAAAAACCACAGCTGTTTCGGTCACCTATGGGAGCCCGGCGCCCGAGGGTGACCAAGCCAGCTGTGGTCTCGGTCGTTGTTGGGAGCGTGCCCCTTCACACTTCTGGCTTCACCTCCGGTGGCATCATGTTGCCTCCAGAACCTTCCTACCTCCATGGGTGAAGAAGTGCGGAATGTATGCTAGCCCTTGCAGCGTGGCACCGAAAGGTAGACGCCGAGCACACATCTTGCAAAAATCTACTTTGCAAAGTAGAAAAAAAAAAGATATGCTACATTATGCGGGCCAGCAAGTGTGCAAGACTCGAGTGGTTTTTCTTCCCAGTGTCTAGTCTTTTAAACGCTGCCCGCAAGTTTAAAGCCAAGGAGGCTTGGGATTCCGAATGTCAAACAACGGTCGAGTCAGCCACATTTCCCCGTTTCTGTAGGTAAAAGAACCTTTGGGCCCGTGCAAACGACAGTACAGAGTACAAACGTATTCATATTGCCATACGGGAAGTGATCGATCACGTCTTGCTGAGCGGACGTTCGAGATCTCCAAAGTGGTGTGGCAAGATCTGTTCACCATAACATACCCTCGAATGACAGCCCACCCCCATCTTTTTTTTTCAAACACCAAAAGATAGTTCACCCCTAGTTAATCGTAAAGTTTGGATCAATGATGAACTTGGCGTAAATGCAACAAGTTTGGCAGGGATACATTATCTAAAAATACAATTTTTTAAACTTTCCTCGACTGCACTCTCAAAGTTAGTCCACACCTTATTTTCGCTCAATTTGCTCTCCATTTTAGGTGGGCTATCTCTCTGGATATTACAGGAGTTGTTTCCTGGTTCAATTGAACCGAATGTTTCCTGAATTTTTTCATTTATTATTTTAGGGGTATGGAAGGTCAGCCCTGCAGGTACACTTGTCTGTATGGGCTCCCATCTTTCCACAGAACTCGCACAACCTCCATGCTTCCTTTTTTCCCCCCCTCTCTTAAGTGCAATAAAGTGAGAAGTATGCTGTTGAAATCACGCTAGACAAGGCCTCAAAAACAAACGTTACACTCCAAAGCCTGTGTGAAGCCTACCGCTACTCAAAAACGCCCCCCCCCAAGAACTGCGACTATTTCAAGGATGTTTGAAGGACGAGCAATGCAAATTTTGAATGCAAACTGCTACTAACCAAATTTAATTACAAAAAAATATTAAGACAAATGACGAGTAAATGCCACTTGGCACATACCGAAAGAGTATGGAGACCTTCAGACAAATGTATTTAGTAAGTGGAAAACCATGCACTCTGCAGGCTTCGCATAACAGAACGTTTTTTTAAAGCATGAAACACTTATTGACGAACCCCCTAATCTCAAAACTTTGTCCATCAGGTTGTGCGCTTTCCCATCAGGGGGGACACTGATTAGAGATTTAACTTCTGAACTACTCAAGTGATCAGAATGAAATTTGCAGAGATTTAACATCAGATGTATATGTATTGTGCAAACTTTTGCTCTCTAGGACAATTTAATATACCTGCATTAGAAGATGCGTCACTCTTCGTTAAGAAATCTATGATATGCAAATGAAGCTATTAAGCACCATTTTGACTGCTTGAATATAAAGTGGGGTATGTGGGACTCCGGGCTATCTAGTTTTTATATAACTCAAATGTAAATATTTCAGGAAGAGTTATTACCTCAAAGTATGTGATGCATATCTGTCCCATTCAAAATATAGTTTTTAAATTTCACTTTAGGAAAACTATCGTTTGGTTATTACATAACTTGAATTAATTTTATGAGTTTTTATGGGTTGAAATTTTAAGGGGAAAATAGCTATGAGCTTGTATTTGTTTTGTTATTTTTCATGCTCAAAAACTAAAATTTTAGACAAAGGATGGAAATCTAAACAGTATTTGTGTTTATGTCACTTTTTTATTACGAAAGATGGTATAATATAGAAATATAGTTGCATAGCTATCTGCTCTGAACTGTCCCTAATAATATAACATATGAAAATGACAAATTTATAAGTAATTTCAAAACGATAGTTTTCCGACGAAGACAGGACCAATTACGTCTTTGAACATTTGCAATTTTTTTTTTTGCACTTCACCCAGGTTAACAAAATTTGGCAGCAATGTTCTTAGCATAAACAGAAACAAGCCCTGTAAATGTCATTTAAATCGGACCAGTGCGTCAAACATTCACTTTTTTGGACAGTGTCCCCCCTTGAGGGTGTAAATAATTAATTTCTAAAACCGAAAACCTTAAATTTGAAAAATGCACTTTTTCGTGATTTGATGTGACCCAACATGATGCGACTGGTCACATGATGCTACGGTGTTATCTGTTTGCTACATTTGACAGAAATGATGGCACGTAACCTGACGTTATGCAACATGGTCAGGCGATGCAATGTCACAGTGTCAAGCACAGTGACATCAGCTTCCACAGTAAATTTAGCAGGAAAACTGATATCGGGTCACGTGACCTTACATCAGGGGACACCCATTTCCCGCTAAAATTGGAGGGGAAATGATTAAACAACATTGTCTTGTTCGTGCCCCGAAACGACTGCATGACATCTTCTAAACAAATGTGAACAATTGCTCCTCAACTGCCGCATTCCATGCATTATAAAACTTGAGAGACAAAGGCACTGTCAAATTATTTTTTTTTTATTTAATCTCCCTAGAGCAGTTTGCATTGTTCCAGGAAACTTAATAACATTAAAAAATAGGTTTTCAGCATATTTGCAGCAATGGTATGAGGAGGGAGATTAGGAAATGACAAAAAAGAAACCGCAAGGAGAAACATGTGAGGCTGGGCAAAAGAGAACTCTGATCAAGCATTGAGTTGTGGTATTCACAATGTACAGTGCACAAGACAGGAGCTGTTGCAAACCTTTTTTGCAGGTCATAGGCCAGTATACCAGCACTAGCAGCTGTCTTCAGTATGTTTGGTACATTGGTGGACAACCATAAATGGACATGTAGTTGTATATACTGAACTCTGTGACATACGAAAGCCACAGATTTTGCAGTTTCTATAACCAGATTTAAACACGAGGCCACTGACCTAAGAGGCCTCCATAAACAAAGTAAACGAATTGTTGAAATTTTGAGTTTTCTTACAGCTATAGAAAGCGGCTTCTTGACACTAAAAATAGCTTGGAACCCGTCCTAAAAATAGTGTTCTGCCATTCAACTTTTGATACAAGTGTTCTTATGTGTTCTAGTTAAAAATTAAAAAAAAAAGGACACTTTTGGCGTGCAAACTAGTAATTTACTTTCGTCTAAACGAGAATGATGCATGGTGTCAGAAGTGGAAAAATCATCCCCTTGCATCATAAACCATCTTCTGCAGCCAGAACCATTCAAAATGAGGGAGCATGCTGTCGCAAATCGCAGGAACGTCAGGCAGAGAATGGAACTCCTTTTACTGGCCACAGGACCCAAAGGACCTTTCAGTCTGCAGTACAAAGCCACCATCCTTCTGAACACCGCAAGACAAGAGACAATTGATGTATTTAACACCGTTGGGCCGACAGTAGAAATCAAGAATCACCGCGGCCTTGTACACGAAGATTCAAGGTGCACTGTTTCTTCTTAGATCCAATGAACACATGAGCACTAGGCGTTCCGGATGGCAACAAAATGAAGGAAGTTTAGCAAACCCAGGGAGTCAATGTGACGCAATCAGGCCGTAAGGAACAAGTGGGTGGCCTCGAGAAAATATTCCATGAAAGAAGAATCTGACATCGAGAATGATGGACGATATTGCTGTGGACATAAAACTAAAGTAGTGCCTGATCCTCAAAACAAAGCGTGGAATGACTTAAGATCTAAAGACTGGCGCGACTCAATGTTCTTTAAGGGGGGACATGGCCTCGGAATTCCAAAATTTCAGAAAAAATGTTTTTTTCAAAAATTATATGTTTATGTTTATTAACTTTCAAAGAATGGTTTCAGAAAATTTCATTTATAAACATGCAGGATTTATCTCTCAATAAATTATTTTCGACTTGTCGGCAGCCCTCCGAGTCAGCAGGGAGCAAGTTTTGTGTGTTCTTTTTTTTTTAGTGCTGCTTCATACTCGTTTAACATAGCCAGAACATTTTACCCTCATTGAAAGCGCCATTTACTCTAGATTTCGCCCATTGAAGCTTTCAAAGTTTAAAAGTATCAAGTGCCAGGAAAACCCTTTACATTCAAACAGAAAAAATCCTGAAAATTTGATATGAGCAACCTTATTGGTTGAGACCCGAAACAGGGTTTACGATTGGTCCTTCCCAATGACGTGATATTGTTTCATCTTCAGTAACAGCCTTTCACAGACCTTCCACTTCAGATCATATTTCTGCTTTGCTGCTCTTCCTTAGTATGATTTGCCTCTTAGTTCTTGCCAGTTTATCCGTCAAGGAATGCTGCTACTAAAGTTAGCTTGCCTATAAATGACACAGACTGGTAGCTATTGCCAAAGGAACAACAAAGTCTTAAAGAGGAAGGTGCTAACAATGTCCCAGGTGATTTTGCCTGCCTCGGGCTCATAGAAAAGGAAGAAACCTGAAGTTGAAACTTCAAATGCATTTTTCTCCGTTCCACTTTTTGGCAGGAAATGTGATATGAGGAAATGTATCATTTGATATTTTGAAAGTGTAAAGATTTCATTCAGTGGTGTCCTGGACTGAAATTTCCTGAGGAACAGGCTAAGGAACTCATATTCTGAAAAAGTTAACTTCTTCATGACAAAAACTGAATATTTTAAAACACAGAATTTTGGTAAAATCCTTTGCACATTTTGGATGTTATTGTTTTTCTCTAGAATTGCATTTTCTACAATTAATTTTTACCTTAACTTGCACTATAGGTATTCTACTTCACATTAAAACAAACGTTTCGTGGGTTGCAATTATTATATTTTTTAAATACATTTCCTACTGGAGTCACTTTTTTCTGGAGCTTTTTCAGCATTGTGTGTTGTCGAATTGGCCCACAAGACTGAAACTTTAGATGTCATCAATCCTAATGGGGTTCAGTTCACCCTGAAAGTTTGAATCAATTTAAGGGAACGGTTCAAAAGTTGACCCTCCCAGGCCATGTCCCCCCTTAAAGGCACTGTTTGGAGAGAGTAGTGTAACGTGGAACCCACCCTCAAAGCTAAGCTTGAAGGTCAATGGAAATGCCATTCCCCACGCCCTATCCACTCTTCTCAACAGCGTCCAGCCTAGGGAAGACGTGTTCGAAGCTCACAAAGCAGAACCGCTTCACACTGTGTTACAAGCCAAGCTGGCATTCGTAATATCGAAAAAGTCAGTGCATAGAGGCTCAGCCTACGACGATTCCTTCCAACAAATCTAGCAGTCTTCCTTGCAAGATTAGTATCCATTTTTTTTTCAAAAGTGAGGAAGATGACGTATTGAGAGTGCCGTCTGATTTTATGAAACCACAAGGAGGACAGCATCAATTGGTCCAACATCATCTTGGTGTGCGGACTACATCTACTGTGGTTCACACAAGAACGATCGGTCCCGTTTGAAAGACCACTTGCTCGGATTTGAGTAATCACTCGTACAAAACATCTGCGGCGGTTAAGTGACGCTTCCAACATCCCGCACCCGGAAGGGTTCCAGTTATTACGGTTAGGTGGGTCAGGCCAAGCGAGTTCCCCCGGGAAGCAAAACAAGCCAGACGGGTGATGCACAGGCCACACACGCACACAAAGCCAACCACTATGCGAGGTCAGAAAAGAGAAAAACTCCTGCCCAAACATGGCGAGTCCCGTGGTGGACAGAATGTGACTCCGACCGGTGGGTTTTTTAACCGCGTCCTTGTTTCTAGTACCTCGATTTCCTCTGTGTCATGCTGTTGCCCACCACAATCCTGGCAGCAGCACGCCGGCAGAGCTAGATACGACAGACGTCGGTTCTTTTGTAGGTCGCTCTTCAGCTCGACAGTTCCAGTAAGCTCTGGCAGCCGGGAGCTGGGGCACTGCAAAGACGGCGCCTCTCGCGTTCACGCGTCTTTCGCGCCGAAACGCCTAAGACCAGCCAAATTTTTTGCAACTTCGGGACTTTTTTCGATGGCCCGGCGGTGTACGACGCCAAATGCACGAGTCGAAGCTGCATTCCAGGTACCGTAAGCCTCAAGCCCCTATCATAGGTACGCAATAAACTGGCGCTGCCCTTCGTAAGACGACCTAAAGTATATGTCATACTGTCGGTCTTTTTAAAGCGTGCCCCGTACACGGTCGGCTTGCGAACGAACTACCTTCCGACTCAACTCGTGCGCCAGTGCCGCTCGCAAAGGTTTTCAGTCGTCAGGCTTCGGATTTGGGCAGGAGTTTTTCCGCCATTCTCGATCACTCGGAAACAGTGACGAGCGAGGAGCAACAGACGGGGGCGGAGTCTCCTTACCTCCAGCTGCCTGGCAGCCTCCTCTGTCTTGCTGAGCAGAATCAGCTTCTGCCTCAGGTTGCGGTAGTAGATCTCGCTCATCATCTCGGCACGCTTCTTGGCCGCCTCCGAGCGAGCCTGCAACCAAAAAAATAATAAAAAAAGAATGCTGCCGTCACTCGTTGCTAAACCTCTTTGCCAGGGCAACTAAGAACATACACAAGCTCCAAATTATTGTAGCTACGCTCTTTTTTGTACGTGCATTTTTTATTTTTGTCCACAAGAAGCTATACGAAGATGAAAATGAGAATATGTTGCATATACGTAAAAGTAATGGGAATAACTACGCACCAACAGCAATATTAAAAAAAAAGAAATAACTAATAAAATTTGGGTTGTGGACAACTTTCCAACACTGTTTAAAAAATAACTCGGCTGAGCTCACGCTAACATGCACTTTAAGAAGGCTATTTCATTTCTCTATCGGGAGTATTCACTGGACGCCATATTTGAGGGCAATGTTTAGAGCGCATGCTCGGAATGAGCTCACGTTAATAGGCTGCTATGACCGGCAATCTTGGTGGTGCAGAATGCACGTGGCGAAAGACCTGTCGAAGCATGCCGTGAGCACGCGCTCAGCAGTCGCGTACACAGCTATGGCCGCCAGTGAATACTCTCTATAGTCTGTTTGACGTGTATGAAACCTGGTTTTTGAAAACGACTTTACGCGGGCAATGTAAATTCAGCGGAGGCTCGGTAACAGTGCCACACCACGCATTTCTGCTAACACAAAGGACTGTGCCTTGATTTCCTTCCTTGCTTGAAACACTAATGACAAAGAGGTGTTTGCAAAGTACCGAGCACCCTTTACATTTAGAGGTAATTTAGACTTAGCTATTAGGAACAAAAACATCACCACCCAGTGCAATGCAATGCCTCATAGCTTACAAGAGAACTTTACCTGTCGTTTCACAATTTGAACAAAAAAAAAGAAAAAAAAGTCACGTAAGTTTGTTGCAGATACGTGCTAGGTGGCAAGGTAGGGGCTTGCTAATATTCTTTCAAAATGGCTAGGGAAACACCAATGTTTTACGTCTATCCTTTCCAGTTCAACATGTCCCACACCGAGGAACTGCCTAAAACAACTGCAAGAGGAACACTCACAATGACCATGAGGCAGTTCTTGGAGGTGATGTACCGCACCACGGCCGCACCAATGGCCTTCTTGAACTCCTTGTGGGCGGAGTCGTCCTTCGAACTGCCACAACAACAGGAGAAACGCGGCCAGACGCCACAGGTCACGCCCACCTCTCCTTTGGAAAGGGGATGACCCCACCAGTGTGTTCTCCCGAGAAACACTGTTTACACTTTATTTTTGTACTTGTGGTTCACTATCACTGAGGCTTTGGCGCTTATAAGCACATTCAAATAATCAAAACAAAAAAAAAAAAGTAAAAAAAAAAAAAAACAGAACACACTATTTAAAAAAATAAATTAAGTCTCGGAAGACAAAAGTGTTGACCCCCCCCTCCCCAAACCCATCTCCTCTATTTCTCCGTAACTGTGCACAAAAACCAAGTCTTTGCTGACTATAGGCACATACAAAGAAATAAACAATAAAAAAAAAAAAAAAAAGGAACACTATTTGGAGGAATAAAACAGAAATAAATGAAAACAAGGATTGAAAGACGAAAGCATAGTAATCCCCCAAAACCCCAATTTTCATAAACCCCAACATGCCCTAAGGTACTTACTATTCCCTAAGGTCTTCTGGCACTTCCAGCTCGAACTTCGTAAAGGTGCTCTTAGTGATAGGAGGACTGCGGAGAAAACAAAACAAAAAGCGAATGAGGCCACATTGGCAATCCTTTGCATAAAGGTTCAGTCAACAGACAGCAGCAAGTGCATCGCTGTTAAATTTTGAGCGCACGGCAGGGAGGAAATATGTGGTTTGTTGACAACAAGAACTGAGGCCAGATTCACGAAACGATCTTACGCCAAAAATGTGCGTAAGACAAAACTTAAGAACAAATCCGTATTCACGAAAAGTTTTGCGCAGGTTACGACGAAATCCTACGACAGCTCCGAAGCTGTCTTACACACTTCTTACAATCAAATTAGCATGGCCGACAGCGTCGCTCAGTTGGTCGCGACAACCAACGGATTTTATTTTTCTACGTGCGCTTCTCACGCGTCCCGACTTCAAGCAGCAAGAAACAAGTAAAAAGTACTTGAAACAGACCACGACGAACGAACAAGAACGCTGGATCCACAGACACCCGGGAAAAACTCCAAGGGCCACGAGTATGGACTCCGACCGATCGGCAGATAGGCCTAGCAGGCACTCCGACTCGTTGCAGCGATGATCTGACGGTCCTTGGCGAAGACCGTCTGCCCACGACCGGCTGGCAGGCTGAATGGAATATGCCCGCGCGACCCTTGTGAACCCTTCCCGTATTATAGTTTGATCGCTGACCTCAATTCTAGATTAAGAGGTCAATCTCTTCCTCTTGTCATCTCCTTGTTTTCCAAAGCAACGGTGACGAACGCTGTCGTCGAAAAGGGGCTCTCATCGATTCTATCTCTGTTTTGTGTGATATCAAGCTCAAATAAACGCCGTATGAATTACCTTTGCAACATGGTATGTACACTTTGTTATTAGTATTCCATTTTATTCTGACACGACTGCACCTCACAGTCGATCGCTGTAACAGTTCGTGGGTCGCAATGCCGGTTCAACCTTTCTTCGCCGGGTATCACGTCAGCATCGAGTTGCAATTGTAAAGGATCGGTCCCGAAGCGCTTATCAATTCGCAGTCCAACAGCGCAAATCCAGCACTTCGATCAAACGCGCGCGTCCGTTCCGTAGTGTGAACAGGCATTTACGTGGCTCTTGCTTACACTGTCATAGTTCAAACGTATCTTTTTTAACGTCGGCTCGCTCCTGCATCTCCGAGGCTGCAAAAAACGCCGCGGCAATTTGTTCCCATCTACGTCGCTCTGCAAACGACTGCGGGCCGTCTTTTACCTACGATGACAGTTGTGTTGACTTGGTAGCGATCGAGCTTGTAGCAGTCAATGGGGATGGTTACGCATCCCGGCCTCGGCATTCCGGCGAGTTTAAATCGTGTTAGCGTCGATATATCACTGCACGGATACGAACCCCAGACCAGCGGTGGCAAAAAGGCCGCCTGTGTTTGTTATGAAAAATCCACGTGCTCCGAACGGCTCCGAACAAATGCCGAGCTCTCCGATTAATTGTTCGTGCTGCCGAAGACGCCGTCGCCATAGCAACAGCATCGGTAAGTTTTAGTTTTTCCGTACAACAACGTCGCTTTCCTCCTCTCACTTAAGAACGCGTTCGTGAATACCGATTTCTCCTCTTCTTACGATGTTCTTAACTTACAAACTTCTTAGCTAAGTTGTCGTAAACTAAGAAGCTCTTCGTGAATCTGGCCTCTGAGCCCCCTCTTGAAACTGGAGGTCAAAGACGCACTTGTTCAACGTCAACCCTCCCAATGCTCTCTGGCACAGAATGCAGAGTTTGCTTGCGCACAGACGTAGCATCTACCCGAACTGCCCTATCTTTTAAATTTCACCAGTCACATTATCAGTGATGCGACTGATTCAAGTCGTCTTGGAGAAGGTCTTAGAACAGGCCTTGGAGAAACCAAGAAACGATTTTCGGAGCGGCAAAAAGAGCACAAGTGCACAGTTAATTTTGATTCATACCACTGCAAATATTCCGTTAAGATTCATGCATTGGCCTGTCCAATTAGAGGGCAATGTCTACTTTGCATTCTCACTTATGTGCAACCTTTTGTTAGCGATTCCCTCGAACACAAAACTAGCACTTAGTTCTGTAGAGAAGCACCGGACAAGGTAACAAGATGACGACCATCAAAAGAAAGCATGAACTGCGGTTAATGGTCATTTTAGGTACAAAATCCCACTGAAATATGTTAGAATACAATAATTTTGAGCACCTAAATTTATGTTTCCTTTCTAGACGTTGTAAAAAAAAACTGCAGTTCTTAATTCAAATAAAAAAACAAAGCTCTTGTCTGATTATAAAACAATTACATTTCATATGTAGAACTTCACAAGAAAAATTGGCTTCCGAACGATTAATAAGTCTTCCTAAAAACAATTTCACCAAACTCGTTAAGGTTGTCTATCATATATACAAGTCAAAGTTTTATTCAGAAATCGTCATGTCTTGCTCTGGAGGAATGCTTTCCCCTTAGTATGAAAAAGCACTGAGACAAAGCAATATACGCAAGATCGCTGTGCCTACTCCGCGGTTGCTGCTTTACTGCAGTACACCAGTGTGCGGCGAGAAGCGCACTCAACAAAGCTAACTAAGCGGGCAGAACAGAAAACGAACATGTGAATTATTATGGAACTTCGGAGTACAGTCAGTGTTTGATGCGAAGTCAGATCGAATAGCACGTTATCTGATACGACCATGAAAACTCTCACAATTCTAACGTACCATCTGGTCAAGTTGCAAGGCCTAAGCGACTATATCTACAGTATAATTAAAGTTAAATTAAGTTTTGGAGCAATGTTGGCACAAATTCATCATATTTGGTAAAATATTGCAAGATGTAGCGGGGTAAGCATTTTGGCACAAATGGTGCAGCTATCACATCACCGCATTAGCAAAATGACCTCAGAAATCAGCAAGGACAATGCTGGCGAGAATTACGGATAATGACAGCACAGCTACATTGCTCTGCCACGAGCGACAGATGGATGGTACAACACACCCAAGGCACAAAAATCAAGGCGTCCCAAACAATCCATAAGCTCTTGAATGCACATGCAGTGAGTGACCTTATGCCATCGGACAACAGCGACACTACCCGGTAAGCCATCAGAAAGATAGCGACAATACATCTGGAATATGCAGCAACTACAAAGGGGGAACTCCCAAGTTAACCGCTCTAGGCCACACTATGAGCACCTTTTTACATAGTTCAGGTAGGTATGTTAACAAAGAATAAGAAACAACGCAACTTTTTCTCTAAATCTGCTCGTCGTATTGGTATGGTCATAAACCGTCCCCTTTTTGCAGGTCAGTCTTTTTGGGTCTGACGAAACTAGCAGAAGAGGTCTTTCCCCAGAGAAAGAAAGAGACCCACTTGACGTTCTTGGGGCGCAGCCGGTCCCCCGGCACAATCTCCGAGTAGGCAGTATCCCAGCCCTGGTACTCCACCACGTGGAAGTCCCCCTTGGTCATCTTGACCATCGCCTCCCACCAGCCAGAGGCCTCCTGGTCGTTCGCCTTGGAAAACACCTGCGCCACACAATGGTTCAGTGGCACCGCCTGGCAGCTAAGCTAAATGACCCCAAAAAAAATAAAATAAAGACAAAGCATGCAGGAAAGAAACCCATCTTCACATTAGGCTGTGTTTCGGTCACACTGTAACATAGTTGCATGCACTGCCCTGTTCTCAAACCGCAAAAAAAAGTGGGGAAACTCAGTTAATTTTGAGTGTACCTTCCCCACTCATATGCCACAAAAAAAAAGAAAAAAAAAAAAAAAAAAAAAGCCTTGCAAGGTATGTTGCACAAACGAACCCGCTGCATGTATTGCCTCTCAAAGGCACCAACGTCGTTGTGAAAGGCGTCTCTGCAAAAAAATGCTGTCGAGGCAGAGAGGAACACAAGGTTTGTGTCTTTTGCTGTCTCATGCCCCAGCTGACCCCGCCCTTTCGTCTCCTAGCTTCCTCCGGAGCACGTGCTTGCTCTCTTGCCCCGTGCCTTCTGCACACGCTCCCACTAGATGTGCAAGCACGCTCGCTTAACACCACTTAAATATTGAGGCCTTAGAGCTGGGTATTCTATGTCCCCTATCCAAGGCTAGTGCAAGACAGACTGGACACAAGTGCTGCGTTGGGCTTGACTGGGATTCGTGCTCGATCGGCAAGGACATGTGTTCCGTCGAATGCGGTACACAGGCGACGCTTTTCCATAATGGAAGCGCATTTCAGAAGGCTGCTACGATCTGGCTGTACGTTGCATTCTGCATTAAAAGAAAAGGGGAGGGCTGGCAACGAACCCACCTCCACTTCCTGCCCCTCGGTGATTTCGGGCTTTTCTCCGTCCTTGCACGGGGTGGATGGCAGACGTATCCTCTGGAAGGGGAACTTGTTTGGGGGCTGCCAGCTGCAATGCACACGAAAGAAGAAAACTAAGCATTCGGGGGATCCGAGGCCGGTAGGACAACAGGACGGTTTCTATCCTTTAGGCCAGCTTCACACAGGGCAGCTTTCCCGGCAATTTTGGGGTTGCTCGCGAGTTGTTTCCCATAATTCCAAAGACCCCCACCCTGCAACACAAACTGCCAGAAATGAGTCCGGCTCGAAACAGGCAAGCAACTCCAACAACCGGGAGATGTCTGAAGCGGCAGCAGCCAATTGGGGACGCAATATTTTCGTGCGGTGGTGACAGAGGGATAAAAATTAATTGCTGGAAACCGTAAATAAACCTTCAAGACCGACGACCAGTTCGCGCTTTCCACTTTTCCCCCGCTTCCTCCTCTCCCCCTTTCTACACTATCCACCGTCGCCTATTTCCTCTTCCCCCATGGTGAAGAGGATCTTCTGCCTTGCAGAATCTCGAGTCTGGTTGCCGGCCTTTAACCATTTAAAGTCTCGAACGAATGCCCTATTATGCAGACACTGAAGAATGAAAATGGCAGGGAGGCCCTTCAGTCGTCCCAGCTCCAGCGCGACCTTCTTACCTTTGGTAACGCAAATGTGTCTAGTGAACAATAAGTGCGCATATATAGCCGATGCACGACCAAACGCCACGAGCGCATGCTGGAAGTCGGATATTCAAAGTAGATGTCCTGCTGCTCTCGTCGTTGTCAGCGATTAGAGAGGGATAATCTCGTTCTCAGTTTTGACTCGCATGCCAGCGTACTTTCCATCTGCATGTTTTCGTTTACTTTCTGACACTGCAGCTGGCATGCTTAGGTACACTTCACACGGCACGAATTTTCCCGAAATTCCCGACTTGCCGACGAGTTGTCGCTTACTGCATTACAAGTCGCTGGGCTCAATCCAGATTAAAACAGGTAACTAGGTTGGTGCAACTCGCGAGTGATAACGGCGGCAGCAACCAATCGGTGGCACCCTATTTTTATCTGTCTCCCTGTTGATGTGCCAACGATAACTGAGGATGGGGTCTGACTGTTTTGATTATTGAATCATTTTTATGAGGTAGTGACTTCACAGGAGGTCAGCTAGCATTCATAACACTGCTTACGAAAACACATTATTACTGCATACGTTAACGTCTAAACAATGAGAGCAAACTGTATATGACAAAACACAGCAGTTCTTTGATACGAACGTGAGAAACTAGAGTTGCGGCCGAACAAATTTCTGCTCCGTATGAAGCTCGACTTTGCCCTTTGGCAATTCTTTTCTCACGCCTATCTGCTCAATATGGTACATCAGCCTTCAAGTTATCTTTATGTTTTTCATTGCTTTAACTTTGGCACAACAATTGTCTGGCTGATCCTGCATTTTTTTTTAAACATTCCGCTCATAAAAGGACATTTTCGGGGCATTTTTACATTTCCTTCTCCAAGAGCAAAGAAACCAGCGAAAGAAAACTTATGATCAGTGAAGCCACTCGTATGATATATGTTCTCACAGAAAATGCGACCCAGTCCTTTGACAAGACTGGCTGTTTCCACAGCTATCTACACTAGCAATCATTGTTGGGTTAAAGGGATAAAGTTCGTAACACTCCTCCCCACTTCCACTAGATACCAGAACCTTAATCTTGTTATCCAGGGCTTGTCAAGAAGACAGCTTACCAGTGAACGAAGCATTCCAAGATAACAAGCTAGGAAGTGGCTCCCAGAAGCTAGCACAAACACTAGAGGAATCGAGTCCAATCATAGGGGAGAGAGTACAGCACCCCCATGGACCCACCACCAACCTTAGCATGCCCTCCCCCCCCCCCCCCCCCCCAAAAAAAAAAACACTTGTTTGAAAAACAAACAATCCTAATTCTCGCAAAAAGAGAGAAAAGACCAAAATAAGGAACAGCCTCTATTGTCCTACTCAAACCACACACACGAAAAGACATTGCGCAGTAGATTTTGTCACCGGTACCAAGCATTTAACTGGTACGGAGATTTTGTCGCAGTTAATTCCTCTGACATTGAAGATGAAATGAATAAAGACCACAGAAGGCTGACATGACCAAAAGTCAATCTCAAGAATGTTGTGTACTGTTGACGATAAAGAGAATGGTGATCTGCAATGCAGTGTGTCGATGGCAGAAATGCTTGATGACTGGTTTCAGGTATAGGGCTACAACACAAAGTCACAATCGCCATTGCAAGATCTGTGTGCAAGCATACTGGTCTTGTGGCGAAATTGATCTTAAAAGTCATATTCTTTGGGAGTTTCACGCTTGAAGTTGAACATCGTCAATTGTAGCAGCCCTTCTGCAGTCAGCTTGTGTTGGAAACGTATGCCACCTGCGGAAATATTCCCAACACCTAAGTTGTTTGCAGTGTTTCCATCACAAACGGAGACTCCACACTGCACTGTTGCGTTCCCCTATCTCCTGACACCGTACCAGCACTTCAGTGAGCTTGTTTCAACTCATAGTTGGTGCACTTATGCAGCACAGACAGCAACCACACCAGACTGAAATGGGAATTGTTTCAGTTTGTTTGGGATTGGTTTTCTGTGTGGCACTTTGTGATTGCGATGCAGTCTGGGACAGAAGTACCGTGGTACCAGTACATACTGAACAAACTTGATGTTTGCCATCACCTCTTTTTGTCCACTCAATTTCCCAGGTATCACTGCCAGATTCTAGTGTCGAGATTCCGGTGAAGGCAGCCACCGCAGACGTTGAGGAAGCGAAATGTTAGTAGAATCCCTATTTTCGGACACTGCGATGTGTCACCAACCATGGATCCTTTCCATTTTCACCGTATTTACTTGAATGTAATGCAACATGTTTTTCCCAAGCATTTGATGTCCTAAAGTTGGCCCTTGCGTCACAATAAAATTATGAGATTAGCCAAACAGTTGCTGCTATTTCTAAATAACCGACATTCCAAATTCCCCCAGTTTTTCTATCTTATGCTGGAAATATATATCTGTCTGGATATTTGAATTGTGAACTATCAAGCCCGGATCCAAACCCATACCTGCCAAGTTCGCAGAAACCAAATCCGAAAGAATCTCTAAACAGGGGGGTGGGGGGGTAGCTAATGCTTTAAAAAGAGCTATTGATAACAAATTTGCATGAAGACAACTTCATTACATTTATATATTGCACTGCTCATGTTCTCGGGGTTGCAGCCATCTGCTATGATGGCAACAACTTGTTCATTAAGTGCGGGAGGGGGGGGCAAGGGGCAATTTGTGTTTTCCGGAAGATTTTCTGTCAATCGTACAACCACACAAACTGATCGAAATTCGGGAGTCTCCCGGGTAAACTGGGAAACTTGGCAGGTATGCAAACCTCTTCCCTTTTTAGTTCAGGGTAACTCAACCAGGTAAGCGGTTGCTGTGCTATAACAATGTGGCTCCACAAGTATAGTTTTGTCCTAGAACCACTAAATTCGTTCCCGCGGGACTTTTTCATGGAGCTGAAGGCAATCCAATGGTTTCAGTATGATGCTCACATCAAATGAAAAGTATCATCAGGAAAGAGGAGAGTGAGAAGGAAAGCTGAATCTCCTATGATGACGAACTGATATCACGAAAAAGCATGGCAAGTGTTGGCCACAATTTCTGAAAATTAAAGATACTAATTAATTGTTCTATTTGCTTTGCGTTACATTTGCAGTCTCATTATTTTCAGATGGGTCAAGAAGAAAAGTTGCTCCTCGCATTAGAAACACGGTTGGTTAGAATCAAGAGAATACTTTGACGACTGACCGACGGGAATGTGATAACGTCAGCCGTTACTTTCAAGGCACCATAATGTTCAGTTACATTTCTTGTGTACACTCGAACGCAAGGGAGATGTGGGTAGACACACAAGGCAGAGCTGTGTTCCAACGGGCACAGCACTAAATGCAAGAAATGTGCGAGAGAGAGCCTGCAGTGATGTGATTGGCCTAAGCCATTTTGGAGCACCTTTCGGAGCAGCCAGAACAGTGTTTTGGAGCAGCAAAAGTGGCCTTTGGAGCAGCCAAAACGGTGTTTTTAAGCAGTAAATGTGGCTTTTGGAGCAGCCAAAACAGTGTTTCGGAGAAGCAAAAAGTGGCTTTTGGAGCAGATATACTTAGAAAAATAAGAATATTAGTTTTAAGTGCTGTACAAAGGAAAGGCACTTTGCTCGGCGCAATAAACACATTATGGTCAAGTTAGACCACATGGGAGTCTTTCAACATGTTAACTAAAATGCCAATGACACAACATGTTTTGCAATGCTTTACTTAAATGATACATACATATGTACCCGCTATAGATAAATAAGACCCAAACTGCCCATATTAAATTTATTTGAAAATGACCAGCTCAGCAGTATACATGAAACCATAAAGTTGACTATAGTCGGTGACAGGTCAAGAACGAAGTGGAAGCTCCTCCCACATTAGCAGAGCGAATGATGGAGAGGAGGTCGCTTTTTCCTCGGCGATTGCTCTGCTAAAGTGGAAAAGGGTGGGAGGAGCTCCTACTTCGTTCTTGACCTGTCACCGACTATAGTTATATAACATAAATTGAAGCAGTCTCCGACTGATGAAACACATTACTGCAGTATAATGCGAAACTGTACATATGAAAAAGGTGCAGTACGACTGGCGGATGCTTTTTGAAACTTCCTGCAAGGCTGCTGCAACCCTCGCTTTGCTTTCGGCAAGTACTGTAAAACCCTTTATTTTCGCGGCCCCTATTTTTCGCGAATCGGTCACAGATGGTATAGTCGCGACCACTAAATTTCGCGAATTCCAGACGCCTGCATTGAAAATCGTAAGGACCAAAGTTTTCGCGTGCCCTTAAATTTTGCGAATTCTTCAATTCGTGAAATTCGCTAAAATTGAAGGCTCGCGAACATTAAGGGTTTCACAGTAATCAATATCCACTTTCAATGTCTCCAAAGACTGAGACATCCCACAAGTGTACAGTGCTGTAGGCGTTGCCGAGCAGTTCCGAAAAACCGCTTGCCACCGTTTTACTGGTTCTTGACGTGCCAGATTTTCGTCAAAAGCAAGCAAATGTAAAGCAATAAATTGCAAGCGTCCTGGCTGATGCCTCTGTCGTACAATCATGTTTGCATGCATGTGAGGGCAAATTTGGCAGCTTGCAGTTGCACGCACTTTGTCGTGCGAGCGGAGATGGCCGTTCCATCAAAACCAAAACCCTGCCACTCCACTTCGTCGCCAACTGGTTCCCAAAATTGTATGCAAAATGTAACGGTCCAGCATACGACAAAAAAAAAAAAAAAGTTTAGCGGCGCGTGCTTGCCAGGCTGACAGGCGAAGTACAAGCTAATCACAAAAAAAGAACCTGAGTGCATCTATGCGAGACATCGCGAGTCAGGGTCAAAAGGTTCTTGAAGCACTTTGTGCAACAACTGAACTTGAGACAAACAAGCATGCTGCTTGTTTGTCTCTTGTTTGCCCTCTCAAAAGAAAGCCAACCGAGAGAAACCAAGGTAATCAATACTTCAACAAAGCAGTTTTTGAGTTAAAGAGGAATTTTTTCTATTAGCGTTTCATTTAAACAAGAACACGAATGTTGATTACCTTGCGGCGGTCTTTTATGTTTCAGTTTGTAAAGCGCCACATCTGCAGCGACGTGGGGATGGCAACACCCGACGTCATGCAACGACGGTGACTGGTAGGCAGGGAACAAATATAGTTTCCCATGGCCGTTGCTTTCAGGAGCAAGTGCTTCAGCTCACAAAGTAACTCCCGCCATGCAAAAATCTTGGCTTTGTTTTACAACATGACGGCCTGGCTGGTACCCGGCACGCTAGTGTCGGAGCGTCCGCACACGCTTGCATCTATCGTTACAAAAATTTTAAAAGGATGCAAGACGCAAGGACGTTACAATATAGCCTCCTTGGCGAGATGAGACCCACCAGATCCAAAAGAGCGCGAAATGAGGAACGGCGGGAAACATTGGAATATGCGAATTTGTGGTGTCTGCGATCTGTGGTACCAGTTCCCGCGTCACATGTTTTGTAGCCGATGTCAGGCTGTTAATCATTAATTTTTTTAATTTTGCAGTCGCATCCTCAAAGATAATTCACCGCAAGTTTTTCACAGTTTATCTCATTTTGGGTGGGCGTTCTTTTGGGAAGTTTAACGGTAGCCACATTTTTACTCGAATTGGACAAATTTTTTGAAAACAAGTTTTGAATTAATGAAACAAGAACTGCATTAGAATTTAAGTCTCTACTTTAATGTTTGTATAATTGAAAAGCTCATTTACTTAGCTTCATTTCTGTATGGCGTCTTATAGTAAACCAAATCATTTCACTAGAAAGAGAAATACAAAAAAAAACCATAGAAAACAGGCACTTACCCCATGATCAAGAAAGGGTTAAAGGTGCGATGCAAAAATTTTTGTACTTTGTGCAAATACCGCTTAGAATGTATCGTTGACATTAATGGCCTGTGAAGCAGCAGTTCGTTTTTCACCGCACGCAATCGAAGTCACAGAAAAAAAAAAAGAAAAACGAGCAGCGTTCACCCCCTGAACTCACAGCCAGAACAAGCGGCCACGTGATCTGGAGCCGATTATATGCCGCAAATGTTGATCATAACCACACGCTGTGGTTGGCAAGGCACAAAACACACGCCGAGTTCCAGACACTGTTATGGTTCGGCTATTGTCATTGCAGCGATTGGACACGGGCCACTACCCCAATGCTTCTTGAGCTAGTAAGTATCACGAGCCCAAATCGAGTGCCCACGCAATGCTCGGGTCAAATCTATGAGCTGCATTAAAATATTGTCACTGGGCGGTACTGCGACCCCCAGGTACATAATCAAGTTTTGCGAAGAAGAGACTGAATGAAAAAGCTCGCTTTTTCCCTTGAAATTACACCGCAACAAAAGAGTTTCTTGGCCAGTGGCATTTCATGTGAGTATCCTTGAGTCCCACTAGTGCCAGGTAGCTCGTGTGAAGTGAAAAACATTCCAATTGAATATTGTTGCACCGCCCCTTTAATAAAGTTTAAAGGAAGAAGCCCTAACAAAATTGTGCATCAACGTGTAAAAAAAAAAGAAGAAAAAAGTCACAGCATTACGAGGACATCAGAGGGGAAAGGGAATCCTCATCAGAATTGTATTGTTTACGTTTCTGGATGGCACAAAGTTAAAAGAAAACTGACACCCTCCAAAATTTTTTTATTTCTTGTTTTGCAATTTAGTATATTGCCAATCAATATTTTGTTACCGCATCACATATATTTTGAATAAAATAAAAAAAATGCAACTGCTCAAAACTGAAACTGGACTTTGGAGGAAGTAGAAATATAGAGGAGGGGAGAGTTGCCAAAAGTCATGTGGATGTACAAGTTTTTTTCTTTGTATTTAACGTGTTTGCAGTAAAAATGGGTATCATTTTTTTTTTCTATTTTTAATATTGAGCGTGTGCCTTTGATGACACACGACTTTGATTATACTTGGTGGTTGTGTCTAAACCAAAGAAAATGGCATGTGACCACGGAGAAGAGCGTGCGCGCAACTCAGGCCGGCCAGTTCTCGATCGGTAGTCTTAGGGCGGAGAGAAAAACAACTAATTTTGATCTTCAAATTGTGTGACAGGTAGCTGGGCTCTCATTTGTCGTGTGCAAATAAAAAGAACTTGGCAAGCATAAACACTGTGTCAGTGTCCCTTTAATCAGTTCCAATGGGGTGATAAACTTTCCACTGTCATTGCAAATGAAGCACTCCCTCCTCATTCCCAATGCAGAAGGGTAGTTCAAAATGTACCATAATTTCATCTTAAATCCCTTGACAGATGCATACTCTCTTTAGCTGTTTTAGCAAAATCCTTGTCTGTGGTGAAATTGGCAACAGATATTGCCCACTTCATACTGCAGGGATGTAGAGGGAAAGAAATTGGGTGTTTAAGTGGGGGAGGGAAGCATTTTCTTAGGCTGGGTGTCGCAAGCTATCGCCTGTTACAGAGGGCATAGCCAATCTCATCCATGCGTCCATCCATCGTGACCCAAGGCATAGATGCTGCTTCATCCAGCAAAAACTATGGCATTACCAAAAATCGAACAGTTCTATGTTATTTAAAACACAGCGGAGTCACAGAGATAGCTTCGATACACCATGGCAAAGTCGTTGGGAACTGGTGTTGCGTTCATGCACCGAGCAAAACAGACATCTAACCACTTTGTTCCGCACGCTTTTTTTCTTTTTTCCCAAGTGCGTGAATGTGCGTCTCTCGGCACGAGCTCTTGGCACTGACGGTGCTACGACAGCATTTTGCTATTGGCTTTCTTTGCATTTTTTTTTTTGTTTCCAGAGTGCACATGCAGTGGACATTGGGTACTACCAATTCTGAACGCTTTTTATATTTTGTTCTGGAGCATGTGAAAGTGAGTCTTCCGGCACGAGCTTTTAGCATTGACAGTGTTATAACCACATTTTGTTATAGGCCATTTTTTTTTTGTTTCCAGAAAGCATGTGCATATTATCGGGTATTACAAAAAACCAAAGTATAGAGTGGGTAATTAACACCGTCACATAGCTCAGTGGTAAGGTCTCCATCTGAACGCGGAGGGCCCAGGTTCGATTCCCACGAGTGGTGAACCATCTTTTTCAAGGATTTTGAAACATTGGCGACGGACGCCCTACACTGTGAACTACAACAACGGACGTCATTTCTAGCGGTGTTAAGTGCCCTTATCGCTGTAAAACAGAGGTCAAAAGAGAATCTGAGCACTCCACTTACTCATTTTCAAATGCCACGGAAATGTCATTGTCATGGACATCAATGACGAATGCCTGCAACAGAGTGGAAAATGAGGATACTGTCAACATCCTATATGCAAATACACATGGCAAAACAACATACAAGTTGAAAAGATCGGGGGGGGGGCTGGACATTTAAATATTTTAGGCTTTAAATCTCAACGCTTTCGTGGACAGAAATAAAATAGACCTGTGGTTATTCCTGGTCCACAATTCAAAGTCAATACAAATATGAGCAATCCACAACCTCAAGGACTGTTTTTTTTTTTTTTTTTTGAAGTGGTTATCCCCTGCTACGTATACCAAAAACCTTTCTTGCCTAGCCACTGAGCATCCGTAAAGCACTGGAATTTCCAAGCTTCTGCCAAGTTATTTATCTAATAGTACAATTGTAAGGTTTGGCAAAAGGTGTGCCCATTACAAGCAGATTATACGTTTAAAAAAAAATACTATAGCAAGCGGCTTGCTATGCACACACAACTAACACATATAAGATGCCAAAATTGATATTGAGAAAAAACTGTTTGCAGATGACGGTCTGGAGTGTTGCAGAGCAGAATGCTTCGCATTTACCACCATTAACTGACAAGAAAGATGCCAAAATTTAATGTTGCAGAGCAAAATGCTTCACATCTACCACCATTAACTGACTATGCGGTTTACGCAAGAGACCTCACGGTTCAGCTAGCTTAAGTGGGCATCACTATGTAACTATGAACAATGTAACTGTTCAAGTAACCAAAAAACAACCTCAAAATAAAAAAAATAAAAAAAAGAAGCTCAAGTTTATTACTTTTACTTGCCCCTAACTCTCGTAACACAAGAGGTGCCATTTAATCAAAACTTCGTACTAATCCAAACAGACGTTTACACAAACGGTCAGTTTTAAAGAATAACACCTGGTCTAAAAGAGGTAATGTTTTCTGCAAAATTTGCAGTTCTCGCCTGTAGCACAAGATCATAAGCAGCGATCTGGTCAAAGGTTACAAGCTATGCATTTCTTCAGCCCCACGTGAATCTACCTAGTAACTCGGAGATCTCCCACGTTTGGATCGTCAAATTTGTCTAAACAATGGTAGCTTAGCACAAGCAGCGTCGCTAAAACTCCAGTTTTCTAGACAACAGATGTAAAGGCGCGGCGAGCGCGATAGAACAGCGACAGTTCATTCCTTGTCGAGCAACGTGCAGCGCTCCGCACAAAGCCCGAAAAAACGAGCGCACATCCGACTGCGGGTCGAGGGTCCAAAAACTAAAAATACACTGGGAAAAACGCAGCGGACGTGCTTCATGGATTAGAAGCACGTTGTTCGCTCGCACACCGTCGTGATCCCATAATCACACGTTCGCTCGTGCCCAAAATCTAATCGGGGATATACGTACACCTTCAACAGCTCCGATAACCGACGATAAACATCGTTACCTTCTCTTACGTGCGGTTAAAGCTAAGAGTACAAAAGAATGAAACTAGGAGAGAAAAAAAAATGAAATCTAGCAATGTTCTCATCAGCACGCGTATCCTATAAAAGGGCATCTCGGCTCAGAGTAGCAAGGGTGCATGCGCTTTTCTTTTTCTGGGTCGTCCGTCCCAGGACGGAACAAAAGATGACTGTGAGGGAAAGCGGCACTGGGTGTTGAACGGCGAAAGCAACCAGCCCGCATCTCGTTCGTTCGATGAACCCTCGACAGGCTTTCTTTTTTCTTGTTCTTCCGCGGACACAAAATTATTTGAAACGAGCTGGAAAAATAAAGCTAGTGCAGTCACCTCCGTTGGCCTGTCACAATAAAATAAGAAGGCGAGTGTGGCAGTACACGGGCGAAATCCCCGAGAAACACGGAGGGTTTGCGCAGCGTCGCACATCGAAATCGGGTAGGTTTCGAGCCGCGATAACGGGCCGAGGTACCACGAAGACGCACCGAGCTTTCCGTTCGGGCAAAACAGCACAAAAAAGCCCGAGAAAAGCGTGTTCTGCGGGCGGTTAAGCCTAAACACCCGCAAACAGCGACAGTTCTGGGCAGCGCGGTAACACGGCTCTAACCCTAACGAAACTTTGTGGTTCGGAGCGTTTTGGGGTCGTCGTGCACTGCGCGGGGCGCTACGGGGACGATGCAACGCCCGCCCCGAACCTTTAGGAGTTCGTCTGGCGTGTATCGCAGCAGCAATATGGAGTAGTATCAGCAATTTTACCTTGTAGTGGGCTCCGTTTTCCCCACGCACTTCGACCGCTAGGTCCTCCATCTTTTCAGTCGTGAGCATGCTGGGATTTTGCCTCAGTACTCATATTTTGCGTGCGGTATCTTTTATTTCTAAATAATCAAAGACCGTAATATCCCGAAATGTAGATTAAAAAAACATATTCCTCAAGATGATATGCTCAATTTTTTAAAAGAATTAGATTAGAAATTTATTATAAAAAAAAAAGATATACTCGAATCTCCTTTTTCATCTTTTCGCGTGGTCCCGAATTTAAAAACAAACAAACAAACAAAATGGCCGACTATGTAGTCGTTTTGAATTTTCGTTTGTGCAGGGCATTCGATGTTGTTTCGAGTTCTTGCACTTAGATATCACGAGTTCTTTTCTGAACAGGCATTTGTTCCTTAAGCCGGGCTTTCAAGACTCTTGAAAATGGCTTCTGACAGCGATTCGGAGGAGTTTTTTGACGCCGAAACCACCCCACTGCGCAAGTCGGAAGACAAGTTGGTGTTTGCTTCTTTTTCGATTGCTGCTAAGATCATTCCTGCCGCACGACGCCGACTTCGCTGTCACATAAGTGACGTCCTGTATCACAATTTCTCCGTTCAGTCGATTCAATCGACAGTGCATGACGACCGAAATTACGTTTTGTAGCGTGCCGTTTCGCGGACCTGTTGGCATTCCAAAGATAGCAATCAAATATACTTCGCAGTCAACGTACATCTCACACAAAAAGTTCAGGCGATTTTAATTTTAATCGTCGGTAGCGCATGCCGACATATGCGTCATGCAATGCGACAACAGCTTACGGTCAGTGCCCGCGATGTGCCACGCCTAATTTTTTATTTTATTTTATTATGCTTGTGTGAGCGTGCGTGTTTGTTTGAACAGCGGTTGCCGATGTCACGTGCTGCTCTTCCGAATTTCTGCTTTACCGAACGATTATTGTGGAGAACAAAATTTTTAGAGTTTCAATCGATTGACAATTTGTTATCTAAGCAGGACAGGAGATAGAATTGTCCAGGAAGCAAGCAAAATACAAGTTCGGTATTAAGTCTCCGGTTTTAACGTTGCGAATCTGTTTAGGCTCAGGGAAGCTGAAGCATCACCCAAGTCAAGCCCAGAAAAACTTGATGGGTCTTCGTCGGCGGCTAGTGGCCCGAGCAGTTCCGACAACAGCGCAGCTGAGAGGCGAACTTCCCAGATCGAAATGGAAAGAGCGCTCGAGGTAGTATCACCTCCTTGGTTCCACGGGATCTCACTTGACACATTCACACCGATCTCACTTGACACATTCACACCAGGAGCATCGCACAAACGGGAAAACAAATTGACTAACTTATCCGAGCTGATGAGCCTTTAAAGCGCCGTTCACACTCTTGCAACCGAATACGACCGAGAGAGACCAGACCGGTTTTTAAGCCTTTTGCGACTTCTTAGGACCGGATGCGCGGCAGCGGAGCTGGTCCCAAGAGATCGTAAGAGGCTTAGAAACCGGTCTGGTCTCTCTCGGTCGTACTCGGTTGCAAGAGTGTGAACGGGCCTTTACACTTTCCGTCAATCAGCTTTCTGGAAAAGGTTAAAATATGATCCTTTAGAGCTGGTGAGTCCATGGCCTGTTTGATACGAAATCGGCATGCACTTTGTACGAGGTATACTCCGTTCACCCCCAAGCTGACAGTGTGATGGATGCTACGTGATTGCTGGACCAATCAATCACCTTTCCTTTCATCACCTGACCACACTCTGCGCATGGGTATGGGTGAGAGTGTGATCACGTGGCCAGAGATAGACGTACGGCTGGTCCAACAAGCGCATAGCTTCCACCTTACCGCCAGCTTAGGAGTGAACATAGTAGTATAGGGTGTTCTTACATGACGTCAATCCGCCAGTTTGTTACATGTGCTGCGATGAAACCTATAGACCGACACGCTGTTTACAAACAAGCCCGCGTTTGCCCACACCAGGTGTGGGCATGTGGGCACTGCGCGTGGGCTGAAACCGAATTCATGTGGAGTGATGCGTCTGCTCATGCGCAGTGCCGTTGACAGCGCCACCACAGCTGCGTGACGTCAGGGCTGCGTGTTGGTCTGTAGGCCCCAGTGCACTACATATTTGATGGTGCCAAATGAACCTTTTAAACGCTTGTTTTTGGGATGTGCCAGGCTGCTCCTAGCAACAAAATGTGGACATAATTATGTCAATGTAAACACTATAGCTTTAGCACGTCTTGTGACAGAATTCCTAATGCAAATCAGGCTCGCTAAACCCTAATTGATTCAAGATAGTATCAAAAGATGTCCCCAGAGTACATCGTCCCACCGTGTTTGCTACAGGTGGAAACAGGGCACACTGATTGGTTGTTTTTTGGCCTTATTGACAGCTGTAGTCGGCTAAGACAGAGTTGCTGAAGATTGTGCGGTTTACTGTGCTTCCTGCTCGAACCCAGGGCTTCAAATCTGCTAGGTTTACCATATTTTCCAATTATAAGCCGCATTTTATGGTGCACTTTGTACAACGGCGTGATGACTTATACGTTTCTTTTTTTTTTTTCACCTTCACTGCAAGATACGGGCCGTATTGACATTTATGACAAAAAAAGGGAAAGGCAGAGTGCCTGCGTCCTCGGCTTTAGTGACTCCGCTAATCTTACAAAGTGCGACTCGCATACCAACTTTTTGTGGAAACGGCCATTTATAGGCTGGTGCGACTCATAGGCCGGCAAATGGCAATGGGTGATCCATTGCTATTTGCCACATTTGGGCTCCTAAGTTATAATGTTTGGGGAACGATTGTCATTCTTTTTGTGTCTGTTGGGGCAGGAGGCAGCCCAGAGGGCTCAGGAGACGGAGAAGCGTCAGCGTCAGATTGAGGAGATGCGACGCAGGATGCTGTACGAGGACGAAGAGCCTGGTGGAGGGTTTTCATCGGAAGACCAGGCCAGCCTAGCGTCTTCCTCCGTGGAGGGTGTCTTCATTCCTAGGTATGTCTGGACACACAACATCTTGAGTTGCGATGCTTTCAACTACATCGTGAGCATGTACAGTGGTCATTCTTTTCTGTAATATGGGAGCATGCAGCTTTCCCTGGAAAGCGCTAGACAGGTGGTATTCGGGACAACCAATCTAGTCAAGTCGGGCAACACAAAACGGTCTGCCTGAGGTGTGTCCTGACCGCCATGTGGGCTGCTGCAGCACCGCTGTGTTCTCTTTGTTAGTAAAAAAAAAAAAAATAAGAGTCATGAAGAAACTAGGAAAACCAACCAGGTGCAACGAGTGAGCAGGTGAAAGAAGTGACGAGAGCGATGCTGGGGGAAGCGGGGAAGCCACAGATCGTGTTGGCAAATACTTTGGCGTCGGGCGCTTTGTCAATCACAAGCAGAAGGCTCTTGTGTAACTTTTTTGTTTGGTGCGTACATGTGTGCGTAAGTGTGAGGCGTGCTATCAACGTGGGTTGAGGCGGCGTTGCTGTGTGGTGTGGACGGCACCATGAACACGGAGCTCGAAATGGGACATTTTAAAACGTCCTTGTGTGGTGTTCCAGTGAATCTTTTATCTGCTCGTTGGCTCTGTCTTAGACATTGCGCAACCTTACCAATCGCAATTGCGACATTCTGGGAGAAGGAGCAGGATCTCGGTGACCTTACTTTGGTGGAGACGGACCTTACATCTTTGACCTAACACTCCGCGGTTACATTTCAGGATATGGGGCATTCGCTGACCTCGCGATCCCTGAATGGGTTGCTGCTTGTGTTATCTTTTTGACAATTTTTTTTTTTTTAACAAACCTTTTTTTAAGCAAAACAATGTTTCGTTCTGTTATCTCCATTGTTTTTCTTTCGCAGGCATGTACTCCGGGGTTGCAGAAATTGGGGACGAGACGCGTAAACAAAGTGAAGTGTCTTTCTCTCGTTCGCTTTACTTTGCCATGGACATCCCCCAACCATGAGGTCAGCAGCCGCGTCATTCGGGTGGGATAAATGTTTGAGTATCACGGGGTTCACATTGGGGTATTTGGAGGGATGAGCAACCACCTTGTTTTTTTTTGGGAAATCAATATTTACCCAAATGGTGGGGTGGGCGATGACTCAGGAATGGGCGATGACTCAGGATATTATGGTATACACTCAGTGCAATCTGGCGGTGGTCATTGAAACTGACACACGCAGCGGCCAATGGGAGTCTTGTCGCTGTGCGCCAGCCAATGGGACCTTTGGAATCCGGGAAACTAGGCGCCGTTTTTGCGCTTCATACTGATGATGTCGGCTCGCTCCATAAGACAGTTAATGCTTTCGCATTAAAACCGCTTTTGCTTGCATGTCCTAGTTTTTATTTTAAAAATGGACAAAGATTGAGGTTTTCGGCACCTCTCAACTCCTGCACAGTCTTCAGAGTCACGTGCGCTGTGACGTCAATGGGGTTCGCGTGGAGTAGCGGTGAAGCTCACTTTCTAGAGCCATCAGTGAGCAGCGAGAACTCATCTGCTCGCGACCGCGTGACCACGTGCTGGCGGGTATAGCGCGAACAATATGGTGAAAGGAGGAGAGTCTCATCCGGGTCCGGCCATACCCATCTGGCTCTGCACCCTTCCCTCTCCAGCTTCTGGCGGCTGTTCGCGGTAGCAGATAGAGCTAACGATTTTGTGGACCTAGGATAGATGGCGCCACTGAAACTCTGTATAATCAAAGTTTTGTCGATGATGCCCGGTTTTTGACGCATTTATATTTCTGTTGGAACAACAAGATTTATAGAAAAGTTACCTTTTATCGAGCAGGTATTCTTACAACTTGTTGTCTTTCTACAAGACCCCCATTGACGTCATGCCGCGTGATTCTCATGGCCGTCGCTCGAGGCTGCAGGTCTGGGAATATTCTAATTTTTTCCTCGTGATTACGCAGCGGAATCGCAACATTTTGAAGGAGGAGGTGTGTTTTCTGTCTTTTGTGACAAGATGAACAATGTCAAAATTAGAAGATGCCAATTCTTTCAACGTTAAAATCGTTGCGCTTCTCCTTTAAAGTACTTCCCAACACTGATATGATATGACTGGTTATATCTTATATGTTGCACCCTGTTTCATCCCCTTTCTTATCGTCCTTGTGCAGTTTCGGCACTTCGAATGTAGTAATGAACCGACTAGCCCAAATTGCCATTTTAATCGTTATATCCGTTTCCATTAGGAGTGTGCGAATATTCGAAACTTCGAATACTTAGCAAATAATGCTTGCTATTTGATTCAATTCACTTCGCAATTTCGCTGTTCAAAGTATTCGAGTTCTTCGAATACTTCGAAAGCTACGAATAACACGGAACTCGCCGATTAGTGTCAACTCGCGGTAGAGTTCTCTGTTTTGTTTTTGGAACGCACAGTATGGTTTTGAGCTTGGCAAACTCAGAATGCCAACCTAAGTGCCTCTTCTGTTTTGTATGAAGCACTGGACAGTTATTTGCATGCGGTAGTGCAGTCTGTCCTTTGCTTGCCATCATGTCTGGAACTCCGGACTGCAAACGTGGAATACACGGCGTTTCGGGCGTCGCTCGAAACTTCGTGTATTCCTTTCTCTTCACATTCTTTTTTAGTGTAGCACAACCATGTATTGGCAATTTTGTTCCTGCAGTCACTAAAGTAGCCAAGGCGCAATGGATTCGGATATGGATTTACTGCTGACCTCGGCTATTGGCATTGTTTGGCTCGTGTTATTTTTCGCTTGAATTTCCGGTTCATCAGTTGGCAGTATTCCTTTTGTTATTTATTTCTACCCGTTTTCACTGGTAAAAGTGAGACTTGCTCCCTCTGCCAAAAAACAACAACAACAAAACATATTCTTAATTTATTGCTTTTTTGTGTGTGGTGCCCTCTATGGACAGAACTATTGCACACGGAAAGAGATTGCGCAAAGTCAGTGTGGCTTTGCGGCGCGATCGCACAATCTCCACTTCTGCTGTGGCCTGTCGACCCGCCTCCGCTAGAGTACTTCCATTTACATTCGCGTGGTTGCGTTTACTCGCATAAAAAGAGATTGCACAAAGTCGGTGCAGCTGCGCGACGCCATCTTCGACTCTGTATTGTGGCTTGTCGACCCGCCACCGCTTGTGTACGTTCGTTTACACTCACGCGGTTCTCCAGAGCCAGATAAATAAAGACGAAATACGTTGCGTCCATGACGCAATTTCCGACTGCGTTGTGGCTTGCCAACCCGCCTCCACCTGTGTACTTTCTTTTACGCTCTCTAACTTCCCTGCTTGAATGCTGTTTTACTGACTGATCTTTTATTTCATGTTTTTTATCAGTCACTTGTGTGACATCTTTTTTACTGCAATAAAAGTAACCTTTTCATAAATGTTTGTTAAAAAATAAATCTAGTTGTGTTTTGATCGAGAATTCTTGTTTAATTCACATTATAAATGGACATTACTTGCTTTCAAAAGTGTTCTTATTCGAAACTTTTATTCATATTCGAAAATATTCAGTTCAATTCTATTCATAACCTTTTATTTTTCGATTCGATTCGACAGATTTTGATATTTGCACACCTCTAGTTTCTATGTAGGTATATGGCCAAGATTTAAAAAAAAACAAAAAACATGCACCAGGGTAATTATTTTTTTTTTTTTAGCTTTAGTATTTACATGACAGGGAAAGACTGACAGCGTCCGTATATGAACAAAAAAGTGGAAAGAGAGGTGCGCCATAAGAAAGTGTTGGTATAGATAAGGAGAATAGTGAAGGAAGAAGACGAGAGGGAGGCGACGTCGCGAACACTCGAAAGGAACACTGGAAACAACGTCCTACTGCTTTGGCATGGCGCTTTCTCTACACTTGCCACGTGTCCTTCTTGGCTCATTCTTTTTTTGTCTGCAACGCATTTACAGTGGTCGTGGCAGCAGTCTGGCAGCCAAGGACTCTTCCGCTCCTGGTGCAGAGGGGGACGGCACGAGCCTGAGTTCTTCCAATGCCAGTTCGAAGTTGCATCCGGCCGAGCCGGACCTCGTAGCCAGCACAAAATCCGGGTCGGGAGAATCCAGCCAGCCCGTGGCCCCTCCTCGGAAACGGAAGCAGAACACCAAGGGCGGACTGCGCGTCAACACCACCGACGACTCCGACTGTGTAAGCGAAAAACCGTGTACGTTTGTGCACGGTTTCAAACAGCGGTTCGAGCGCTTTATCGATGTGGAAGTATTTGTGTTCGTCGTGTTTCCATTTATTAATGCGAAAGTCCCAACGGTGCAGTGGCCATCAAAGTCACTCCAGCGAGGCGAACACCTCGATCGGAGAACAAAATCTGATCGCATTTACGCCGTTGCATAATGTGCATTACGGCGACAGCAGCTCGCCACTCGCGTAATTCGCCGTCGCGGTGTTGCCGTCGTCGTTTCTGCGCTGCCTCTTGAGCTTGGTCCTCAAAGTTCTCACCCTATTTTCGCTTCCGCTCTCAATTTCGCACCTGTGCCTCATCCGTATTTCGTCTACGACGAACCTCCTTGGTTGGTACCACCCGGAAGAATAGGCCTGCTCGTGACGTCGTCGTTAGTGGATTCCCAGCCCGACCAAGCAACATACACGCGGAAGCTTGACGAGTCACCGCAAACGGGCAGACGCGTCCGTCTTGTCGTCGCGCCCATCGTGAGACGCCACAACACGCGCTGGCAGCAGTGCTGACGCAACCTAGGTGGCACTGCACTGATCCACTTGCGATGACGTTTGGGGGGGGGGGGGGGGGGGGGGGGGGGAGGAGGAGGAGGAGGAGGAGGAGGAGGAGGAGGAGGAGGAGGAGGAGGAGGAGGAGGAGGGAGGGAGGTAGGGAGGGAGGGAGGGAGGGAGGGAGGGAGGGAGGGAGGGAGGAGGAGGAGGAGGAGGAGGAGGAGGAGGAGGAGGAGGAGGAGGAGGAGGAGATGATGATGAAAGCCTCGTCCCCTAGATAGTGTTGCCTCAGTGCGTCATAACCTAAATTTGCATTCTTTAAACTTGCTACGGACGTTTTGAGGTCTAGCCGTACAATGTGCAAGTTTGTCTGGTCGTTGTTGATTGGTTGTTTTGAATGGTGCTTACACTACACAAATGCGCGTGTACGGTGGCCATGATCAAAACACGGAGTTTTTGCGCATAACTATGGCTTTGCTCGCACTTCAGATGAGACGAAGTATGGTTATCACCTGGACCTTGCGAAAGTGTTGTTTGTTTGTTATTCCCAGGCATCCTTGAATTCCCTTCCCCCCTTGGGGCTCCCAAGCCCGCTGTCGGCGGTCGAGAGCATCACCCAGGAGCTGGAGTTTTCCCTCGACCTCAGCAGTGCCATCCAGGGACAGTATGTGGTCAAGCCTCAGGTAAGCGCTTAGAACAGATCTCCACCAATGAGGGTTCACCGTCTGTCCCCTGCCAGAGGTCGCTGCTCTGTAGGTTTCTCAAGCTGGCTACATGGCGCAAGCTGCTGCCTGATCTATAGGGTTCAGCCACATCAGTCAATCAATCGGTCAATGTCTTTTTATTTTTCTTTCATCGAGAAAGACAATAGCTGGGGCAGAAAGCTGCAGCAGGTGCCACTTGACAAGGCCCTTGCTTCGAGATGGCAGTTCACGGGTGTAGCGACTGTTTAATGCTCTGTAGTTATATGACCACATGTGTACAGGCATGTGCTTTTAGTTCAAAACACATAAAATAAAAAAATAAAAAACATGTTAGAACAATTTTGTTACTTATGCATCAGTTGACAAAGTATGCACTTAAAAAGCAGCAAAAATAAATAGATGACATTTGGAAGGTAGATATAGTACCATCAAGGACACTGACACCCCCCAAAAAAATGTTTTCATTTTTTGCCAGGCGATTCATTATGGTGTCGGAATACTACTCAATTAATATTTTGCTACAGAGTAGCACATTTTTTTAAGGGGGGACATGGGCCTAAATTTTAAATTTCTTTGAAAAAATTCATTTTTTAATTTTGAGGTTTTCAGTTTTAGAAACTAATTATACACCCTTACACCAAATTTGATAACCATACGCCAAATAGTTACGTTGATATAAAATATTTTCAACACATTGTGAGGCAGTAACAAAGTAAAGGTGTTCAATGTTAGAATGCATTTTTCTCAGTTCCACTTTTTGCTGCAAATTTCATACGAAGGAATCTTTTGTTCGAAGGTGAAAGTATTCTGATACCACAATCAAGATGTTTCTGAACTGAAATTTACTCAGGAATCGGGCTATCTACTTTATTTTGTTTTAGGTTGAAGTCCTCAGTGATAAAAAACTAAGTTTTCAAAAATTGACGGAGGACAGATATGCATCGCATAGATTCAGGTAATAACTCTTCCTGAAATATTTACATTTAAGTTATTAAAACTAGATAGCCCGAGGTCCCATATCCCCCACTTTATATTCAAGCAGTCAAAATGATGCTTAATAGCTTAATTTGCATATCATAGATTTCTTAGTGAAAAGTGACACATCGTCTTATGCAGGTATGTAAATTTGTCTTAGAGGGCTGAAAGCTTGCACAGTGCACCTACATCTGAAGCTAAATCTCCCCTGCAAATTTCATTCCGATCACTTGAGTAGTTCGAAAGTTTGACCTCTAGCCAGTGTCCCCCCTTAATAAAGCCAAACACGCAACTGCTCGAAACTGAAACCGAAACCCACGCACCGCACGGAGATATGTAGAGGAAAGAGTGTGTGGTGGAAGTCACGTGGCTACACCCAACTGTGCAATTTTTTATTAATTTTTTTCTTCCGGGTGCAGCAGACGAAATGTGTTCGAGATATGTTTGCCGTGCGATTCCTTTGCAGTTATGTTTGTTCCGCTCACTGTTTTGTACTTCAAGATGAGTTGTTTTGTACATTTAAAGGGTAACTGCAAAGAAAAAAAAGTTTTTTTAAACAGCCTAATTGGGACAAGCATGTCACAAAACAAATGTTCTGCGAAAAAAATAATTTTTTTTTAGCAATATTTACGTCACAGGACGTAATTTAGTCAGAGTCAGAACATCTCCACATTTGAAAGTCCCGCTCTTTCGACCGCCGCGGAGGAGAACTACGCCCCGCCCCTCACTCTTCGATTTGCTCTTTTTTGTTGACTTGGCTGCTGAGTTGAACGACGCAGCGTCTCGACTTCCGGTAAGATCTGGCAACAACGCACGCTAAACATGGCGCCGGTATTGTTTTGGTTTGACGGTACACGAAAAGCTGCGGGGTTTGCGAGCACATAGCGAAGACATGACCGGAGGAGTGCCCCTGTGATGTTCCCGGAAGACGGAAAGTATCATTCGTAATCGTCGTGTGTGCTTTGAAAGCGAAGGGAGTCACAGGGTCCACGAGTGTGCAGCCACAAGCCAACGTTCACGACAGCGCTGCATTAACTTCGGCGATCTCGTTCTGTTTGGTGCAACACGGCGTTGCGACAAAGAGTTGAAACGTTCGTGGTGTGTGTGGTACAGTGCTTGGAAGTAGACACCCGACACGGAGCGCAAATTGGCTGTTGTGGGGTTGAGGTTAAATGGGTTCAGTCCCGTCGTCCTCAGCTGATCCAGTCAGACTGGTCCAGGAGGACGCGGCCAGCGTTTTTAAAAGTAAATCTTCCTTCGTTCCGTTTCCAAATGTGATAGATTCCCGACGCATACCGTGAGTAAAAAGCTGCGGGCGTTTTCAACAAAATTACGTCGTTTTAATTGTACAATGAACTGCGAAGACTGCGTTTGCACAGCGACGTGTTGCGCTCATCGTGCGGTGTGAATACATTTGGGCAAGATTTCCTACCTGCCCAATGATGCATGAACTGAGACCATTTTTTACGTAGTGAACATAGTGCTTTTTTTTTTATTTTGGGAAGAGGCGTTGTGCATTTATTACGGTACAATCACTTGAAAGTTCAGAAATTGGGGAGGGCGAGCAAGCTTTCCGAACTTTGTCTCCTTGCTCTCTGGCACTGCCTCTAGTTTCAAGTTTCGGTAGACATACCTACTAGCAGGTACAAACTGCTCTAAAGCAGGTTAAAGACTGGTAAGTCGGGACGGTGCGGACTTCGTGTTTCGCACTTTTCGCAAGGTGACTGGGGAAGTGCTTTTGCAAGGTATGCGGAATATTCAACCGATTTATGCCCGTTGTTTGCGTCTCTCCAGCAAAACGAATATGATAATCTACAAAGCTGCGATCACAAGCCAAGATTTACGATAACAGTACATATTCATTCAAACAATTTACGTAAGATGGTTCGAAAGCCGAGAAAAAAAATCTGTCTGCTGACGCAGAATTCGAACGTCCGAGGGCTTCTGCGGACAGCTATTACATAGTCACCTGGCTGTGCTTGGTTTTTTAGGTAACAGCTGTGTCTGGTCGCGGACTCTCGATGCACCCGGGGCACCCGGTGCGAATCTCGACGGCCTCCGGAGTGATAAGACAAGAACATAACTGGACACGTTTTTCACTACGCGAACGCTCGATTGCCTCCAGCCAAATAGCATTCTTTTCGGGGTGACATGGCTGCTGGAAGGCTCGCTGTTAGGATCACTCATCTGACATTTCAAAAAATCAGCATTTGCAAGCGCAAAAAAAAAAAAAACAAAAAAAAACAACACGCTAAGCAAGCAAAGAGGAAAACGAAAGAACCGAGCTATGAAAGCCAAAACCCCGCATAGCTTCCTAACACTAACACCTGCGACAGCTGCAAAACACACACTACTTCACTTCAAGAGGTCTCACTCAAGCACCTGGGTCAGCACGAAACACTGATCACTTCGGCGAAACGATTAGTCGAGGTAGGCGAGACAAGCGGTAGCGGTAGTAGCGGAGACTTCGGCTGCCATGAAAGAATGGTGAAGTTTTTGCTTGTTATGGTATGAATCTAAGCGGAAGTGCCCGTCTTGTAAACCTTTTGTAAAGAATAATAACTCTGATCACATGGGTTATTCTTTAAAAGTAAAAATATACCGCTCAAAAGGAAATTTCAACATATAACAAAGGTTTAACAACCAAGATCTAAGCTGTCAATCAAACTCTTAGCCAATGAGAAGTATAGCTGCCGATTGGGGTTCAACGTCACGGAATCCCAACTTCGTGGCGAGCGATTTAAAACGGGCGAAATAGCCGCAAACTAAAATCAGTCTCACGCAATGAATATTGCTGTAAAAAATGAAAAAATGTTTTTTCTCACGGAAAAATTGTTTTTTGACATGCTTGTCCCAACTGGCTGTTTAAAAAAAACTTTTTTTCTTTGCAGTTACCCTTTAAGCCATCAGGTGGCGAGTTATGACTTAACTGTCTCCTGTGATTCAACATGTCTGATAAAGGTGGTAGAATATATTCTTTGGGATGTGAGAGCATAGTTGGTAGGTAGTGTGGACAGGTATGTTCTGTCTAAATGCATTTAATGGCAGTTAGTATTCGTAAAGATGTTCAGACTTCATAGGAAATAGCTGCATTCACTTCTTAGTTTTGCTTATATGAAACTAGGAGCTGATAGTTACATAGGTTTGCTAATCTAACAACTTTATACCGTGTAAACACCAAAAGCAATTGATTGCGAAGAGCTTGTACGGCGATTGCGGTGCCATTTTTTCTTATTCTTTGTCCTGCCCTTCAGGACGACGAGAGGGACCGGGGCCCCCGCCGGTCAGAGTCCAGACGTTCCCTGGGTCGTCACTCCGGGGCCGGCGATGGAGTCTCCCGGGAATCGCCCGAGAAGCAGCCGCTGTTTGTGCCACACAGCCCCCACCGGACCCCCGAAGGGAGCCTGCGCCAGCTCAACATGGTGATGCGCACGCGCTCGGACTCCGGGCGAGCGCTCACAGACAAGGTACGGCCGGCGGGTCGACCGACGCCAGGGTGCCTGGCACATGTTTGTGGCTAGTGCGTTTTGCGTCCTTTACCACCCGTGCCTCGAAAGCTGTCCCAAAGTGGCAACAAACGACGTCACGGGAGCCCGGCACGTTGCGTCACCGGATGTCGCGATCCCGGCAGTCGGTCGTAGAAGTCCCGTGAGAAGGTATGAGCGAACACGGGTGTCAACATCGTCGCAGAGTCCCGACCCCCGGCTGTCAAAAGTTCCGTGAACTGTCGAGCTGGAGAGCAACAGCCCACGGTCGATTTGTTGGCGAGCGCGTAGTTCCCACCGCACTGTCGGCTTAGTAGGCGTGAATGGTGTACGGTGCTGCAGCGTAAAGGCACGTGAATGGCACGATAATCGTGCGATTTTATCGGGAGTAGGATAGACTGGCTTTGCCTTACCGGTGCAGCCACCATTCAACCATTGTGCAAAGTGACTCCTCTCAACATTTTAGCTCGTTGCTCGCTACGCTACATCGCTGAAATAGTGACGTGGCAGGGTCATGTGCAAGTTAGACTGTAATGCGGCGAGTGCAGTTGACCATTGTGTTTTAGCCGGGGGGGGGGGGGGGGGGGGGGGGGGGGGGGGGGGGGGGGCTAGGGGCTAGGGATGCTGCAAAATAAATGTCTGCGCGAATTTTCTTCCCTTCCTCTTTCTTAAAAATTGTGTTCGACCTATGTTCAAGTATGTTTTTATTATTCTTGCGGAATTTTTTAGTGTGGGGTCAACCTGTATTCTAGTAAATAGGGTAGTTTAATTCTGTTAACTTTCTGTGATGGGCCGGAATCCTCTTGTTCCAGGGGTCATGCATGCCTGCTTTTTCTCTTGCACAATTTTGTCGGTCACCTTTTTCACACTTAGTGCGCACGAGTTAGGCGTTATTCACACAATATATCTCGGTGAGTGTGGAACACAACCACCCGTGTCAAAATTTCCTTCGTATTAAAAAGATAGGCGAATTAATGGACCCGTTAAAAGTGCCCACCACACCAAGATGTCGATTCTAAAAGAATTCATTATAAGCAAGGCCTACTTGCCTGGAGTTGGTGGGACCATCCAAACCTGCCAATTCAGTCTGTTCCATCTGTGAACGTTTTTTTTAATGCCAGATGGTGTGCATGTAATGAGCTCATGCTATGCCACAAATAGGGATGATATTGTTGTAATACAGTCGCCGACCAATTATTCGGACTTCGCAGGGACCGAAAAAACGTCCGAATAATAGAGCAGTCCGAAAAATCAGCAGGTTAAAAAACTAGCCTTTATTACGTCTTGTGGGCTTAAAAAAAGCCATAAATAGTGCCTTGCTTCAGGTTAAGCCTGCGCGCCTTGTTTTAGGTTACGCCTCCGTTTGCATTCGGCAACTTTTTGTTAGCTTGAGAACCGTTGCCTTCTTTTCTAGCGCCGGCCACGTTACTGTTCATGGCAGCGTTCACAGTATTGATGTCTTTGTGCCACAAAACCGTCTCGGTTTTAGTGCATTGCAATACGTGATCAAACTGCTCTATGGTTATTGTTAGAAAGCTTGTTACCGCAGGCTACCAAGGGGTAAAATTACAACTGGAAGCTCGCGCTGCGCCTCTGAAGCACAATTTTCAGCGCGCGCCAGGAGCATTGCCGTGCTCACGGTAGCCTGCGGTAACGTTATGCTAAAACTGTCTATTATCATAATCGGCGTGCTTAGGGGTTTCATTTATTGCTCTATCAAAAATAAATATTTTAATATAGCGTGCATTTTTTGTACAGTGTTATTTGCAACGTTGCCGCCCCTCTCGCCAAAACTGCCCGTTCTAAGCTCTCGTCACAAACGGCTGGCTAACACAGACATGCTTAAAATTCTTTGGGAATTTTTTTATTTACTTTGTAATTACCTGAAAGCAAGTATGCATATTCAATCTTTTAAAAGTGCTTGGAATGAATGCTCATGTTCCTACGGCCTTAAAACACAAACCCAACGCCGATGTGTATTGCTCGACACATAGTTGCACGACCAGTTTCCTCCTACTGAGGGCAATGAATAGACTTTTCGTAGACTGTACGCTAGAGCCCTACATTACTAGCGGGAGCGTTTGCTGTCACGTTGAGCACAGATGGAGCTGGCGGTCATGCACAAGACCAGAAATCCGCATCGTATGCGATATACGAAAGGTCCCTAATGAAATTAGACATCCCAGTCCTCGTGCAACGCTGTTGCAAGGCGGAGCACAAAAATTTCTATTTTAACACGCTCACTTTTTTCATTAAAACGGCTTCACGCATTAAGCCCGACAGCCCCTGCCAACGCTTCCACTCCATCGTTGCCGGTGCCATCCCCGTTTCTCTGGCTTTCCTTTCGTCCACGGGAGGGCGAGCGGCGAACTGGAGTTGCGAATATTGCTGTGATGGAAGTGCTTCGCCATTTGCGCCGAATTGTGCCATGAACAAAAGTCTGCTGCATGTCGCGCCAAAATGCCATTTTTACACAGAATACCGCCATACCTGCACCAGGAACAAAGCACGAGATAGTTTAATATTGGTTGACACTAATATTGAAAGACATATAAGAGAAGAAAAGTGGTAGAAACACATATTTCAGGGTGTTTCTACTCACCAAAGTTCAACTTTGCTCGTTTATTGCGCTGGCCACGTCATCGTTTGTACTTCCAAACGACGATGTGGGCAATGTCACAGAGCTAGAAATCGCGAGAAAAATAAATAAAATGGTTGTATGGCGGCTGCTGTGATAAGACAGAACCAGGTTCTCGTGCTCCTGACAAGGTCACTTGATTTTCATCTCTGCCACATGCCTCCACACCGTTGCACTATCGCCGCTCGCGTCAACTCTCACCTCCTTGCACGGGCACGCTAGCGTCGAGCTTACTTGCGTGTCATTGGGGCGTTAGGAAAAGTGGTTTGTGCGGGGGAGCACCAAGCTAGTGCGATGGGCTCGGAAATGATGCTCAGTACTATTACTGGTCATCCTTTTTTAATCTTTATTGTAATTCGACCCCTAATTTTAAAGGGTGGTGGCGAGAAAATATTGGAACAAAATAAGGGGACCTTTTTTTCTGAATATGAAGTCAAGTTAGTTGTTCGTGAAGCAGTTGATCGAAAGGATCCCAAACTGTGACTCAAGTCTGGCTCCGATGCTGCTAACTCTTGCAGAATTAGGAGTGTCACTTTTAAAGCTCAACTTTGCAACTTTTTTAATATTTGGAGGAGAGGTTTGCAGTATAGTATGATATTAGATACTTGAGTGTTGTAGGTTTGTAAATCTTGGTGGAAATATCTTTATTGATCGACGTTATAGCAGATATGCTAGTTTTTTTCTGGAATTTTACATAAATGATATTGACAGGCTACATTAATTGGGAGCATAAAGGAGGGAGAGGGAGAGACACCTTATCTCAACTGAAGTATCTTGCTATGGTTAATTTTTTAACCATTTTTTTTCCTGAATTCCTATTGTAAACGGAACCTACTTTGACCTGAGCCTTATTTCTAAAAAGACAGTTGTGTGCCATGTACTTCTTCTGATCATTTATATGTATTTTAATTACAAAACATAATAATATACATCAAATCAAAGATGAACCCTCAATTTTTATCAAAGATTTAGTCACTTACTGTAAACTTCTGAAAGAACGCCCACCCAAAATGAAGAGATACAGTGAAACCCGTTTAGAACGGACCCATGTACAGTGAATTATTGTCAATATCTAACTCGCAAAAAATTTAAATAAAAATTTATGTAAAAAGTACTTTTTATAGCGAACAATGTATTTGTTATATCAAACGTTTTTACCTTGGGAAGGCTTCCAAAAATGCGCAAACAGTCGTCTTCTAGCCTGTCTCTTCCTCCCAAAAAAAGTAGAAAAGAAAAAGAAAGTTCCAAAAGCTCAAGTCGTGAACAAAATTGAGCGAAGAGAAACGATTCAGGGGGTAAAAAAGCTAAAAAAAAACTGCCTGCAAACACGCATGCAAAAAAAAAAAAAAATTTTTTAAAGCGGTTGTTTACAAAAAGAAGCGATTCAAAAGGGCAGGTAAACTAAAACAACAAACTGCAAAAAAAAAAAAAAAAAAAATTTTTTTTAGTGCTTTGTTACAAGGCGGAAGCGAAGAGATGAGAAAGAAAGAGAAGCTTTCGCCTTACAACGAACGCATCGTGAAAGTTTGTTGTAAATGGTTTTCGCTATATCGAACTGATGGTAGCGTTTCCTACTGTTCGTTATAAACGGGTTTGACTGTAAACGGTGAAAAATATGAAATGGGGGCTATCTTTGGGGATGCCACAGCAAAACTTTAACAAAAATAATGATAAAATACCCTGGCACCGGCCACAAACCACGTGACGCGGAAACTGATATCGCAGATACTGCAACTTCGCATTTTACAGTGCGATAAGCACGCGGGAATTCGCTATGAACTCCTGCATTATGGGAAAGGATACCGCAGGTTGCAGACACAGCAGATTTGTGTTTCACGGTGTGAAGGACCCGCGGAAACCCACCAAGAACTCGCATCTCACGGGAACGAATAGTGAAAATTGCAGACGCAGCAGATTCAAGTTTTATGATGCAACAAACACATGGGAACACTCTACTAACGTGCCTGTCACGGGAACTGATCGTGCACGCAGATCGCGGACAAAAATGCAGGAATTCGCTGCAAACTCGTATGTTACGGGAACAAATATTGCAGATCGCGAATGCAGCACAATCATATGTCATGAAGCAATATACACTCAGAACCAATGGGACCAAATCGCATGGAATCGAACTTGCGTGCGCAGATTGCGGACAAAAACACGGGGATCTGCTACAAATTTCATGTCAGAGGAACGGATACCACAGATTGCAGATGCAGCAGATTCGCATTTCACAGTGCAACATACACGCAGGAACAACTCGCGTGTTACGGGAGCCGATATCGCGTGCAGATCGCGGCCAAAAATACGGGAACCCACTATGAACTCGCTTGTCAGACATGCCGGTACAGCAAACTGTGCAATCAATGCGATTCCCGTCGGAGATCGTGTGACGTCCGACGGGAACCGAAGCATTGCCGGTCGGCAATGTTTTGGAATTTTTACGTTATAAATATTTACCGTAGATTATTGCGCATCCGCCAATTCCACATTAAGCGCCCATACCCAAATTTGTAAGATCTGAGAAAATATGCGCTGTACATTGATATGTAGAATTGATGACCGGACAAGCGCTCATCCCCCATTTTTTTATGATTATCTCGAAATTCTGAGTGGTCGCTTGCCCGGTATTTTACGGTAGTAGCAAGAAAAACGGAATGGGCTATCTCTTGGGGGTGGGCGCTCTCTTAGAACTTTACGGTAGTGATGTAATCATTGTTTAATTTTTAAGTGATGTGCTAACACTTTTTAGGATCTGCTCCAAAAGGGTGAACGACTGCTGCAAACCAACATTTTGCCTGCTACAAAACGTCAACATCAATGATTGACAAAAAGTCCATCACTGCCATTGACATTGTTCTTTGCTGTTCTAACACTGGTATTTTGCTGCAATTCTGTTTTAACGTGCTCCAGCAGTGACTTCAACAAGGGGTCAACAGTATTGTGGAACAGACAAATAATTAAGCAACATAACATAATTCCAAAGAAAAGCTGTGGTCTCCAGGAAAGCTTTCCCCCTCTCGTGCCATCACTGCATCCCCGCGTTTGGAACAAACGCTTTTCGGCTGTTGTCGCAGGAGATCCTGGACCAGGTGGAAGTCCTCAACCTGGACACTGGGGAAAAGATCCCACTGAGTGTGGCGGAAGAGAAGCTGCCGCGCTGCCTCAACCCGCTGGCCTTGCACATCATGCGCATCACCTCGGAATACGTCAGGTGGGTTGCTTCACCCAGTGGCAGGAAGCTGCACTAGAGCGACTACGTAAGCTACGCTCGGAGTATCCACACTTCATTACTTGGTCGTCTTGTGGGCGCCGCGATTTTGGTGCCTATTGCTGAGCGGGCAGAACTGGCGATCGTCACGATTTGAAAAATGTGTTTTTTTTTTAGCTTAGATTTATTGTCGGGAAGTTCGGGCAATGTCGTCTTGCTTTGTTCCGGACTGCATTCCTGGAAAGCAGAAAAGCATATTGTGCTATTTCAGATGGAGCTTTGGGTAACTGGCAACAATGATTTCAAGCACTGAATGGCTGAACTGTTGTTGCAGTGAAGCGTAGCTTGTTTTGTGACTCTAAGCCACACTAAACATTACGGTGCGGTGCGTGCACTTTGTGGGGAACGGGACGGGAATGTCGCAGAGGAACTTTACCGACTTCGGTATTAGTATACTCGTCACCTCGGGAAAAAAGGTTTTGTAATATACTCATGCCCTGCGCAAAGTAGTTCGATCAAGATTTGGTGACGAGAGAAAGGAGCCATGTTTTTTGCTCTAGAGACGTTTGCATTCTGGTGAACTAACAAATTTGCCATTTTTTAAACAAACATTCAAGTATCTTATTCAGCACACAAAGGGGGAAAAAATAGAAATTACTAAAGCTTGACAAAAAGTGAAAAAATTTTTTTTTTTTTTCTTTTTGATTTTTGAGGTGAAAGAAAGTATAGTACTGTGGAATCAATCTTTAGAAATGGTGTGAATACTAGCGGGTAAAATCTGGGACAGCCTGGATTTCACGGGGAAGTTTGATGATCTTGGAAAGTTGGGGTATTTTCGAGTACTTTGAGAAATGTTATAAAATTCCACGCTTTCTTTGATGTGCAATGTGTTCCAAGACCATAAAATCAATTGATGTACTAGTGATATTGTAAATTAGAAGTCGTGGAAAGGGTATTGGAGGCTCCGGATACGAGCGCCAATGTCTCGCATTCAAGAGACAACCATCCACAGCACCTCACCATCATTGTCCTTATTGACGATTGTCAACCTTGTCAAACATGTTGTGGGAACCGCTTTTGTGTTAGCCTGTGTCCCTGCCAATGCATCTGCTACTGTCCTGTGTGCAGCCACCTGGATAAGAACCGGGAATCGGACGAGGAGAGCATAGACTTCCGGCAGTCTTCCCAAGACCAGTCGGACTCCAACACACTCAAGAAGAGAGCGTAAGCTGCAGCACTCTCTGCTCAGATACGTGATTAGGGGGCTGAACGGCATGGTTATGGCATAGGGTTTGAATATCAGTTTCGAATAATACACTATTCAATAGTCTCTTCGAGGTGAACTGCGATACTTATTTGTACTTTTCGAAGTGCCGATCGGGTTAGGTTAGCCCCGTTGAACGCGCTTCTTACAATGCACCGGTGCGCTGCGGGGAAGCAGCACCCGCGGAGCTCGCTTCGTCGCAGGGCAGTCGTGTGCTTAGGAAAAAAAGCACACTTTCAAATGAGGATATAAAAAGAAATGTATACTTTGTGAACATTGATATCAACATTGCAGTAAAATTTGTAAAATAAACTGTGTGTACTTTGCGAGAGTATATGTTAGGCAGAGATTCCTTGGCAACCTGCATTCATTATTCGTTAATTTTCTTTCTTTTTTATATATTTTAGATCAGGGGTTCTCAAACTTTTTGGCCTCACGGAACCCCAGGAAGCCTCAAAAACTGCCGCGGAACCCCCCCCCCCCCCCCCCCCTCCCTATTTGCCGACCGAGAAGCAACAGATGTACAATTGTAGGCAATTTTGCTTGTGTTGCTTCCCATATACCCCCACCATATCAATCGCAATGTCAGTACAAAGTGAGGTGAAGGTGCTTTGCATGGTCCTGCCGCACAGCCTGTGGCAGGGGGGAGGGGGAGGGGAGGGGGGTTGCAATTTGGGTGTTCGCGGAACCCATGAGACCAGCTCGTGGAACCCCTGTGTTCCCCGGAACCCAGTTTGAGAACCCCTGTTCTAGATTGAAGATTTATAAATATTCTCGATTAAAGGGGCACTGACACCCCAAAGGTCGTATTTATTTTTATTGTCTAAAACGATGCAAGTTGCAGTCATAAACACGCAAAAAAAACCGCATCGCGAAAAAAAAATTTCCCGCGCGCGCGCGCGCTTTTTTATTTTTGGCGTTTGATTTTCCCGCCTCTCGCCTCCTCGCTTCTTTTGATCGGTGACGTCAAAAATCAGGAAATTTAGAAGCTTTGTAGGCGACATCTCTATAACATTTAATTACGGCAATCCTAAAACATGTTTTTTAACGCAATTGCAAACGCACTACGGCCCTTCTTTTTGAAATACCAAAAATCGGGAGTTCGTTGTGGTGCCGTCTCCTGGATTTGTATCCTCCAACGGAAAACAGGCGACACCGCTCAAAACCGGTCCGCCGCAACGCCGGGCGCTCGCTCCTTTCCTCCTCGCTTTGGGTCGCCATGGCAACAGCAGGGAGTGGTGAAAGGAAGTCTACTCTCAGGTCTCCGTAATTTTTGACGTCAAGGCACCGGCGCCGATCGCGCGGGAACTTCGAATTCGGCATTTGGAAATTGTTTTTTTACTTCACGAATACTGAATTCCCAAATCTCAAATTTTGAGGGTAATGTCCCTGCATCGTTTTCAATCGTTTCGGATAATAAAAAAAAATATGATTTTGATGTGTCAGTGCCCCTTTAAGGATAGCTGGGCATCTCTGTAGGTTTAATTTTATGTCAAGTCAATCGTTTACTTGTATCCAAATATAGGCATTGGAATTTCTGAGGCCACAGTTCGTAGATATAGCTGTACTAAAATTAGCTTAGAAGTGGACAATGGAAGCGTGGGAACAACCTTTACAAGTTCAGCAAAAGTTTTGTTTTAATATGTTGCAACAGTTGTGAAAGGCTTGGAGAAACTATTCAGTATTTAATGTGAATATATTCAGGCAAAACCACTATTCACTTTATTAGCTTACAACTTTTAATTCAGGAATGGAAAACGATGCACTGCCACAGCACCATCACCGAAGCGCAACCTCTGTGTGCACGGCTGTCGGTCATTTTTGTAGCGTGAGCTACACTGGCCGAGGTTGAGCAGTTTCGCGTGGCTTGCATAATGAGCCGTGCTCAGTGCTGCGCAAGCGCGAGGAGCAGTGACGTCACACGGCGCACAGCCGTGTGGCGTCACTGCTGCCGCGCTCCGCTGCCGCCGCGCCTGCCTCGCCAGTTTGCGCATTCCAGAGGAGTGACGTCATACCCGCGGCAGACGCACTGGCCCCACCGCGTGCCCAGCTGTGCGCCTCCGTTGCGCAGTAGCCAAGTCTAACGTTGCACCAGAGCCGCTTGATAGTGCCTCTCATTTGGTGCGCATATGCTCACACTACGTATATCCTGGCATAGCCGAGCTAAGCCACCACAATTTTTTTGCTTGCTGCCTGCTACATTAATTTCTCAATATGCTCAAACTAGTCTTTCTTGAAATGTTGATTAAGCGGAAATATTTTTTTGTTGCGGAAAGAACTCTGATAAGCACATTGCATTTACTCATTGCATATCTTGAAAGGTTTCAGGACAGACTTCAAATATCTCAGAAACCCATGAAAGAAAAAAAAAAAAAAGATACTGGGCATGGCATACAATGCACCTACTGTTTTTCTGCTAACCTAGACATCGGTTAGCAGAAAAACTGCAATCCCAAAATAAAAACGCTCAAAAGCAAAAAACAAAAGGCTGCGCCTTTGTGCATGTAGCAACATGCAAAAAAGAACAAAAGAAAGTAGTGTTCTTACACGCATCATGATCATGGTGGTCTAGACATTGGTTAGTGGAAAAACTCCACTTCCAAAATAAAAACACTCAAAAGCAAAAAAAAAAAGAACAAGTTTTGTCTCTGTGTTTGTGGCAATACACACACACAAAAAAAGTCTCGTTTACACATGCATTAACAATGTTGGTAGTCCTGCTTTTTTTCTTCTCAAAATGCTTTGCTTGATGTTCAATGCTGCTGTTTCTCTCTCTCATATGCTAAATGTTCTCTTTGACTCTTTTTTTTTTGTCATTCTCTTTTTTTGTGTGTTCATCCGTTGTTCTTGCTTCCCTGTCTCACTTTCCCATCCCAAGAGTGTTGCTTGTCCGTCACTTTGTTGCGGTCGTTTTGTGCTCCCCACCGCGCCGTGTGAGCCAGCGTCAAGTCTACCGGCACGACCATCAGCGCGCAGAGTGCACGGTCGGTGCAGCGAAAATTGTGGTACTTCGCCTATCTCGGAACTTTGCCTATCTCAAATTTTTTTCCCAGCTTTTCTGACTTCGAGTTAATGAGGGCTTCCTGTAGTTGCCTTTCTTGTCCATAATGTTTGGTGTAAAAATCGTGACTATTGTGCCTGGAACACGTCTTCAACCTGTGACAGAAGAGACGTCTGCCACATTCACCACAGCTGCTGTGACATTGCCTGGGTTAGGGCTGGCAACAACGCAACACTTCTACGATGCCATCAGGCTGAAATCGAGGGATGGGATCGCGTCTTAGGACGCAGTAAACACCAGTCTGAGACTCATTCCAGGCACCCTAGTCGTGACACCGAAGTTAGATGTCTGCCGCTTCACATTATCGCCGCCTTTTTCGTTGCCGCCCAGGACGCGCCTCACCAAGATGATTGGCAAGAAGGTGGGAAAGAAAGTGGGCAAGACGGTCAGCAGGATCAAGACCGTGGCTGACGAGAGTGAGTGTCCGTAACCTCCGGTTCGGGGTTGTCCCACGCCTGCTCCCCGGGCGTAGTACCTCGAGCCGTTGACTTCCCCACAAACAAGACAGACACGAAACGAGTGTTGTTTACCTCCTGTTTGTGGCCACTGTTTCGGGCTTGGCATGCTAGATTTTTCTCGGCTCAAACGCGTCGTTCCGTGGAGTGTGGCCGCCAAGGTGGTGAGACGAAGTGGGGCTGCTTTTCATTTAACGCAAAATGAGTGTAATGGCTGGGATTCCCGAGTAAAGCGAGCCATAACCGCGCGACCATATCGTACAACTGTGTCGCGTGATTTGACGTCGCGGAAAAACTAAGAAGTTCCGTGGGAGAGAGGAGACCATATAGGGGACCGAGTAACCACATCGTGTGACCGTATACCGTGATTTGACATTGTGGAAGGATGAGAAAAATCCGTGCAAAATGCCGTAGATTCCGAGCAGACCATGCAAAACCGACACATTCTGCATACACCGATTTTTTCCATAGGATCAACTTTATGCTTGACGGACGCCACTGGGAAAAGTTTGCGAGTATTTTGGCACCGTATCCCCGACTCTTCCAATTCGATTTTGGCCCCTTGCAGAGCTGCACTCTCGGCATAGCGAAGAAATGGAGTGCAGCGACACCGAGGCATCTCCTGATGCTCGGGAGGCCCTGAAGATCAAGACGTCGAGCAGCCACAAGGCGCCGGCTGACTTCGACTCTATCCGCGTCGTCCAGGAAATCGTCGGCGAACACACGGTGAGAGGTGGTTCTCTCTCTCGCAAAAAACAAACAAATTAACACATTTGGAAGCTGAGCCCCTATTTTGCTTGACAAATGCACCCTGAATAGAGATCTGAAGAGTTATTAATCATCCAGATTTTCCTTCGAATTAAAGCAAGGGTTCTCAAAACTTTTTGGTCTCACGGAACCCCAGTAAGCCTCAAAAATTGCTGCGGAAACCCCCCCCCCCCCCCCCTCCCTCCCTTCATATTTGCCGACCGAGAGGCATAAGTGCAATCGGAGGCAATTTTGCTTGTGTTGCTTCTCATATATCCGCACCATATCGATTGCAATCTCAGTACAAAGTTAGATAAAGGTGCTTTGCAGGGCCTTGCTGCGCAGCCCGCAGCGTGGGTGGAGTGGGGGAGGGGGGGGGTGCAATCTAGGTGTTTGCGGAACCCATAAAACCAGCTCGCGAAACCCAGTTTGAGAACCCCTGAATTAAAGGATTCAGCATATACACCTTGGCATTTCTGAAGTGGCAAGACTATATATTTTAGGTGCCAATGTAATCTGCTGTAAGCAAAGAATGGCTGAAAAAACAATGAGAGCAATAGTTTGGGTGCTTATAGAAAAAGTTTGGTACAGTGGGTGCTTATAGAAAAAGTTAGGTACAGTGTGGCTATATTATTAAATGCTTGTGTAAATTAGGCTCGTACACTGCTTGACACTGCTAGCGCGAACACGTCATCGGCACGTTTTCGCCCTTTACTTCGAGCGGACTATTGGTGGTGACCAAACTTTACCGCTTAGGTTAGAGCCCCAAATGAACACTTTCCACCACACTAGTGTGTAGGGTACTTTTAATGACAAACTTTCAATTAAAAGAAAAGCAGGAAAAACTGGTTGCTGCCTGTTCGCGGTAACTGTGTCGCACAACAAACACGAGGGTTTGTTTTATGTAGTTGCCAGCTTCTTTTTTTCGAAAGAAGACTAAAGCCCCAGTTTGTTTTTACAATGTCTTGCCAAGGAAAACAGTAAGCACGATTTATGGGCCCCAAATGTATGAAAACAAAACATTACATGGTGGAAAGAAACTCACTTGATCTCGGCGTCAGGTTTCTGACTTGTGCCGTTTTCTTTCTATTTCCAGGGAGCAGTGTGGACCATGAAATTCTCGCCGTGCGGGCGCCTCATGGTGAGTCTTCCTCGGAATTCCGTATCCTCAGCGTGCTGTAGTTGCCGTAGTCACCGACGGCTAAAGAAACGCGGGGCATGGCGAGTCCCAAGCATCTCATCATCGCTCCGCAGTCAACAAGATTGCAAGCGAGCGTAATAAGGCCCGCCCCGCGTTTCTCAAGTTGTTGGCGGTTGAGCCTCGGAGCTCGCGAAGGGGAGGAGCTTTACCTTGGGCATGCCCCATCCCACACAGGCAACCGCAGGACAAGACAACATCCTCCGGATCTGGGTGCTCAGGGACGCGTACGAGCACTTTGATGACATGAGGAAGAAGTACAAGGCGGAAGGTGAGTCTACCCACGTCCTCGCACATCTCGCTCGTTCGTCGGCTCAGATTTCGGCGAAACTATGTTGCCTAGAACACGTCTCCGCCCGGTGTGCTTAGCGTCCCTCTCCTGCATTGAGACTGGTCCCGAAGTGGCAGCAAATGACGTCGCGAAAGCCGGACTGTTGTGCTGTTTGGTGTCGCAATTCTAGGGGTCGGGCATAGAAGAAGCTTTTAGCCTTTCCACTCTGGTGAAGAAGGGAAAGCAGCGGAGCTGTACTATGTGACGCTATCTATGAGGGACGGCTGCAACCAGACAACCGGCAAGCTGGTTGTCAGGTTGCCGTCGTCGCTCATGGATGGCAGTAGCTGTTTAGAGGGTTGTGTCGAGATTTATTTGTCCATGGACACGAAACTGGGGAAACTAGCCCTTAACAGCTCTGCTGTAAAAGAATGAGTGAAAACGAGCGTTGTCGTGGCGTCTCAACTCCTGACTGCCGAAGCTTTTGCGAACTGTCGAGCTGGAGAGCGACCCCCCGCAGAACGGGCGTCTGCCGCACGCACCAGCGGTGCTGTGACACTGCCGGGATCGCGGCCAGCAACACTACACTGGCATGACGTCTTCTGGCATTAATCGAGGAACCTCTGTTTAGGACGTGTTCCAGGCAATGTAGCGAAACAGAGCACTCAAGACCACTTTAGACGGGGTGATTTCGGGGTGACTGGACAGTTGTTTTCTAAATTTCCCTAGATCCTCGCAGTGCAACGCAAACTGTTGGGATCGAGTCCGGCTCGAAACTGGCGAGAAACTCCAACAACTCTGAGACACTTGAGGCGGCAGCGTCCAATCGGGCACGCAAAATTTTCACGTGACTCCACTCCCTGTGGTGGTGATGATAGTAATTAGACAGGGGTTTAACTTTGTTTTGGTTTGAAATAAACTGTTTTTATAACTGTGTGGTTTTAGGGAGATCAATTACCGTATTTACTCACATAATGAACACACTGTTTTTCCCGAAAAATTGGCACATATTTGGGGGGTGCGTTCATCACGCAAGGTAAAACTTTTTGCATTTACACACTTTGTGCAAATGTCATCGTAGGTGCCATTATGACTCGGCAGTGTACTGTGGCATGTCTCCCCTGACGGAGGCGCACCCGCAACTAATCAATGGGCTCGCCACAGTCCCCGTGCTCTATAAATTGCTAATCTTGGGTGCTTTCGGCGTGCCTTCTTACGAAGGAAAAGCGACCTACGAAACTCGCTCAGCACGAAAAGCAACACAACCAGTCGTAGGCCTAACCACTTTCATGATTTCACTGTCTGAAAGCGGACCACAGACGACGGCATGTTTACTGACATCAGTGCATCCGATGGATGAAGCATGTCCGGGGCTGGGCTATTTCTCAACCCCAGCCTCATTAGGTGTGCACGCTGCTCAATTTCTCGGTTGATCACTTCCACAACTACGCACTTGCAGCCATTACGAGAGTGGCTTGGTTTGGCTTGACTTGACCTGGCCATTTGGTAGCTAGCTGAGTTTGAGACTCGCGGAGTCTAAAATTGGAGGTGCATTCATTATGCGAGGGAAAAATAAAGTCAAAATCTTGATGCTCGTTGGGGGGGGGGGGGGTGCGTTCATTATGCGAGTAAATACGGTAGAATTCTCAGTGCCATTTGAGGTACATAAAACGTGCTATTAATGGGTAACTGTGTGTCTTAATAGTACAAGAAAATTGGACTTTTAATGGGAAACACTGGTCTCGGAGCTTTCCTCATTGTTTGATGGAGGTGCGCAAGCTTGTGCAATCTTTTTGCTGATTGCAAATATCTGGTCAGTTTTTCAGTCAGTAGATCAGTCTTGAGGATAATTAAAATTCCCCTGCCCTTGTTTTCAGGAACAATAGAGAAACATTTACTCAACATGAAATTATTTTTATTGCATGGCTAGATATTACAAGGTATAAAGAATACAATTTTGGAAGTACTTCTGACATTGACCCTTTGTTAGCAATTTTACTACACATTGAAGGTCAATAATTAAATTAATTAAATTTCAAGAACTTTTTTAGCATCGAAGACTTGTCTCCCCTTAAGGATGATAACAAAACGTTGCAATTTGAATTTGAGTGCTTTCTGCGTGTGAATGCGGGTGTCCTATGTTGCTGGTGTTGCGACGTCAAGACGCTGGGAAAAATTGAAGTTGCCTCAGCCTACATTTTCACTCGCATTATACCTGCGCAAAGCACAGCCGATACAGGCTGTTGTAGTCCGCAAAACAAAAGCAGTACTATTACAGCATAGCCGTACCAGGCACGCAATGTTCTAGCCAATCTGCACAAGTTGCAGTTAAGAGGTGTATTGTCGCACGCTACATATTCGTCAGAGTATGACTTGTTCTTTTAATACAGAATTTTATTCTTACTAAAGTGAAGCGTGCCAGGGTTGAACAAAGTTGGCCAACTGCCTAACACCTGTGCCACAAGATCTGCCAACCATACAAGACAACTGTAAAAAAAAAAAAAAAATTAGAAAAGAAAAAAGGAGAGGCAAGAAAGAGGACTCCGAGACACTTCGAGAGGACTTTTGCAGGTGCAAAAGCTTCGAAGACAAGAAAAAAAAAAAAAAAAAGAAAGAAGTTACCCAAAAGGAGGACATAATAACGCTAGACAGGGTGTCACATACATGGAATGCCAAGACTGCAGTTTGCATCCACTGCATTCTTCATGAGGTGCAATTCTGCATATGACGGTTTGACGGATAGGTTCAAATGCAACCTCAAATTTTTCTGGTTTTGTGTATAGAATATAGAATTCTCACATTCCTTTCAATGGTTTCCTCTAGTCAAAAAAGACTCTCAGGAAAACCCGGGCTCCAGCACTACTGAGGAGGACGACAAGCAGGTGAGATTCCGGTTTTATCTCTGCCTCTAGAGCTGCCTCAAGTAGATCACTGTTGTGTTAATCTGGTGACGACCATTTTTTCGGTCAGAAGGCCGATGCTGAAGAGCCCGAGGACGTGAAGGGACCGTTCCTGCCAAAGCCGTTCTGCTTGTACGAGGGACACACTGCGGACCTCCTCGACGTGTCCTGGTCAAGGGTAGGCCCCTGTCGATGCTCTCACTGGCGTTTGATTCATATTGTATAACCTCATTAAAAGTTGATTCACACATTCGTGTTTAGTTTGACCAGGTACGTCACAACCGTTTAGAGTAAAGCCCCTTGATGTGTTTGTGATAGTTTTGTGAGCAGCATCCAGTGTGCGGTTCGTGAGTGCCCTTGGAAGCGAATCGCAGCGCTCGCTCGTGGCACGTATTTTGCACGTTTGCATAATAACGGTTATCGGTACCGGTACAAAACGCACAGTGTGAAATTTATCAAGGGGCTTGTTGTTGACACGATTTTATATGCATGGAAATCAAATGAGTCGCCGTGTCGCCTTCAACGTCATTCTTTCAGTGTGGAATTGAAATATGTCTGACGATGTTATAAGTGACCATTTTTCTTAGATACAGTAGGCTCGCAATATTTCAAATTTGGGAATTTCGTATATCTGATTAATTTAAACAAATTTCGAAATTTTGATCGTCCCGCTATGTTCTCACTGTAATTATAAGCCGCTTAAAGGTGCCATGAAACGATTTTTCTACTTTCGCTAAGTACCGTATTTATTCGAATATAAGGCGAGGTTTTTTTTCCAAAATCCGTAGTCTCAAAGTCATACCCTGCCTTATATTCGAAGCTCAGTATAGCAATATGATGATTTTTTTTCTTTTTCTTGGGTCCTTCAACTGCCCCCTCGCCTTATAATCGTGACCGCCTTATATTCGAATATATACGGTACTACTTGGAATCACACCCTAACGTTATTAACCGAATAACTTTGCCTTAGTTTTTCTAAGGCAGTCGTCAAACAAATTTTAGAAATATGAGCGTCGTTCATCTCCTCAACCCGGAGCCAGAAGAAGCGGCCACGTGGCTTCGTGCCCACCCTATGCCGCCAACGTTAGTCGTAGCCATGCGCTGGGGTCGGCAAAGTAGAAAACACGTGCTGAGCTCCAGGCATTGTTAGTGTTTGGCTATCCTCATCACCGCAGTGGCTGGACACGATCCACTACCCAAGTATCCGCCAATCCATTGATAGTTACGAGTCGAAGTCAAGGGCTCACCACTGATCTCTATGTCTATTTGCTGGATCGCGTTTGACCAGCTCCACCTATGGACGGGAATGCGGCTACGGTCGGCCATCTTTTTGCTAGAGTTATATTATCTCTAGCCATCATAGTAATATGATGTACAGCGCAATGGGCGGCAGGCTGCCATAAAATAGCCGTGGATCTAGTACACTGTAGCGTGGGTGATATTTCGTGCTTGATTGAAGTTGTTCGACGAAGCAGATTCTTAAAACCCGGTGTGAACGGTAGCCTCATCTTTGAGGACCCGGCGAAAGTTCTACGAAAGTGCAGCATTGGGGGAAAGCAGTGCAGCTCGCATCGAAAGCAGACTCGTACCGGCATCTGCTTTCGATGCTTCTTTCGATGCAACTTTCAATGCGTGCTGTGCTGCTTTTCCCTGGTGCTGCGATTTTGTTAAACCTTTGCCGGGTTTCAAAAACATGTTTCGTCACACAATTTCAATCAAGCGCGAATAATCACCCACGCTATTTTGATGGCAGCCTGCCACCATAACTGCCACAACGCTGTCTGCCATGGATGGATTATAGTGGCTGCAGCAGCTGCACCTTGGCTAGAGGTAATATCACTCTACCAAAAAGATGGTCGCCAGTGGCCGCATTCGCGGAGCGGGCAAACGCGGTCCAGCAATTGTCATAGAGATCAGTGGTGCTCACGGAGTTCTCATGTCCAATCCATGCACCGCACTCGACTGTCATCAGGCGGGTGGTTTCGATCCCGCAATTACGTCGTGAAGCTTTGCAAAGGCAGGACTGAAAGAAATAGTCCCCTTTTATCTTCGCAATTTCACCTCAACCAAGAAGCTTCTGAATCAGTGGCGGTCCATGCGAGTATACTTGGGACAGACCAGGAACAGTATGCCCCATAAAGTCATGAACATTCCAACTCGATATTGTTTCATGACCCCTTTAATTTGAGCGACGTTTTCATGTAATTCATACATTTTGTTCTCGCGGCCCCGTTGAGTGCGCTTCTCACCGAGCACCGGCGCACTGCAGAGAAGCAATGCCTGCAGAAGCGAGCTCCACGGATGTTACTTCTCTGCAGTGCATTGATTCTTGGTATGAAGCGTGCCCAACAGGGCTAATAGCCCACAATAGACAACTTTTTTTGCCAGATGAAGAAAGCTGATTTTGTTTTGAAGTGTCTTGCGCTGTCCGAACTGTCCACAATAGACAATATTTTCGAGGAATTAGTTTTCTTAAGGGGACACCCCCTGGGAAGGTCAACGTTTGAACCCATGTCTTAAATGAAATTTACAGTGTAGGTTGGTGGTCATGCTAGAGGGTGCATAACAAAATTTCAGGTCTGTCGGTTAAGTGGGAAAGAAATTATAGCAGCTTCTATCAGCAACACGCCTACATTGTTTAGTTAATCTATCGTCTGAAAACTATCACAATATTCAAGATTTTTATTTGCTAGATATGTAGCAGAATGCCTAGAAGGTGCGGCTATGGAAAGTTTTTTGTAAAAAGTCATTGATTTCTATCAATTTTCTCTTCTGCAAAATTGGTCACATTTTTGGTCTTCTGTGTCTTCAACACAATGTCACCATTTTTTTATAAAAGACATCCGTAAAGTGACAAAAAAATTTCATAGCGTACTCCTTATTAAATTTCAGTCAGGAAAAGTGAAGAACGAGCCTTCCCTGCATTGCCACTATCAAACGACAGATTGACTAAACTGGAATTTAACCTGAAAAGTGGAACGGAGAAAAATGCCTTTAAAGTGCTCCAAACCCTACCTTTTCTTTAGCTTCGGTGAACAGAAAATAATTTATAAAAAATTAACTATGCAGTGTAAACAAATGAAAATTTCTGGGGATACCCTCAGATGTTGGTGGATGTAAGTAAATATGTCATTTTTCGAAATCAACTTTTTTTGCAGAAATTTTTTCTGGGCAGTGTCCCCCCTTAATAGTTTTACCGATTTTTCATGTGTGACATATGATTAGTAGGCCTGTGTAGAGAAAATCATTGAAGATTTGCTTTGTATGTATAACCATCCATATAACAAATCATAATTTTATCTTTCGTCGTATCTTGATAAATTTATGATAATTCAAACTTCCGATAATTAAAAAAGAATTGTGGCTTCCTGGAGTTCGAATAAATGAGTCTCTCGTAGTGTGAAGATTTTACCTCGCAAATACTGCAAAACCTTCAGTTCAGTTACATGCACTTCTGAGGCTACCTAATGGATGGTGCCAATGCATTCTTTTGTCATTAGTGGTCACAACACACTTAATCACAGTCAAACTCAAAATGTGAACTGGCCTTGATACATTTTTTAGGGAACTTCAAGGAGAAAAAATAAAAAGTGTAATCTGGGACAGTCGGGCGTTTGAAGGCCCATGTACAAGACGGGAAGCGACTCTCGTGGCAGTTGATTTCAAATGGACTCTCACAGTTTAGAGAAGCTACGGTACTTATTTGGATACAGGTTGACTCTTCGTTGTGAGCCGTTAGCATTTACAGTTTGGGGACCGTCTGTAAATTGTAACCGACCGGTTGTGGAGGATAGGCGCTCGAAAGAGGTGCCCTGCCGTTTTCATCCAGTTGTTACTATGCGGAGCGCAAGTTCGTCTGCTTCTTGCACAGAGCTTGCAGTGACGTCAGAACGCCGAGCTGTGATTGGCTCTGATTGAAAGATAGTGGGTAGAGCTCAAAGCGAGCTGCCTTGAGGTCCACCCCCTATCCCTCAATCAGAGCTCGGTGTTCTGACGTCACCATGACCCCTCCAAAAGAAGCAGACGAACTTGCGTTTCTGTAGGGTATGGTGCGCCGAAGTATCGAAGCGGTTCACTAAGGCATGACAAGAGCGTGGTTGCAATAGACCCTTTTTGAAATGATGCATAGAATATGTGCGGCCGCCATTTAGTTGGTAATGCGCTTTGAGCACTTCTTAAGCCTTCGGAATGTAGGTACTCTGATCGAAACGCATTCCGCTGCGAAGGTGCATGATGCAAACTCGGAAACAATCCCAGGCTTCACGCCAAAAGCGACGAGACCAACTAATGGCGACTGCGCATAAGATATGCATCATTTCACATTTTCGGAAAGGGTCTATTTAGAGTGCGAGAGCCACGGCCACCTCGTGGCAATCTCTGACTCGTGCAGAACTACTTCATCCTGTCTTCGTCGATGGACAAGACGGTTCGCCTGTGGCACATCAGCAGCCGCGAGTGCCTCTGCTGTTTCCAGCACGTCGACTTCGTCACTGCCATCGCTTTTCATCCGAGGGTGAGACGCCGGACCTAACTGCGCTAACCCATAGTTTCTGACGGCTTAAGAATTGCGGGGTGTGGTTGGTCTAGAGTATCCCGTTGTTCTTCCGCAGCCAATGAGACTGCGGTATTCGTTGACAAGAACGCCACAAAACCAACCGTGAAGTGAGAAGTGTGAACATAACCTGCCACACCCCGCGCTTCGCTTTTGGGGGGCTGTTGTGGAGAGTGCCTGGAGCTACCAAAAGTCAGACTGAGATCAACTCGCCAAAATACGGCGGTCTGAATGATTTGCTTTTTTTTTCTTTATTCACATTGCATATATTAGGACAGTGTGTTTGTGGTGTTGTATGTCTGGGTATGGTTCTTGGGATAGTTTACAGCAGAATGTGTGTGAATCAGTCAAGCTCAACATTCCTTCAGCGAGGGGTCAGTCAAGAATACATTGGTCGATGTGCACGTCGATAAAATGTTGAGGTCGAGCAAAGAGCGGAGGGTGAAACGGCCCTCTAGTTCAAAGTAATACGGGATGAAATAGATTGTGGTTGGAAATTATTTTATACCAGAGACCCTGGTCTGCCCATAATAACTTGCACATTTGGTACAGGTTAAATATGGCTTTTTGAGAAAGCTTGTTTCTCGAGGTTGAAACGCAGAAAACGTTCCTTCATCAAAATTTTGATGCAGAACGCGTTTCAAGGGGCTGGTAGTTCCAAGGAAGGCGTGACACCACCACACGCCCGCCAAGTTTAGCAGACAGCGTTCGCGCGACTTGATTAGCATGACGGGTGGTCACGTTACGCGACGTCACACGACACCAGCTAAGTGATCACGTGGGGTCGGGTCATGCAATGTCTCGGGGTTGTCACGTGACTTCACATCGTGCGACATTACTAAAACTTGCGTTTTTTTTGGCGCAGCTCGAAACGCCCTACACATTTTCTGTCTCCCCACTTTATATGTGAGATGCATTAAGGGGGGGGGGGGGGGGGGGGACACTGGGTAGAGATTTAACTTCTGAACTACTCAAGTGATTGGAATGAAATTTGCAACGGTAATTTAACATCAGAGGCAGGTGTATTGTGAATACTTTCAGCTCTTCAGGTTAATTTTACATAGCTGCACAAGAAGATGTGTCACTGATTAGCTGGCTCTGGTCAGTTTAGCGAAGGAGCACCTCTAGTGTCTTTATTTGACCTTCAATAAAGTCATTTCTCTCTCTCTTTCTCTTCATTAAAAAACCACTAAAAAGAAAAAAAAAAGTTTTTTTTTTAACAAATTAGTTAAGACATTTATGTAAAAAAAGTATTATGCAAAAAAAAAATTTAGAGCAATATTGACGGCGCAAGATTTATTTTATGGTGAATTCCACGCGCAGATCTCGAGCACTCCAAAAGCGCTCCATTTGGAGCGTGCATATTCCAATTGCAGATCTGTCTCGAGTTGGTCTTCTTCCGCTAGTAGATCTCTGGCAGCGCCCGCCCCATGGAGCGCCTCCAACATAGCCAAACGCTTCCGCGGGTTTTCGGGGAGCTTGGTGGAAGGTGACAGAAGTGCGCTACGTTATTTCCTTTGACTTGGTGGTGCGCATGTGGGGTGAGGTTGGTTAGGTCGCGGGACCGGACGGGCCGTCTAGTGGGATTTCTTCGGATGCGTGTGGGATTGTGACGGCTCGAATGCTTCTACCTCGCGTAGATCAGGGATACAAAGCGGGGACTTTAGCGTGGCAAATCGTAAGCGGTGACATCTGCGATCGTGAGGGGAAAAACGAGAAAAAGTATGACAGATAATCCGAAGGTTAGGCCTTTCATTTTGCAGCCATAGATTGTTTACCTTTTTACACTGCATGCCAGAGGCGTTTTCTCGTGCAATAAATCAAAAACAGATTAGGCATCGACCGATCAAGTGATGGTTTGTTACCTCTGTGTTTATTAAAATCTTACAAACAATCTGAATTCCACCAGTGGCGATCGCTGTGCATGCCCCTTCCGCATCGAGGCGGCCGAAAGGTATCTGACAGTGGCGAACGTGAACGTCTTGTTATTTTTGACACAGGCTCTGTGGTACGGATATTTTCGCCCAGCCTGTGTCGCGTGTTATTTCTGCAGCTCGGACGGGTTGCTACAAAAATGTGAGTTCATCTTCCGCTCGTCAATTTAAGGCATGTCCCACGGAGTGAAATTTTGCCTCAATCGCGGATTTGGGGAAGCGCTCCGGATCTAGCTGTGGAATTCACCATTAGTTGCGTCTGAATAATGCGCGCAGAGTCCACGACATTGCGGAATGGTCATTTCAAACAAAAAATTCAAAAACCTCAATATTGTTATTACTTTGTTACTTTTTACTTTGTTGAACAAAAGATTCAAAAACCTCAATTTGAAAAACAAATTTTTTCGAAAAAATTTAGGTTTTTTTGTTTTCTCTTAAGGTAGGTACATTCATTTTTGCTAAAGCACAGCTTCTCAAACCCGGTTCCTAGGCATCCACTGATGCCTATTATGCATTCAGTGATGCATAAGTACTATGTGCCAAGCACTCCCTAGAAGTATGTGCCTTATGGGTGTGCATTATTACGGTACTGCTCCACTGCATTAATTCCGTTACCGGAACGGGTTCCCCGGCATAGAAAAGTTTAAGGACCCCTGCTCTAGAGGGACACGCACCCTTCTCGCCCCTTGGCTGCTGTCGGTACTTCGTTGCTTGTTCCGTTTCCAAAAAGCTTCCTGCATGCCCTTGCAGGACGACCGCTACTTTCTGAGCGGCTCGCTGGATGGCAAGCTGCGGCTGTGGAACATTCCGGACAAGAAGGTGGCTCTGTGGAACGAGCTGGATGGGCAGACCAAGCTCATCACGGCTGCCAACTTCTGCCAGAACGGCAAGTTCGCCGTCGTGGGCTCCTACGACGGCCGATGCGTCTTCTACAACACGGAGGTGACATAGTAGCACATGGCTTCTACGTTGCTCAGTGTTTGAGTAATTTTTTTTTCTTGTTTTGTATTGCTTTGGTGCCTGTTACTTTGTTGATTGACAAAGGGCATTGCTAATGAATGAAACAAAGAGCTTTTCAAGGCTACGCTTTTGTGCGAGTGTCTTAGGGAGCAGTAAAAGAGTCTGGGCTAGTCGTACACATTTCGGAACTGGTTACTTAAAAATAAAAACAGTGGAGAGAGATGATGCTGCAAAGTGCTACTTTCAGCTGAAGTTTTGTTTAAAAAATAGACAGTTTACAGTTATCTCTATATAGACAACAATTTTTGGGAACAAGCTGGGTAAATAGATGCATTTTTGTTTCATTATTATGAACAGTTCACATTATGGACACTTTTTGGGGGGGGGGGGGGGGGGAACGGAGGTGTCCACATAATGAGACATGACTCTATAAGCACTTGGATCTCCAAACAAAAGGATTCAAATTCACGTGGTGCAGTCATTCAATTGCTTGCAGCTTGCTGTTGAATGTTAAAGGCTTCGAAACGTTTTGGGACCTTTTAATTTATGCTTTTTGTGTAACAGAATTTTTGTGAGATGGTGTGCACATACATCTATGTTTATATAAATTAATTGGTCAATTCCTCAACCGGGAAGATGCACCTCGTAGTAGCTCTTCTGTGCTATAATTTAAAGTGAGGAGACAGCCTTGTCAAGTCCTTCCAAAGTTCTCTCGGTCCCCTTTATGACGAACTCTCTCGATGTCGCGAAGGGATGCTTGTATTCCTTCTGTCTCGCAGAGGGCAAAAAATATATGCATGCAGCGCAATGTACACTGTGTCCTTTTTTCTTAGAATGGCCTGCTGAATCTTCAGCAGTTTAAAATAGAGAAAGCAATTGAGATGAGAACTTTGGTAATATGAGAGATTCAATGAAGTTGGCAGTGAGGAATCAGTTAACGCTTTTCGTTATTAAGACCAATTAGTTTCCATTAATCATCAATTGCAGCAGGGTTGTGTACTTCCACCTGGAAATGGACGAAGACTGGGGAATTAAGAGAAACGTATGGTCTCTGCATCTAGGTGTAATTATATTATGGCTAAAATGTAACATGAAGGCTTCCATCTTAATAGTGTAGTAAAACCTCCAACTCCCCCTCCTTCCACAGCAACTCAAATACTACACTCAGATCCACGTGCGTTCCACCAGGGGCAAGAATGCGCAGGGCCGCAAGATCAGCGGCATCGAACCCATGCCGGGGGAGGACAAGGTGGGTTGGCTGCACTTGCATGCCTGTTGTTCAAAGGGTTTTACGAACCTTTGAGCGTACAAATCAAATACTGCTGGACGACAGAGTGAGGAAAACATGTACAGGCTTTTTCAGCAGTGTAGAGCCTACCGCGTGTGTGGCTGGAGCGAATTTGTTCCCATCCAAAACCCTTGCAGTCGCCGCTAGCTGACTGCGAGGGTTTTGAGAGTGAGGTGGAACTTGGTGTGGAATAAAGCTAGGAAGATGAGAGGCCAACGGGAAGCATGGGCACGTGAGCTGGGGCGCACAAAGCATTCGCTAGTTCGAAAAATAAATGGACGCAGGCTGCATGGAGCGGTCTTAGTCTCTCTTCCAGCATTTCGCTCTTTGGTTGAACTCGTCTTGATGTTGATCATTTATTAAGAAAGCACAACCTAGGAATCGCAATTTTTTTTTAAAAGAAAGTCACATTTTTGGAAAATAGGTTGACCAGCTTTTAGATCTTATAAAGAATGCTGTCCAAAAGTTTATTCCTGTAAGTAAAGTATTTACTCCGAAATAAATTATTCTCGACGCGCTGGCGGTCGCACGTGTGCGCCGAAGTCGCGGCCAATCACGAAAATGTGCTACTTCAAAGCGCGCTCCCTTTGCGTTTCTTAGGACTAGCACGGACAGGCTCCCCTTGTTGGAATGAGCAACTCGCCCTCTTTCGTTCTGTTCGCAGCATTGTTTGTGATATCGTGCTTACAGACCGTAAAACCCATAGAAAACATAGCTGTGCATGCTCTTATTGGTCACGCTGGCAAAACAAGAGCTCTGAACATGGCTAAAAATCGCGCACAAAGAGACGAGGACAAACGAGGAATTAACGCAGAACACAGACAGAGCCCTGATTCGCTAGGACGAGCCACGTGACGTCATAATCGTCTGCTAGTGCACGATTTCTGTCAGTCGTTGTTTCGTTTGCTAGCTGCTCTACGTGCCCTTGACCGTTCTTAGACTTTCTATCACTACGATGCCGGCGACTTTCCGTAAGAAGCCTTCACCGTTCAAGTTCGGTGGCCGCAAGCGGTTTTCGAAGTGAAGAGGGAGTGGACGAGGAAGACGAAGGAAGCGCATTTTCGCCATTTCCAAGCGCTCCGCCGTCGCCGAGTGCCTTGGAATTGCCCATCGCTTCGCTGCCTCCCTCCGAACATCAAGAATTAAGTCACCCGGGACCATTGGCGTCCACATCATCCTTGCCGGTGACTGAAATCTCAAGCGAAGACGACCTCACTGGAATCGAGCGGAAGATTGCAATGATGCAACGAAAGGCGCCCGCAAAATGTTCTGAGCCCAACAAGCCCGACGACCCCGAGAAGCAGCTAGGCCTAACCGAAGGTGAAGAGCTCAACAGCTGCCGCTCGCTTGGCGTGTCCTGCATCAAAGGTTTAGTGAGTGCTTTGCTGTGCCCCGAGTGCGCAGGATCTTCTCTCAAACTGTCCTAGACCGGGAAGGTGTCCTCCTTGCGTTTGTTGTCCTGTGCCCAACTTGCGGAGAAGTCGCAAGAGCTCCACACTCGGTGAATATTGGTGATACGCGACAGAACGATCTCGCAGCGCGCATTGGTCTCTCGTCACGTGACTGTGGTATGAGCTTCACAAAATTAACTCATCTTACTGGGATGAATATGCCGCCGCCGATCTGTTTGAAGACATCCCAGAAAGTTGCCGCGAAGGTTCACGATGCTGCCATGGCAGCCACTGGCAATGTGATGAGGACCGCTGCGCAGTCACTGCGAAAAACGGAGAACGCCAAAGACGGGGAACTTCTACATGTGTGCGTCATGTACGACGGAACCTGGCATAAACATGGCCACACGTCCCACTTTGGTGTTGGTGTCGTGTTTGAACTTGAAGGTGGTCTTGTGCTGGACTACAGTATCCTGTGCTGTAGTACCCCTCTGTGCCTGTTTTTGGTCCCTGGGTGCACTGCCATCTGTGCACCCAGGGACCAAAGCCAGGCACAGAGGGGTACACGGAAGGGATGGAAGACCACCGACCCAACTGCCAGAACGTCAATGGGTCTGCCGGTGCCATGGAAGTGGAGGCAGCCACTGTTATTTTTAGCCGTTCAGGCAGTACACCACTATGCTGTGTGATGGCGACAGCAAGGCTTTTTCTGAGGTAGCTGGTCTTGAGCTCTACGACAAGGAAATCAACAAAGAGGACTGTGTCAACCATGTCGCGAAGCGTATGTATGCAGGTCTAAAAGCCCTGAAGAAAACAAAGAAGGGACTAGGCAGGATAGGGAAGCTGACAAACCTGAAAATGGAGCAGCTTACCAACTACTATGCCTGTTCACTAAAGGACAATGCACCCGACGTGACGGTCATGCAGCGAGGAGTGTTTGCAAGCCTTTTGCACTCCTACTCCACTGACGAGGAGCCGAGGCATGTAGGTTGTCCCACTGGCGGGGACTCCTGGTGCCATTATAATCGGAGCAAGGCCCTCGGGGCAGCAGGAGAACCACCTGTGTTCCGGCCACATAAGCCAGCATTCTCCAAGGAAATTACAAAGGAGATGGTACCCTTGTACAACCGCCTGTCACGGAGGGATCTGCTGGAGAGGTGTTCCAGGATGAAGACTCAAAATACCAATGAGAGCTTCAATGCCTTTGTGTGGAAGAGGTGCCCCAAGGTGGAGTTTGCCTCCCTCAAGACTGTGGAGTGTGCCGTGGCCCTTGCAGGCCTCGAGTTCAACCTGGGGCCTCGAGGGATCGAGGAAGCTCTGTTGGGAATGGGCATTCAGCAAGGGAACTACCAAGCATCATACGAAGAGAGGGCCACCAAGATGAAGGTTGCGGTGGCCCAAGTGAAAGCGCTCGAGTCCTCCAAGATGTCCGCCAAAAAAAGGAAGATGGAAACTGTGGCCAAGGCACAGAGGGATCGTGCAGAGGTAGGAGTGACATATGCCCCTGGAGCATTTTAGATGAAATGGCAAGCCCACTGTTTGAACTTTCCAACGTGTTTTTCTCTGCTTCATGTTTTCACCATTTTTTCACATCTCAAAAACTATCGTTCGATGAGTTAAGCGTCCCCATGTCTAATGTATGGCTTTTCTGGCATGAAATTTACTGGAGAACTCGGCTATGCGCTTAGTTTTCGCACATTTGTATTTGTTCACACAAAAATGTTGACGTTTGTGAAGCAAGAAAAAAAAATGAAAAATTGATGCCATTATTGAAAGTTAATTTTTACATGAAATATGGCCTTAAAAATTATTTCAAGCCTATTGCCGATTAGTTTAGTCATTCAGCGTTATATCCCAACAAAGAAATTGTGCTATTTTATTCATATTTTAAAACGATAGGTTTTTTCCTTTGGCGCAGCTACATGTTTTTTTTGTTTTTTTTTCAACGAATAAGGCTGTAACTTTTCAAAAAAATAAACCTTTTGGGTTGAAAGCTGGTGTAGCCTTTTAAGTTTTGATGTTTAACATGCTCTCAATATTTCTTTGACATGGCACAAATACTTAAAAGTAGACCCTCCAAGCTTCAAGCTACGGAGCTCCTTGAAAAAAATGAGTTAGAAGTTAATTGTAGTGGCTTTTTACCCCATGAACCCGAATACCCAAACCATTTGCTGCACAAGTATTGTTAAACGCGAGAAAATGCAAAAGACAGTCACTGTACGTGACGTCCTTAACGGATCTTTTGGCTGCCCAAGGCTAGGGGGGCGGGGCTTCGGTCCTATTTTGAAATTGCTCTTATGGCTCTTTGACGCATCGCATTGAAATATAAGAGTTATATCTGTTGTTCTGACAGCCGAATGAACACAGCTCAAGTGTTTTTTCCCCAAATGCAGAACCGCCCCATCTTCCCTTTAAGGAGAGCCAAGATGAGCGCGGTGCAAGAGCGAAGTTCCCCATCGTTCTCAAAACCCTTGCAGCCAGCTATGCCAACTATAGCAGTGCTATTATATGGAAGCGAGCCTGCTCCGGCCTTGGGTGCAGTGGATTCTACAGTCGAACCTCGTTATATTGAACAGTGCGAGAACCGTGAAATAATTCGATATAAGCAAAATTCAATATACAAAATTACACCAAATACGCATCAAAGTGCAGCGCGATTTAATCACGAAAAAGCTAGCGGCAAAAATGACTACTCACGTGATGCGTTTAAGGTGAACTATTTATTCCGGCGAAAAAAACTGCTGCACTGTAGACTGCTTCTCGGAGTTGACCGCATGCCTTATTACGGTCCACTCTTATGGTCTCTAAACAGTCCACCAGCGCCACACCATTACCGTCGATTGCGCCGTGGTAGCGGCGTAAAGTCGGCCACAGCTTCGCCCGAAGTCTGAAGCAGAGCGGGGTCCTCAGCGTTTGAAGGGCCAGGTTCGGTAGCCATCTCTTCTGGAGCCACTCGCTTCTTGCGGCGAAGTTTTGTGCTTAGTGGATGAACGGGAAGTCCTTTGCTTTCTGTAGAAGCATCGGCCCCGACACCGGAATGTTCCGAGCCCTTGCGTCCAAAATCACTTGCGAAGTGATCTTTACACATTTTCAAAGGCCGGTGTCCGAACACAGCGTACGTCGCAGTGTTTGCTTTGTTCAGCCTTCGATTTGATGTCACTTTTCATCTTCAGCAGCGTGCTCAAAGTGCTTTGCGGTATGTTGTACGCTTCGGCAACGCTGGACCTCTTTTCTCCTTTTTCAATGCAGCTGATGATTTTAAGCGTCGTCGCAAACGTCAGCGACGTACGTTTCTTTACGTTTGACGGCATCAGTACGCCACACACGGTTGACGCAATGGCAAAAGAATGAAAAAACCGACACTGGCGATGCTCGCGATACGACTGAACTGACTGCACGCTGAGCCCGTATGCCGCCGAGTATGGATGGCGCTTCCAGCACCATTGGCATAAAGCTTTACGCAGGCATGCTTTTGTAAAGTCACAAACGCCCGCTGCGCCACCGCTATCCTCTGATGTGTTGCGGGAAAGCCTGCCGCCTCTCTCCGGAGCGCACGCTTTCTGGCGTTGCGGAGTTCGATATATTAATTTTTCAACCGACCCAGTTTGCAATAAAAAATTTAAAAATGCATGTAATTCTTATGACAGTTCAACAACAATTCGATATAAGCAATAATTCTGCATATCTGTGTTCGATATAATGAGGTTTGACTGTATACATTTGACAAAGGCTGTATCCTCTTGCAAGGGTTCATGCGGGTCCTTAAATTCCTTGAAAACCGTCAAATTTAAAAGTAGCATATTCAAGACCTTGAAAGTACTGGAATTTATATGGGTCCTCTAAAACCCTCGATTTTTGAGTTTAAAGACGCCCACTTCGTGTGCCAAGAAATCTATACTTCGTGAATTCTCGTTTCGTTTTTACAGGGAAGCCTTTGCATTTTAAACACTTAGCAGATATTTTGAGTGCCTGGCCACACGGGAATCAGTTTTGGTTCCTAAGGACATGGCCGGATCCACATCTAAACCACTCCTTTGCGTTATTTCTGGCACAGGGTCAGAAGTTGCTGTCGTAGCTCGGACAATAGGCTTAGGGTGGTGTGGTTTGCGTGGCGAAAAGTACAGAAAGTATGTGCAAAAAGCAAAGCCTTTTAATAACTTGTCTCATGCAAAAAATATTACATTTTACTTGGTTAAAATTCTGTTTTGTGTAAGTACAGTCGAACCCCGCTACAACAAAATTGACGATGCGCAAGAAAAAATTTGTTGCAGCAAAAATTTTGTTGTTGTGAAATTCACAAAAAAATGGCATACCTGAAATGGTAGAGTACAGATATCCAAGCAGAAGCACTGCCTGTGTCTGCCGATGCCGACTCGCCACTAAGTGTCTTGCTGACAATATCATGGCGGGCCTTAAACCTATTGAGCCAGCCGGTGCTAGCTTTGAAGTTGTCAGTTTCCAGCAGGAGCGAAATTTAAGGTCTTCTGCTGCACGACGCTTCCGCTGATGGGTATCTTCTTCGCCCTTGTCTCCACAAACCATATGTACATAGCCTTGTTGAGCTCTTCGTGCGCCGACAGTGTCAGTTTCTTTTGCTTAACCAATGTCCCCGACGCAAGAGCCTTTTCGATTGAATCTTTTGACTTTGGGATCGTCGACAATGAACTCAGAGAAATTCTTAACTTTTCCGCAATGACAGGTTTCCTCTGTACTCGTTGCAGGTTCGGTCAGAATGCGAGCTTTATCTTCTAAAGATAAAAACCTCCGCGTTTTGCTTGGCGGTGAGATGTCCAAAAAGCCCACATACTGTACTGAGAAAAAAAAAAAACCGGCAAAACAAAGATTATGTCTGAGTTTCGGCTTTGGACAGTCTGCAGCAGAGGATTATCAAGCCAAGAGTATGCAACCAACATAGGTGCAATAGCGAAGGAAGGAAAGGAAGCTTGCCAGCCTCATCGCCGTCGCTATTGAGTAATGGCGGCCTGCACGCCCGGTCAACGTTGCGCTCGGGTACCGGTTATTAGTGGCAGTTTTTGGTGGTTCAACACGTGATTTAAACTTGAGTAGGTGTGTTTTATTTGCCAAAATGCACCAAAGTGCCTTAAAGTTTGTTTTCCATACGGAAAATTAAACTTTTGGAAGTTTGAATTGCTCTGTAAAAATTTGTTCAAGCGGAACGGCACAAGAAACAGTGTTTGCTGTTGTGAGAATTTTTATGCATCGACTCCTATGGACCGTTGACAGGGAACCGAAAAATATTCGTTGAAGCGGAGTTCAACTGTAATGGCTCTCAATGTGGTCCTTAAAAATGTTTTGGTTGGGTCTTGAAAGTCCTTGAAAACCCTTGAAATTTTGTCTTCTATATCAGCATAAACCCTGTTTTTGGTAGTTATCAGAAAGTTGCATGCTCTTTGTCATAGTTTTCTAGTTTTTATTTAATCTACAGCGGTAGTAGGGTAGTACGTGCATCTTGCTTTGAGATGTGTTTCAATTGCACGAAAGGGGGAGCCTGTGCTCCTACCTGCAGTGAAATGGAGCAGGGATATTGCTTTGGGGCTTTGCAGTGGAGACGTGCTAATGACAAGGTTCAAAAGATGTTTTGGCTCACATGCTTAGCATCTGATGTTCTTTTACAGCGATAGCTGTTATGGGCTCTTCCGACCACTGGAAATGACGTCTGTTGTTGATGTTGTAGTTAATGTTGTAGTAGTTGTTGTTGCTATAGTAGTTGTAGTTGTTGTCATTGTTGATGTTGTAGTTGGCGATGTAGCGCGTTCGTCGTCTATGTTTCGAAATCCTCAAAACGGATTATCTGTCGCTCGCTGGAATCGAACTTGGGTCCGCCGCGTGCAAAGCCGAGGCGTTGCCACCGAGCTAGTCCACGGCTTAAAGGGGCACTGACCCGCCAAAGGTCTAAAACGATGCAAGTTGTAGTTATAGACAAGCAAAAGAATACCGCATCGAAAAAAAAAAAAACTTGCCTAGGCGCGCATGCTCTTTTTTATTTTTACTGTTTTTCTTTCCCACTCTTCACCTCCTCGCTTCTTTTGATTCGTGACGTCAAAAATCGTGAAATTTAGAAGCTTTGTAGGCAACATTTTTATAACATTTAATAATGGCAATCGTAAAACATGTTTTTTAACGCAATTGAGAACGCACCACCGCCCTTCTTTTTCAAATACCAAAAATTGGAGTCTGGTGTGTTGTCACCTCCTGGATTTGTATCCTCCCTCGGAAAACATGGCGGCGCTCGACGCACATAGCAGAGGATGATCGGTGAGTCGGGGAATCGAACGAAGTGGTCTTTTTTAGGTGCCCGACGACCTTTCAGACTTCTAAAAGGAAATCGTCAACTGGGTTTGATGTCTGTGTATCGTAGTTTCAGTTGTAACTCCTCCGAGGCAGTCTTTCAGATGTCAAGTGTCGTCTGCTCGCTGCGATAGGCAGGTGACACGGCACTCACGGAATAAAACCAGTTTTCCCCAATCTCCTCGTTCTCCTCGGTCTGCAGGCGCACTTCCCTTCCGCTCCTCACCTCCTCGCTTCGGGTCGCAATGGGAGTGGAGGTGGAGGCGTGAAAGAAAGTCGACTCTCAGGGCTCTGCAATATTTGATGTCACCGCACTGGCACGGATCGCGCAGGAACTTCAAATTCGGCATTTGGAAATTGTTTTTTTACTTCACAAATACTGAATTCTCAAGTTCTGAATTTTGAGGGCAATGTCCCAGCATCGTTGTCAATCGTTTAGGATAATAAAAAAAAGAAAGAAAAAGATTTTGATGTCTCAGTGCCCTTTTAATAACCCGCTCTAAACTCGAGATTTTTGTAGTACCCTATGCCCATTGCACATACTCTCTGGGGTAAAAAAGGTAACCGATAACAAAATGTCGCTGTAGCACTGTCAATGCCAAGAGTTTGTGCGGGGAGACGCGCTTTCACACGCTCCGAAGCAATAAAGAAACAGAAATATTCGGAACAAAACAAAAGCATTCGGACGAAAACAAATGCATACTATTTTGTTCTGAACGCGACGCCGATGCCCAATGACTTTGCCGCAATGCGTCGTTGCTGTTGTCGCGACTGCACCGTGGATTAACACGGAACCACTCCATTTTTTTATTGCCTTATCTTTCCTAGTTTTCATTGGCATCTTTTCATGTGCTAATGAGGAAGTAAACAAGAAATGGCCGGTTGCAAGTCGGAGAGCCAGAGTAGAAGGGCTCGAAAGATTGCCACCATCGCTTATAGATGGCGGTAGTTGTCCAGAGTTCTGTGTCATCAGGTCATTTGAGGACAGACACGATACTGGGGAAACTAGCCCTTAACAGCTCCACTGTAACATATTCCTTTGTCAAACACCCGGGCTAGTCATTGCGAACATCATTAAGACCTGCTTCTGCACCATCCTCCGTTGCCGCTGGGGGACCGCTCTCGACGCGTAAGCGGAACGGGACGTCGAGCACGCCGGTCGGAGGCGTGCCATGGCCGTGGTATCGTAACCGAGAAATTCGTCTCCCGCAGATCCTGGTGACGTCGAACGACTCAAGGATCCGGCTGTACGACCTGCGGGACCTGTCGCTCTCGTGCAAGTACAAGGGATACGTCAACCTCAGCAGCCAGATCAAGGGCTCCTTCAGGTGGCTCACTCTCGACTCAATGTCCACGTTCTATTCCTACAGTCGCTGGCGGGGTTAGAACGGCGGAACGCCTCTTTTAGATGCCCGGCCCCTGGCGCGCGCTCATTGCCTCACGTTGTGCTTCGGCTGCGCATGTGCTCTCCAGGCTCATGACACACCAGAGCGTCATCGCAGATAGAAAGCTTGCTATGGAGGCGGGACAAGTGAAGGACCTTGGTAATGGTATATTTTCCTGAAAAAAAAATGGTCAGAGTATAGGTCTTTACCAACATGCTTGGAAGGTGAAGCAGTTAGATTGTGCTGATTTAATTTTTTTTTACAAACATCAATTCCAGAAATTTTATTGCACTCATAAATTGCCTTTGTGCATATTTATATTTGCATCATATTAGTTATGGGAATCTTAGACCAGTTTACCAGTTTCATTTTTGGGTAACCTGTTCTAAAAAGAGATCCCCTGACAGATTTGCTAGATATTTAGCCCTCTGAATATATATTGTGTTTACTGTGTTGTGATTCAATGTAGTACCTCCTAACTTCTGAGCTTTCTACACCGGGGCTAGTGCACAAGTTCTAGTTTGCTAATGATTCCGGCAAAGTGATAACAAAACTTTGGTATGTGCCGATTAAAGCTGCGCATTTGCACTCCTCCTCTCTTTGGAAATGCCACAGAAAGTTGTACAGAATAGTAGAGTGATAGGAAGGGGTTATCATGTTTGATGTAAGGCAGGTTTCTATAGTATCTGCTTGTGTGTGCAGGCAATCATCTTCATAAGCAGGTAACCTGCTGGCACTTTGTGGGGTGCTAGCTACTAACAGAGGTACCGTTCAAGTAACTAAAGGGTTATCTCAACAGCAGTGGCAATCTCAAAGGAGACGTCAAACCTAGTAGCGCGGTCCCACATATCCGCGACAATGCAGATAACGCTTAGGACCACGTTGCCGCGAGTCGGTTCGATAAATTACTTCCTTCGGTGCCAATCATCGCTCCTTGTCTCACTTTCTCGAATATAGCGGAAGAGAAGACACATACCAGCGTAAGGTTAGAGTCTGAGAGCATTGAATAAAACTCTCTTAATGAACTGCTATTTTCCAAACGAGCTGGTCAATATTAAGCATGACAAAAAACCCCGAGACTGCGGGTAAAAACAACACATACGCTGAAAGGAAAAAAAGAAAGACGCACATGCAAAATGATTTTTTAGTGTATATGTCGTTTTTACCCACAGTCTCGGGGAGTTTGTCAAGCTCTGTGTTCCTTTGCAACCTTTCTACTCTTATTGCAAAACGTAATAAGTAATATGCTCCAGTATCAGAGAGGAGCCCTTACCCATTTTCAAGGGTAAAATACCTTGGCATCTGCTCCAAAAAGCGTAGGTGGCTGCTCTAAACCAATCTTTCGCCTGCTACAGAACCTGCTCCAAAACCTGCTACAGAACCTGCTCCAAAAGGTCAAATGCCGCTTCCATCACTGCCCATTGGGTGCCACCCTGCTTAAAGGGATGCTGAACTGAAATTTGGAGCTCACAAAACAAGGCTGAAGCAATAGACGGGACGCTGCAAAATCCAAAAAACATCACTCGTACAACAATATCTCAGACGGTTGGCTTGCTGGAAAATAAGTGCGGGATTGAAGACGGCCAACAAGGTTGACGAGACGTGTCACGTTGTGATTCTCATTCCCTCTTCTCTTCGCTTCGTCCCCTCAAGCAGGTGAACCGAAGCGAGGAGAAGAGAGGCGAGGCCACTTTCCCTCATCATCAACTGTGTTGGTTCCCTATAGGCACAAAAAGTGAACTTTCGCTCTTTGTACGGGAACTGAAAACGATTGAGATTTAACAAAGAAGTCAATTTTTTCTTTTCCCAGTCACGACGGACGTTACATCATCAGCGGCTCGGAGAATCAGTTCATCTACATCTGGAAGACGTACCACGACTACAAGTTCTCCTCGGCGCGGCGAGACCGCAACGACTACTGGGAGGGAATCAAAGGCGAGCATTTTACTTGCTTCAAAAAAATTTGCAGCTGTCTTTCGGTCTGTGGACTGTGGTATGCTGAACTGCATCTAACGAGAAATGCAGCCGACACTCACGTCCAGTCTCGGCCTTCCAAAGCGCTACCTCGTCATCCTTTCCTACCCCCTCTTCCGTGCGATGACGCGGAGCACGCACCGAGGCAATGGAGTGTCGTGTGGGGCATCGCACGTGCGAGCTACACGCGCGTTGGCGGGTGGCCAGTACAGCATAAAGAATGCGGCAGGTGCAGATGTGGAAAGGGCAGTTTCCATCCCCTCCACTTCTGCTACCTTTTCCAGTCTATTGGGGCAACACGATCACCTCCACTGTGCCGCACCACGCCAGAAATTAACGCAAAATCTGAGTCACCGTATTTTCGCGTGCATTGCCCGCCCTTGCACATAACCCGGACCCCCGACTCGCTGCTCGGAAAAATCGAGAAATGGCTTGCATGTAACCCACAACACGTAAGGCAATGTGCAGATCTCGCTAGAAAGCCTATCTTTATTCTGAATACACCCGTCGCTGGGGTCGCCGCAGCTATCTAAGGTGCCTTCACGTCACAGGAAGGGTCGTAATCCATGCTGTCGAGGTGATCGCCAATGTGGCACTTTTCGAAACCATTCCACACCATCTCGTCTGGAAAGCTCGCAGTCACGCCGGATCCCCATCGATGCGGCATGACTGCGACCTCTTCTCTTCCTGACAAACTTTGTGGGCGCTTTTTCGAGCTCGAGGTATGCACTCGTCTTTGGAACGCAGAAATCCTTCAGTCACGGCTTGCAGTTTACAAGCTCTCCTTCCTCCATTCTTGCAAGCACGACTCATTAGCGTCGTAGCGGCTGCAGTTCGGGCCCGCCGTCCGGTTTTTCATCTCTTCGCACTGGATCTGAGAACAGTCGTATCCTTTGCTGATGAGATTGGAAACTGCAGATCGTTGCCGTCCACAGCAGCGCCACTTCGCACATTGCTGTTGAATTGACGGCTCGACTGCTCGGTTTGCAAAAAGGATGACAAGGTGGCTACCCGAAAAGAAAAAGCAGAAGGTGGGGAGAAGAAAGTCTTTAGGAGAGACAGAGAAGAGAGACTCTGGACAGCACTACAGTCGAACCTCGATATATCGAACTGCGCGGTGATGTCGGAATAGTTCGATACAGCCAGAATTCAATATATTAAATCGCATCAAAAACGCATCAAACACTTGCTAAAAGCGCGTGGCCGTTGTGCTCCGCGAAGCGCCGACAGGCGGCACTTGCACGCCGACCGACCGCAGAGGCGGGAGCAGCCGCATTAAATATCTGGTGTGGCTCGTACTTGGCGAAAACCTGGGGCCACTCTGGATCAAGCCACTTCTTGATTTCCTCTTCATTGGCGTCCTCACTTTCCCCCAAGGCTGTCTTCCCGACAATGTTAAAGCGGGTCTTAAAACGTTGCAGCCAACCGCTACTGGCATTGAAGTTCTCGGCGTCGAGAATGAATGCAAAGTTCTTGGCCTTCTGTTGTAACATCGGTCCGGATACAGGAATATTCCGGGCCCTTGCGTCGATGAACCATTTGTGCAGCGTCTTCTCAACACCTTCAAAGGCAGCTTTGCGGTACACGCCGCGCGCCTGAGTACTGGTTCTGTTCTGCCTTGGCCTTTATGTCAATCTTGTTTTTCATAAGAGTACTCAAAGTGCTTTTGGTAGGCCTAGAGCTTCGGCGGCGCTCGACTTTTTTTTCTCCATTCTCAACTCGGTGGATAGCTTCCAGTTGTGCGGCAAATGTTAGGGACGTCCGTTTTTTAGCGTTTGGAGCCATCACTCACGCAAGGCAACATGACACACGAAAGAACTACGGTCACACGCGTAGCACTACCGATAATACCGAGGAGGAGGAGTCGGTGTGGCAAATGTAGTGCGTCGTTGACGTTGTGACGAACTATCGAGGCAGCGGCATGTGCGCGCCGCTACGTTCAAATGGCGCCCTTGGCGTGTGTGTAGGCAGTCGGAAGCGCCCTTTGCGCCACCGCTATCTTCGAAGGTGTTGCGGGAAATCTCGCCGCCTGACAAAAGAGCGCGGGCATTTGGGGTGGCGGAGTTCGATATATACATTTTATGCCCGACCCCGTTCGAAATAAAAGATAAAAAATGCATGCGATTTTTCGCGTGATATAGAAAGCGTTCGATATAGGCAATAATTCTATATATCTGTGTTCGATATATCGAGGTTTGACTGTATTTGTCAGTGCTGGAAATAGCACTGACCTTGCTAATGCAGTGCCAAATTGTGTCCAATCGACACTAGGAACGGCACTGCATCTGTGCCGTTCCTAGTGTCGATTTAGTGCTGCAATGTATGTCTGAACATGTCTTAACTGGCGAGAGGTCTCACGAAAAAACTCATTGGCTTTTTTTTTTGCATTGACAGCTCACAATGCGGTTGTGACGGCGGCAGTGTTTGCACCAAACCCGGACGCAGTGCTGAAACAGCTCGACGACGCCGATGCCAGTTCCGCAACAGCGGCACCAGAGGGCGCCAACAGTGGCGGCAACTATGTCATCATCAGCGCCGACTTTGCGGGGACAATCAAAGTGTTTGCCAAGCGACCCCGCGCCAAGGCGGCCTCCTAGTTCCTTTTCTTCCCGCCACGTTCTAGTCGGTTGTCTGCTAGGGTCAGTCGCCCTTTCCCGAATCGCTTTTGGCGGTGCGCTTCAGGGTGAGTGGCCACACAAGACAAACAGTTGGCCAACTTTTCCCACTGGCATGGAGAAGATTGTTTGTTGGCAACTGTTACGTTGGGTTCACTAGCTGGCAACGAACCCTCTGGCGTTTGTTGACAAGTGAAGAGAGGTCACCAACAAGATGTTTTCATGCCTACAAGCGGGGTCCGTCAGATGTTTGTTTGGCAAGACAGTGCCCGAAAAGCTCGTTCAACAAATGGAAGTTTCTTACTCTTGACAGCATTTTGACAAACATTTGTTTTCGTCATTGTTGTTGTTGTTGTTGTCGTCGTGCAATTTGCTCAGGAAGCTGGTTACTGCAACTATCGTGGAATTCATGCCGAAGAGCTGTTCTTTCCGTTTTTTTTTTTTTTTTTGTATTTATATTGAGGCGCTTCGTCGTGCGATTTGTCCGTAAGAAAGGCCTGTGAAGTCCCTTGAATGAAATAATGAATGCCAGAGTGATGTGGGTACTCAGAGTTTTTGGCATTTTTGTCTCGTGTTGTAGTGGAGGAATTTTGGGCAGTTGCTTTTCTCCACGAAACTAATCGCTTATTGGTAGAAACATTTAGAGCAACTGTTGTAGGAATGCTCTTTCATGTATTGGGTGTTTACTCATCGATCCAAATTTTTTTTTGATGTACTTATTTAACTACATAGAATTCTATGGAAGGTGGTCGTAAAAAGACTTGGGAGGGTTTGCTGTGCAGCATCGCAAACCAGGGCTGCATTGTCTACTTGGGAGGAATGGCTTATATATGTGTAATGCGACACTTTTTGTTGAACTACAGTTGAACCTCGATTTAACAAAGTCACCGCGACCCGCTAATTACTTCGTTAAATCAGGAAATTCGTAAAATCGAGAAAGAGCGTTAATTCGGGAACTTCGTAAAATCGAGGAAGGGAGAACTAGCGCATAGGCTGCGCGGGGAATGCGAAGTTCTTCGTTAAATTGGGAAATTTTTAAAATCGGGTTTCGTTAAATCGAGGTTCAACTGTAGTTGGTTGTACGGGACAGAAAAAAAAATGTGCACATTACTTTCCATGTTAGAAATGATAAATCCAACATTGCTCTTGTACCTCTTTACATGCTACTGCAATTTAGGATAACCTATGAACTGCAGCAAATCGGTTACATTAGCTCATCAAATTAGATTAAAAAATAGTTTTGTACATGTACATGCAATTATAAAAATTTGCTCAATGGTTATGCATTTATTAACACACCACTTTCTCCGTTTAATAAATGTTGCGTCTCCAGAGTGATAGCGGATAGATTTCAACTTTTCTTTTAGTATGATTGTACCTTTTGCACATTTCTCGATACAAAGGGACCAGTAAATTGAAGCATTGCCAACGTGTGCTCTAGCATCCACATGCTACTGCAGGTGCCAACGGGCATTTGCGAGGTAACAAATGCTGTACAAACCACACACAAAAAAAGTGGCTTTGTGTCAAAGTTTGCATTTTAAAGAGTTGTAAAACCACTCTTCCTGGTTTCATTACATCATACAAAAGGCGATGCATATCTATGCTTAGATTGCGAGGCATACTGCCTGCTATTTCAGCCTTCCAAAGCGAGAAAAGTGTATTTTTGAACTTGTCCAGTTAAACATAAATTGAGTGCGTTGCATTGTACTCGTTGGCCACCATGGCTTATTTTTTCGGTAAGAAATGCCACTGGACGTATCTGAGAAGGAAACCAAGCCACACTTGTTTTTATCCTTGGGGCAAACAAAATGTACCATATGCTTCTGTGAATAAATGTAATACCTTGCAACTGTCAAAATGTAAAACAATTTCTTTTAGATTTTATTTGGCGAGAGAACATTTTGCAATGAACGAGTTGAGCTGTTCCCTGAACAGCTCGCTTGTGATCGGCCTTCCGAGCTGGCACTCGGGATTCTTCACAACATACTCGACATATACCTGGAACAAAATGATGGCACGGTCAAGGCCCCAAGTCAAACAATGCCTGTCAATGGCATGAGCATATTTCATGTAAGATTGCCGGGGGCAGTTTGCTGCTGAATGTGGGCATTTGTCCCGGCGGTTAAAATCCTTGTAAGAGGGATTATTTGGTCACATGATTGGCTTCGTGGGGACATGTCCCTATAGAAAAAAAACTCAATTATTTTCTGCTATGCTGTCTAGGCTAGCATAGCTTCCACAGTGCTGGAGCTAAGCACTTCTGCAAGAGCATGTTGCTTCGTCTGAGTAATGTGAAAAGACACGACGCCACAAGTACACTGATGCCTCAATTCCACGAGGTGATAGCTAGTGTACCAGCGGTTGATCCTCCATGAAGGTGCCCTCTCGCGGCTACCAGAGTGAGGCGACGGGAGGGCGATAGATGACGGACCTTTGACAGGCAGAGTATACAGGAGGCTATGCCTCTGAGCAGGCAGACAATCTCGAATGTTCTGATTGTAGGGTATAGTTGTAGACGTGGACCTACCCACTAGCAAAATGGACAATTGGGCGAGGTGGTAAAAGTTCATAATTACTTACAGCGCGACTGGGACAAGTCCCAGTCGCGCTGTAAGTAATTATGAACTCTTACCAACTCGCCCAATTGTCCATTTTGCTAGGTTTCATTTCTTCTACAAGGGGCTCTTTTCTGTGTTCTCAAGACTTTGTACATAATCCCGCTGTTTTATCATCCCTCATCGCTGTCTATGTTTTCAGCGCTTGTCCTGTGTCCTTGTCCCAGTCGCGCTGTAAGTAATTATGAACTACCCACTAGAGTAAGGGTATACGCACGACGTCGTGCACCTTGACCGGTAGGACACAAAAAGATTATGCCGTTTGGGTCACCCTTTTCGTACAGAGCGTGCATCACTGGGGAGCGCGCTAACCCCCCCCCCCCCCACTTCCCCACTTGCATTCACGCCGCTTCGTGGCTACAGCCCGCGGCTGCTCATTACAAAACTATTAACCCACGTGGCCCCCCCCCGTACATGCCGCTTGGCGGTGTCCAGCCGGCAAACCAAGCCCCGCTCCCCCATTGCACCTCCGAAAAAGTAGTCCCATACTATTAAGTTCTGAGAAATTTCATCAACAAAATTCTTTTATTTTTCAGTGATATTTGTAAAGAAATGTCATAAATATTGTCAAATGTGCAACAAAAAAAAATGTTTGACCAAAAAAAAAAAAAGTATGCCCTACTTTTGTTTGAACCTGGGTGACCGCTTCATACGGAGGTATGAAGTGGACACCTTTCCACTAAGCTGCGCTACAACTTAAGATAATCATTTTTACAATTCGTTTTATACAAGACCCAACAAGCTTTGCATCGAGCGTATAGCCATTTCCGGTCAAGGTGCATGACGTTGTCCATATAGCATTGTTCAACCCACTATGCGGTGCGCACGTCCCTGTTTTTGCACGGGTTGTGGTGCCGTCAGAACGCCGTGCTCTGGTTGGCTCTGACTGTAAGATAGTGGGTAGACCTCAAGGCAGCTTGCTTTGAAGTCTACCTACTACCTTTCAATTAAAGTCAATCAGAGCATGGCATTCCGGTGTCACCACAATTTGTGGAAAAGGAGCAGACGAACTTGCGTTCCGCATATCCTCCAATCAGATCTCGGTGCCATTACGTCACTGTATCTTTGCATAAGAAGCAGACGGACTTGCGCTCGCCGTACATTTTCATAGAATCCTGAAATTTGTCAGTATAAGATACAAGGAGTGGAAGATGTCCTGATGGTGGAGTTCGGGCGGCCGTACCTGATGATACAAGTTGTGCAGAACTTCCCGGACATTTGCAGCGTTTGTGTCTGTGTTCATGATGAACTTTAGGCCCGACGGGGTCTCGTAGAAGTTGAGCTTGTACTTGTTGGTCTTGAAGCTCAGGAATCCAGCGTCTGCACTGAGAATATGAACAATGCAGTGAGGTAGAAGACGACATTGTCAAACATGCAGGTCAGTCTGATTCATAAAAGAGGAAAGCTATATGCGCTACGTCGTGCATCTCGACCTGAAATTGCCGTACGCATGACACGAAACTTGTTGGGTATCGTGTAAAACGAATGGTCAAAAATAGTTTTGAGGCGGTGGCACAGCGTTGTAGAAAGGTGTCTGCTTTATAGGCAGCGGGCCCAACGCTCCCCAGTGATACACGCGCCATACAAAAAGGGTAAACCAAATGGCACGAGCTCTGCGCGTCGTGTGTATAGCCATTTCCGGTCGAGGTGCACGACGTAGTGCGTATAGCTTTACTCAAAAACAAATGCGCGATTCCACTTACTTGTCAGTCGGTGCTATCTTGGCAATGAAGGATTTGAGAGAGTAGATCATGCCATACATAAGCTTCGCCTCCTACGACAAAGAAAGGAAAGTTATCTGACGCATGCAAGGGCTTTGGAGTTTGTGCGTGAAAGCGCACTAAGGAAATCTTGGGATTTTTGCGAGCCACAACACGCCCACCAAGTTGGGGAAACTAGTACAAGAGGGTTTAATCGATATAAAAATAAAGAATAAAATACATCTGACTACGTTACCTCTTCTCTTGACATTCCTGAGTTCTTGTTTCGCTTCCATTCTCCATAATAAAGAAATGTGCCGTTCCGACTGAATATGTAGAGGTTGTGGATCATTTCCGAATGCGGAGACCACACACCACTGGCGGAAACACCAGAACACACGCACAGCGCGCACTGGCGCGCACAGCCCACACAGCAGCTGTTGGCAGTAAGGTGTAAAACTCGAAACTAACCAAAACTAGCGAAAACAATACCACAATAAAAGATATAGAGTAGTAAAAATTTGGTTTAATAAAACTTTTATGAACTTAGTAACGTTTACAACTATCATATATATTATATTATATATATATATTTATTTTTAAAACTGCGAACGGCAAATATTTGCAAATTGACGTTTTTAGCAGAATATGTCAACAGTGTTCCTTATGACGTCAACCATGGAATTGTAGAAGCGGCAAAAATCTGTAAACAAAATCGATGAACTCGCGCGGCGTTGTACAAAACGGAATGCGGAATTTGCAAAGTTAGTCGCAGTATTCGGAGCACTTTGGGATTGTCGGCTGTTGTCGGTTTTAAAACCGCAAACATGGAATCCTGCATTGAAGCCGTGTGCGCCGAAATACCGTGCCGAGAGAAGCAAGCCAAGGCGTTGCTACGTCTAATGGGACACGTGAGTTTTCTAAGCTTGATCACGCCACAACTTTGTCACGACTCACGCGAGATCTTTGTCACATTTGGCTGCTTCTATTTTTCAGCCAGAGACCGGGGCCTGCCAGAGCATATTCATCTACGGTCACGCGTCCACCGGAAAAACACTCCTGGTCTCGGGTATTCTGACGACTTTGCACGTAAGTAGGATGGCCACAATGGATCTTGCGCTGTAAAACAAGCCGGAAAAATCAGCGCTTGAACATGGAAAGCTCAAACTTTCGCAGAATTTGCACTTGTTTGGTGGATTTAACCTTTTAAGATTGCATGGCGTGGTTCTCTTGAAACGAAAGCAAGACTGCGAACGAGCTGGTAACCCAGCGGGGGAAAAACGGGACGGACAGCAGAAAGCTCCCAAGCTGGAGATTTTTGTTGTCCGTTAGTTTTTTTCCCGCTCCTGGGTTACCATGTCAGCAGCTCTCTTCCTGTGTGAAAAATGACACCTACAAACTTGCAAAAATCGAAAAAAAAAAAAAAGATTAAAAAAAAATTTTTTTTTGAAGACGAAGAGGTTGGAAGTTGCTGCTGTTCCGCGTGTTTTCAGTCACCCTTGAAGAAGAAACCGAGTTAGTTTCGAAACGTCGGGTTTTCTTTCGAATTTTGGTTGGAGCTACATTTTCGGACTCACCCAACCAGGCAGATTTCTGCCGAATATGTTTACTTCCAAATGGTTTACAATTCACGAACCTCCTACCAATATAATATGCAAAGAAATTTATGCTGTCTGGTCCCTTTCTCAATAATACACCAGAGACCAGGAAAATAGTAATAAAAAAAGGACAGCCACGCACAGCATCTCAGTTTTATTATGGAGCTAGATTTTTTAGCTTCCTCATGTTTTAGGGGCGAAGCTCCTTAGGGGCTAGCCATGTCCGTATGTCCGTCCGCCGTCGGGTGCACATGCTCCTGCTCGTGAGCACGTGCTCCCGTGTGTAGGGAAAACAAAAACAACAACCGCATCTCCACGTGGTGAATGATGTTGATTGGGGCGAAGCTCTGGTGGTGCTTGTCTGCGTAGACGGTGAGCCGCAGCATGCCGAGCCTTTCGTTCGTTTTCATCCATGTCAGAAAGAGAATGTGTGGTATGGAACGTGGTTATATACGCATTTGAGCATTTGACCGCAGCGTGACATGGATGAAAACGAACGAAAGGCTCGGCATGCTGCGGCTCAGTGTCTACGCAGACAAGCACCACCAGAGCTTCGCGTCAATCAACATCATTCACCACTTGGAGATGCGATTGTTTTTTTCTTCATTGTTAGTCTTGTCCTCTTTCAGTCGTGAGTCATGTTCAGTGTGATTCATCCCTACCAAATTGTTTGTGCTCTTATATTTTGTTAATTCATGTGTCAGAAATGTTATTTCATGTGCCCTGTGTCAGAAAACCCTTCTATAAATAAAAGGATTCATTAAAAAAATATTTGCTGATTCATCGCTTGGTTCGTGCATGTCGCTTTGTTTGTCAAGACTACCAAGTAATAGGTTGCTTCTTACGAGCTATTTTTGCCTTTGCACGTTGGAACTCCGCGTTTATATGACCGTATATCTCTATATTTCAGCTGAGGCATGCCTATGTAAATGCTGTGGAGGCATACACTACCAGGATCCTTTTTGAAACGATCCTCAACCAGCTCACCGGAACAGTGCCAAGCGCGGATAATGGATTTTCAAACTTTGCCAACTGTGACAACATGTGCGATTTCTTGAGGCACCTGAGAAATGAAGTATCCGAGGATCTCGACTCTCCCACGCCTGTTTATGTCGTAAGTAGTAATTACTTTTCTTGGAATAGCAATTGTTTGAGCATGATGGTTTATCTGAGGCAGGGAACAAAAACACATTTTTGGCACAGGTGATTGACAATGCTGAGCGGCTAAGACAGCTGGATCCGGTGGTTCTGGCCGCGTTTCTGCGCCTCCAGGAATTGGTACGTCGCCTGAAAACCTCTTGTGCATGACTTTGCAATACCTCTCTTCACAAGCTTAGAGTGCATGGAATTAAAGAGCAACCTTTTAGTTGTGGGTTCATAAACCCAACATACATGGCCTTGCTCTAGTTAGAGGAGAACTACAAAGTCTACTAAAGAGCAACCTTTTAGTCCTGGGTTCATAAGCCCAACATATGTAGCCTTGCTGTAGTCAGAAAAGGACTAAAAAGTCTCTTTAGTTATGATACCATGCTTTCCAAGCTTGTGAAGAAAGGTATTGCAAAATCGAGCATGAGAGCTTCTCTGATGAAGTCCTGTGTGCACTGGAGTCATATGAGAACTGAGCAAGAGGAAGGGTTTTCTTTTTTCTAACTGTAAGATAACCATTTCTTTCTCATAGACGAAGAAACACATCTGCGTCATCCTGATCTCCGAGATCGTTTGGGAGAAATTCCGCTGCGGTACCGGCTTCTGTGAGCCATACTTCGTCCATTTCCCGCAGTATTCGCAAGGTATACTCCACTTATCATTTGGATCATGGCATTGCATATTGTTGTGTGACAGCAGTTCGCCATACCATATGTGGCTGTTCATATGGTCAATCTTGTTCTCATTTGTGAATGACAGAACAGTGTACTCTCAGCAAAGTAATGCCAGTGCCTACTCTTGGAATGCATCTGGATTGAAATACACAACTATGTAAAACATCCTTTAATACTAAATGATTTACAAGGAGTGCCAAAGTATGTCCTGTATTTCGTTTCGCCTTGAGTTCAGATGCAGCCGACGCTACAAGCTAATGAGACGAATCAAACAGTGTTGAAAGCACGCCAACTTGGCATTTATCATGTTTCTACTCGCATTCTATCACCACTGAACCAGTCCAGTACAGAGAAGGCCCAATGACTTGCACTTTTGATTTTGTTTCATCGGTTCCATCAGTTCATAATGTTGGCTTCGTCTGAACGTAAGGTGAAATGAAGCGTACCACTGGGGTGAATGCACGCCGTGTCAGATTGCAGTAACTGTTTTGCTGCATGATGCATTATCCCTGGCTTACTCTTCAATGTGAAGTGACAGATTTAGCAGGCTATAATAAGTGCTACACAGTCACAATGCAGTACCCCTAAAGGCTGGCTGGCACATTTGCAATTGAGCGTGATAAAATTCATTGCAAACGCCCGTAATTGCTTGCGACAACATTGGCACACTGGCGTCATCTATTGGGTGGTTGTAACCCTTCTGACCTGCGTACAACTAGGCTGCAAGGTTCTGCAGTATTTGCGAGAGCAAATCTATGCACTCTCATTGAGGAATGGTCTCTTTTAACATTGTCAACGATTTCAAGCATGCGGTGAAAGAATTTTGCGTAAAATATACTCGGGTAAAATATACTCGGGTCAGAAGTGTTCCAGGACCGCCTGACAGATGGAGCCAGTGTCGTAAGTGGATACGAGCACTTGCGCCGCAGTCGGTCCCACTAAGACAAAATTGTGCAAGCCAGTCTTAAAGGAGCACTGAAGTCGATTCTGAGATTGTTCTTTTGTGGTGACAACTCAATCTAGATGCTCTAAGCATCCCAACAAACCTGAAATCACAACCTTGCATAGCTTATTTCCTCGTTAAAAGCGTGTTCAAAGATAGCGACACACCCTTTTTAGGAAGAATTTTTTTTCCAGTGAAATGGTCGGCGAAGGGCACTTGTCGGCGAGTTGCAAGCAATGGCTTTGCCCGCGGAGAAAAAAGAGGAATCTTATCCGAATGTGTACCTATCAAACTCTCTTCAAAACGAGTTATTAGAAAACCATTGGGAAACTGCACGTATTGTAGGGCTCATTGGTCTACACAATATAGTCCACGAAAAAAAAGAGTCCATAGTTTTGTAGCATTAGCTACACTGGCCGAGGAAGAGCAGTTTCGCGTGGCCCTCATAATGAGCAGTGCTCATTATGCGAGCTGTGCTCATTATGCGGAGCGCGCGGCGGCGGAGCTCTGCATAATGAGCATGGCGCCGCACGCTCCACATAATGAGCACGGCTTATGAGAGCCACGCGAAGCCGCCGCTGCGCCCGCCTCGCCAGTCTGCGCATTCCAGAGGAGTGACGTCATAGCCGCGGCAGACGCACTGGCGCCGCCGCGTGCCCAGCTGTGCGCTTCCATTGCACAGTAGCAAAGTCTGATGCTGCACCGGAGCCGCTTGATAGCGCCTCTCATTTTGTGCGCATAAGCTCATACTACGTATATCGTGGCATAGCCGAGCTGAGCCACCACAATTTTTTTCTATTGCCCTGAGATGAATATGCTGTTTTGTAATATAGGGCTTGGTATATGCAAGAACACATTTTAAACAATATAAGCTTAAAAACAACCTTTTTCAAAAATGACTTCAGTGCCCCTTTAAGGAGTGTCTCCTGGTGTAATTGCGTTTCAGATGAGCTGGTCAAGATACTGTGCAGCTACTGTCCCAAGGGCTACAGTGAAGAGTTCTACACAAGGTACCTGCACCTTCTCCTGAGCGTCTTCTTCACCGTCACACGGAACCTTCGAGAGCTCCAGTATGCGGTAAGTACACCGAAGAGCCATCTCATCGTTTTTACAGCAAAGCTGTTAAGGGCTAGTTTCCCCAGTATCGTGTCCGCAGGCAAACAAATGTCGACACAAAACTAGACAGCTACTGCCATCTATGAGCGACGCGGCAACCAGACAACCGGCTTGGTTGTTGTCTGATTGCCGCCGTCGCTCATAGATGGTGGCAACCTTTTCAGGCCTTTCCGCTCTGGTTTTTACCAGAGTGGAAAGACTGAATTTCTCTAGCAGTCGTCCTAAATGTCATCCTTGAGGACGACGTCTTCTAGGTGTCGTCCTAGAAGTCGTCCTTGAAATCGTCCTAGACGTCATCCTTGAGGTCATCCTAGACATCGTCCTTGAGGTTGTCCGAGAGGTTGCCCTCGAGGTGGTCTTAGAAATCAACCTTGAGGTCATCCTAGAAGTCTTCCTTTAAGTCGTCCTAGACGTTGTTCTCGAGGTCGTCCTGAAAGTCGTCCTTGAGGTCGTCCTAGACGTCGTCCCTGAGGTCATCTTAGGCGTCGCCTAGAAGTTTTCCTTGAGGTCATCCTAGACGTCGTCCTTGAGGTTATCCTAGACGTCGTCCCTTAGACATCGTCCTAGACGTAAAGATAACAGCTTCGCTGGTCCTCCATTTTCACATGAAGTGGAAGGGCTCTACATTTTTAATGATGGTGGATATTTTATTATGCTACATTTATTTTGGATGGGAGAAGTAATTTGTGACCTCCCTGTCCATTGGGCCTGGTATCAGTCATTAGAATGTCAGGTACCTGTTGGATGTATGTAATGCTGTTACGCTGTTTCTTACAATGCAAAGCTTCTTTAGTAACAACGTAACATTTGAAATTTTCTCTGTAGGTTGAATAACAGTGCACTTCTTTTTTTCCTTTGAATGAGTAATCGGTAGCAATATCTAGTTATTTCTGTGTTGAGATACTTACCATGAAAGCGTGGAACAATATGGTGGACGGGCCAGTCAACATATTGAGAAGTGGCTCATGAGCGTGATTTGCAGGTCAACTTGGTTCAAAGGACTTCGTTCAAAAACTGATCACTTGTGAACTTCCAAGGTCAGATTGTCATAGTTTCCTGTCTACAACTCATAAATTATGATTTTTATCATTTGGGACCAGTTGGAAGCGAGATCTCGCAGTGACTGTGGTAAGCGGGCATGCAATGGGGAAATAAATATGACAACACTTTTATGAAACTGTAGTGCTTGTGTTGCTTTTTTCTGCGCTTCTGAAACAAAGGAAGGCAGCAGCTGAGTCGTAACAGTGCTCTGCTCATCTATGTCCCAACACTACAATGTTACTTGGTTCACTTCCAGGCACAGCTCAACTTTCCCAAGTTCTGTGCTCCAATTGTGGAAGGCAGCGGTTTGTACCCTTATCTGCAATCCGGTGCCAGCAGTAGGCTCGTTCAATTCACTCGCCTGCACCAGTGTAAAAAACTGCTGGACCATGTTTTTCTACCATATGTTTTAAGGCAGGCTGCACTCATCAATCAAATGACACTCCTTTCTATTGCGGACAATAGGAGCTGAAACAGTCCTTCGTGCTCCTTTGGCATACCTGCCAGTTTTTGAGAGAGCTGTTGTCCGTACTAAGAACGGAATGCTAAGTTGAGGTCCCACGCTTCAGACCATTTGACAAATCGTGCGATAATGGAGCTTGCGGAAACTGCGGACACAGAAAAAAGCCGGATTGTGCATTTCAGCTCATTTTGTCTGCGGGTGCACGCATACTGTAAATTGAGCGAACCTATACTAGGCATTGACTATTTTGTGCCACGTTGTCTTTGAGGCCAGCATTGCTTGCACAGTGCTGTGGCCCCTCACTGCTGCAAGAGCACACAGCTTCCCCTAGCAACACAGCTTCCACTAGCGCTCTCGTACAAAGCCACACGTGCGTGCAAATCGCTTCGTAAGCATTGGAGCATTGCGGAAGCTATGGCAGCCTCAACATTGTAGTGCAAAATAGTGGATGCCGAGTAAAATCTTTCCTGCGATTGGTGTCTCGGTGTTGTGGGAGTTTCAAAGGCCATTTGTGTTTTCCCTTACATTGTCTCAGCAACGGAAAGCGACATCCACAAGCTGTGGAGGAACGTCGAACCCCACATGAGGAAGACGCTGCAGTCGGTGTATCTGAGGGAGGTCACAAGGCAAGCTTCTTCGGGCACTTTATGATCATCTCTAGTTTTATTCCCAAGTTTTGACAAACAAGAAGATTGGCACACTTTTAAAAAAAGATTGCCAGAGATTGGTTTATTTATTTCCATTCCTCCAAGGGGCGCTAAAGTGGTTTCTGAGATTGTCTACTTATGATCATAACTGAGTCCTTGGCCTCTATGCATTCTAAAGAAACTCAAGATTATGTTGATGCACGTCTGATTTCCCTATTAAAAACAAAATTAAAAGGTCGCGACTCTCTTCTTTTTTAGAAATTTGGTGCAGAAACCATGGGGTGCCGTCGGACACGCGACAGCCAATTGTGGGCAATCGCTTTTCGCACGGCAATGGGCACGATCAACGGCAGGCTGATTTTGAGATATATGTGCGATTGTGGTGCGATTTACTCACAGGAAGCGGTCACCTGTGATTTGGCTGTTGCACGTTTGACGGCACCTTGTGGTTTCTCACCGAATTGGGAAAAAACGGGCATATCACAATCTTTGATCCTGTTTTTGATACGGAGATCAGATGCATATCTATGTTATCTTGTTTTTGTTTTTTCTTGGAGTACTTAGAGTCCCTAAATTGAGTTATAACATAGACAATATCAAAAATCACTTTAGTGCCCCTTTAACAAAAGAAAAAAAAACTGCAACGAAAAAAAAAATTTTTCTAAAGGGACACATTTACTATAGGTTTCATATAGTAAACGTCACTTCTGACGTTTACTATATGAAACCAAATGAAACAAACAAAAACTATACGACATCACTTCTGATTAGACTCAAAATTGAAACCAACATTGTTGTCTACTATCAGGGCTATTAGTGCCTTGGCACCATGTTGGAGGCATTCAGCTTCTTATTGTGGCGGCAGTAGTGCCGTAGAGTCATAGTACCGTCTTTTTATAACCACATTTCAGAATATTTTCTTGTCCTAGTCAATCGCAAAGAGATTCCCCACCTGACAGGAAGTGCAGTCCACAAACCCTTGGTTGGGGCATGGCCTCCGAGATCCCGAAGCGTGCAAACGCTTCTCTGGTTGTTCCATTCGTGCGGAGAGGGCATAATCGGAAAAAGAGAAGGAGGCGGCTCTTTCCGCAAGGAGGCGCTCCCAACCCAGTCATCGACAGCATGGTGCGAGGCAGAAGAACTACTTACACATTTTTGTGTATCGTGGTAGAACGGTGAACAGCTGCTCTGGGGACGTAAATGGACAATTTGTAACGCTTATTTAATTATTTCATTTGAGATATCCATCTGGACATGTCGCAGCTAGCGCTACAAGCACGCCTTTTGATATATTTGATTGACCGTATCCGTATCCGTTGTCCGTATCCCCAGTCTCGGGTTACAACTATGCTCAATTTGATTGCAATTTGTTGCATGTATAAAATTCCAGAAAAAAAATTAGCTCCAAACATAAAAACTTTGGATTTCCCTAAATAAAAATAATCGTGCTGCAATCTTTTTTTTTTTTTTTTTTTTTATTTCGGCACGTTTTTTGGCGTAGTTCTTTGAGTCTAAGCACGAGGTTTGATACTGTAGAGTGAAGTTTGTGTTGTCTTTCTAATATTTTTAATATTTATTACACAATTTTTTGCGGGTCGTATTGCAGTGTCCGTTTCTACTGGAAGTACATATAAGCCGGGGTCACAGTGCTTATACATTATATTCAAGACAGTCTGCAGATATCAGTCACCACGATATCCATGGTTTAAATGCCGCGTGTCGAGTGTCTCCTTGAACTCGTTCCCTCGCGGCATTCGCAGCTCAGATCTCGTGGTGACTCGAGTTTGAATCTGTTTGCAGACTGTCTTTTGTATGATGGTACAAGCAGCGTGACCTTGGCTTTGGGGTAAAACTTAGGGCGGTGAGGTACAACTACAACCACCTCGCAATGATTTCACCATTTTTGTTTTTATAAACTTTGTGATAATTGTAGGCACTGATTGAAAAGGTGGGGCGTTATCATGTAAACATCATTTGACACCATGATGTCAAGTGAATTTGCTACGTCACGAGACATTATGAAGTCACGTGACTCCATGGTGTCAAGTGACGACACGGAGAGACCATAGCAGCTATCCCTGTAAAAACGCACAACACGTCAAATTAGCTTTGTAGAAAGCTGTTTAGGGGGATGAAGGAAAGGCAGTTTGGCAGTCTCAACAAAACCTTTTCTTCCCCCTTCCAATATCGGCAGATCTCCTTCCTCTACGTATCGCGACTGCACTGCGTCTGCAAAGAAACTCGTATGGCTAGCATGTGTGTTTATAGTTTTAGAACATAGTACCTTGCTTTCAATCCATGTCCAGAAGTCGCCGAAAACAAAACAGTCCGGGGAGCCCGGGTGAATGCAAGATGAAGCACGACGACGCGACTGACACCACCCACCCGCGATGCCTGCAGCTAAGAGTCTGCACGGGCCGATATTTCGAAGCCCGCCCCAGCCTGGCCCATTGTCTATTAGGCCCGGACTTGCCCGCGACCCGCTATCTATTTCTGACAGCCAGCCCGGCCTGGCCTGAAGCTAATTTTTACGGACCAGCTGCGCTTTATTTTAGCCCAGGATGAATAGCTCCCAATTGCGCGGCATGGCAGCTCGCCTGCAACTGCTACACATAAGTCGATTAGGATACCAATATTAAATACTGTAAGCATTTTTTTTTTTGCTGCTATTATTAGTTGGACCAATTTGCAGGCCTAGGCAGCTTGTTAAGAAAAATCACCCGATCTTCCTTTTCTGCGACCAAACACTCACGGCGTGGAAAGGACCGAAAAACAAAAATGACAAGCAGAAGTAAACAGAACCATGTGTCTCAGTTGGAAAGGAGGGGAAACATCGCGACGGGTTTAGACAAAAGACAAGTAAAGTTCTAAATTAGCCACTCTCGCTGCGCACAACCGTAAAAAAAAACAAAAAAAACAGTAATTTTGTTTTTTGCGGTGGTCTGCGAGGAACTGTTCAGGAAAAGTACCCCTCAGGGGAACCTCTTCACCCCTATCGGGGATGCAAGCACTCGTGGTGAGAAGCGATTGTATGATGGCGGAGCCGCTGGGGACGAAAAGGAACGCCGCGCCACTAGTCTTCTGGAAGAGCATTCGCTGCATGCACCGAACCACACAAAAACATACACCCACACACACACACTTCAGCATCTGTTTCCCCCTCTGTGGTTCCTCTTCCAACCCTATAACACAATTCCGAAGAGCATGCCGCTTAAAAAAAAAAAAAAAAAAAGTAACGGCCGGTTTGGCCCGCTTTGGCCCCCCTTGAAGATTTTAATGCAAGGCACGTACCCGGCCGGGGCTTTCATGAATGTAGCCGTGAAGCCCGAGCCCGGCCCGAGGGCCGAGCCGGTCCGTGGCCCGCAATCTGGCCTGTACCACTGTGTTGGCCCAACCTGGGGGTTGGGCCAACAGACGCACCAGCGTACGGGCTTCCGCCTTTCTGTTTCGCCTCGCACGCCCCCAGGAAAACACCTGTTTGTGCAAATAAAGATTATTATTATTATCTCTACCTGCGACGACGACGGCTCGTCCCGACAGCGCCGCCTCGTGGCGAGCGACGGAGTTAGCGCAATTACACTCTTCTGCTGGGGAGCGACTCGAATGGAACGGTCGGAGAAGCCTTCACGCGTGCGCTTCGGAATCTTGGAGGCCATGGTCGGGGTATTAAGCTTTTCTGTCGAGATGATATAGTTAATATAATATTCTAGAGTGAAATGTCCCATGCATTTGGTAACTTCAAGACTGCGGGGTATAGACGCGAATATCGGCGGTCCCGATGAGCCCATATTGCTGGCGATGCCTTAATATGTAATAAGAAGCTGCAAAACTTCACTTGTAAGATCTGTAACTTGATATTTTCTCTTACTTCTCAGAAAAAACACCGGAGTCACGCATTGACAAATTAAATAAAGTTGACAAGCACTCTAGCAACTTCGACTTGTCGCAGCAAAACGAACAGGCCTAACCCCTCGTCTGCTTTCTTTCTCTGCTCTTTTATCACTTCCTTTCTCATTCTTTCCCTCGTGACTGGAGATTTTAGCTCCCAGGATTTGCCGCATTCTGCTCCCGTCGTCGCTCGTCTGTTCAAGATTGTGCCAGCATATCCGTCGGAGCCATTCATAACGCCTGCAAACCATTTGTTTGAGCGTCGCCTTGTCCAGATTCTCAATGATTGCCGGAATCCTAGAGTAACCAATACTGCTGGCCGCAGCTCCGTCTTGCCGCCGGCTTTTGCGGCTGGCACAATTTAAACCTCGAGTAGCAGACAAACTACAGTGTGAAGATGGCCCCAAAGCACACGAAACATAGCATAACAGTGACGAATGCTTCCAACATGGATTCTGGCGGGTTCTGGTGAGATTTACGAACCAGTAGCAGCGTTACATCCTTGTCTCGTGCAAGAATCCTAAATTTAAATAAAACATCTACCATGAAAAAAAAAAAAAAAATTAGAAATGTTTATATTGTTAGATGCAATTTGGGTGCAGAATGTGGAGGTCGCAGGCCGCTAAGCCCCGCCCTGTGCTTACAATGTGCTTACACCTCTCATTGGCTGGAGAGATGATTGACGTGTGAAAGACGTTGGTGGTAAATTTGTATCTCTGTGCCATAATAGTATTTTTATTGGTTTTTTTTTTTCTTTTTAAGAAGCAACTAATTAAGATAGAGTCATTATTGTTTTCAAATGTATTCTGAGATAGCTTCTCCCTCTTTGGTTTGAAACATTACTAAACATGGCTGCCGGCATCTGTGGAGTGCTGAGTGGGTTTAGCTCATATAGCTTGCTCGTTCGGACGTGTTTAGAGGAAGATCTCATCAACTGACATAGTTTTCAGCAAACAACTGTCGCAAGTACTTGCCTTTGGAAGCGCTGTGCGGATGCTTGTTTTCGTAGTGGGACTGGCCTAAGCCTGGCGTCCCACATCAACTATTTTGATCAATCTGGCTCGATTTCTTTCTTTGCGCATGTTGATGGTGAATAAAGATGTGGGTTCCCGTAAAACTGGCCCCACCGCTCTGTGATATGTGCAACCATCGTGCTTGCTACCATAGTTTCAATACCGAGAAGATACCTGCACAAGTAAGAATTTGTGAACCATATGGCTGAAAGTATTCGGGCGTTCGGCCAGTATGAAGTTACTCCAGGTATGTTTCCGTCATTTTAGCTTCGAAAGGCAAGTAGCTCAGGTTTTGCAGTGCTCCTGGCGTGCAAAAGCGAATGATTTTAGGTCACGTTTTAACTGTGCGTCATGACGCGCTCTCACCTTGCTCGCGATGCCGTGCAAAAAAATTAACAACATAAAAGCTGAAATGACAGCATATTTATTTTGTCGCTTTTTTTTAGTTCTATTGGTCGCTTTTTACCGCACGTCGACAGACACTTGTATTGGGCCTTCGCTCGCGCATGATGGAACGCTAGATTGCCATTTTCATGGTTGAGTCTTTGGAGCATTGTAAAAGTTTTTAGACGGGAATGGAATAGCTGATGGACGAAGGCAAAAACGGACGCCGACGGGCAGCTTTGATGTTCGCGCCCAATGAGCATGGCAGACGACGATAGACTCGTGATATAGCAGACGATGCCAGAGGCTGCCTCATGTCTGCTCGCACATAGACGCGTTGGATGTCGGTAAAGGGAGACAGCAGGCTTGTTAGTGTGTTCGGCCAGCAGCCAAGCCAGTCCAGTAGTAATGGGCGGGGCAACTGATTTGAGGGTGGGGCTTAGAGTGGGCCGTGGCCTCCACCTAAATTGTGTCAAGGACTTAAATATTGCACAATTTGTTTTTGCTTCTCATGGAAAAACTGTGAAAACAAAAATGTGTCTCATTTATGCTCCTCAAAAAAAAATCTTTTTTTTTCATTGCAGTGTTTTTTTCAAGGGGAAGCACTGGTCTTGGAGCTTTCCTCCTTATCTTTTTACTGAACTTAATGAAAGAGCACAAGCTTGTTCAGATGTTTGTGGTGATTTCAAATATTTGGTATTTTTTTAAGCAATAGATTAGTTCTCAGAATAACTATAACTCACCGTTGTTCTCAACTGCAATAGGGAAAAATCATTTTTAGAAAATTATGTTTTAACATATGGCTAGATTCTACAAAGTATGACAAATGCAATGTTGGAAGGACTTGTTAGATTGAACCATTATTACTCTTTACAATGCATTAGGTTCAGTGTTCAATATGTTGCTGCCAAGCAATAGAACAGTTATGTTCTTACACCTATCTTGAAAGCTCTGCCCTCAACACTATGTTGAGGGCAGAATTTTCAGTATATGCAGATTTAGCTACGTATTGCAAAATGAAGGTATACTCGTACCGTAGAACACCGCGCATTCCACATTAGGCGCCCATGTCCAAATTTCTAAGATGTGAAAAAACATGCACAGAACATTTATATGTAAAACTGATGATTGGACAAGCACCTCTTCTCCATTTTTTCGCGATTATCTCTAAATTATGAGTGGGCGCTGGCCCGGTATTTTACGGTATGTCTATCTGCCCTAAACACTGAGATATCCCTCCTAAATATTTGCAAAGTTAAAAATTTGTGTTTTGAGAAAGTGCCATTTTAGCATCAACTTAAATGCAATCTCGGCCTGCATAAATATTATAAAGTAATATTATGGCGCAAATAGAAACTTGGCAGATCAGAAGAAAAATAGCTGTAGATTTCAAAATTGCCATTTCCCAAAAAACAGTTCTTTAGGAACTTTTGGCTCCAAAATCCCAACCCTGGGATATCCTCTGTGCATTTTGCAGTGCACAGTTTGAGAATGTGCAGTGTCGGGAAGGTGAAGCAGACGGAGCGACTTCACGAGGTCACGAGACGGGGAAGGCACCAAGAAGGGGAGTGGTCGAACTTCCCTTCTATTCAAGGTTCCTGCTCCTGGCTGCCTACATGGCATCGTACAACCGTCCTGGCACGGACCGCAAGTTCTTCGTCAAGGTGCGCACTGTCCCCGACAGTTTGCGAGGCATCTGCCAGCAGAGAAAAACCTGTGAGCGTCTAAGGGAGTCTGGGGACTCGAGGATTTGCCAGGGAAGTATAGGGAGCCTAGGGAATTCAAGGACTTATCAGGGGATTTTAGGAAGCCTCTGGGGCAGGGGTTTGCAAACTTTGGTCCTGAGAAATTTTCTGTTTTAAGGGCAGTCGGGGAACCTCTGCTGATCTCGGCATTGACACAATAAGGCTGTGCAGATGCCCATACAATATAAACCATACTGCACATACTAGGGAGTGCTTGACTCATGGTTATGCATCAATGAGTGGCCCCAATCAGCTAAAAATATTGCTTCAACTATAAAAATACTTCACTTGGGACAGGGATGACAGTCGAAGAAATTTGGGAGCTCCTGGAACCTATGAGGGTACTTTGGAGAATCCCTAAGTCCCTAAGAGCCCAGTTCGAGAACCCATGTGTTAGTGTTCTCAAGGAATTGCCAGGGAACCTTGGGAACCTAGATAACTAGTCACTGCCAGCGGGGGAAGCTTGTGAATAGGTATGGAAATTTAGAGGCTGGTCAGAAAATTTCTAGGGAATTGTAAGCAGCCCTATTATAGTCAGAAATTGCTAGGGAATTTCAGGGAACCTGAAAAACTTCAGCAGGGTTGGAAGTGCTACGCCATTTGTACCAAATTGCACCATGAACGAAAGTCTGCTACATCTTGCGCAATTATGCCATTTTTGCTAAGAATTGCACCACACTTTTGCCGAGATGGGCTTAAAGTGAAGCTACGGAGCTTCTTGGAAAAAATGAGTTAGAAGTGAATTCTAGTGTATTTTTACCCCGTAAACCCGAATACCCAAACCATTTGCTGCGTAAGTATTGTTAAACGTGAGAAAAACGCGAAAGACAGTCGCTGTCCGTGACGTCATCGACGGCTCTTTTGGCTGCCCAAGGCTAAGGAGGCGGGGCCTCAGTCCTATTTTGAAATTGCTCGTATGGCTCTCCGGCGCGTCGCATTGAAATACAATGTTGACATCTGTTAATCTAAAGGTCAAATGAACGCAATTCAAGCGTTTTTTCTCAAATGTAGAAGTGCCTTATCTTCCCTAAACAATTAATATTTTAATATTAGTCGGTTCTAACATTCATAGAAGTAGAAGGAAAGAAAATCTGTACAAACAAACATGCATTTCAGTGTCTTTACTCACCGTATAGTTTTTTTCACTAGGTTATGTCACCTCCCTTAGGGTTGCGAATAAAGAGGCTTATCCGGTATTGCAATATTTTTATGTAAGCTGTTTTTTTATTTTATTTAGAACCAAGGCAAAATGAAGAGGAGGAGGAGTCACAAACCGAAGGAAAAGGTGAATGTCGTTTGCAGTAATTTAGCTTAACCAGTGATAAATGCAAGTTTCTTTTTTGTTGACTCAAAAAAGTGTCTTACGTGATTTAGCGACTTTGGCCTAGGAACGGGAATTTAGTGCTAAGTTTGGACATCCCGGAGGGGGAAAAAAAAAAACATGTTTTCCGGTAATGTGGCGGCACAAAGGCTGATTCGGTTGCGTAGTTTTAAATGAAAGGTTGAGTCCATTTTTTTTTTTATTGTTTCTGATATCATTGTTTTTGGCCGCTGGCTGTGCTAGCCCTTCAAAAGCATGCTGCAGTTAACGGTTTTACTTTTATGTATGAAATGCAGGTGCTGGAACTGCTTTGCCAATTGCCTCAAACTGCCCCAGAACGAATAACCTGCTACATGTTGTTCCAAAGGCTGTATTTGTGCACAATTTGTGCCATGTCTGCACCGCAAGGGAGCTGTTCCCGAGAAGGAAACTGAAAGTGTCTGGCACGTGACATTGGCGATGCCACTCAAAATTAAGAAAGTACAGTTTTTTTATTTTTTTTGTTTTTCTTTTATGCCTAAGTACTCTGTGCAAAGAGTGGGGCTGCGCGAATATTCTTATTTTCTAATAGCAGTTTTAAATAATATGTTATTTGACATTCGTTTCCAAATGAACTGCAATATTCCTACTTTTTGAAGTGTTGATCGCCGCGGGTTAGCCCCCTTGAGTGCTCTTCTCCTCATGCATAGGTGCACAGCGGAGAAGCAACACCCGCGGAGCGGACATAGCCATCTCGCGACTCGCTTCGGCGCAGCGCAGCCACACGTTTAGGCGAAAAACACACCTTCAAACTGGTATAGTGCACGTCCGCGCCTAATGTAAAAAAAAAAAGAGAAAAACTTTTGATTGTTATTACATTGCAATAAAATCTTCAAAATCTGTGGCTATTATGCAAGGGTATATGTTAGGCAGCGATGTTCTAACAACCTGTGTCCGATATTTGTGCTTGTTTTTTTTTGTTTTTTTTTAACCCAGAATTGAAAATTTATTTATATAGCAAGAATATTTACAAACCCCCTCAATTAGGTATGACTGTGCTCCTTTATAGGTTTAATTTTATGTCAAATCTGTCATTTACTTGCTATTCCAATGTAGGTACTAGACGTTCTGAGGCTACAGTCCAGAAATATAGCTAAATTAAATTTAAGAGCTCATGAGTGGGCAATAAGGAACACCCTTCATGAGTCCAGCTGACTTTAGTTTAAGCATGGTGGTGCACTAGTAAAAGGCTTGCAGAAAAAGGCAAAAACTTTTCTATTCACAAACTGTTCAATTAAAAAAAATATTCGGCCAATACCACTATTCACTTTGAATTTTCTTCGAACCCAAAATCCATGATTTGCACATGCCTACCGAAGAGTTATCGTTTTTTCTGCGAACAAGGCTCACATTGACCGAAATGAATAGCTAGCGCTACTCGTGATCGGTTAGAGTAGCTATGTGCTCCGTTTAGCCGCCCTATGAACAGCAGCAGGTTGAATGCAAGCGAGGGCAGTGTGAGACACGTTCAACACAAAAGTGTCTGTTTCATGTCAAACTCGCGACAATTACGGACAATTATGTCACCGTGATACAAACCCTGTACGGAGTTGCCAAAAACACCTTTTTACGTCAAACACAGAGTGAAGACGCCATGGGTACTCCTAATAGGTTAACTGAAACATCTACAAAATTGCCGGTGTTTAATTGTTTTATAAATAACTAAATATCTGTACAGGCCAGGTCTTCTGTAGGCATAACACTTAAAGGGGTACTCCACCGGTTTTTTCATTGTATCCGATTTGCTTGAAATTTTGCTAAACTAACCAACAAACATTGCTAAAATAGTGTCCCAAATATTAGGTCAAAATATTGTTTTTTCGCGAAGTTATTGAATTTACAGTTTTGGTCTTCACCATGTCTTTCAACCTGAAAGTCTCTACTGGCAACAACAACAAAGTGACGTCAGTGGAAGGCAGGGGTTCACTTTTTGGACTACAGAAGTTGTTCCCAACGGATTTGAAGCAGTTTCTTGGTGTCAAATGAGTGCTTTGGAAGCTCGCTCCCTTATCCACGCTCCAGCACGGAACGAATGATTGGCATATTCTATTTTTAGACTACTTGCTCGACTGGCAAGCCTGCCTGCCACTGACGTCGCGGCACTGAAAAGTGCGCGAATATTTGAATATTAGTTTTTGCACCATTTTCATTTGCCGATTTCACAATACCTATTATGAATTTCGCGATGCTAAATAGCATACCGGAAAGGCTAAAGGCCGGGGTGTCAGAAAATATAGTTAGTTGAGGTAGCTCGAAAAATCGGTGGAGTACCCCTTTAAGTCTCCCAACGCTCCAACAACTGCAGTTTTTTCTATGGGCTAACTTTCAAAGAGATTGTATAAAACTTTTTGACGTAAAAGCTCAAGATTGTTTGCTCCAAAAGTGGGAATCTCTGCTCCAAAACCCATTTTTCTCTGCTACAAGAGCTGCTCCAAATCACCACTTGTCAGTTCCAGCACTGGAAATGGCCAAATAATGAACTTGACATCTACGTATAAGAATATAATGCAGCTTGAAACTGTAGTGGCATTTATGGCAGCTATGGATCTGCATTTACAGCTTTCTACTGTCCTAATGAGGTGTCTGGCTGCTTGCTGATTGTCATCAGTGCACCTTGGTAGATATTGCATTGCTGTCGCAGAGCCATCTCTGAGGGCAATTACTATGAGTGGTATTTCCCCATATTCACGGTGTTCCAGTAGTCCTAATAGAGCTTATGCATTTTTGGTACCGCCTATCGGCACATTGTCGGAAATGTTGGGCTGCAAGCCTCGAAGATGGCAACCTCTTCGTCCAAGTTTCGACCCGACTCTGGACGAAGAGTTTCAAAATTACGGTGACCGTTGGTTTTTAAAAAAACAATTTCTTGCAAGCTGACATTTAATAAGATTTGTTATCAAACACACTACACAGTCATTAAGCGATCGTTGAATCTCTTACTTTCAATCTAGCAAAAAGCATTTTTAAACAAAAAATGAGCTAAAAGGATGCATTCCACAAATTTCGGAGTTCATTATCCAAATGCACAGCTTCACGATTTCACCGTACAAGTCGCTAATGTTCAGCAGGGGTTCAGAACTGACTAGAGCCTGGCGGCATTGGGACACATTTCGTATCAAGAAAAAAGCCCAAAGGCTTTTCTCCTTGATTCTTGAGATTTGTAAAGATCAGCGAATTTCAGACTTTGAATGTGAGTGCTGCATCACAAGCAATCAGATTGACGAGGAATGCTTTGAGTAAATTCATGCATCACTGCAATCTAGACGCGTCACATTGCGAGTGGCCTGCTATTACGTCCCAAAACAAGGATGGTGCACCGCCATATTCGCGCCAGTTTGAATCATGTTTCCGACATTTCCCGATAGGTGGTGCCAGGAGCAGGAGGAAACGGCTGAACACTTAATACTTTTCTGTAAAGGGCTTCACCCAACAGTTAACAGTGACCGGGCGGATTTAATCAAAGCATTGGGTTTTAAAGACAGTGAAGGAAAAATAGACTTTACACGGGTATAAATAACCAAGCGGAGGTTATCAGACTGGTGGCTAAAATCGAGGCAGGGGTGAGATTTAATCTTGGAATTCAAAACATATAATTAGATTTATAATGTTGGCTAGGTGGCGCAAGCCACCGCCCGATTCACAGGGTTTAGCCAGATCCATCCATCCATCCATCCAGGTCTGTTCAATAGCTTGTGGGGCTCGACGCACCTACAGGTCTGTCACACAAAAAGAAAATAAAGAACATGGCTCAAGGTGCAAAACGGACACCTCGGGAAGCTTGTGAAATGTAAAACACTCGGAGCCATCACAGAAAAGTTTTCTTTTGTTCCGTATCCTTGCTGAAATTATTGGGGTAGAACATTCCTAATGGTTACATAGAATAATTAATTTATACTTAAGATCACACCGTAATGTGTTAACACGCTTGTGTATTGAGATGTGCTTCAGGTGCAGATATAAGAGAGGGGGAGCAACCGCCCCCCTAAACCTCCCGAGGGCAACTTTTTTTATATAAAGAAAACAACATACACTTGCTTTTTTTTATGTTTAGTTTTTTGGTGATAAGTCAACAAAATAGATGTGGGTAATGCCTCACCTATGACGTCACTTCTGTTCATAGCGTCAAATCTTTCTGCAGAGGCCAGCCTAATTCCTACCGTGCCCCCCCCAGCCTGACCCATAAATCCTTGGAAATACGCACCTTGAGTTAAAGGGTCGATGCAACGATTTTCGTCTTTTAAGCAAATACCGCTTAGAACGGATCCCTGACGTTGATGACCCGTGACACACTCGCTCCCTTTTCACCGCACGCAACTAAAGTCACCGAAAAAATTAAAGAAAAATGAGCAGCGTTCACCCCCTCAACTCGCAGTCAGAACAAGCGGCCATGTGATCTGGAGCCGATTATACGCCGCCAAAGTTGATCATAGCCCCGCGCTGCGGTTGGCAAGGCACAGGACACGCGCCGAGTTCCAGACATTGTTATGGTTCGGTTACTGTCGTCATTGCAGCAATTGGACACGGGCAATACTCGAATGCTTGCCGAGCTATCGATTATCACGAGCCCAAATCGAGTGCTTGCGCAATGCTTGGGTCCAATCTATATGTTGCATTGAAAAATTGTCACTGGGCGGTACTGCAACTGCCCAGCTCCGTCATCCAGTTTTGCGAAGGAGAGATTGAATAAAAACGCTCTTTTTTTTCCTTGAAGTTACGTCGCAACAAAGGGGTTTCTTGGCCAGTGGCGTTGCGTGCAAGCATTCTTGGGTCCTACTAGTGCCAGTAAGCTTGTGTAAAGTGAAAAAATTCCAAGCGGATATTATTGCACCACCCCTTTAGCTTTGAACAAGGGCCTTCAGCCACGTCTAATAGATTCTCAATGCTATAGGGCAGGGGTGGCCACGCTGACCCGGCTTAAGAGCCGCAAACAAAATCGCAAAACTTCCAAGAGCTGCGGAAGGGGGGGGGGGTGGGGGGGGGGGGGGTGCGTAAACTTTTGTTCAGAGCAATAAACGAAACTCCGGACTACTTTTAATTCATCCGAATCAAAAGCAGTCCATCTGTACATAAGGTAGCAGTACCACAAGACTACCAAACCGCAACCTGTCTTTCGATTTAAAACTCATTCTATTTCTCTTTTTGGGAAAGTGCTTGTGTGACCGGGAAGGGGGGTGGGGGAAGCCGCGAGCAGCACTTCAATACGTATAGAGCCGCAGGTTGGCCACTCCTGCTATAGGGCCGCTTTAATGTTTTATACATGAAAAATAGTTTTTTCAGGCTGGGTATGCCACTGCAGCCATAGCTTCATGTTATGAGGCTCACTGGCAGGGGCAGCGTCACTAGGGTCAGCAGCATTCAAAGCGGTGGCTCGCCTCCTTGTGGCCCGTCGCGACACCCCCCCTTTCTTTGCCTCGCCACACCCCCGTGAGCACTGCACCTGGGGCAGTACTCCCCCTCTTGTGACGCCGCTGCTCACTGGTGCATATTTTTAACTTGATGTCCGTTTGATTTTCAGCCAAGCAACCACCTTCTTGGCCCAAAGCCATTTCCCCTAAACCGAATGATGGCCATCTTTTACGCTATTGTCGACGAACAAGTGGCACCATCTGCCTTGATCTTTTCCCAGGTAGGGATTCTTTGTATGAATGTTGTATTATCCTCTTCTTTTTTTTCTTCTTTTCTTTTCCCGTGCTTTCTTTTATGGCACTGATGATTTCAGCAACTTCTATGGTATGGGCGTTTTGATGCTGGAGGCTTTTGCTCCTCACAAAAGGTGGAGGTACCATAGCCCTCAGCAGTGTGAATGTGTCTACCTTACCTCATGACACTCGGGAAGCAATAGATGCCCCAAACGTCCCAGAATGACCCAATCGCAGTACAGGCTCTTTGTCAATCTTTAGGCAAATATTTATACAATTTGCACATCACAGCACTTGAAACCACAAGCCCGATAATGTGGAATATCTGCAATGACACTGGCCGTCTTGGTCTCCTCCCAACTGCATAGAATTTTTTTTTTTTTTTTTTGCAGTTTTGAATTTGGAAGGTTTTCCATATAATACTCACTGATTCAATCTCAAGTGCTGCAAGCACAGGAGTGTTTTGGGGGGCATTTCACTGCGTACAAAATGCCATTTCAGTTCATTTGAGAAAGTATTTAGTGTCTGCTGTAACAATCAACTGCTGCTCTTTAGTCATTCTGAGTTGCTTGTTTATTAATTTTTTTTTCTTCCAAAGATAAAAACGCTGGTTTCATTGCGGCTGCTCGTGCAATTGACAAAAGACGATCAACTCAGTGCTCCCAAGTACAAGTGCCTCGTCAGTCTGGATTTCATCAGAGAAATTGCGAAGACGGTCAACTTTGATGTGACAGGGCACCTGAGTGATTTTAACATGTGATAATAAATGGAGAGAGACTATGTTGACTGCTTGGCAGCTGTGCTTCAACAAAGCTTTTTTTTTTCTTTTTTTTCTCTCTGCTTGTAAGGTTTTTGTTATCCATGCGGAGCTCTATCCAGTTGGTTAGTGTCCGTTTTGTGGAAGCACTGGTCTACGATCGTCTTTATTAAAGCTTGACTGAAGAAGAGACTATTGTTTTATTTATTTTATTACTTTTAGTGTCTCACAGTAAAAAAGCAACTTGCATAGTCATGTCTCGTTAATATGGACCTCACCATTCCCTCCAAAGTCATCCTTAATGCGAGTTGTTCATAATAATGAGACAAAACTGCCTGTGTTTATATACAACCCCCCCCCCCCCCCCCCCACCCAATTTTTTTTTTTTTTTTTTTTTGCAAAATTGAATTACGCATTGAATGCTCATTTTCCGTCCACATGTAGTGCTAAAGGTCCCGACGAGATTCCGAAGTTTCAGTAGAAACCGTTATCTTATTCAAAAGTTTTGTGATTTTCTGAAATATTCAATGGGAAAATGACTGCCGACAGCTCTCGAAAGCTCATTTTCCAATTGAAATTTAAAAGAAAAAAAGTCATATCTTTGGAATGAAATCAACGGTTAGTGCTGCAACGTTGGGATCTGGTTTGGACCTCTAGTGCTACATGTTTCGGAGAATGAGCATTCGGCAATGCATAGTTTATTCTTGCAATAAAAAGAAAAAAAACTTTTTTTTGTGTGTGTGTCGGGGGAAAACATGTACAGCTAAGAAAAACATTGTGAAAAAACGGTTGCGTATTGCACAAGTTTAGGTGGGTGCCTAATTACTTAATCATATGTCCTATCTTGAACTAAACTGCAAACACTGAAGGACACCATTTTGAGTCTAGATAGAAGCTCCAAGAAGAAGAGGTTCACAAATATGTATTTTCACTCGTGAAATCTGAGTATCATAACTGCACCACATAAATTCACATTTGTGTAAAGTTTCATGGCACTGTAGGCGTCCTTCTTGTTACTTCGTCAAAAAGTAACGAAGATATGATGTGTTGATCGTTCGAGTCCCTTGAAAACCTAAGCACCACCCAATGTTGTGAGTACATTCTAGCCCAACTTAAAAGATGCCGCGCACGCACGGTATCTTTTAATCGTTTGAAGTAAAGTACAATGTAAATGAAAGATTATGCACTTCAAGTAAAGGAGTGTCCTAATATTTTCAACCTCCTCGCTTTGCACTGACTGAGCGAGAAGTAGCGACAGCTCGAAATGCTGCGGGAAAGCTGCCCCCAGTGCAAACGGAGCGATGCGCGGTCTGCTCGCGTTTCTGGTGAAAGTAGGATATTTCTCTTTGTACTTCTTTAGAGTTGACAAAGCGTCATTTTGTAATAAAAATTTAACAAAATCAAATGTGAAAAATGTTTTTTTTTTTTTTTTTAATTTGGGAGTTATACATTGTTCAGAAACTACAAAAAAAATATTTTTTTTTCTGGTACTTTTTGAGCAAAGTATAACTCAAGTGTTGGGAAGTATTTCAAGTACATATTGCACTTAAAGTAGGTTTAGAAAACTTCTACTTTAACTAAGTAGAATTTTTTTAAACCTATTTGAAGTAGTACTTTAAGTGCAATCTACTTAAAGTACTTCCCAACATTAGATATGAAACTGGAAAGGCAGATATGTCAATGTCTCGTAGCTATCGCTGTGCACCAGTGACGAAAATATATGACGAACGTGATGCCAAGAACATGCGGACTTTCCAAGACTTTAATGCAGACGTTACGAGACAGTTTACGAAATGCACACGTTATTTTATTAACAGATCACTCGTAGAGAGACGAGTAAAGATAAGGAAATATTGAATTGAGGTCGTCCGTGACGCCACTCTATCTCCGCTTCTTCATCACATGTTGATAGAAGAAACCAGTGACAGCGCGACTTTGCCCGTCAACACCGCGATTCAACCTGCTCGAACTCGATCCAACATTAGGGAGCGTCCGTGTGACAGACATGTTCCCCGGAATTGAAGTTTCCGTGTTCGAGGATGCGGATGAGTCGGTTGGCAGTCACCTCCGGGCTGATGACATTGCCAGTTTTGACCATATCTGTAGAGAAATAAGAAAACCGTTAAATGTAATCATTAATAACCGATGACTTTTAATTCGCGGTCCTATTTATTATAGCTCCGTTTCGCTCCAATTCTGACCGAAGCCCACACCAAACAGTGCCAAAAGTACTTTGTCACTGAGCTCGCGGTCTTTGTGCGCTTGCCATTGCCAGCAATAAAATAATGTTATAAATAAAACATTCAAATAATGATTTTAGAGCATATATTTCAAACGTTACTTCCGTGTTAATAATGAAACATTTATGCAACTTTATTTGTAAAACAATAAAATAATGTTAAAAATATAGACCTTTTCCACAAGGGCGCCGCCATCTTGAATTGTCGTCACTTCCAGTATGGGCGACGAAAAAAAAAGTAAAACGTTTCAACCTGTAACTAGTAAAAAAATAGAGGCGAGCCAAAACGAGAATGTGTGACGGTTAGGCTTATATCCTAAATGTCTTCTATTGGCGTGGCAACGGCAAAGTTACGTTTTCGCCCATACTGGAAGTGACGTCAATTCAAGATGGCGGCGCCCTTGTGGAAAAGGTCTATATGTTCGCCGGTTCCCTTTTTTTCGCCCGATTTTTTAAAGGTCTTTCTGAAAAGTACTCTACCTGCCCGGTGATAGTTGCAAGGAGGTGAAGGGAGAAAAGGATTAAGTACGGGAGAAAACGGAAAGAAAAAAAAATGTTTTTTTCTCAATGAATTAAAGGTTAGGTGGCGCAAGCTACTGCCCGTTATAAAGGCAACAGACAATATTCATCCATCCGCGTTCCCGTGGGTAGTGTTGGGACCGGAGCGGCTCGGCAACGGGAGCTCGTGAGGACGCGGTATTGATAGTTCGTGGCGGCGCTGTAGTCGAGTTATCCGGCTCGCGCAGCCCGCTTTTTTTTTTCTTTTTTTCTTTTTTTTTTCTTTGAGCGGTGCATGTAGCGAAAGCTAGGAACGCGAGCTCATAGCGTTGGCAGCTGCCCTTGGTGCACGGGAGCTCGTGCCGCCTTGCCCTAGAGCAAGGAGCTCGCGCTTGTAGCCTTTCCTGCGGTACAACACAAGGTGAAACAGAGTATAGGGCACGTAAAAAAAATCGGTATTTTCAAATCTTTTTTTTTTAAATTTTTGCGGCTTGCAAAGGGTTAATGAAATGTTTGATGGGCCATGTTGCAATTGCAGCTTTAAAGGGAGCCATCATTAAAGGCCAACTTAATTTAAAAAGTTCGCGAACAAACAACTAGCTTTGAGTGAAAGTAACAAGGCGTTCGTTTTTTGTTGTGTTTGTCCGTCCATTTTCGTTTCTTCCTCAAGCTTAATTATCTCTACCAACCCGCTCGTTCTGTCCTGAGATATTCATCGCTAAAATTTTGCCTTTCTTCACTTAATTAAAAAAACTACGCGCTGAAAGCGCGAATGAGGTTGTGCTGATATTGAAGCGTAGAAGAATGACGCAGGTTGTTTCTGTCCCCTCGTCACTAACTCGACAGCGTTTCTTCGGTGAACTCGCCGGCGCCACACATCAAGACGACTAAGTTACTATTCTGCGTATTATTTTCATAACGCAGTTTCTGAATCAAGCGAAGAAAGGCAAACTTTTACTATTAATTTTGCGAACCTCGTTGCCTTTTCGCGAATTGTCGAAATTGTATTTGCCTTTAATAATGACTCCTTTTAAAACTGCAATTGCACCATGGCCAATTAAGCCGTTAATAAACAAGTCAACTAACAGATCTTGGTTTATTATTAAACATTGCAACGGTTATTCACTCATTCATTGTCCACCGAACCCTACAGATATAACGAAGGGCCGTACCCAGAAAAAAATTTCGGGGGGGTGTTTCGGGGCAACGGCGGCCATTCTGAAAGTGTCTATTGTCTTATTTTCGCCTATGAATCATGTGCATCGGTGGCATATAATGGAGAGTTACAGCAAACCGGAGAACCGGTCCCGGTTTGGTACCCGGTAGCCGACCGGCGCCACTGCGCGTGCGCAGAGGTGGAGATTAAAATCGGCTGGCTGTCAGTGCACCGACCAGGGCCGTACCCAGAAAAAAATTTCGGGGGGGGTCAAAACCCCCTAACCCCCCCCCCCCCCCCCCCCCCCCCCCCCGCCCTGGTTACGGCCCTGCGAAAGACAGCATCCACATATCTGCCACATCCTTTTTTTGTAAAATATGTAAAGTTCTGTAAAGAATAAAACAAAAACACCCTGAATGTCTGCGTGAACCAGATACGCCCCCTGTGGAACCATGGGTGTTTCCGTTCGAATACCCAGCTCAGGCGAGACTTACCTGGTTGTCAGAAAGCAGCTGTCGGTTAAATGTATTGTTGTGAGCGTGTAGGTTTCAGATGGTTTACCCTCAAGAGGATAATGCGCTGCATATTGTAACCATGTATGCGTTGCCCATTGTAGCCATTATTTCAATGCCGTGCTGTAAACTATTACAACTTTTTCCTTGCCTGATCTACGTGTGCTCATGTTTTCTGCTCAAAATGATGTGAAAGAGTGTCTTGTTTTCTTTGAATCTTATAAAGCATTACTTGTTCAGCCCACATTGTCTCAGTTTTTGGACTTAAGTTAAATGTTAAAACGCGTGATAAAAATTGTCACGGCTTATAAGCCCTTTCTTACAAGTGAACGTCGGGTGATTATCGGATGGTCGTGGCAGGCACGAAGAAATAGAAGATTCTCACCCCTTTGCGACCGTCGCTTGGGTGGTTCGTCGCATAAATGGACACAAGAATGAGTGACAAGTGAAGCGAGCTGATTAAGGTCAAGAAAAAGAAGACGGGCAGAAAAGAAGACAGAGAAGTTAACCTGGGGTATTAAAAACATACTAAAACAATCTCGAACTTTAGTATGTGCCGTTTCTTTCCGTTATAAAATAAGATAGGGGAAAAAAAAAAAAAAAAAAAAAAACGCTTCCGAGTTTTAGATATCTCTTTCAAATATCTAATGTTCGGCATTTGCGACCAAGGAAATGGGTATTTTATTTAAAATGCTCACCATCCGACAAACCGAAACCGCTTCTTTAAAGTCGCAATTGTTTTTATGTAAAGGAAGGGTAATGTAGCTTGTACTGTCCAATACATTGAAGCATCATGCTGCTAACGATCGTGCCGCAGCGTAATTGATGCCGCGGTACGACCGCTGGCAGGTCGTAGCTGTATCAGAAATACTACGTGCACTCCACCAAAGCGGCACCAAAGATTCATATTTTCGCGCGTGCAGCCGCGCACGCGCACACCTTCCGGATAAGGCGCCGGACGCGACACCTGTCGCGATCAATACCACGCGCTTCAGGCGAGCCCCTTCGGTCCCAACACTACCCAAGTATTCTAGTACACTGTAGCGCCACTACAACCGCTGGCTTTGCTGGTGCGATTCTCTTCGAGCGAACTTCTGGGACAGTTTGAATAGCTTGAACTAGTTTGAACTTTGAGTTACTTTGATTTCCAATTAAGTTACGTCCAGCAGCGTGCACAACAGTGACTGCTGACTGATAAAGCGGACAACCGAACAGCTTCTGGACGGCGGAACTCGAGAACCGTAAGTAACCAGCTTTTTGAAAACCCCTGTGCACGTGCTTATTTTCTTGAAAACAATCTGACGTAAACTGGTATCTTGTCGTTATCTTTGTTTCAAAAGTAACAAGAGGGGGGGAAATGAAATGACATAGAAAACCATTACATCGTCTGTGCAACCGGCAAAAAAGAATTGCCGAGAGCGTGCGCGACCATCTTGCAGACATTTTTCCGAACTCGGTTTTTGTGCGGCGGATAGGGATTTGATGGTCGACCGAGCAGACGAAGAGTGACAACGGAGCGAAAGAGATTTTAAGCACTGCTACCGGACGGTTTCAGTGAACTTTTCGTGGACACAGATTCAGAGTCGGGTGGTACTGAATCCGGTCGTCCAGCTTGGCAAGCGAGCTGTAGTAGCGACATTGGCTAGGTCATCAGTGCGACGGTGTGCCCAGCAGTTTCTTTGCGATTTTGGAAATTCTTCGTGAAATATTGCCAAATGCTAGTGAGAGGTCTGGTCTCACATGGAGACACAGCTGTTTGTTTTGACTGTTGCAAAAGCTGAAAATGTCAGTCCCCACAGGTATGCACAATGGCAAGGAGGGCAGGAGAACTTTTTGAGAACCTTGTTTAAAAACAGGTGCAACTCGCACTACTTTTTTAACAAAAATGTTTGCTATTAGTCGACAACTGCCCACATTATCTCTCCGCCACCCCTGCAAATCTTTGACGAAGGGCTGAATATTGAACTAAGCGAAGTAAGTTCACGAAAGCATATGCTTCCTTTATAGCACCTTGTTAACAAGTTTAGGTGTTTTGCATTTAGTATTGTGTTGTTTGGTTTGCAGGCAAAGGAGTCCTAAGCATCGTGTCCAAAGCAGGAAGTGCTGGTGCGAATCTCAGACAGACATTCGGTGTTTACTTTTATTTTATCCTTTAAAAACAATTTATTCATGAGTATTTTCCACCTACTCAGTATGGCAATAATGTTTTTTTGTTTTGTTATGTCTTGCTTTCATCTAGTCATCGGTTGTGAACATTTGTGTTCCAGACAGGTTTTTAAGCTTTTTATAGCTCTATTTTTACTTTTGCAACTTGAACATTTATAGCTGCTCGGAATGAGAATGCGGAGAGCTCAAACTCCTCTGAAATGCCTTCGCGGTTGGAGTAGGATGTGAAAGTTTTCGAATATTTTAATAAAATGATAATAAAGAGAAACAGTTTTGGTATGAAGCGAGGCCACTGTAAAACCGTAAGATGACATTTTAGCTCTTGTGGCATTCATTTCAATGAGAAAGTTTGTGAGCAGGAAAGGTAATCATGCTTTCTTTTATGATGGCAAGCTTTTTCCACCAAAATTAGTGCTAGCATTCTCGGTGCTATTTTTTATGTACCGCAAATTAGGCTTAAAGGGGCACTGACACCCCAAAGGTCGTATTTATTTTTATTGTCTAAAACGATGCAAGTTGCAGTCATAGACACGCAAAAAAAAACCGCATCGCGAAAAAAAATTTTTCCGCGCGCGCGCGCGCCTTTTTATTTTTGGCGTTTGATTTTCCCGCCTCTCGCCTCCTCGCTTCTTTTGATCGGTGACGTCAAAAATCAGAAAATTTAGAAGCTTTGTAGGCGACATCTCTATAACATTTAATTACGGCAATCCTAAAACATGTTTTTTAACGCAATTGCGAACGCACTACGGCCCTTCTTTTTGAAATTCCAAAAATCGGGAGTTCGTTGTGGTGCCGTCTCCTGGATTTGTATCCTCCAACGGAAAACAGGCGACACCGCTCAAAACCGGTCCGCCGAAACCTCGCCGCTCGCTCCTTTCCTCCTCGCTTTGGGTCGCCATGGCAACAGCAGGGAGTGGTGAAAGCAAGTCGACTCTCAGGTCTCCGCAATTTTTGACGTCAAGGCACCGGCGCCGAAAGCGCGGGAACTTCGAATTCGGCATTTGGAAATTGTTTTCTTACTTCACAAATACTGAATTCCCAAATTTCAAATTTTGAGGGTAATGTCCCGGCATCGTTTTCAATCGTTTCGGATAATAAAAAAAAATATGATTTTGATGTGTCAGTGCCCCTTTAAGATAGACGTCAGCTCATAGAGAAGTTTAGTTTTTTCTTTATTATCTTTCGATCCATGTAATGTCGTGTTCTCAAACTTTTGCACCCTACTCCAATCGCCAGGGCCACATTCTACCAGAGTTTGAGGTCGTTGTGATGTCTAGTTTATTTTTGCGGTAGAAAAACACTGTTGAGTTTTCTCGCTCCTTTCTTTAATTATGTGAGCTTCATGAACCCAATTTAAAGGCCTTCAAGCTTCTTCGGAAGTGTGAAGTTTTTTCATAATTGTTCACTTTAATCTTTTTTTAGAGGGAAAATAATTTTAACTGCATCGTCTAGCAATATTGTCGCTGCTCATGTACACCTCCATGTTTCAAATTTGGAGAGTCAATAAATGTACTCATAAACATGTACCAAACTGTTTTCTTTTCACAGCAGGGGTAGACTGCAATTAATCACCTGGGAATCATGGTGTTCGGCGCAAAAAACAACGGACATGAGAGGGAAAACAGACATACATGTGTCACTCACAACTATATATATTTGAAAAGTTCAGAAAGAAAGGAATACATCCATCGTCATCATCACGTCCACGGATGCGCTTAGCCATGTGATATACTCTTCATCTAACACATGGCTAAGCGCATGCGTGGACGTGATGAAGATGACAATGTATGTATTCCTTTCTTTCTGCACTTTTCAAATACAGTTGTGAGTGGCACCTGTATGTCTGTTTTCTCCCTTGTGTCCATTGCTTTTTTGCGCCTTACACTATGATTTCCAACGTTCACCAACTAGCCCAACTACAAGTTCTTTTACAATTAATCACCTGTATGGATCTTGTTTGTGCTGTGCTAAATCTGGTGATAGTCGTATCCCACACTTTCTACCTAGGGAACAGTTTTTTCTTCAATTACTGGTGTGTCGAGTGGCATTATGGCTAAGCTCAAAAAGAATTTCTGATTATTCCTCTCCGTGAAACTGTGAGGCGCACACAGCTGTTTATGTTCCGAGCAAGTGTCTTTCTATATTTATGCTTACAGCTGTTGTCACAAAGAAGCTTTGTGATGGTTTAGTGTTCAATATTTTAAATTATTATGCCTCTCACAAACACACTCTGTTCAATTACTGGGACAACCAGTATATGGCCAAACAGATTTGACAGGTTTGGGAGAATGATAATCGTAGATCAACTTTTGTTTGCTTGTTTATCATTCTCTGCTTAGATCTCACTTGAAACTTTGGGTGAAGAGTGCAAAGATATTACAATAATCATAAATTAAAAGGCCACTTGGAGTAGAATTCTTTTCTGACATATATGTACAGACGTGGAAAGATTCAACGAAGCCACAGGAGCCTGCGGCCTCGAGATGCTCGCGCACTTCATGACAGCAGCGAAAAGAACTAGTATCGATGGCTGCCGCAGCTAGCTGTGAAATTAGCTGCTGTCAGCATCCGTTTAGATGACCTGCTCTGCCGCCCTGCTACAATACTAACGACCATACGCCTAGAGTGGCACTCTCTACACTGCGTCTCGATAAGGCTGGTTCTCTGTATCGAATAAGCTGATCGTGTTTACTTGGAATGGCGGAATGCAACAGAATGTCTTTCCTTTTTGCTTTCGCTACAGTTCCAGTGAAGCACAATAAGCTTTGATTCACATCACGACAACCAAACCAAAAGCATGCATTGTTGCAAATTAAGTTCTCGAAAAGCGCATCGTCTGTTCAGCTGACAAAACATTTTAATGTCAGTGTACAGTGCGCCACTTTAGGCAAATGACTCAGTGCGGCAGCAGGGCAGGCCAAACTGGGTGTTGGTAGTCGCTAATCTCGCAATCTGTCAGTGCTTGGAGCGGGTAGTTCCCCACGCCACCGGCAGGACGCGCGCACGTAGTTCGAGGCCGCACGCTACTGTGGCTTTGTTTTTTTGTTTTTTGTCACGACTGTATTAGCAAAAAGCGCAGCTGGCTTGGTTAGTGTTCACGAAAAAAAAATGCAATTGCTTTTAGGGAGAAATGTTTGGAGGATTGATTGAGAGAAACAATTTGATGCAATAACTTCTTATATTTCAAAACATTACCGATATTGCATTAGGGCCTAGGGAAAAGCCACACTCACCGTTCAGTTGCATGCACTCATTTGGTTTCAAAGAGTGTTTCGGTTTGTTTCAACTCGCGTAGCGGCAATTTCGAAACACTCCTGTGAAAACGGGACATCGTTCTTAATTGGGACAAAAAGACGGGACGGTAGAAGTGAACCTCAAAAACGGGACTGTCCCGGCCAGAACGGGACGTCTGGTCACCCTACCCAGTAGGTTTCCCCCACCTGTGCACAACGCACATTCTGCGATTCTGAAAAGAGCAGTCAGAGGCGCGTTCGGAACACTTTAACTTCATACCTTCATAGCGGGAGCCGCAGATTTCTTTGAGCATGGCTGTAGCCACCACTCCAGGATCGTAACTGCAGACGGTCACCGACGGGTTCTCTGCGGCCACCACTCTCATGAACATCTCCCGGGCTGCCTTGCCTGCAGCAAAGGAATCGACGGCTCGAAGAACTTTTGGCGAAACGATGAGCCGAATGCGTGGCTGCAAATCGCCAACGGGGAGCTTTCGGAGTGTGGAGTGATTTGGCGCCGTGCCTTCCTCAACATCAAGGTCGCCTGTCTTCGCAGACCGTAAGTGTGAGCCCGTCCTGAGCACGCGCATGTCTAAATAGCGCACTCTCACATGGCGTCTGCGCTGTTTCCAAACTATTGGGGAGGAGATCGAGGAGTGGCGATCTCTAGCGGCCACCTCTGGAGCTAACGCTGCATGGCAAATAAACCCTCCGACAGCAGTCATTAGTGCTACCATGGAAGACGACGACGCAAGGCTCGTGAAAGGTATGCAACATTATTATTTTCTTTAGGCACATCTAGATAGTAGAAATCTAGTTCCCTCTTACGTTCAATTTCACCGAAGTCCTCTTGGGAGGCCAAACAAACACATGTGTGATCACGCGCAGGCGTGCCGGGTGTGACGATATGAACATGGACATGATATGAATATGAAGAAGACGAGGCAGTGGGAGCGCGCAGGGGGACGGGCCCGTGCCAGAGGACCGAAGTCAGTAGGGAGTTTTTGCAGATCGTTCTCGCCGTCCCGCAAGGGGCCCTCCGCAACCCGCTACGATAGGGGGAACTCCACAGTCAAGTCTATCGGCGCGCAGGTGCAGTAGCAACTTCTTCGTTGTGGAACGCCTAGCGGAGGGGGCAACGCGGTCTACGAAAACTCCCTAGTGACCGATAATGAACACATCGCAACACCGGTGAACCAGACAACCAAGTTAAGCCCGGGACAGGCGTCGAAAGGCCCGTGGGGGCTGAAACCAGACTGCTGGGGATCTGCCGCCTCCTTGGAGTCATCGCCATGAAGAATCAGCATCCAGGCTCAAGGCATGCAGTGTTTTCCAAGAACGAGCGGAGCCTTGTAAGCGGAACCTCTCTGGCTGACTTTACATGGACTTGTATATAGCTCGCGGTCCTTCCCATAATTTTTGATTCTATTTTTCTAAATAATAACTATTCATTTGCACACACCGTTTTGGAATCCCGAGTCCTCATTCCTCTTTTCCATCACAATCTGGCGTCTGCCGACAGGACACTCCCTTCTAAACAACTAGAGGACGGAATTCCGGGATGGTGCTGTAGGAGAATAAAATTATGGATACCGAAAAATTAATAGCACTCGGTAAAGAACTGGGATATGCGGGTGTAGAACTTTGTGACTTGGTAGAGCAAGAGAGCAACAGAATCGACCAAGAACGCGTCAGGCAAAGTGGAGAGCGGGGTCAGGTTGCTGGGAAGATGCACGCGAGGCAGTGAATGAGGCGCAAGATACGGCAAGATTTCGCCAGGAACAGGAAGTTGTACAAATGCGTCTTCAGCTGCGAGGAGGTAACGGTACCTCGGGAGATACCGATCCGCATGATACCGGCGGTGGGGAAAGCTCAGGAGCACAAACTAACTATCGAAGTCCCCATAAACTCATTCCGCCGTTTAATAAAAAAACGAGAAAAAGCCAAAACTGACCCCGAGAGAAATGGGCGATGTCTCCAAGTTTGTGTCTCGCCGCGAAGGCGCTGACAGTTGTAGGCAGGATGACCCAAGAAGAATCACTCGGCTATGCAAAGGTCAAGCTCAGCCTATTGCAGAGGTTTGGCTTCACCACTCAAGGATATCGCTAAAAGTTCCTGGTGAGCAAGCCAGAAGAGGCAGAGAAGGGGCAGCAATTCGCGGCTTGGCTTCTCGGCTACTTTGACCGCTGCATTGAGACGGGCGAGACCCCAAAGACTTTTGTAGGGTTGAGAGAGTTGGCGATCAGTGCCTGAAAAGATGCAACAACAAACTGGCTATATCTTTAAAAAAAAAAAAAAAAAGATGCAGGTGTTTATTGAGAATTTGGCCGCAACGACTGACCATTTCTTAGAAGCGCGGGGACAAAGTTGCTTGGCTAAAATGAAACAAGAGAATGTGGGACACAAGGGCGGAGCAAGGAACAAAGAGGGTGGTCGGCCACAGCTTCAAACCAAGGAAGCCGCCGCCATTGGTTTCTCTGCAACAAGTCGAGTCACAGAGCGGCCGATTGCTGGACGAGTTCCAAGAACAAACGCAGCCCTGTGTGCTGGAGATGTGGAAAGGCCGGGCACAAGTCAGAGACGTGTACCTGGAACTTGGAAGCCAGAAGGAAAGAATGACGAGGTGCCCCAGGCTTCTTGTATGTTTAGGGATGTTGACAAAGCAACATCAAAAGAGACGTTTGTCTCCCTAAAAATGGGGACAAGATACTAATTGTGAATGCGGAAATAGGAAAGGACTCGCGGTTTCTGGTGCAAAATATGCCAGTAGTGAGAGGTGAAGTGGGGAACCGAAGAGTATCGTAGTGAGGAGAGATTTGGTTTCAGATCATCAGTTAACTGGGCGTTACCAGCCCAGTTTTTCTTATTGAAAGGACAGTTAAATACCTACCGGAGGATGAGACCGAAGTGAAAACGCCGTATTATGGGGGTAGCCTAACGGCCAAGTGCGTGGAAGGTCCGTTATATGATCTGGTACTCGGAAACGTCGATGGAGTGAGAAGGGTCGATGGTCCAGATGAGAAACGGAACGGAAAGCGACCAACAAGGTCTGAAGAAAACAAAGAGGAAGTGTCCTCTAGGGGGAAGGCAGAAGAGAACGAGACTGCCGAAGGACTCGCCATGAGCGAAAAAAAGTTGAGACAAGACAGTGGAGTCTTGAAAAGAAATGGAGAATATGCGGGGGCGCTTAAAAAGGAAACCAGCAAGACAACGAGTTCATAGCTGCCAGTGATAACACTGGAACCCACAGATGAGCCACACCAAGCTAGAAACGGCCCAGAAAACTGAAGAAACGCCCAGGGAGTGCCTTGCGGCCGTTGAGAGAAATTTGGTCTCATAAAAATTTCACGAATCTGAGTTCGTGTTATGAAAGAACGTTCTCAACGGGAGGTGCGAGACTCCATCATGCAAGCAATTCGAACAGCTGGTGGTTCCAAAAGAGTATCGAATTATGTTATCGGAGGTGGCACACGAAGGAACCGTGGCGGGTCGCCAGAGAACGAAGGGAACCACCGATCGTATCCAAGAAGGGGCTCGGCGCCATGTGGCACGGCTGAAGGTCTGGACGGTCCGGTTGGTGTGGTGCAGAGCAGACCGAATGGCTTCGGACGACGACAGCCGTGTGCAGACCAAGTCCGAACTCGGCGGAGCCTACGAGGTTGTTGGATCGCGGCCGGAAACGTGTGAAGCGCCACTGGTCTCGGAGCAAAGAACACAGGAAATGCTCAAGAATAAAAAAAGAAACGGCCCCGGCCTCGTAGAAGAGAGAGAGGGAGAGAGAGAGAAAAAAGGACCGACAGAAGAAGCAAGGAGAGGCGCCGTGCTGACAGAAGAAGCAAGGACATGTGCCGTGCCGACGAAAAATAAGTCCCGCGAACAATTCCGGTAAAATGTAAACACATTGGAACCTATAGTGAGATTCCACCGCGCCGCAAAAATGAGAACCCGCGAATTATTTTAAAACTTTAGCTTCGACCCAAATCGCAAAATATTGAGCCTGCGAAAAATAAGTCGTTTACAGTATTGTGCTTTTGCTGAGTTTAACTAATAAAAAGTGTATCCATCTATAAATAACAGGATTTGCTGTCACACAAGTTTTTTTTTTTTTTTTTTGTTCAGCAGTATTTACTCAACAGGTTTCTTTGAAATTGGCTTAACGAGACACAGAATGGTGATTGAGATTAAACTTTGGTTGTAGCTATGCGCGGTTTCGATACTAGGTATAAAAGGAATGCCCTGTTAAAACGATTGCATGCCATCCTTGAGGCTTGAGCCGTGATTGTTTAAAGGGCCCATGAAACGATTTTTGGGTTGGGATAAATCATTTTAGATTAGGATTTTACTAATAGCACATCGTTCAGTGGACCAAAAGAAAAAAAGGTAGAAGGTCAAAAGCCCGACTTTCAGTGCGAAAATTTGAAAACAGAGCGGACTATTTCGTACCTCCTCCCCTTCGCAACCTCTCTGACTTTTCACTGTGATACATCCGCGGTCCCAAAAGCGCGTCATCGGGTCCAAACTGACGTCACACGCAACCGGACCTCACTTATTCCCTTCACCCCTAAGCTGACATTGTGCTGGAAGCTACGCGCTTGCCGGACCAATCAGCCGCCTCCCTTTCATCACCTGACTTCATTCTCTGCAGCCACATTTGCCTCGCTCACGTGGCAAGTGTGGCTGGCCCAACGAGCACGTAGCTTCAACAGCACTGTCAGCTTCGGAATGAACGGGGTGGGGAAAGCTACTTTTGTCTGAATTTTGAGCGACGGGCTAATCTTCTAGGGGGACAATGGCTCTGTCCGGGTACACAAACCAGATTCCAAGTGAGAGGGGCCTCCCTTCTTTTCGTCTTCTTTAACTGTTTGGTGGAATGGGCGATTTACGAGTTGAGGAGGAAAGCTAAACAGGAAAAAGTTGGAAAAGCGTTTCATGACCCCTTTAAATGTCTAGGAAACATCACTATGATTCTGTCTCAATATAACTAGCCATTTATGCGCGCGAGTGAAAGACTTCTTGCTCATTAAATAGCTTCACCCTGTTTCTCATGAGAGACTCCTAACAAACCCACCTGCCACAAAAAAAAAAAAAAAAAAAAAAAATTGAACTTTTGGTTTTGAAACGTTGCCCAGGAAATTGAACTAGCGGTGTTCGCCTTCGATCCACGTCGCGCATTTCTGCTTCGTACTCCGCGCAAAGCGAATACTGCCAGACGAATTACGTCAATTTTGTGTCGCGTATTTTTTTTTATTGGGTTTGGACCGAAATAGACAAACATTTCGAGCCGAAAAGCTTCAACAAAGTGTGTTTAGTCGCGCAGCAAATGTAATGCGAGCCGCCCTGGCCACCCGCTTCATCCAGCTCATGCATTCGCGGCGCCCTCGGCGCCCTCTCGAGCCTTCGACACGAAGTGCAGCCGCCGTCAGCGCTCGCGGAGCTCACTACCCCTCCTCCAGTTCAATTTAGCTGCGTGGCATAGTTTTGCGGGTGTTCCTCTAACTCTCTAGCCACCATAGTTCCTCATTCGCACCAGTCACCTAGCTGTATTTGAAGATTTGTCTCGCAACAATTAGAAAGCAGTTCATTTTGGTAGGTAGACTGTATACTTTCCTGTTTTAACCGGTAAACGCCAATAAACATCCGCCGGTGTCGAAAAAAAAAAAGTTAATAGCGAAACATAGCGGATTTTAAATAATTTCGTAGAAGCAGCAGTTTTTTTTTGTTTTTTTTTCTCCGGAAAAGTTTTATGTAGACTTTCGTCAAACTCGTTCCTTCTGGTTTCTTTTTTCTTTTTTTTTTTTCCCTTTTTTTACGGTTGTCGCTTTGTGTTTTTGGAGTTTATATTTCGCCGAATTCGGGGGATGATTATTGGTGTTTATTTTTTGTCGAAAATTGGGAGTTTATGGGGTTTTAGTTTTCTTCAATTTTTAATTTTTAGAAATTCGGAGCCGAATTGTGCAGTACTTTTCTATTAAAAAAGGTATTATCTGGTTGTAAGCGTGTGCTAGCTTAAAGAGAACAAACCTGTATCAATTAATTTTTTTTTCAGCTGGAGTTGGCATTGGCGTCATTGCCATTGGCAATACTAATTGGTCCAACCACGAAACTTGCAAACAAGTGTTTCTTCGATACATGTCGAAACTTTAAAATCAATAAGCTTCTGAAGCTAGACGCTAGCAAGCTCCCATACTCCCGTAAGCCTACGACCCGGCTGCGCTGTGTAAAGTGTTAAAGGGTGTAATATAGACGCCTCAACTGACCGCCCCCTCTTCTACCTTCTATGAAATCTATTGCTCACAGCTTTTGCTGTTACGAAAACACAACCCCTGCTTCCTCTAAGTAGCCCATATGGACCAAACTGGAAACTGGAACAGTGGCTTTTGCCGTGACCTGGAAGGCCTGTTGTTTTGATGAACCTTGAAGAGCTAACCGGTAAGATTTCTTCTGTCAATGATCCGTGATTTGAAAGAAAACTGGAGTAACATTCTCTCCAGATCCTGTGTGCTGTCCAAATTTAATTCTAAGATATCGTGTTTCTTTATTTCCCCATTTGTACATTGAAATTCGGAGTTTTTTTTGTTAAATTCGAATTGAGGAAAATTTTGCCGGTGGGTGTTTTTCGGAGTTTTTCGTATTTATTCGAAAACATGGAACACTAGTCTTGATTCATTCGGCCCTTAATAAATTAAATTTCATACAGAAATAACATATTTGAGGATGGCAGAAACCTGAAGACTTACCTGTGCAGTATAGGCCGAGCCTCGGTACTGCCTTGATCCCCGTAATGGACGAGACGTTGACGATGGTTCGCGTCGGACCCGAGTCAGAGTCATAGCGCCGGAGGAACGCCGCGGTCAGCGTCATGACGGACGTTAGATTCAAGCGGTAGTAGTCGCCGATCGCTCTCTCGTCGTCGTATGACACGGCATAGTCGGAGCAGTTTCCAATCGTCGCGGCGTTGTGCAGGAGCACAACCCTGTCCGGATCCGGGAGTCGAGCCGACGCTCGTTCCAGAAGGTCCTGGTAGTCCCGGAAAAGGGCCCTGGAGTGGTCGCAGGTCTCGACGCTCACGTTGACTTCGCGTCCCAGAGCTGCGATAATCCGCTTTGTTTCTTCGAGACCGGCCGTGTTTCGACCCGTAATGACGAGGAGCGATCCTTCCGCGACGTGTTCGGCGAAACTGGCCGCTATGCCCCTGCCAATGCCTCCGCTGGCGCCTGTCACAACGATGAGAAACTTCTTTCTCCAGAATGCAGTTTCTCCGCCTGGGCTTCTGCGAGGGCACGCTGCATCAGCCATGTCTGCTCTCTTCAGCTCCATTGCTCCTTTACAAAAAAAAAAAAAAAAAAAGAATGAATGAAAAAAAGATAAAGGCCTACTAACACTCGGAGCGAGATACAACTGCTGCTACATGATCAGATTCAGTCCAGCTGCGACGCTTACATGCAGGCACACGTCAAAAGGACTTGTTTTTCACCACTAGCTTTTATAAAATGTGTAGCGGTACGATCGCTAAACTGCTAAATCATAGTACTTCGGCAACTTGCCGTGTTTTTAGAATAATCTAACGTTGCATTGCGCCAGATAAGCGTGAGGTCTTGTTCAACCGCTGTGCCGGATGAGAAGTTGACGCGGCATCCGGTATTCTAACCAGTCTTGGGTAAGTTACTTTTAAAAAGTAATTCGTTACAGTTACAGTTACTTTCAGAAAAAAGTAGCGAAGTTACCGTTACAGTTACCGCAACAAAAAAGTAACTCGTTACAGTTACAGTTACTTTTAAAAAGTAACGACGTTACTTTTCAGTTACTTTTCTCTAACACAAAAAAAAAATTTAGGAAAAACTAGAATACGCTTTTTACCAAGTTTATTTGCATAAAATTAAAAAGTGTGCTTTTTACTTCATATTGTAAGTTAGCAGCAGTTGCTTCTCGAAATTAGTGTCTGAGAGTTTCCCTTGTTTGGTAACGAACACGTCCCTGCCCTTGCTGAAAAGGCGCTCGTCTAACGCGCTGGTTGGCATTGCTGTGTTGTTTCGCCGGAACAGGTTTCTGATTGCCGGGTAGGCGTTGAAAGAACAGAGTGCCGTTTTCTGCGTTCAAGTTGTTAGTAACCACCTCCACCACAGTAAAATACTCTCTGTACGCCGGCCATGGTAGTTCTTCTTTGTTCTTGTAAACATTCACATCCTTGGTAGCACTAGCACATTGCTGGCTCTTTGACGGTCGCGCTGGGTTCATAGAGTCCCTGGACATATTTCAGTTCGTACCCGGCAAGACAGAAAGAAAGCCCGCGCAAACAGCAGTAAATTTTGCCTCGACTGTTGACACTACACCGGAGTGGTGGCGCTAATCAAAATACGTAACGTTCGCAGTGCGGAGTGGTGGCGCTAATCAAAATACGAAACATTCGCAGTGCCCTCCGCCTGAATTGGAGATGCATGTTTGATTCACCCGATTAAAAAGCGTTTCCGCAGAAAAAAGAAAAAAAAAAAAACGCAAAAGAGATAGTTCTTCAAGATACCAAGATGTAAGTGTTCAGTCACAAAGTACAAGCGCATTCTAAAGATAACTACATTTTTTTTTCACCAAATCTGCACGTGGCTATATTCAGGTCGTGACTGGCGAGAAAGAACGTATTCACAAGTTTGTGTAAAAAATCACTTGATACTCGAAATGTCGGAACAGACAATTTGGAAAGCGCAAAGAATGGCTAAACTGTGCCTCGTTCAGTAATATATTATTCATAAGAAACTGGAAAGTAGCGACGAAAGTAACGCCGTTACTTTCATCGTTACCTCAAAAAAAGTAATAGAACTACAGTTACAAGTTACATTTTTAAAAAGTAACTCGTTACAGTTACAAGTTACCAAAAAAGTAACGAAGTTACAGTAACGCGTTACTAGTAACGCGTTACTACCCAAGACTGATTCTAACCTTATTTTAATTCTGTCGGTTTTTGTTCTTTTTGTTTAAACACGTTGAAAGCATAAAGAAAAACAACAAAAATAACACTTGAAAACCAATTCCCGTTGGAAAAAATTACAGGAGGACGATAAGCTTCGCATTTAAGAGTGGAACGCGATTCCGTAAGCTCTCGCTCGTTCCCAAGTCGTGTAGGCGTGACTGCGTAACCCATTAAAAAAAAAAAATAAGTGTTTTGATGCTTAGTTGGTGCCGTTTTTGCTTCGGGCGCTCGCACCGTGCGGACGAAGAATGGCTAGCTCCCACGGCAAGGAGCAGTGATAACGGCCTAGTCTGGCCACGGCTTATATGTTTTTGATCGACTGATGATTACCGCGTAGTTCTTTGTCCTCTGCCATCTCGAAGTTTCTCCGCAAATACCGTCTTTCTCCACTGCGACGTGAACGGTCGTCTTTACCGGCCGGACCACTCAAGGGTCGAACTGGAACGAGTAGACGTCACAAAAGAAATCGCGGCAAGTGGTGCACACCAAATAAATTATTTGTAGATGCTGACACTTCACAATGCGGCGGCCAAGAAACGGATAGTGGAAGCACGAGAACTCTGTGTGAAAGACAAGAAGTGCTTTGTGCTCGATCCGGACTACTCTAAGGTTCAACCGAAAGTGCACTGGATGCCTTTCCACGTTCTCGGCCGCGCGCTTCGAAGATCCTTCGACCAGTACGGGAAGGTGCCAGAAATCGCCCGCGACACATGGAGGGGGGACGGCGAGTCAAGGTATACAGTCTTCCGCGAGACTGGTTTGCCTCAGCCTGAAACAGGGAGTCAGCGTCGATAGTCTGCCATACCAACTAAAAGTCTCTGGCGGAAGCGTCTTGGCTGTGGCTCCCGGACAGACACCTTTGTGCCTGAGGTGCAAGAAGACTGGTCACATCCAAGAGGATCGCAGAATTTACCCTGCGGCCAGCAGTGTCGCAGGTTCGGTCATGTGACTGAGGACTGAAACCGCACATATGCCGCCGTCACCGATGGAGCTCCCAAGGATGACGCGCAGGACCTCGAGATAGATGAAGACGAGGGCGGTGCCACAGCGCAAAGCGGAACGCAAGGAGTGTCGGGACGGGCCTGGTGAAAATGAGGCGTTTAATTCGGGTTAAAGAAAATACACGTTAAGGGGTATCCACGCGAAGGAGAACTCCGCGGACGGAGCTCGTGACGTCAACACCCCGGTAAACTCCTTCCCCGGCTCCGCCGCGTGGACCGGCGGAGCTTTCGTGCTGACAGCACGAAGCCTCCGCGCCTCCGCCACGGAGGAGAACGTATCCCACGACGAAAACGTCAGGCTTTGCGATGTGTAAAAGCCTCGCGTTTTCATCTCGTGATGCGCGCGTGCCGGGGAGAAATCCCCGGGATTTCTCCCTCCTGTGAATACCAGCAGTAGGCCCGCGCGTCAGTCGGCGTGCATTCGTCATGTCGGCGTTCCGAGCACGAGCCTCTCGCACTGAGTCCTGCGCTGGCTTCGTCGACGTCTACCTTGTGGTAGACGTCGACTGCGTTGGTTGTAGCAATTTCCCTGATGTGGCGGCTCCTGAAGGAATTCGCACAGCTGCATGTGGAGTTATAGGGTCGTTCTTTGACCCTATGACAGGTGTCGTAATGTGCACCCAGCTTGGCTTTGTATGCACGATTGTTTTTCCGAAAGGGCTCGCTGTTCCACCGAGGCTGGAATTCTTTGGACACGGCTGGTACATTTGCCCGTATCTTCCTTTCCATCAGGAGTTCCGCAGGGGAGTAACCTTCAGTTGCAGAAGTATCCCGATGAGCAAGCAGTGCCTTGTGGTGTCCGGCGACTTGTTAAACAGCTGCTTCGTTGTCCGTACGGTCCTTTTTACCGCCCCATTTCTCTGTGGATAAAATGGGCTGCTTGTTGCAAGGCGTGATCCCCCACTCCTTCGCAAACGTTTTGAATTCGGCGAAAGCGAATTGGGGCTCATTGTTTGACCGAATGATGGCGAGTGCTCCGAAACGTTAAAAGATCTGACGGAGGTTCCGTGTGATGTCTTGGGTTGATGTGCTGTTGAATTTCTCAAGTTCAAAGAACCCATTTATTCGATTTATTTATTCAATACTGCCAGCTGCCTTTTGGCAGCCAGGGCAGGAGTGATTACACACTTTTTGTTTAATACTTGTGACATCTCTTGACATGAACAAAAGCATCAGAAGGGGAAACCAACAAGGCATATACAACAACAGTGGATAGTGTGGGTAAAAAAGAAAACTTCTACAGTCAGGAGTGAAGATAACAACTATAATACCAAACAAAGTTGTTAGCAGGGGACATAAACATAAACATAGACATAAGGCACCATAATCGCCTGTAAGATATGATAAAAAAATAGCGGCGTGTTGCTGTGAACTTCTTCTACAAGAGATAATAGAAAATACAAGCAAAATAAACACACTTCACTCACAAGTAGGTACCAATAGAAGATACAAAGACATCCTGGTTTGTTGTACCGCCCAGTCACGCGGAAGATCGCTCCATTCGGTTATCTTTCTCGGTAAAAAAGAAAACCGATATGGGCGTCTGTCCTGCATATTGTTTTATTGTGTTTATTCCTAGTCGGTCACGCTGTATTAAACTGCATATAGTCGGGAAAATTCAGTCCAGTCTGGTTATTGACTATGTTAAAAAATAGCTTTAGTCGATGAAGGTTGCGGCGGGATTTTAATGTAGGCAGCCCAGAACGATTCAGAAGTTCAGTTACCGAGACGTTTCTACCATAGGCGTGATAAATGTATCGAAGCGCCTTCCTCTGTACGCGTTTGATGCATTTGGTATCAGTTTTAGTGAGGGGGTCCCAGACTACGTCACCTGCCTCTAGTAGCGGTCTTACAAGGGTTGTGTAGGCTGCCAACTTTAGTGCCATGTTTAAGCCGGTATCGTAACAGCCATAACCTGTTTGTAGCCACCGAGACAATGCGATTAATATGGTTCTTCCAACTTAGATGTGAAGTTATAATTATTCCTAGGTACTTAAATTGCATAACTAGGCTAATTTCAGTGTTATTAATTTTATATCTGTACCTGAGTGGTTGTTTTCTGCGTGTAATAGTCATGTGTGTGCACTTAGCGGCACTTAAACTCCTTTGCCAAGGTTGACAGTATCCGGAAACGGCTACTAGAAAATCCTTTAGAGTTACCTCGTCGCCTGCTGACTGAATATTTAAATACGCGATGCAATCGTCTGCAAAAAAAAACGACAGCGGACAGGTGAGTTGTATGGAAGGTAAGTGGGCCCAATACGGAGCCTTGAGGGACTCCTGGATGAACTGGTGCTAGAGGCGAGTCGGTCCTGCCTATCTAAACGTATTGCACTCTATGTGATGAGTACGAG